TGGGGAGCAATAAAAAATATACATCCGTTTTTTATGGCTGTGTCACATAAAAAAAAAGCTGCGCGCTCCGTCACATCAAACCCCGTTAGGCAGCTTTATGAGGCCGGTGATTTGTTAACAGCTAATTTCAAGCTGAAGGATGAATGGCTGTGCAAATGTCGCAAGTCTAGAAGTTATAATTGGAGAATAATACGGTGTTGTAATAGCAATAAAAATGTTATTTTGACAAATGGCTTGTCATCACACACTAATGTTTCAGTTTAAAGGAGGAGGGCGGGAGAGGAAAGGAGCGACTGTGAGGCGGGTTTAATGACACAATTATTCACATGCCTGATAAAAAGATGAATTATGGGCTTTGGAGGCTCTTTAAAGATAGTGTGTGAAAAGAGCCGATCACTGAGGAGGTGTCCAAAATCTCTATACCTCACCCAGGTAGAGTCAAATATTAATAATAAGAGACTTTATAACTAAACATAATTATTACATCTACCTTTTTGGTTTTGATGAGGCTTTTGTGACAGAGTTCATACTGGTCCGAGGCCCGGTGGTTTGGGACCAGTTAGTCATAATAGAAACAGACCTCTGTACAGACTGTATTTACTATGGACAACTTGGCTCCGCCTTCTGTCATTATTTGAATTTTAAGCCGAATTGCTCTCAGTATTTTCGGGATTTTCTCCACTTTTGCATTTAGTGAGTCGCCGAGAGTCGCTGTGATGACGCTCGGCTCAAACAGCGTATCCCCCGGGTGAGCTACGCAATCTTCCATAGGCTGTATCAGGTGTCAATCATAGAAAACATGAACCCCCTAATAACTTTTAAAAATGGAGCTTCACAGAAAAAAGAGGACTTGAGCACAAACCAGTCTGACAGTAACTACATGTCAACATCGCAAAAATTTATATTCTGTGTAATAATTTATACATTTTGTCCACAACTTCATAGGGATTGCTGGAGGAGGCGGAGTTTATGATCTATACTGCAGCCCGTCAACAGAGGGTGCTGTTCTTGCGGTGGCTTCACTCAGCGAGGAGGCAGACGGTCTATATACAGTCTATGATTTTCAGCCATGAGCAAAGAAAACCAAAACAACAGGTACTGAGGCTGTTTTCGCTCAAAAACTACCAATTGCTGAAAAATTTGAACTCTGTAGTGGAGGGAAAATGCCCATGGTGGACACAGGCCCTGACACAGACACAGACCCATTTATGATCATTTCTTTAAGGACATGCAATCAGACCGAGACGCTAAGACAGAAGAACTTTAATGATTATTAAGAGGATTTTTACACCAAGAAAATTATAAAGAAATGATCATAAATGTTCTTCCTTGAGCTGCGACACCCTGTTGTAGTCCGTAATGGACTGGCCTGAGGTCCCACTACAAACAAGCGGCTGCTGGAAGAGAGTAGGTGAGTTGTGTTTAGTCTCTTTGCTGAGGAAATGCTGTCTAGTACTATGGCTGGGACCCTATATGTCCTGTTGATGAAGTTAGGAGCTGTTCTGAGCTTTATTTGTGGCTATAGAGTGGTGTTTTGGTTGAGGTTTGTTTATGGCTCCTCAGACCGCTGTGTATTGCTCTCTGCGGTCGTTACTAAAGTTGGTTTGATGGCTCTCCTGAAAAATGTCAAACAACCTATAAACTGTGAGTAAATAGACCCATAATTACGTCACTGTCTTCTTGTCGATTTATTTCACCTTTTAAAGCCTTTTGATAAAAACAAACACAAACCGAATCCTCTCATCTGCATGTTTTCACCTGAACCTTTACGTTTTTTCTCTCCTCTCTAGATGTATAATTTCCCAGTTTTGGTAAGAATGGAGCCTCGTCTAATTAAAGCTCTTTTTCAAACCTGTGTGAATAGATCGGTGGTTTGGGAAGCAGACAGCTGCAGTTGCTTCTAGCTGACAATTACAAACATGCTTCATCAGCTGATTGAGGTTATGTTTGGGTTCACTGGCAACGCACAGTGAGGTTTTGTGCCAAAAGCGACTGTAACACGCTAACAGGCTCAGACTGCTCCCTCCAACGGGATAAGAATTATTTATTTACTTACTTAGACTCTCCGGGCTGAGGCTGAATTATATAATTCATATGTAGTATCAGCGGATTCTAACATGTCTGCATGTGCCAATTTGTTTTGTACGGAGCACGGGATGAAATGGGACAGCGGGCTCGCCTTCGGGAGGACAATTTCAGAGCTTGTTAGCTTTCAGATCCGGTTTTATTTAGATGCACAAATCTGGCAGAGGCATGAACTCAAACACAGAGCCCCCTGGGAGGAGGGGCGGACGCCAAATGAAACACTTCCAATCGGTGAGCCTTGCATAACAAACAGGAGACAAAAGCATATGTGAGATTTTTATTTTAATTCCAAACTTCTTGATTTTATTATCTTTTGATTTGAGTCTTCCCTGTCTGGTTTGTTATTAGTTAAATCGATTTTCTGAGTTGTTTTTCTGCAGCTTAAAGACACTTGAAATGTTTACGTGCCTTTCGTTTGTGAGTCTCAAAGAAATCTAGCGAAGCCTGTTGAGAGTAGCGGCTGAAGTGAATGTCCCCCTGCAGTTAAATGAAAGGTGCATTTCACCTTATCAGCAAATAGAAGAAAAACAGCCTCTGAGAAGAAGGCAGCCAGGTGTGTTTGGACTCAAAAACGTACCCAGAAGGAGGTTTTCTGTTTGCGGATGATAAATAACTTGATTAGAAACCCTTTGATTAAAAAAATGAATCGTAAAGGTTCAGAGGGGAACAAAGCCCGAGCCAAGAAACACACTCAGAACACAAGATGAAAGGTGAATGCTACATTATGCATTTATCACACTCATGATTGATGCTCAAATTGAACCCTGCAGACTCTCATCAACCCTGCAGTTAAATCCTGTAGACAGGCGTTTAAAGATACAAGCACAGGCAAGAAAACTTTTCCATTTTATTATATTTTTGAGGAGTTTTTGTTTTTAATGTCCAGACAGCTCACATCAAATCTGCCAGTATATGAGAAACGCAGCAACATGCTATTGTACTTCATTTTTTTCATCATGTATTGATATATTTATACACTGAATACATGTCTGAGACAGTAACACTTACTGCATCTGCCAGGACGCGTGCACAAACACACTGACTTTGCACGATCAGTCTGAAAGGTTTGGATTAGTTCATGCAGAAGTTACAGAAGTGCTTATATGTCTGTCAGTGCAACTTCTTTTGCACTCAACAACCACTCCCTTCTTCTTTATCTTGGTGCAACTGGTGCATTTTATATGTTCACACACTTAATGTGAACGTAAAGTACTAGTTTGTGCGATTGTAGAAACACAGCAGCAAAAGATAGAGACCTTCTCCTAAGTGCATAAAAAAAGACTCACTCTTAATCAAATCAAACTTTATTTATACATCACTTTTCATACGGCCTTGTCCAGGGAGGTTTATAAAATCCTTCGGTTATGTATGGAAGTTCTGAGTTTGTGTCGTGTGGACTCACTGAGTTACAAGCGCGTAAAAAACACTTGATCCGACCCGGAAAACTCTCAAAATTTACTTCGTGCGACTCTGTGACTCCGTGCCTGCAAAGTCATGTCCTCTTTTGATAATTCAGGACATGGTCATCCTAATTAAGTACCTTTTTTCCCCAAATGCTGCACACTGTACCTTTAAGGGAAGTAAATAAATTTAAAGGGATATTACAGCATAAAATTAATTTAACAGCGTAAACAGCGAGTTAGACACCCCGATGAGAGATGAATGTAACGACCGCAGATAGCAATATAGAGAGCCACGCCCTCTAACAAAACACCACTCTATAGCCACAAATGATGCTCAGAACAGCACCTAACTTCATCAACAGGACATATAGGGTCCCACCTAGGGTTGCCAACTCCCAGAGATTCATCAAGGAATACTTCAGGACAGTTGTACCTATTACACACGTGTTTCCTACAATAATAACAAAGAAATGGAATACTTCACCCATACACCAGTTAATAAAGAATAAATAATAAAGAATAGAGATATGGAGAATATAGAATATATGGAGACCTCTGGGTGACTCCATTGACTGCAGAGAGGGTGACAGAGCTACTACAGTGTCTGCAGTGCAAAATGATTAATATGATGATTATTACTTCAATGAGATGATAAAGAAATGATCATAAATGTTCTTCCTTGAGCTGCGTCACCCCGCTGCATTCCGTAATGGACTGGCCTGAGTTCTCGCTACAAACAAACGGCTGCTGGAAGAGAGTAGGTGAGTTGTGTTTAGTCTGTTTGCTAAAGAAATCAGGTGAGGTTAAAAAGATGTTTGGTGGTTAGTACTATGGCTGTGACCCTATATGTCCTGTTGATGAAGTTAGGTGCTGTTCTGAGTATTATTTGTGGCTGTAGAGTGGCGTTTTGGTTGAGGTTTGTTTATGTCCATCGTGCGGTCGTTACTAAAGTGGGTATAACTAGAGAAGCAACAATCGGCAACATTCATCTCTCAAGGGGGTGTCTAACTCAGTGTTCCAGTGTTTTAAACCCTAACTTCATTTTACGCCGGAATATCCCTTTAAGTACCCTGATTAAAATTATATACAAACATTTTTAATAATCCTATTTGTCTCCTCTCTGGGAGGAAAATCTAACCAATCATGAGCAGACTGAGTCCTTTTTGTATTTTTCTAAGTTGACTAATTGGACCTGTTGCAACTGTGCCTGGTCTCCCCTACTGGTATAATACTCTGGACCCCCCCTACCTTGAAAAATCATCACTCATCCCACTAAAATCTGACAGTGCAGCACTTCTCCCCTGTTCTGCTCATCCTTAAAGACCCATCAGGTCCTCCAGAGCCTCTGGCTTCTCCTGCTCTTTGAGGAATGACGCACATTTGCTATACATCGTCCTTCAGCTCTCATAATCTGCTCATGCTCGGCGTTTGAGGCTGCGCAGACGCCCTCTAGCTGCGCACTGAGGAGCGGCAGCCTCTCAGGGTTTGTTGGTCCTCCTTTCATGTCACTATAGTGCTGCTTGTATGTGCGGACGCAGCCAATCTCTTCCTCATGACGCCACCGAGGCTGGGCTCAGCGGGCTTCCATCATAATATTTAACACACACCCACCCTGGATGAGCACTTGGAAGGAGGACAAGGCTGCGTGAAGTGGGGGGGAGAGAAACAAATGACGGCCGGGATCCCTGCACCTGCCGGGGGAGTCTCTCGTTTGAGTCAACGAGGCGCGGAGCGGGACGGACAGCATCCGAGCATCTCTGCGCATCACCTGGTCTTTTCACGGGATTTCCACTCGTCTTATTTCTTCACCGAAGACTCTGTTTGAGGGCTATATCACTTTGAGCTCTAAAGATGCCTCATTCATCTCACTCTTTGCGCATTTAAGTAGATTTGGAGAGATTATTTACGCGCTTTTAACAGGATCCCCTCCTCCTCCACCTCCTCCACCTCCCTCCTTCCTGTTAACGATTTATTTAGTGCTCCTTCCTCCTGACACTGTATCCTATTCAACAAGGCGATGAATGAATGAAGAGCACTGCTTGAGCTGCAGACAGTGAAGTGTCCACGATGTGTTGGTCCGTCCACCTGCCCGGGAATGAAGAATCGGGACCGTCTTAGTGGAAAGAATAAAGCGAGATGATGATGGAGTTTTTAACCTAGGCTGACACGCTTCAGATGCGCAATGATCAGAGTAAATCTTCAGCCCAACATCACTGCTTTGTCATCGCGTAACACTGCTGGACATCCATGTCGGTGGCGTAAGGTGCGCTGCTCTTAAAGCGAACTGTGTCACAGAGAAAAGAGATGATCAAGATGATTTTGTTTCGTAAATTCCGGGTGTTGATACTCATGGTGTTCCTGGTGGCGTGCACCATGCACATCATGATAGACTTGTTACCGAAGCTGGAGAAGCGAGCGGCGGGAGCGGAGAGCGGGGACGGCGGCTGCCAGTGCGCTCACCACCCGGGCGGAGAGGCGCAGGGCTGGGGGAAGCAGCGCACCAGGTCGGCGGCTGAAGCGAGCTGGCCTAACAAGCACACGCTGAGGATCCTGCAGGATTTCAGCAACGAGCCCAGCTCCAACCTCACATCGCACTCCCTGGAAAAGAACACAGCGGCCGGGGACGGAGCCGAGTCCCTCCGGCGGGCGGGACTGCTGGCGGGGAAGGTGGGGGGCCACAAGCCGCTCATCGGAGACGCGAGCGGGGGTAGGACCGTCCCAGCCCACGGTGTCTCCAGACTCTCCGCTCTGTTTGAGCATCCTTTATATAACATTCACCTCCCGTCTCTCACGGACGAGGACACTTTGTTTAACGTCAACACAGACATCAGGTTTTATACCAGAACGACAGACAACCAAGGATGGTAAGAGAGCCGGGGATCAGTGCAACTTTGAGGGGTAAAAGTGGGACAATCTGGAGAGGAAGGAGGTGTCAGAGAGGGGAGGAAGGAGGTGTTAGTTTAGTGATGGGTTTGGCCTGTACACTTGTATTTATGGATAGATCCTGCTGATGATTTATGATGCTGTCTAAGTTTGTATCCTGGTCTATGAAGGCCCACAAATCATCGATCTGTCTGTCCTGCTGTGATGCCTCTTTGAACAGGATCCAAACCTGCCAGACTTTAACAATCTTACATCTCATTTAGTCCCAACTGTGCAGACACTTGTCCTTCTCATGCCTTTCTCTCTCTCTCTTTCCTTCAGGCACAACGAAGAGGGCAACGAAGAGGAAGAGGAGTTTTCTCCCACCGGAGAGGTGACAGCAGAGTCTTACCCCAACTGGTTACGCTTCCACATCGGCATTAACCGCTACGAGCTCTACTCCAGACACAGTCCTGCGCTGGAGGCTTTACTGAGGGACCTGGTCGCCCAGAGGATCACCAGCGTGGGTGAGTGTTGATGCAGCACAAGAACAGAACGAGCTTAAAGAGCACCTTTGCTAAGAAAACAGTCCTACTGCTGTATTATGTGTCCTTACCTGCTTGGTGACAGTTTCCTGCACTTCCTGTAAGAGATTACTCAGAGGACACCTAATTTGACTGAATGACATCTCAAACCTGTAATCTATGAGTCAGACTGCAGATATTGTGTTTATATATAATCACCAGCATCAAAATGACACATTCTTATTACGTCTGTCCGTCTTCATCAATCTTGTGTTTTTCTTAAACTTAACATGACCTCTTCTGTATCACAGTATCTGTTTAAGAAACCGACCAACTGCTGTTGTGAATGAAAGTCAATTAAGACTCTTTATTGAGGAAGTCGAGGGTTCATGTCGCTCCGGTCACTGTTACTTTGGTGAGGTCTGACAGGCTTGAGCTGTGGATTTATCACTTGGATGCAAATCGATGTTTCTCTGCAGAATTTGAAAACAGTTCGACTTCTATGCATATCTCCAGTGTTGGGTAGTAAGGCTTATGAGATTCCTTCAGTAACGTTGAGTAGAACTTTATTCAGTGACTAAAAATGTAACGATTGTTTCTTTGAGTTCAGTAACTCTGTTTCCGTTACCTAACGTTACGTTACTTCGTTCCTTTCGGTGAGGTTTTACAACGACACACAGTTCCCATAACATTTGAGCGATCAATAAAGTTTTTATTGAGACTGTTTAGTGACTCTTGGTCTCGAATGCTGAGTTAGCTACCTTAGCTGCTAACATGACTCAAACTCAAACAGTCTCTGCAAAAGTAGAGCATTACATTGTTTTGAGGACTTTATACATGCATGCACATTACAGCTGTATGTGAGAAGGAGGCCGCCATGACATACATCTGTCCCTACGTGTGCTTTTCTGCTTGCATGTGCAGGTTTATTAATCTGTGCACAGTGGACTTTCCTCTTGGGAGCTTGTCAAAGACCCAAACAGAGTATATCAATGTCTCCTCGTTGATATACTCACATTATCGTCAACTCAAGAGCAAAACAACATTTCGGTAACATGTAAACTGGGTCTCGGGTCAGCGATCTACTGAAGCACCTAGAGGAGCGGCCTGCTTCGACTAAGTTAGCAGCTAAGGTAGCTAACGCAGCATTTGAGACCGAGAGTCACAGCAGCGAGGACACACCCACTCCACCTTTTGGTTTAAATAACTGAGTTACTTTTTTATGAAGTAACTGGTAACTGTAACTAGTTACTATTTTTCAGTAACTAGCACAATACTGCATATCTCCCATATTTACAGAGCCATAACATAGCTTCTTTGGAAAAATGAACTATCCACCTCAGAAGACACTGTTAAGAAATAGTCATTTGGCTCAGTGTGTCGATGAGGTTAAAGTGAGACAAAAGGAGCAAAGACTGAGAGCTAGTCCAGGCAGGATATATTCACACTCCCCTTTTTGAGGCCCTGTTTATACATACCTGGTTATTTTTAAAAACGGAGACATGAACCATCGTTTGCACCCTTCTTTAGACACAAATGGAGAATTCACCTCTGAAACCTCTGCTCTTTAAAAACTCCAGCCAGAGTGGAGATTTTGGAAAACTCTATTTGCACGTTTGCATGTAAACAGAGATGGAAACTGGATCAAATATGACCTTGTTTACAATCTACAGTCTCTGTTTACAATCTGTGGTGATCATGGATGCATGCAGAATAGCAGTCGCTTTATGCTGGTGCAATCCCTTTATATTTGTTTGAATTTGCATCTTTTTCAAAAGAAGGAAGTGACGCTGTTGTTGTTGCTTTGCGGGATTCTGATTGGCTAACATGGGCTTGAGCTTCTTGCTACACTGCCACCTACAGGTTTGGCATGCTCTTGAGGAGTTAGTGTAAACGAAAACTTTTCTGAAAAGGTAGTGGTGTGCAGTAAGGCTGCACGATATTGGAAAAAAATAATATTGCGATTTTTTCAACCCTGCGATATATATTGCGATATTAAAAATACAGTATTTTCACCAGATGACCTGAATAACACTTAATGTTATGCTGCACTGCTGAAATCTTGAGGACAGTTAATCTGCTCTGATCTTACCTCTTTTTGTGAATGTTAGTAGAACGGCTTCTGTCTGTCTCATAGATATTTTTAGCTTTTATTGTGCTGGGACGTTATTGTGGCAACAGGTGAACACAGAAGACGTGTTTTGGTCGACATCATCCTTCTTTTAACCGAAATAATTCCAGATAACTGACTTTCCTTTTCTTTTTGGCAACAAATCTTCATTTTCGGTGGTTTTCGCTTGTTCGTTGTTCATTTTGCGATCGTTGTTGTTGTTGTTAGCGGTGTTGTGCCGAGAAACGCATGTCCTCCGAGAATTGCATGCACCTCGCAAAACGCGCACTGCTTATAGTAGAGTGGTCCACGGAAATGTACAATTTAAAACCCATACAGTTCTTATTTGTTGGGCTTAATAGTCATAAGTAAAGTTCCGAAAGTAATTCTCAGCGGACACACGTCTCCCTCCATGTGCAGAACATGTGCAGGGGTGGGTTTTCTCCTCCCTGATTTTGATTGACAGCTGGCAGGGTAGTCTGATTGGCAACTGAGAAGTGAGTCTGATTGGCAACTGAGTTAAGGACGAAGGCGATTGGTGGATTGCTGCACAGCACATGCAGAGTCACATGGAGTGTATCTCAGTCGGTTACCCTTGAAATTAAATGAGTTCATTCACCTCCAATATCGCAGGCTCTGCGATGTGACTATCGCACACACGTACATCGCGATGACGATAGTCAAACGATATATCGTTCAGGCCTAGTGTGCAGGCGTTTTTTTTTTTTTTTTGTAAAGGGAGAGGGTGAAATGTCCATTTCTGCAAATAGCCAGGCACGTGTAAACATAGTCTAAGGCTGTGATCACACCACAGGTCAATTCTGATTTGTTCTAATCTGACCCAGGCCTCTTTTGTATGTGGATATAAATCAGATATGTATCTGATGTGACTGCAGGACGCTCAGGTCGCGATCATCCGACCTATACGTCATCAATATGCGACAAACATCACTGTTGTTCAACAACACAAACAGGCGCGGAAAGGGGGTCACTTCACGGACGCATTCCATTTACATTAGATGCTGCATTCGTTGTTGTAAATGTGAACGACCGCACAAAAAGATCGGATTTAACAAAAAATCCGAATTGTGGATCATAACCTGCAGTGTGAACGTAGATTAAAAGTCCATTTAAGCTCCATCATGTCCTGATCTGCTGCCCATCAGCGCTTCTTCTGCATGCATTGTTTCAATTCTGCATCCACCTGCAGGCACCAAGGGAAATAAAAAAAACTCTCTTATCACAGTTCAGACTTTAAGTGTCTAAAATAAATCCAAACATGGAGCCTCGACACCAAACTCAAACAGTCTCTGCTGCAATATATGAAACCTGCTCTCTGTTTTGCAAAAGTGGAGCATTATATTGTTTTTTAGGACTTTATTTATGCATGCACATAACAGCTGCATGTGAGAAGGAGGCCACCATCACACAGATCTGTCTCTACATGTGAGTTTCTGCTTGCATGTGCAGGTTTATTAATCCGTGCACAGTGGACTTTCCTCTTGGGAGCTTGACAAAGACTCAAACAGTGTATGTTTATCAAATGACGTAGCTGTTGGGGTACGCCAGAGGAGTCCAGTTGGGTTATGAAATCCTCAACATTGACTCAGTGCATGCACTCAAAGAGAGGATGGAGATCTAAAGGCTCCAAAAGCATCTTCAGATGTAAAAAAAAGAGCTGCAATGCAAAAAGTTTCCAGTCGTCTTTGCCGTCTTGCCTGAATATCCGATTCCGTCTGTCATTTGCATATTCTATAATCAGGAAAAAGTGCAAATTATATGCAAAAAAAAAGAGCATTCAGAGATGAAGCTGCAGTCGCTGCTCTGAAAAGCTGTTAAACTTGATTTCTGCAGGTTCTCCTCCTCTTCTCAGACAGATTTCTGCTTTTATTCACAGTCTGAAGTGAAAATGTCAATATTTGTCAACATGTTGGCCATTCTCCTATGATCATATGTACGCTAAATATCTTATCGTATCTGTGGCTCTTTGTTCGAGGAAGAGTCATTGTGCTCCTTATTGACACTGTCTCCTCTGTCTCATTGTTATTAGGCCCTCCATCTCTCAGAGTCGTTCATTCAGCCCACACTGACTCCAGTAGTTTCTGTGTTTTTGTCCCCTGTGTTTATAAGATATAAAGCATCAATCTGCGCCCAGACACACCTATAAATACACACACAGTCTGTCTGCTGCATAGAAAACCCGTTCCAGTGTGTGTTTGCGGCTCCAGAAGTATGCATTAAAGCTTTCCTGCCCCGTAATTGGTGCGCACACTTACCACTTATCTGTCTCACTAGAATGACAAAAACAGAGACGGCATTAGAAAGTTTCCCTCATCAGCGTTTTCTGCACGGTAGGCCTTGTCTCTGTTTGTCTCTCTCTGCTGGGGCGGGCCTGCATGCAGCCTTTTGTTCAGTCTCCTCATAAATCACACGCACAGTACGGCGCTGAGGCCCAGGTGAGAGCCGGGTGGATTTATCATCACAGCAGGGGGATGGGAGTGGGGGGATTCTGATGGCGTGGAGCTTTCTCTAAGAGCGGAGAACATGAGGGTTTAGCAAAGACGACGCGGGTATCGATTCATTTGTGGAGGAGAGATGTATCGCGGGATCAGCGCGTACATGTTCGGAGACAAAAGAAAGGTCCAGTCTGGTTGAAGTCATGGTAGATTACATGTCAATCCTGAGAAACAATCAGCTGATCGTGTTTGTGCGAGATTACCTTTTGGAGAAACAAAAGTTTTATAAACGTCCAGCTTTGAATCGAGGTCAGTCCCTCCAGGATTGTGGCTTTACGGGTTCAAGTTCAGCGGTTTAAAGATTACTCCAAATAGGGGGCGGCGTTCGCTTGACCCAGCTGCGTCCAAATCGGCCTCTCGCTCTCGGTCAATCATCCCGCTTGATATCTATCAACCGCGGCGAAGGAGACGCGCCGAAGTGAGGTTGTTGTGTTGTATTTCTTGCAGCGGAGTAAGTTGAATACAAAAGCTTTTGAAAAATGAGTCACAGTAAATCGGGGGAGCTTGCCAGCAGTGAGTAAGACAAAATGAGACAGACAGAGCAGAGCAGAGATAATATGAGGAAAAGGATGACACATCCGAAGACGACAGAGGAACAAATTAAAAAAGAAGAGGATGAAAGTCTGTAAACACAAAAGACGGCTCTGCACAGGGGGTCAAGTGCAGCAGCTCCTCAGCCAGAATGTGGGTCCACTACAGGGGGCTTATGTTGATATTGGGGTTAGGCAGAAGCGCCGCGTTGTGTAATATGCTCAAGTTAATGCGCTGTAATAAACGGGCAAATCCCCTGAAAGCCTGTCCATTATGACAGAAACACAAGGCGTTTAGACAGGCCTGGCGGTTCCCTTTGTTTGAGCGGCGAGCCCACAGTGAGTCTCCGTCAGCCTCTGGGAGACATCGTGGACATGACGGATAGTCCGAGACATGAGCCCCCTGGCTTCTTTCCCGGGGCCGCAGGAGGTCAGTGTGCGAGCGAGCGGGAGATAAAGAAAAGTGGTCGTAAAGAGTCGCACAAGTAATCACTGAAAGTGTGTACGAGCCGTGTGGGCTTACAGTGAAACATCTGCTCAGAATCAGGTCTGTTGTGCAATCGGTGCAAATGTGCACACACACGGATGGAGCAGGACGGCGGCTTGGGTCAGCTCTGGAAACACAGAGAGAGAGAGAGAGAGAGAGAGAGAGTGGGATCACAATTGAGTATTTTGTTTTCTGCTGGTTTTAGTGGACCAGAGAAAATCCCACAATCCCCCAGAAAGCTTTGGATCTGTGGAAAAGTCGGTACCTGATCTTCAGGCCTTCAGGCGGAACATGACTCTGCAGGAGAAATCACCGCATGGGCTCAAAGTCGTCTCCATAGTTTGTAGGTGGATCTACAAAGGCGCAAATGAGCAAATGCTGGAAACACTCAGAGCTCATTTAAAGGGATATTCCGGTGTAAATTTAAGGTATGATCAGACACACCGTAACACAGAGTCACCCTGAATTTCCACTGCATCTGGATCAGCTCCAATACGGGGATTTCAGCTGTCCGCCAATTCCTACTGGATCCGTTTGTGAGGGGAATGTTGCTGACTGCTTGCTTCTCTAGTTTTACCAACTTTAGTAATGACCACAGGATAGTAATACACAGCAGGGAGCCCTGACGAGTCGATCACCAAGTGCAGCGGAGTTTCGCAGCTCAAGGAAGAAAATTTATGATCATTACTTCATGGAAATGATCCGCTGTACTCGTCAGGGCTTCCCCACAAACAAGCGGTTGCTGGAAGAGAGTAGGTGAGTTGTGTTAAGTCTCTTTTCTAAAGAAATGAGTCAAAGTCATAAAGATGTTTGGTGTCTAGTACTATGGCTGTGACCCTATATGTCCTGTTGATGAAGTTAGGTGCTGTTCTGAGCATTATTTGTGGCTATAGAGTGGTGTTTTGGTTGAGGTTTGTTTGTGGCTCCTCAGACAGCTGTGTATTGCTATCATGTGGTTGTTACTAAAGTTGGTAAAACTAGAGAAGCAAGCAGTTGGCAACATTCATCTCTCAAGGAGGTGTCTAACTCGGTGTTATGGTGTGATTGACCATGACTGAATTTTATGCCGAATATCCCTTTAAGATGAAACTTTGACATCCTTTTTGGAAATCGTGAATACTGTGTCTTCTGCACTGTAGATGGATAGTAGGTTTTTTAATGGATGCATCAGCGCCTACAGCGTGGCTAGTTTACGCACCTCAATGAAAAACTCTCTCCTTGTTGTTTCCTGTTTGATTTTTTGTCTCAAAGACACGAAAATATCAATTTCAGCCTCTTTAAAACAATCTGAAAACAATCTAAATCTGTTTTTCTCCTTCTCTGGTGTCCCAACTTTTTGGAATAGAGTTATAAAAAAAAAAAACTCATCTTTTCTGTGTTTCTCAGAGCAGCGTGTGTTTTTTTAAGACTCTTCCACGCTGCAGGATCTACCGTGGATTTTCATTCCTTCATCAAACCCACAGCTAGTCTTTGTTTCCAGCAGATGCTTTTCATAAAGCTTCCTGCTCACAGCCACACCCTCCTCCTCCTCTTCCTCCTCAGCGTCTGATAAATTGGTCAGCAGATGTGATGGCTCTATTATGCATTCATGCAAAATTGCATTCTCCAAATTGGCAGATAATAAAACATCTGCGCGTTTACGGTGCGACTTTGTTGTGTGTTTATGTCCGGCTGTGCGCGTGTTTGATGATGCTTCAAACGCTGATCTAACATCTTGATTGCTTTCCTTCCAGCCATGAAATCAGGCGGCACCCAGCTGAAGTTGATCCTGACTTTCCAGAATTACGGACAAGCGCTCTTCAAACCCATGAAGTAAGTAACGCTGCAAAATACATCCACATATCAACTTCAAGAGGGGTTTCTGCGCCCTACACTCACACTCACACACATCTCAGATTTCTGCAGATCTACATTTGCATCAAAAATCTCTTTGATTCACTCGGTTTGATGCGCCCACTTGGACGACATACGTTTCAAGAGCGCTGCAGAAAATCTCATCTGCCAAAGAGCGCCGCTGCATCTTCCAGTGCGTTTGCGACGCGCAGCTCTCCCCTCTGTGTGATCTTCGTCTGTCTGCTTTTTAATTAACATCAACGGGCTTATGTGTTAATTAAAATGAGCATTGAGCCGTCGTGAAGACGTCTTCGGGGACGGCGTATACGCTGGCAAACGCACATGAAAAAGAAATGCCCTCCCTTTCAGCTGCCTGAGTTTTGCCCGATGGATTCCCACAACGACACGGATAAACAGTGTCCAGGCCAACTGGGCTGTGATCAGAAGTAATTGCTCAGGAGTCTGGTTTGATTGCTATGAAATGTAGAATGTTTTTTTTCGACATGAAAGCGTCTGAGGAGGAAATGAGAGAAAAGAGAGAAAGAGAGGCAGACAGAGGGATGAGGCAGTAGGCAGCGAGGGTGTTAGGCGGTTGTTTGCCCGAGTGTTGCTCATGAGACTCTAAGTATGACATCTTGACAACCTGCACAGGTGTGGAGTGTGATGATTCAGAGTGAAGAAGCCCACCACCACCACCACGCAGGCCGGAGTCACATTAGTGGGATTATGAACGGCTCAGGTCTGTCAGTTCAGCTTGAAAATGAACGTCTCTCTAAGGCTGAAAAGTTCACCCCAAAACTCCTGACCTCGAGTTTGACGCTTCGATCTCCTGCTCAGCTTTATTTTGACCTGAGTGCTGCTGAATCACTGCAAACAAACGCAGACGCTCAGATTTAGAGTCATTCTTCTGTGGCCCATATCGAGGTTGTTCAGCAGCTGGAAATCAGAAGAAGATGCTAACTCGTTCTCTGACCTAAAAAATGGCGCCTGTTTCTTTATTGTGGTTTTCATTCATGCAAACATTTCAGGCGTCAGTGGCGTTGATGTCTCTGACAGCTGAATCCAACCTGAGTGTGTCAGAAGCTGTGGCTTTCAGGGACTGCAGAAGGTCTAAGAGCTGGATCTGGTCTGGAAGTTTGCTGTTTGCGTACATGTAAAAGGCTCATTTATGCTCGCTGTACATATGGAAATGAAAGCGTCTTTTTCAAACAATGGTTCCGTCACTGCCCACATACTTCCTTGCGTCCTTTACATTGGCATGGATGTTAACCATTTAATCCAGCAGGAGCTCGTGATAATGTATATTTAGCATAGGAGACAGAAACGGAGGCAGCATTGGAGGAGGTGGTATTGGTCAGGCCACTGAATGACTTGTAGTTGGAGGACGGAGAATTCTTTTATGTAGTAGTACCGATGAGAGAAACTGACAACGATCCTTAAAAAGCTCGCCATTGTCTACTTCGGGTAGTGATGGCAGCAACACTGCCCCCATGGTTTCCGGTGGTACTGCTCCGTCTGGCCCGTATCCTTAAACTCAGATGATGAGCAGCTTAGTTAGGGTGACCATACTTCCTCTTTTACCCGGACATTTCCTTTTTTGGGGGCTGTCCGGCTTTGTCTGGGAAGTTTATAAAATCCTTCAAATGTCCCCGTGCTGTACGTAAGTTTCAAGTTTGTGTCACGTAGACTTTCTGAGTTAGAAATTTGTAAAAGACACTTGATCCAACCCGAAAAACTCTCAACATTAACTTTGTGCGACTCCCTGACTCCACCCGCCTTATTCGTGTCCTCTTTTTAAGAAGTCAGAATACGGTCGCTAGGGTTGGGACGATATGCTTTTCTCCCGATTCGATTCTTCTTCTATTTTTTTGGATGCCAATTCGATTTAAATTGCGAATCTATGATAATGTCGATTTTCTATATTTAGTCTGCATTTTTAACAACAGTGAAACAGTTAAATGTTTATGATTGTCTACTGACTTTTCCAGGAACCATATATCCCCAAAAAATATACATGTTAGTCAGTTTTTAAGATCTGTTCTTAAATTTGAAAAAAAAAAAAAAAGATTTTTGAACATAAAAATCGATTTGAAAATTGTAAAACAAAAATCCCGATACTTCTGTGCATCGATTTTTTTCTCCTCCCCCTAATGGTCGCCCTAGCTTAGTGTTGCAGAGGCTGTCAGAGATATTACAAACAGAACACGGATATAAACCTGAGAAATGATTGACTCCTCTTTAAACATCATATTCAAACAAACCTTTAAATGACTGAAATATTAAATCTCTCGTATCAGATGTCTGTGGGTCCAAATGCTGATATGATCAAGTTTCCTTCTCTGTGATTTTCATGTTTAACCTCAGATTAGGTTCTGAACTTTGCATAAACCGTATTCGCCGTGTTTCAGATGCAGATTTCTTACAGTAGATCTGAAGCAGAGCGGTCCGTCTCAGTAGCTGTCAGAACCCGTCCTGACAGTAATTACATGTCAGCTTCTGAATTATATGCTACAGATTCCTGCAGCTCTTTATTTAGCCTGTCATATTTTATTCAAAGTTGCTGCTTTGACTGTGGCGCTCATCTGTCTCCAGTGTTTACAGATATTATGCAAAAGTCTTCAGAGCGGAGAGACGAAAATATCAGAGTTTTCAGGCAGGGATAGTGTAAAAAGGTAACCTTTGTTCTACTTCTGTTTCCCTGTCATGGCGCTGACGCGTCCTACTTTTATTTTGGGAGCTGTGATGCATTCTGGGTACAGTAGTTCAGAGTGGTGCGGTGTGGATCTGTTTTTCCTCACCTGTCCCATTGTGCAGCGTGAAGTGGAGCTTCAAAGAGACTTTGATGTTACAGGGCTCCTTTGAGCTGAATGCAAATCTGTAAACCGGTACGGACCAGGAGACCGCACCAGCTGACAGCCTGCCAGACACCTCCACTCGCTGTTTCTCACCGTGACGCTCAGGGAGGGAAAAGTTGGAGCGTGATTTTATCTCTCTGAGTAACTCTGTGATTGGCTTCAGTAATTTCAGGGGGGAAGAAACACCGGATATTCAGTGTTTTACAGAGTATTTTCTTCGATTCTGACACTTTGTCCTCCGAGCACCAACCAGCAGTTTCTAGTTTTATTTTAGCTCAGTTATCTTTACTCTGGATTTGATTATCTTCAGTTAGAAGCTAATATATCAACAGATATTAAATGATTATCTTTGACTGACATTGCAGGATCTTCATAGGCTGCAGCTGACCTCGGGTTAAAGTGCAGCAGTTCTTCGACTTTGGCTTTGACTCTTTGCTGCAGAAGTTTCAATAATTCATTTTAAGGGCTAGACCGATAATAATTCTGTTAACTCGTCATTGATTATTTACCCACTGAGCAATAGACGTCTAGTTTGTTTTAGACCTAATTTCAACCGTCTAGATTATGTATATTTTTAGACAGAATTCATAAATTGCACTTTAACCCGTTATTCGATAACTATTGATTTCAAAAAGTAACTGTGAGTTGCATAAATGATTTCCAAGTACTTAACCAAAATAATTATGATAGTCGTTGAGCAGTATACAGTGTAGTAAAGATATAGGCCAGATTTAGACTTGGTCTGAACTTGGTCTAGATTTAGACGTTGAAAAAACTTTAATTTTTAGACCTGTGGTAGCCTGATTTCTGACCAGTTGTCTAGACTACATTGAGACGTCTATTAGACCAAAAAATGCTCAGTGGGTAGGAGCGAGTCGACTAACTCGCATGACAAATTAAACAATAACTTTGAGTCTGATTAAGCGATCAGCATTAGGACTGCAACGATTAGTTGACATTGTCGACAAAAATCGATAATGAAGAAGGTCGACCATGAATTCAATCGTCGACTATTGTTGCCAGACGTGTTTTTCCAGTGGAGTGAGGCGTCTTACTTCATTACGATCTCTGCCTAGAGTCACACAAACTCCAAAGTTTGGGAGCGCTTCAGCCTAGAGACAAAATAACTCGTATTATGACAGTCTGTAGGTGATACATGAACATGTCCGATTAGTCGACTGTTAAAATAGTTGTTTCCGCACATGTTCCTCCTTCAAGCTCTAAATGAAGTAAACTGAATCCATATGAGACTAGTTTGGACGTGTAACACGGTTACTATAGCAACACTGTAAGAGTTAGCTCCACTTTTATATGTTAAGAGAGGAGGAAGATTTAAAGGTTAAACTCGGACTGTTAATCTGATGTCCAACAAACTGATCTTCTCCCCTGATAAACCAGCAGTCGTCCTCTTTGCAGAAATGGAGTTAAACTGTAAAAGTATGAAGGAAATGTAGCAGTCCTGCAGTTTTTGCATGTTTGCATTTTCCAAAATCAAAAATATGTCATTTCTCAGTAACTTATCTTACGATGTTTTCCTTCACCTGTTGCTTCTTGGCTCCTTTTTGCATGCAAAGATAGGAAGGATGCAAGATGTCTCACTCCTCTGCAGTATCATGATGCTTGAAAATACAAATCAAAGATACGTTTGAGTGCATCCTGGTCTTTTCAGGTGATTCTAAGAAGTTAATAAATAGAAATATAAAGTTGCATTGACTTAGAAACTCATATGACGGACTGAGTTTCAGAACCAGCCCAGTTTTCTGAAAGTTAAAGGTTATTTTTGAGTCCTCCAAGAATCTAATAATCAAATATCTGCAGAAATAATCAATGATTCATAGAGATCATGAATATAAAGTGAAGAAACAGATCTGAAATGGTTGTTGGACTTTAGAGAAAGAAGAGAAATACGATAAATCATCTTGTGAAAAGAGACAGAGTCTGTGTTGGACGACAAACGAGAAGAAGAGCTAGACCAGAGGGTGGGGGAGCGGTCTTCACTGCCAACTTGTCAAGGAACCGGCTCTTCCAGCTGGAGCCAGGTTACATGCGGGGCTGAGACCCTCCATGCCAGGCCTCCATGTCTGTCTGGCTCCTGTCCCTGGTGCCGGTCCCACCCGTCCACTGCCAAGATCCCGGTTTATGGTGTGTACACAGAATGTTCATGTCATGCTAATTGGATTTGTCAGATGGATGGTCGGGGGGGATTGCAGAAGGAGGTGTAAGCCTCAGATATGCAAAGAAAGACTGAATTTCTCCATCACTCTGTCTGACAAACACGTTTCCATCCCCCTCTCTTTGATCGTGCTGATCGTCTCAAACGCTTCATGCATCGAAAAAATATCACAGAAACAACGACGACGACTTTGATCGTCTCTGTTTGTTGTTGTTTACATGCTACAGCTGTGCCAAGAGCCGCACCATCAGGGGGCTCGTTGCATGTGAAGACATGTGCTAGAACATATATGTAGGACACACATGCCCCTCCACACCGTGGGGACTCAGGATGCATCCTCCTCTTCATGAACTCGACCCGTTTTGACAAGCGTGAGCTCTGAGCGCCAGCGAGGTTAGCCATGGAGAGCGTTCGCTGCAAAACCCAAGAGGCTTCTGGGATTTTATATCATCCACAGGCTGTTTCATCATCACAAGTCTTATAATAAGCTCCGCGTCAGAGTTCAGTTCTGACTGACGTTCCCTTTGGATCCCGTCCGCAGATTGGAAACCCACTGGGAATGGAAGCCTGTAATATCCCGCGGAGACCGCCTCTTCCTGCTCTGGTTATTAATATGATCATGAAAGATTGATGATTTCATTATTGATCTCTGTGCATTCATGTAAAGTGCAGGTAGATACAGAGCTGCTCATAAACCCCCTTTTTTTTACGGCTTGTGGTCTTTGTGGAGATTACCTGCTGACTGCGAATATTCCCTCCGCCTTTTAATCTCCGTCAACCGCAGAAATCTTCAATCCCTTCGCCAAGATTACAATCTTGTAAACTCGTGACCAGATAACAAGCATCTGCGGACCGAACGGCAACAAGAGCTGCTTTCACAGATTGAGTTGTCTCTCACGTCGCTCGCAGACGTGCTCGCAAATCATGAATAGAAACCCAATGAGAGCATAATGGTATCAGATGACAGACAAAAGCGAGATCACACGGAGCGTCTGCAGATCCATCCTGATCCTTGCAGGCCTCTTTGTAAAGAACCTTAATATCTTACTTCATGGATAGGATTACACGCAAACACACACATGCATGCATGCACAGAAACACACAGTTAATCCCTGCTGAATTTCTCTTTATGGCTGAATAGACATCTTTTCATCTGCAGCCTTTTCAAACTAATCCATCAGTGTCGACGTCGGCCTTTTTAATTATTTTGTTGTCACTCTTGGAGGATCTTCAACTGTTTTATAACCTTAAGAATCTGAACAACGCCACCAGCCGAGGGTAACGTACAGCAAGTGGGAGGTTATGTCTCGTCTAACACCGGTTTCATAACGAGGAAGGCGCCCAAAGGGAAAGGAATGATGACAAAGCCATCACAGTGTCTCCTTTCATTCTGTCATTTCAGAGCAGGAAAGTTAAGCCGAAAACACACAGGATCCGTATTGAGCGCGTAGAGCAGCGTTGGGTATCACATACAGGATCTCAATTTGGAGCGTAGCAGCGGCGTAGTGCAGCTCCGGTCAGCTGGGCTCAGTATAGAGGAAACAACAACATGCTCACAACAGGTCGTTTTTCCTTTCTGTGGTCGATTTCCTGTTGAGCTTCTACTATATGAGAAAAAGCTTTAAGTGATTTCACAGTTTGGGTTTTTGCAGGTTTACTCGTGTTTAACTAAATTTAACTATGTTTCTTTATGCTGTTACCTTCAGACAGAGTCAGCAGGTCAAAGTCCTGTTGGGGTCCACATGGATCAGGGATTGACCAACAGATTGTTTTGTATTACCGATAAATCCATTACCAGACAGTAAAGTTCACATATGGTGTTTTATTTTGAAATACCAGATGACACGTGACTTTTTAGTGCTTGACTTCCTGCCTAGAACAACTTTCTCTGTGTGGACTGACGGTCATTGGAAGCGTAAAGCAGCAAAAATCAACTCGCCACGTATCTTTAGCAGAGCTGCTCTCGATACAATGCAGCGACGGAGCTGATATGCGTCCTGTACGCTTTGCTGCAATGATTAGAATGGAAACCTATTTGCTGCATGACACTGCTGCTACGCTCCAAATAGGCGTCCTGTATGTTTTAGCCTTTACTCCTTGTCTGCAGTGAATGCATGAATGCATGAAGGTGTAATGGTGCGGCAAAATCGTACTAATTCTGAGGTAGTGTGTTGCTTTGGAGCTGCAAGGGCGGAACAGTACTGTGTGTGTGTGTGTGTGCATATGTAGTGCTCCAGAGAAAATAACTGATCAATTTACAAGTTCTGCAAAAGAAAATCTTCTTATTTGGGTCATGCACAAGATTGTTATGCCAGTTTTTTCTGCATATGCAAATGTGGAGCATGATTACAAGAAAGATGCAGGAAGTCTTTGGATCAAATCAATCAGCCGCCTCTAATTTTAAGAGCTGAGGTGAAAATATTCCTGACATCACGTCTGATTTTTTTATGTTCATTGTCTGCGATTGTTTCCTTAAAGAGCTCCCAAGGGGAGCGTAAGAACGCCGCTGGCTCTAATGAGTCGGACACGCTGTGGAGAGGTGCCGTCTGAGCTCATCTCTGGGTGTGTGCGCAGATGAAGCATGTCACTACGGACAGCTGTTCACCGCAGCAGCTGCTGCTCACACACACACACATGCAGACACACAAGCCGCAAAGAGCAGGAAGCTGTGGGGGTAACAGAGTTCGTGCACCCTCTGTCACCCGGGGCCAACGCTGTAAAAATCTGCTGCTGCTGGAGCCGACCACTCAGAACTGAAGATGATGTTTGCTGCAGAAATCGAGATTCATTTTCTCTTAAGTCAAAATCTTTTGTTTTGAAAGTCATGAAGAGTCACTCTTTCAGCCTCGCCCTGGTCTGTGAGTCAAACAGGAAGTTCACAGCGAATACTCTGACCTCAATCGTGTTTTTTTTTTAAGAGGAGGCCTCAGCTGTCCCCTCCATCTTTCCACTCACTGATCAGTTATGTAAACTCTGGCTGCACGACTTTGAGCCTGCAGAGCCGATCTTGGCAGAGACAGGCTCCTCAGGTTTTCATCAGCCCCCTCACTGCGCCGTCCTGGCAGCGGAGCGGCCTCGCCGTCGTCCCATTGAGTCCGCTCATGTCGCACAAGCACGGCAGACCAATCAGCTGGCAGAGGACGGAGAGGCACGGGGTGCCAAGCAATTTGTCAGACCTGGCTGTTGAAATCAATGACAATCTGCGGAGAGCAGGTGTGGTTTGTTCATGAGCGAGAAGGACAGGGGAGGAGTGAGTGTGTGTGTGTGTGTTTGTGTGTGTGTCTGTGTGTGTGTGTGTGTGTGTGCATTCAGGATGCATATTCCTCTAAGACGCTCCTCTCTTAAAGCTTTGTTGATTCACCCAGAATGCATCTCTCTGTTTGTATCTGTTAGTGTGAACATGACAGTTTGAGAGAAACTGTTTCGACAGGTTTGTGTTTATAAATCTGTAGAAGAAGAGAAGAAAGACGTCAAAACAGGATCGAGTCAGATCTTTGACTGATGCTGAGAGACAGTGAGAGGATGCCTGACAGTGAATCCACATAAAACCAGCATAGAGGTAAAACCAGCATCCTAAAGACTGCTCCTCTGCCACTGCACGGATTGCAGAACAAAATCTGGATGCATTAATCCTTGATAGGGCTGCACGATTAATCGATTTTGAATCAAAATCTGTTGTTAAAAAATTAGAATCCTCAAATCGATCATGTCTCCTCCAGAAGCGCTCCCCAGCTCCCACTCACACCAGTGTAAACAAACATGGCGTTTGCAAAAGAAGGCGATAATTTCGTTGCTAAATAGGACAAGAACAAGTCAGTCGTGTTGAATTGGTACAACTTCGCAGTTTCGGACGAAGAGCAAACCACTGCTCGCTTCAAAGTCTGTCTGAAGGCGGTATCAACCCATCACCACGGAAACAAATTCGGGAGTAAACGCTAAAGTTTTTTTGTCGTATCGGCGTTTCATCCACACAGATGACTGTCAATGGTCAGAGAGTGTATAAATCCGTAAACGACGACCATTTCATCTCCATGTGGATGTCTATCTGCATCTCTGAAAACGATCATGTGACACACAGCGTAACTCTTTTAGGGCACCAAAACAACCTTAATACACATGCTCTGTACTCTTCTTCTGTCTTTTGTGTATTTCCTCTGCAGCATTATAGCGCCACTTACTGGCTTGGCATATGCACCACATCATTTTTAGTGGTTTCATTTTGAGAGACGATAGAAAGTCGTTTTATTCAAGTGAAGTTTGGAGAAGTTGTCACAGAATAAAAGATGGAAAATGGAGTTTTCGGGATTTTACTCTGAAGTTTTTTCCACAGTGTCAACAGGCAGAGGTTCAACTTCAGCTGAACTTGTGACCTAGTTGCAGCATTAACAGGATTCTTCTTCTGTGATTTGAAGAAAGTTTCTTTGAATGCGGTGAAGCAGAGCCTCAGAGTGTCAAGGTTTCACTGACAACCATCACAGTCTCTCCCGCTCACACGTTAGCTTCCCCGCCTCTGAACGGGGTCAAGGTCAGAGCAGCTGCTCAGGTGAAATCAAAGCTTTCTTATCAGAGACGTTACAGACGTATCTCACTCTTTCCTGGAAACTAATCCGACACCGAGAACTTCCAAAGCAGGCATTGTCTTCTGCGTTCCCCTCCCCGCCTCCCTGTTTCGTTTTATTGTCTCTCACGCACTCGCAGAGAGAGCGCTCCGGTGTCATAACATCTGTTCCTCGTGTAGCTTTGTTCTCGCAGCACCAGCAGCTTGTCTTTTAACTCCGGGCACGACCGACTCCCTCCGCCGCAGCTCCTTCAGATCAATTCGTTTTTTTCGAGTCGCTTTAATGTGGCGTAGGTTTGCTCGTCTTACACCGCCCCCTCCTCTCCTCTTCCAGCGTGTCCTGACCTCTTTCCCTCTTTTACTGGATTTACCAAAGATCTTAAAGCCGTTTCTCTTTTACACTCACATGTTTTTATATTTGACAGTCCTTTTGGAAATCATGGACGCCGTCACCTCCTCTCCGATCTGAACCTCTCCCACAGCGCCTCGTTGTTGCCGTGCGAACAATGTGATGTGGGCTGTTTGCATGTGTTCAAACTGGAAGTGTTAATAGCTGGGTAACCATGCATGTAGTTTTACAGTGTGTGTGTGTGTGTGTGTGTGTGTGTGTGTGTCCGGTGTAGTCAGTGTGTGGGCGCTGTGATGTGTTGACCTCTCGTAGGCTGTGAGATGAGCCGCTTAATTAGTGCGATGCTTTAACCAGCTGCTTTCAGAGGTCTGTCACATCTGCCTCGTCATGAGCACGCACACACACACACACACACTCTCAAAACACACACACACACACACACACAAACACACACACACATATATATTCATTTATACTGTGTGAGGATTTGAGTGATTTTGGTGACGTCTCTCTAAAGTCTGCTGCTGAGTTTCACCGTCTGATGTTTTAATTGAAGTGTCACTCATGTTTGCGCGTTCTTCCGCTCATTATCTCGTTGTACGTCTGGTTGTTAAAATGTGCGTTCGGGTCCCGTGTTCCTCTTCCTCTCTGCCTCGCTCTTCGGCGTCCCCTGTTTGTCGTCTCTTCTCGTTTTGATCGATTCCTGACACACGCAGACTCGAGTAAAATCAGAGGGCCGTCTTATTTTAACTCTCATCTCTCATGAATGTTTTACTAGGTCAACTCTCATCACCGCCACTCCCCATTCCTCCATCCTTCTCTCTCTCTCTCTCCGTCTCCACCTCCCCGTTTCTGGACTTGTTTGTTTGACTCGCTGAGGCGGCGCTAATCCTCGGCTTGTCCCTCTCCTTCCCGTTCAGAGCCTGTCGCTCTGTATTTTTAGATCCTCTCCGTTTTCTCCCTCTCTGTCTAACAAGTGTTTATGCTCTCTCTCTCTCAGAGTAATGTGGCGGAGCCGTGAGTACCCTAATCTTAATGTGATTACGGGACAACTCAGTTTCTCGAGATGATACTGTGAGTGATGTGTGTCCGTGTCTCTCTGTGCTGAATGAGCTCACGGAGGAAAACGTGCATGAGGGGAAATCCAATTATCACAAATCTAGGTCTTATATTGTCTGATAATGTGGACATTTGAAGCAGTTTTCTTACAAACACGGTGGAGGAACATGAGTGAGAAGCAGAAGGAGGAAATTATTTGAACAGAGGTGCAGATAAATCTCAGCCAAGGACTTCAGGAGTCTGTTGAGAAGAAGTTGGAGGAGAGCAGAGGCCAGAGAACCTGGTGGAGATCATAAATTCCTAATAAAGGGTACACTGAAGGGCAAAACCTCACAGCCAGTATAAAAAAGTCTTTGTTTGTTCTGCTGTGAGGTAGGGCTGAAACGATTCCTCGAGTACCTCGGTTACAAAAAATGATCAAGGAATTTTCTCTGCCTCCAGTACCGTATTTTACAGACTATAAGGGGCACTTAAAATCCTTAAATTTTCTCAAAAATTGACAGTGCGCCTTATAATCCAGCACACCTTATGTATGATATGGGGGGTAGTTGCTGATAGGGCTGATTCATACTCTGAAGTTATTTCGGTTCGGTTTTTTGCTAGGCTACTCCCCTCGTTCTCGTACTCATTCACAGTCATCATCACTCTCCAGCCAGAGCGAGACCCAGCTACCACTGTATCCGCTATGGGTCTCTTCCACCCACGCACCCACTTGTTCCACATTCCTTGCCTCTAAAAAAGGAAAACGATTGTTTGTTCATTAAGTTAAATGTCTTATTTTCTCTTGTATATTACTAATTGCACTTTAACTAAAAAAAAATTACATTTTATCCGATTACTCGATTAATCGACGGAATATTCAGTAGAATACTGGATTACTAAAATATAGCTGCAGCCCTAATGTGAGGATATAATTCCCCACTGAGCCTCTTTTTTCATTCTCTCTTAAAGTATGTTTTCAGTTTTCAAGACAGTTTGTTTTTGCATCTTAATGTCCAATAGAGTCTCTTTGGCTCCTAGTGGACATTTAAAGAACTGCAGCTTTTGCACCTCTCGTTTTTATTCTTTTTAATCTGTTAGTGTAAATATGTCAGGTACGAGAGGATTAGGGCCACAACAAGAGAAAAAATAATTACAGGAGGGTTTTTTTTAATTTCCATTACGAGATTAAAGTCGAAATTTTAAGAGTAAAGTCGAGATAAAATGCTGTATGGCTTAAATTTGTCGTAGAGGGGTCCTCAGCTTCAGTAATGCCTGCACCTCAGATGCCTGACTCATCTGTGCTCACCCTGAATCTGCATCATAATTTCAGCACAGTCTTTTCAGAGTCCAAATACTTAAGACCACACCGTGTTTGTGTGCTAATAGAGCAATTTAATTTCCTTGTTACTAAATCCAATTCTAAAGTACAGCTTTACGAACTCTTCTAAAGAAGACATGTTGAGAAACAAGTGACAAAGCTGTTGATTCATTATCATTAATCCCAAAATTACGACTCTATTCATATAATTTCGAATTCATTCGTGTCGACTTTAATCTCAAAATTTGAATTAAATCTCAAAATTTCACTTTAAACCTGAAATTATAACTATTGACAAAATTACAGTTTTTTAATCTCAAATTTCAGCTTAAATCTCGTTCCTGTAACTTTTTTCTTCCTCTTCATGTGGCCCTCATCCTCTTTGATATTCATGACTTCTTTGAAAAGTCCTGAAGATACGCATGTGTGTTTCTCTGCACGATCCACATCCAAGTGAATCCTGCGCACGCTTGTTGTGGTATCTGGGCCCGTATTGTTGCTGCTCTGCGCGGCTTTGTCGCTCAGCCAACCGAACGTATCATTACAGTCTAAAATACCGTATGGGGGGAATTCCTGAGCCTCCCGCGAGGAATGTCGCTGCCGCATTCGTCTGGAATGCTGATTTCCCTCCAGGAGGCGAATTCTAGACATCTCAAGTGCGCATTTCTTTTTTATGAGGCGGGTAAAGCATGCCAAACTTGACCTGATGGTTTGTGAACTTTCAGTGAAAATGCTCCCAGGATGGTTCTCTTAAATAAGCAGTCGTCGGGAATGAGATGTTTCCTTTTTTTGCATTTTATCCCGAAAAGTTCGACAACAACTTTTAGTGTGTCCCAGAACCTCGCTAATGGCCCTCGTGTTTTTCGTTTCTCGTCTCTCTCAGAGGCTGTAATGAGGATAATTGTTGGGGTTTAGCCTGATATAAAGTGGAAAATGACAGAGCACACATGCCTCTCAGTTACTTTGTCATTAAATCAACTGTTGCTCTCAACAATGGGACCACACGCGCCGCTGCACCACCACACACATCTCGGCTCCGTTATTAGATAATGGCCTTTCCCAGGTAGATCCATCACAGTCCACCTGGATGTCTCTGCGGGCCGGATGAATGAATCGACAGTTCTTGGACGGGGGGAAAGAGAGAGGACATTGTAGCTCTGTAACTTTGTCCTTTGTGATAGCATGAGCAGAGGTTAATACATCCATTGTAGGCCAGTCCTGTGCTTGTCTAAGCCTGTCTTGTGCAAGGTGGCAATTAGGGTGTGTGTGACTCCCCCCTATCCCCCTGACGGAGTCCAGTGGAGGGGGAGGAGAATGCAATCATTGTCTGTCAATTAAACCAAAGGAGGGCTCTCGCTGGCTTCGCCCATTGTCAGGACAGGATGTGGGAGGGGCTACACTGGCCAGGTCTGGTATCACCGGGCTGAGGGGAAGCAGGAACCTGATCCAGGGACTTGCCCGGGTACCTCTCCCATCCACTCCCACTAACCTTTTAGCAGCTCCAGGTGGCGGTGATGCAAACAGAAGGACCTCTGTGCTGCAGGTGCAAGACGACTCTTTGTCAGTGCTGCTGCTGCTGCTGCTGAAGTGTTAGGTGGTGAGGTTTTAAAACGCACAGACTAATGTGTGTCTGCATACCACGTGAATTATTTTAACTTTTACAAGGGACCAAGAAGTCTTCAATTTGCAGGAATCCATTAAAGAAGCATCTTTTTTTGTGGTGTATATATAAAAAGAGGCTTTTAATATCAGTCAATAGTTATTAGTTATTGATGAAATTTGGTAATACAACAATTTTGCTGTGTTTTGTTATATCTGTGTTGTCAACATGTTAACATTTTTGAGCTCTTTCTGACTGTAAACAAAGCCATTCTCTGCCTCCCCCAACCTGATTGGTTGTGAGGTGGACGCTGCTCCCCGTCAACAAAGTTAGCGTGCTACAATATCGGACAGTAGAAACCAACCAGAAAGTTCGGAAAATTGTCTGAATCCTCCTTTGGCCACGACTGCCGACAAAAGGAAGAAAACAAAGTAAATACCGGAGACTCTGGAGGAATAACGGGCGCTTAAAACTGAGGTAGACCCGGGTCAAAAATGATGTGGGACACTTCGGGAACTTCTGGACCCTGTAACCTTTCTGTTGGACAGGTAAACCGCTTTAACAAAGTAAGACAAGTGTCTGTAACAGAAGTGTTTCTTGTCAAACGGACCTGCTGTAGCGTGTTGTAGCGCCATCGCTAAACTGTTGACCTCGGGTCCTGGACTATGTCACTTTATCCTAGTTGTAGAAGTCCTGCAAACATTGTGTTTGCTGGTAGTCTGTTGGCATCTACAGTAGCACCAATGCTTTCGACTTTCACCTTGACTGGGCCCCATTTGTAATTATCTGAAGTATTTATCTGCATTATATCTGAGTTTTACGAGCGAGTAGGAGCGTCTGTTTGTGGGCGGGGCTTGCTGGAGCAGAGAGGGAGGGGAGAGGAGGAGCTGAGGGGAAAACTGGTTGGGAGGGTTAGAGTTTAGATTCAAGATTTCAGCTCAAATAGAAGGGTCAGTCCACTTGAGGCTGGCTCCACAACAAGGCGGTTCACATTAGGCCCAAAGTACATAAACCTCTCTGCATGAACAAGACGGAGTCTAATGCTCTGATTCCAACTTGTCATATTTGTATTTGTTGATAGAAAGTAGCTCCATCAGGATGAGAGTGCACAGAGCAGCCTTCTGCAGCAGTGCACTCAAAAGCTTGCAGCTCATCCCTCTGCAGAAGTTGGTGAATTATTTTTTTGCATTTGAGTATCATAAGCATTGTTTTTCTTTGTGCATTAAACCCAGAGATAGCTACACACAATTTAAAACACATGCATGGACTGTCCGAATGATTCCTGTACCACATTCAACTTTCAACCAGGTTTTAACTTCAAAGAAAAAAAACCCTAAAAAATCAACAGTCTTCAGGATCTGGTGCTCAAGGTTTCGCGACAGCCTTTGCCAGATTTGATGGCACTCCTTTTCCAAAATATTTCAGTCCGGACTGAAGCGGTGCACCAAGTAACCAACAGCTGGACATGACTGTCTCCGGGGGCGTGTTGCTACCGCGGCTTCGACATGTTGCCACCCAGTCATTAGTGCGAGAAACCATGCAGACATCCTCACATGTTTGAAGCTCCAGAGGGGTCACAGAGGTCCTGATCCGACTCTGTTTTGTTGTGGTGTTGTGGACATAGAGCGTTTTGGCAACATATCATCATAACAGGATGAAACATTGGGACACAGTGTGGAGCAACGTTAAAGGTCAACGATGCATGGGCAGTGTCGTCTGATACATGACCAACAAAGAGGAAAACAAGAAGACTTCTACTTGTGTTTCTCCTGTTTCTCCTGTTTCTCCTGTTTCTCGTGTCCTCTCTCCTCGCCACGTGCAGATATTTGTCAGATCTGTATTTTTGGCGTCCGGAGTTTCCTCTTCATAAATTAACTCTCTTCATCCTCTCTCCCTCCACGGCTCTTCGCCCCTTACATAAGGATAAATACAACCCCAGGAACTGTTTTTCCAGCGGTCTGACCACTTCCTCCTTCGCCACCGTCACCCACTCATGACCACAATGACATCTCTCAGCCGCCACTTAGCCCCTGATAGATGGTTTCTATTTAGGAAACGGCATCTGACCACAAACCACCGAGCACAACAAGACTGTTGACAGGTCGAAATAGAAAAGTTCAGCGGTCCAGGCCTCCATTCTGGGGCCCGCCTGCAAAAGAAAGACTCTGATGATTGCTTTCTTTCGTTGAGGGATAAGTTTTGAGTTTTTTGTAGTTAAGTTTCACCCAATCGTGTTTGGCTGTAAGGAAAAGCGACGGCGTTGAAAATAATCGACAGCCTTTTCTAAAAACGGAGCCGTTCCCGCTCTGAGCTGACGGGTTTGATGGATGGACTGCGGGAGCTTGTAACTTTTAGCACCGAGCAGAACAGGTTTGTTGTGACTACCCCAAAGCTTCTCAGGTAATTAACGAGCGCATTCATTAGAAAGCGGCGCCGTTAAATCAAACGCTCCTCGGTCATCAGTCATGCGCCGCAGGAATACGGCGTTTCAACGAGCCTCACATCGAGCTAATGAAGGGAAACAGAACCGATTCTTCTCCAAAATAAACTCTCCCGTTTCTGCGGAGCTGCGGGAGAGTGTGTGTGTGTGTGTGTGTGTGTGTGTGTGTGTGTGTGTGTGTTTGCATCTGACAGTCTTTATCACCTCTCGCGGCGCGTCCACATTCGGTCTAAGTAAACACAGTCGGGAAGGGGACGGCTGGCCCGCAGCCAAAGTGTCCTTCAGGAAAATAGAAATCAAACAGTGAGAGGGGAGAGGAACGAGGGGAGAAAGTGATGAAGGCTGCAGAGACACAGCTGACATGTTTATAGCCGGGGCGGCGTGAGGCGGCAGGGTCATCAACAGTGGACACTCCCCGAGGACGAGGGGCAGAGAGAGATGAGGAGATCGTTATTTGGAGAGGCGGGGATCCGGTACAGCTGCAGCAGGTGAGCGGAGAGAGGCAGCGTGTGCGTGTGTGTGTGTGTGTGTGTGTGTGTTTCTTATCTCTAGGTCAAGTTAATGGGATTGCTTTTGATGAGACACCTCCAGATATTCACCCCCACAGATGGCCGAAGATAATTGAGGCCCAAAATGCTTACTCACAATCCAATTAACTTATCTTGGCTCAAACTTTACAGACACGGTAGAGAGTGTGTGTGTGTGTGCGCGTGTGTGTGTTTAGGTGTGTGTTCATGCCGATGTGGGGCAGTCGGTCCGGAAAATTTATGCTTCCCAGGATTTAACATAATTTGCTCTAATTGCTGTTTGCTGTTCAGCATCTACTTAGTGATAATCAAATAGATTCTTCATGGTCGGTACCGCAGGCGAGTTTGGCGTGCAGAGGCCTCGGTGTAGATCCTCGGTCTAAAAGAGAGATGGGTTATGAAGTTTTGGCAGGTGTTCGAGTCTCCTCTTCTTCAGCGCTCCTTCAGACTGAGTTATCTGCCAAATTCCTCTCTGGGAACCTGCTTTGAATTTTATCTGCGGAGGAAAACATGATTACGTTTTCAGGCTGGTCTTGTTGCCTTTTTTGACCTTAAATCGATCTTCTGACTAAGAGAAAACCTGCAGCTTTTTTGAGAAGCAAAGCAGCTCCAACTTTAAAAACTGATGTAGTGAAATTATCTGTCTTATCCCAGAAGCAACCTCACATCAAGAGAGGCTAAAAACTGCAGTTCCTTGAGCGGCCACTTGAGGCCGACTCCAGAAGAGAGTTAATCCTCTTAATGCCAAACTTTACTGTTTTGTAAAAGTGAGTGACATGCCTAATAATATTAATTTCTAACTTTTTTCCAACTAGTCTCCAAAACAAAGATTGCCAAAGGGTCAAAGGTCAAGACCGGATCTCACTTTCTGTCCAGAGGCGAGCATGATGAAGTGAAAAGTTGAGGTTGACCAGAACAGGACAAACAGTTCCCTCATTTTGAAACTGTCAATCATGCGGGACAGGGCTGGTGATTGGCTGAACACAAAAAGAAGGGCGGGTTTTCGTGATCTATGATTTGGATAGCTGTTCAGTCTTAGCTATTGAAGCAGTAAGGTCTCTGTTTGGGGTTCAACCACAGCTAATGCTGCGTTCGAGTTACCTCGGGAGTCAGATGTCGGAGCTGAAAATGACATCACACGGAAAAAAGCAAAATCGGAGGCCTGAAACAAGATTGGTACATCTATGAAAGTTATTTTAGCACTTGCCTTATATTCGGACAAGGCAAGCGCTAAAATAACTAGCGTAGATGTAGCAATCTTGTTTCCACCTCCGACTTTGCTATTTTCTGACTTGGTAACTGAAACGTTTGGAACTCGAGTGTGATGTCATTTTCAGCTCGGACTTCTGACTCGAACGCAGCATTAGACCCACAACCAGACAGGATACAGACTATGAGCTAGAGCTGGGCGATAAACCGAGAAATTTACCGATGCCGAAATTAATGACAATAACCGACGTCATTTTGCCCATATCGTTATATTCGACATCAAAAAAATAAATATATAAAAGTTGGTTTTGGATGCGTGTAGGTAGGCTATGGTCTCATGTCCCTTTAAGACGCTGTCCTACATCAGAGACAGGTGAGGAGATGGAGGTCAAAAGTTGTAGCGGTTGAAGTAGACGAAGTTAATGTGGGAGGGGGTGAGCAGCTTGTGGAGTAGTTATCGTCCATTTATCGTTATCGAGGTGAACTGATCAATATATCGTGATATTGATTTGAGGCCATATCGCCCAGCCCTACTGTGACCATTAAAGTTATCAGGGTTTTCTTTAGTTCTCGATCTCTGCAGAGTCCACACACACTGACTGAGCATCACCTCCAGATGTGGATCATTTTCACTCAGCTTCAAAAATGATAAATAAAAAGCTCAGCTGCCAACACCACGACAAGAACCCCGCTCTGCTGGAAACATGATGCTAATCCAGTAAAAAAAACAGCTGATGGTTTTAGTGACGGGCACAGGCGGCCAAATCTCCTCTCACCTCTTCATTCGCCTCGTCCCTAAATGGTCACTTACAGCTCCAGAAACATTTAAGAAACAGCAAACATCTCCAACAGGAGGGAGCTGACAAACCAATTGGTGAGGATGACAAAGAATCTGGACTCCCTCTCTCTTCGGTTCTCCTAATCCCCCTCCAGAGAGCGAGGGACTACTTTTCGCCAGCGTTGCACTTTCCTACAGTTTCCTGACGCGCTCAGACCGGGATTTTTCCCCCTCCTCTCATCAGCTTCAGCTTTCATGTCATGCTGAACCCTGGTGCTTGTTACCCGGTCCCTGAGAGATGAAGGCTCGCGGTAATGCTCATTGATTCTGAGACAGAACTTGCACTGACACACAAACACAGGTAAAGCCCTTAAGATCCCCACTGATCTCCACAGGGGGAGAGCTCCCCAGTTTGTTTTTCATTATGGAGGTAATGCCTGCCTGTTTGATCTTTTGTTTCCTCCGTCAGATCACACGTATCAAAGTGGATGCTGTCTTTCCCTTTTTCCCACGTTACTGAATTGAAATCTTGCTGTAGGTCTTTTGAAGCACTGGTTCCTCCCTCCCGTGGAGCTCGGGATCTGTGAGGGATAGAAACAACTGTTGAAGGCTTTCTGCAAGAATTACCGGCTGGACTGGACTGTAGAGGGATTTCTCCCTTCTGTTCATGTGTATTAATGCCTCCCTCTGCTTCGTAGGAGAACCTTCACATGCCTCATTATATGCTGGATTGCCCGGGTAGGATGTTTGGTTAGTTATAGCTGTCAAAAGTTTGGAGATATATCATAACAGGTGGTTGGCCTTCAAGATGAAACTCCTCTGGATGCAACATGTCTTTTTTTTTGTAACTCTGGGAAATATGCTGAGGAAAGCTGCAGGAGGAAATGAGATTCTATCAGTGCTCGACATCAACAAAACTCTGCCACATTTTGAGGCTTATTGTTCCAAACATCCCCAAGCTTGTGCTTTTTGACATCTAATCACTGTTGACCCAGGAATACCCTTGATGTTTGTGTTTGTTCTGCATAATTCATGGTTCAAATTCTGTGCAAAGCCTGTCATGAATCACGCACCCGGAGAAGGATTGTCTCAGACTTGCGCTATAGAAAACGGTTAATCCTCGGTGGATGGATATGTAAATATGACCGAGTGCCGCTCTGCGGTGTTGGAACGCTTCTGATTGCTGCGGATAAACCGATGTGCGGCTTGTTTGTTGTGGGTGATGGCTCGGCAAAGAGGGAGAGGGACGAAAAGCAGGGTAACCACAATTATAAAGACCTGTCTATCAAGAAAACATATAATCTCCTTAGTCAACATACTCAACATGAATGTATTCCCTATTATTCCTCCGTGTGAAGCAGCAGAACATGCACATCCAAACCGCAGCGTTTTAATCATCACATCCTGTGTAGTTTCAGCGCTCTGTGTTTCCCTGACGCTGAATTAAGACAAGATTTTGCATTTCATAAAAGACACTTTTAACATTAGACTACTGCTAAACGAGTGCATGATGTCACTGTCTTAAATTACTCTCCTCTGACAGGGATGTGTTTTCTGCAGAGATGAGACCCAGACTGAGAAAACTTTAATGCAGTGAAAGTGAAAATTTTGGTAACACTTTACTTGACGCCCGTCTCTATAACGCAATAAAAAATATGTATAATGCATTATAATCATGTTATACCACTGTATCAGTATAGTTATAAACACTCATAAATGATCATAATGCTTTATAAAAATAATCATAACACATTATAAAGCATTTTATCGTGACTTACAAGTCTTATGATAATTAATAAGTGTTTATAATGATAGTTATACAAGTTTATAAGTAAATTATAACATATCATAAATATATGTATAATGAATTATCTATGTGGGCATTGTCAGTAAGTTGTTAACAGTTATAACACATTATAATACCTGACCTTGTAAGTCATGATAAAATGCTTTATAATGTGTTATGATTATGGCTATAAAGCATTATGATCATTTATGAGTGTTTATAACTATACTGATACAGTGCTATTACATGATTATAACACATTATACATATATTTATAATGGGTTATAGAGATAAGCGTCAAGTAAAGTGTTACCAAAATTTCTGTTAAGCACAACAACCTGGAAAAAATGCACAAGAGTCAAAATAACTCAGATTAAATAGTAATTAATAAAATACACAATGCAACCTTCATACTCATCTTCCATTTATGATTGTGAAATATCACTGATAAAGTCTGCACCCCTCAAACATGCTTGCAAACAGCATTTATACTCTCTGCTGCTGAGTCTGTTTAGTGCTCTGATTGTACAGAGATTTCTCATGATCAATATAAACCTGCTGCTCATTTCTGTGAATACTATTTTATACAAAATCTGAATATTTAGCATCATATTCAGGATCTTGTATGCACCCTAAGAGACCTTAGCTCTCCCTCCATCTCCTCTTGTGCAGCCAGTAGTCATGTGATTGTGAACACTGTGATTAAACTTTGTCCTGAAATTAAAATCCTTCTATATCTAAAAATACAAACACTTCTTCACCGTATAACACCTGTGAAAGTAACTGAACGTTTATATTCATACTCCCTCATCTCCTCCGCCTTCCTCAATCAGACTAAAGTTAGTATATGTGTTTACTTTAATGATAAAGCACGGCGTGTCAGGAGTACGATGTTCGCTTTTTTCCTCTAACATCTGTAGCCGTGAAAGGAAAAAAGGTAAGCCGTGGTGTCGAGCTGTTGTACCGTAAAAATAAATGTTGCAGGGTCTATTTTCTGATTATTCGGAGTGAATGAAACGCGGCTGAAAAGCGGGTGAGTCACCGAGCGTTTTGGCTGTTGACATCAGAAAGCTGCCATTCATTTGCACTTCTCACTGAAAGCCAGCAGTGAATAAGCTTATGGAGTGAATGAGCGCAACACATTTTGACATGGAAACACACTCACAAACGTGAAGGCTTTGTGAAGATGTGTGTAGAAAAAAAAAGAGCTGTAATACTAATACGATTCGAAGTTTTCAGGATGCGCTCCGACTCGGGGCTCCCGTTAAGATTTGTAAGGAAGAGATCCCACAGGCCCAGATATAATTCGGCAGCTTTGTGCAGGTCTTTGTAGTGATTCAGGTCTTCAAACGCTGAGCTCTGAGGAGAGATGTGCCCACAGGAGCACAGCTGAGTATGACATAGCAGCCAAACAGGGCCTGCAGAAAATTAATTTATAACTAAAGTCTCAGAAACAGCCCAAGGAGAGATTCAGATTCAGTCAGCGTACCTCTGCTGCATTATGGGGAATTATTTACCTAATCCCAGAAAGTATTAAGAAGAAGTGTTCCTCTATTAAAACGTTGGCTGGTAATTTTTGTACAGTGGCCCTTAAGGTCAAATGTACAAAGACTGCATAACCAGGAAAAATATTAACAGAACGGCAGAAAAATCCCACAAAATACAAAAAAAATGTTCTGACACACATAAAGATTTCACTTAAACACCAATATATTCTCTCAGAAGTAAAAGCATTTCATAAACTGCAAAATATTTTCAAAAATTTAAGAATTTTACGTAATTTATGGAACTCAAAAATATTTCCAAAAACGCAAAACATAGAAAACAAAAATGTTTCATGCAACAAAAACATTTAGAAAAATACAAAAAAAGAAAAAAAATATTTTAAAAAACTCTAAAAGTGCTGGTAAAATTTGCAAAAAAAAAAAAAGAATTCATGAACACTAACAAAGAAAAAAGTAAACTAAAACATTTTTTTAAATAATAAAAAAGTTTTAAATGCAGAGAGAAAATCTTTAAAAAATTGGAAATTCTCCAATAATCTTGACACTTTTATAAACTTTATACTCAAAAAAATTCACTAATGTGAACCTTTTTTTCATAGAATTTGAATATTTTACTCTCAAAATTGCCATGAAATAGATGTTTAAAAAAAAAAAAAAAGTTAAAATATTCCCAAAAGCAGAAAAAGTTGTTTGTAGATTTAGCAGAATGGTTTTGTTCCATTAAAAAAAAAAACTGTTGTGTTTTTTTAAGCTGTTTTTCATTTTGAGTATTTTTTAATGAAATAATTTCTTTATTTAATTGATTTTGTGTTCATGTAAATATTGGGGGGGTTGTGAAATATTTGAGTTTTGTGACTTTTTTGTTTTTGTTAAGAGTTTAATGCAGTTGACCTTTAGAGCCACCGTACTTTGAGATGTAAGTTTAACACTGAAAAGTCAGAGCTTAAAAATGACTTAGGTGCGTTTGTGTCCGATCCTGATCTGGATGTCTTGCTGCTGATTATTTCGTTGGTCTTAAACTGTTAAATAAAGAGCTGTCACTCACTCCTCAGAATAAACAGCAGCCTTTATCCCTCCCCTGAGGAGAACACTTTCTGGACCTCTCCAGACTTGGAAAAGGGAACTTGAGGGAAAATAATGCGATACAACTCATTTTCTATTTATGAAGCACCGCTCTGTTAAAGCGGACTAATCCTCCCACAGGGCTGGAACTTGGGTTTCAATGATTGTCAGTCATATTCCAATCAGAGCGCTCAGTCTTTTTATTCTGATTTTTGAAGTTCTTGTTCGTTATCCTGTGCTCCTAACCTGTCTGCGGTCTTACAGCAGGTTTCATCTTCATAGTCGGCCTTGTTAAACCAAACACACAGAGCATAGTCAGAGAGCAGCAGAGCTTTGCAGGCCCATAAGCCATGGCTTGATCCCTGACATGTACAGACAGGGACTCCCAGCCATCTGGCCAGATGAGGCACTTGGATAGGCTCGCTCGCTCTCTCTCCCTCTCTTTTTCTGTCTCTGTCTCTCTACGATCGTGACTCGCTCTCACACTCACAGACACAATTTACGGTAGTTCTGAGGCTTTCTGTCATCTATCTCAAGGGATGCCAGAGAGCTCTGCTGGTCACAGATAGTGACCTAGCCCTCGGCTTCTTAGCTCTCCTCAAAGTCGTGCATTTTGATTCAAAACTCAAGGCCGCGGTTTGTGCCTGCAGGTTTCATTATGGACAGAAGGTCAGACAGCAGAGAAGGAGAGATGGAGAATAAAAGGATGACTGAGAGAGGAGTTGGTGAGAATAAACTGGCCGAGATTATTCAAAGATAGAAAACTTCAAGTTAAAGAGGCTTTTTAACATAAAGTTAAGAATTATTTTATAAGACATGCACTAGTGCCTTTTGGGTGTTTTCTGCTCCTGATCAAGAAGAACAAGCATGCAGAAAACTGGACACTGAGTCTGACAGGTTGCTGCAATTCCACATTAAGTTGTCTGAGGGTATTAATTACCCCCAATTTTTACCGCATCCGTAATGGCTACGAAAAGGCCGTATCCGACGAAAGTAAGCGTTGAAGTTAATGTTTCAATTTCCACCGGCTTCTTTCCGTTCCGCTGCAGATCACAAGAGTTCTATTTTTTCGGGATGCCGAAGGCTTCTTTTCACAATAAAACACTCCATGTTTCAGGAGGATGGTATATCACACCATGCAAACGGGCGAAGACGAACAAGTGAAAGGTTTTTAGACGTCATTTCACCCCGATGACACCATGGATGAGGAGATGCTGATTCTAGAAGTCTAGAAGTAGATTTCCACCTCTAGAAGGACACAATCTACTGCTTATATGGTTAGCTTATGTGGCTAAAAACAACTTGCTATCTTGCGATTGCGTGTGAATCGGGTTCTTGTGAGTTCTCGCGATTCCTGCTGTCTGTAATCCTCCACGAAATTCGTCTCACAAACGGTTCCAGTAGGAATTGGTAGGAATTACAGCCATTACAGAATATAGCCATTCCTGGTCAGAACTGTTCCTGATGCAGTGGAAGTGCCGGGTTAATTACTTGCATGTGCATCCCTAGCAATAAAGCATTTATTACCTCATTAAAAATACATCATCCATACCTGATCCTCAGACAGAATAAGGATTTATCAGCTGTCATGTTTCTCATCTGCGAACCTCGTCAAACATACAACCTCTCATAACGGGTACAAATGTATAGTGTATGAAGCGTGCTGAAACTTGAATGAATCATATCTTTAATGCAGATCATTAATAAAAACTACATGACCCCCCTCCCCCACTCTTATAAAAGATCAAATAACAGATATCTGCACCCCCACACTCCCACACACCGAGAGCTTGAAGCGTCAGTGAGCCGATCGCTGATAGTCTAACTCAGTCTTCATATTAATTCCAACTCTCGCCAACCTCATGAGTATCTAATAACTTTGAAATTGAGGCACTGACTCGCGCCCTCATCCATCTTCCTCGAGTCACGTCTTTTTTCCCAGCATTCTTATGTTAATATCGCCCATACCGCTTCCCACACAGGCAGATAACTTGCCTTTTCCCTCCCGGCGATGCCTCACCCTGTGTGTTGAAAATAGCTGAGGCAAGAACACAACTTGTGTAACATTGATTTGAAATTCAATCTAGACAGCTACCTTGGGGCCCTGAGCCAATTCTTAGATCCCTCTCTCCGATACCAGCGCTGGAGGAAGTGAGAAAAACAGCATGCATGGAGGGAAATAAAGAGAAATAAACAGACAGGCAGGTATGTGCGCAAATATAAACATATATATATATACAGGGTTTGTTGCGTGTTATGTCAAGTATGCACACATGCAGCCTTGACAGTCTTTGCTTGTGAGACGAGAGTCCTCTGAAACAAATCACCAGGCTGGAGAGGTTTTATCTCACAATCCGTTATCCCGGCCTCCATCCTTCCACCTGTCTGTCACCTTGAGAGATGTGCGAGCGCTCGACAAGGTGCCACTTACACACAAGTGTTCTGAATGAATCGCACTTATCACTTGCTTTTCTCCAAAACCCTCATTCTCGTACGGCTCCCAGCAGACTATCCCCCCTCGCAGATGAGTCACTCGGTGGTGCAACTCCTTTAAAAACACGTCAAGAAGGCCGAGTAATGATATATTATTCGGTAAAGTCGGCTTTGTTAGGTGCAAATTTCTTGTCTTTTTCTCGGCTGTAATTAAATTTGGTTTAGAGAAAGAGAAAAACAATAGATGATTAGTGGGAAAAACAGGAGGGAGAGACGTTTTAAAAATGGAAAGACTAAGACCGGACACGAATGAGTGGAAAAAAAGAGGAAAACAAGAGGAGAGAGGCGTCAGGATGATGGATAACTGGTGTCAAGTGGGGTCAGGCTGGAGAAAGAGAATTTAATTTGGCTGTGCAGTAACCAAAAAGGACTGGTTAATGAAAATACATGCATGTGGGGTTACAACACTTTCTGCACTTTGTTTAGTATGACTCAGAAAGTTAATTTTAAGTTTGTCCTGCTATTTTATCTCCACAAAGACAGAGGGAGGTTTTTACCGTTTGCAGGACAAAACAGCGAAATCGTAGCGAAAACAAACCGCAAGTACATTTTACAGGGAAAATCTCGGTCAGTTTCCTTTAGGCTAATAATCATCGGAGGGCTGTGCCGCACTTGGCCACTGAATGTTTGCACCAAAATAGTCTCATGCCGAGCTCAAACCTAAATCTGCTGTCTGCACATCGGAGCTATACAGGGAAGCAGGCTTACACAAAATGCGCCCTCGCTACAGTTTGCACTGGCCTGTAGAGGTTCAAAATGCACACATCTTCGCTGTATTTTGGCCTCACAGGCTGCAGTAGCGGCACATCATCCGTCAGCGGCGTTAGCTCGTCGTCTCTGCTGCCCTCTTTCTGTCATTCACACGCGTGGGTGTGTGTGACAAAAGAGTAGTGTGTCTGCAGAGTCTGGGCCACAGCTGTTGATGTGTTCGCCCTCCTCCCCCTACCCTCGAATATAACCCTCCACTTGGCTGGTCTTAGCTCATGAAAGAGCATTAAAACTGCCAAGTCAGCACAGACAGAATCCACAGAGGCGAGCGGCTCAGCTCCATCACTCCACGCACACACACGACAAGATTCTGCTGAACTACAGTGTGTTTGCTGTGGTCTAATCACACTCCACTTCAGATAAAGGGCCCTTTACTATCAAGGGCACTCAATCACATGAAGAGTGTGTGTGTAAAAACAACTGTAAGAGGACATAGATTTGCTTTTTTTCATGACAGTGTGTCCATATTTATGTGTGTGTGTTTTTGTACGACAACAAACCTGCCGCCGCCTGCATCCAAAAACCGAAGACGCTTGATCCCTGACAGGAAATTGCATTTTCAACCCCGTCGTCTGTAATGCCTGTCAGTCAGTTTTATGTTACACTTTTTTTTTATGTATAGTGAAATATTGAAGGGGAGGGAGGGTCGTGGCGGAACGGCTCGGGAAGAACGACGTTGTCATAGCAACTGACTTGAAAACAGATTCTCTGTGCGATTCTCAGGAGAGAGACAACCTTCAACTTTTGACTCCCTATTTTGCTGATATTCTATGCAGAGTATCTTATTAGAGTAAAAGCCGTTATTATGCATAAATCATGACAAAAACATGGAGAAAGGCCTCTTAGTATCCACCTCTTTTCTTCTTTTTCGTGCTGCTCAGCCTTTTCAGAAGAGCTGGTTTTCTGTTTTTGATTAGGTGCCTTAATAACAGCATATTTGTCTGATAACAAGGTGCACCACGAGTGCAGCGAGAGCTCCAGTTTGTGCGAGTCACCTTTCTTTTCATCTACACGGTGTCTCTTTTTTCTGCTGCACAGCACCCTGAAATAAAAGCACCGCTACTCCTTTTCTTGCTCCGGGTAAAAAAAAAGAAGGGATCACAAAAGAAGCAATTGATTTCAGGGGTAAATGGCTGCTTTCCTGACACACCAATGAACAAGGGGACAGGTTATTTTCTGTTGTTCGGTTTGGCGTTTCAAGTAAATTGGGGGAGAGGGAGGCAGGAAAACTAAACAATGCTCCACCTTGAAGTCCAATCCTCTCTGAAGGGAGAGTGAAACAAGGTGCAGCAAGTGGCAGCATGCAGGAATAAATGTGTTTGCAAGCAGAGCAGTTGCAGGTGTGCATGCATGAGTGTGAGGAGGGGAGAGCAGGAGTGGAAGGATGATATCCTAATGCCAGACAGACAGACAGACAGACAGAAAGAGAGAGAGAGAGGAGAGAGACAGGCAGACACAAAGAGGCTTCTTGCAGTTCCTGACTCAGATCCACGGCTCTGCTGGCAGGGATTCACATCTTGGAAGTCTGTGTGTGTCTCTGCGCATGTATGTCTGTGCGCGTGTGTTTGTGTGTGTGTTTGCTGAGAGGAAACTGCAGGATGTGAGCAAGAATCTCATCCAGCTTCCCTTCAGCAGCCTTGTCCACACAGGCTTTGGTCTCGTGCGTCAGCCGCTGTCCCAGAAAGGGATGCAGACGCTGAGATGAGTTTCACCCTGCAGGAGACGGGGGGAAAAAAAGCTGATGAAAGCTGAAGAGATTTGCATAGACAGAAGCAGAAACGTCTGAAATCCAACGCTGGCACATTCAAAAACAGATTCAGAGAAAAAAAACTGAAGGCTGTTAGAAATATTATTTTGAACTGACTCACTCGTGTCCTCATCAGGGTATTGTCTTCAACGTCTTCCCAAAAATCAGGGGACAAACAAACACTGCAGGTCAAATCCTAGTTTTCAGCCCCTGTATTTCAAGAGAGATGTTTCTCTTAAGGGTGTTCATGAATTAAGATATTAAAAGGCTTTTATTTGTCTTCATCTTTGCTCTTATTCTGCCTAATTTTAGATTTTATCTAATTGTTTCTCAGCAAAGACATCTCATTAAAAACAGCTAAAGGGTCTCCATTAAACCATCGCCCTGCTGATGTTTCCCTCTCTTCTCTTCCAGGCAGACCCGGGAGCAGGAAACCCCTCCAGACTTCTTCTACTTCTCTGACTTTGAGAGGCACAACGCTGAGATTGCGGCTTTTCACTTGGACAGGTGAGTTTTACTGAACAAACCAAAATAACGCTGCTGTGCTGCGACTCACCCTGTTCTCTTAACAGTGCTGGAAAGACAGGGTCACACAGACTCACTCTCACAAACAGAGAACCTTTCACCCTGCCTGTTTTAAACCATAGGTGTATCGTAACGCACTTAAGCTGAGGGAATATAAATGGGATTTCATACATGAGGATTAGATAACACACAGAGCGCTCGGATCACCTCTTCTTGCTCCTGACTATAATGATTCCCTCGTGATCCTTTTACGCTGCAGATTTTAGCAGACAAGGTCAGAAAACTCAGCAGAGAGGAGTCAAATCAGACAGTTTGGGAGCTCATTGTCAAAAACTGCCTCCATGGGCACCATCATACTTGGCCGGTGCAGCTGAGGTATGCACTGAAGTGGCATAGCTGATGGCGCAGAGGGGAATTGTACACCGTTATTGAAACCTAAAGGATTTGAGCTTTTACAGGTAGGATTAGGCCAGGTTTTATTATGCCCAGCAATTTATGCAACTTTTTCATGCTCTCAAACTCTACTGCACATCAATCCGAGCTTGTAATGTTGACGTTAGGAAAAGCTGTTTGATCCAATCTTGATCACAGTCTTCCCACTAACTAAAGGTTAGGTCAGTAGGGATGGGAATCGAGAACCGGAAGTACGGCATGGAAGGTACCTATATTAGGGTGACCATACGTCCTCTTTTACCCGGACATGTCCTCTTTTGGGGGAGTTTATAAAATCCTTCAAATGTCCGGAATGTGTATGCATCCATTATAAAAAAGTGCAGTGCATCAGTGCTCTCTGCAGCTCTGCCCCTCTGCTCACTTCTACGCTAAGTCACTGACGCCTCGCACGCATGCGCTGTCTTCGAGGATTCAAAATATGCGTTTAACTGAGAAAGAAGCGCATAAAAAACACTTAACCCGACCCAAAACCCTCAAAATTTCGCACACAAGTCCACCCATAGAAATGTCCTCTTTTTAGGGATTCAGAGTATGGTCACCATATCGTATGTACTGTGTTAACATAAGCACAACGCACCAGAAATGCTGTCTGGAGGTGGCATACATCTTTTTCTGTTATCAGAGCGTCAATGAATTTTTGAGTTATCTGTGAAAACCTAGTCCACTTTAGTTTTTTAAAGTTTTCAGTTAACATAAAGCGGATGGAGTTTATAACCTATACTCTGCAGCCAGCCAGTAGGGGACGCGTTGAAACTTTTCGCTTCACAGCTAAGTCTTGTTGCTTCCATGTCAATATACAGTCTACAGTAAATCCTGTTTATACACCTAATCTTAAACCTCCTAAATGATCTGCAGACCCATCAGATGTTTAAAATGTAAGATTTCAATCTGTTTCATTATATTATTACTATCCAAGCTGGAGTGTCACAGCTAATGAGAGAAACAAAGAAATAAATAAATGGTGCTGCTAAAGTGTTTCTTCCAGGAAACACACACCCTCAGGCTTATGTCAGGTAGCATGTGACTAACTGCTGGCAGGATACTAACAGGTACAATCTCACCTCGAGTTCTTCATGGAGATATCACCTTCTCCTCAAACGTTCTCTCTCCAGTTTTGTCTTTTCTGCTTTTTAAAAAAAAATTTGTTTCTGCCAGAGAAGATTGTATTCAGGCTCTGTTTGGTTTGCATCTGCCTCTGTGAGATCACATTAGATCATGTAACAAGGTCATGCCCCTCTGACACACAAGATAATCCGAACATTATCCTGCAGCGATCAAGGAGCGGCTATTCTGAACTGTTCTAGTGAGTGCACGTTTGAGATAAGAGAGATTATCTATGAAGTGTCTTCTTCTGAATTGATGCGAAGGATGTCTAAGCTGGGCCGCTAAGGTCAGTTTGGTTATTCTCAGAAACACACTCTAGGTTTCAGTTCATTAACCTCAGATGCACATGTTTGTGTGTGCAGGAAGACAGAGCCAAACAGGAAATCACAGGCACGTCATCACCATTGGGACATGTCATTAGAGCGGGGAATTATCGTCCAGATGCTGAGAACAGCAGCCTCTGGATAGCAGTCAGGTTTTTATTGACTCAGAGAAAGAGGATGTTATGAACTAAAACATTATTAAATTCGATTTTAAGTCGGGATAATTAAGATGAATTGCACAAAAACATCTTCAGGGTCAAAAAAAGGAAAGATACTAAGCAGTAAAGACAAGAAAAAAATCATTTTAGAAAATTTTGGTTGAATTTGGTCATATTTTTCCATCAACCAAGTCTTAGATTTAGTCTCACTCTCAGTCAAAACTGTTTTAGAGATAGATATTTCTCCTGGTTGTAAATATTTTAGTGTGAATCAAAATTACATTAATGTTTTTCGCATCTTAATTGAAATGCGTTTTAACTTCAACTTCCTCCTTCTCGAAAACCGTCCTGAAAAGTAGAGCAAATCAACACAATTTCCGTCTTCACTAAATGGACTTTAATATAAACTGGAGTTAAATTTGGAAATGTTGATGTTTGGTGAGTCTAAAGCGATAATAAATCACAGTAAACGCGAACCGAAAGGTAACTCTGCTCTGATGTTAACCGTTGATGTAGCATAGTATGCTAACAGGTGTTGTGCGGAGTTTGGCTGCCGTGTTAAAGAGTGCCACAGTGGCGAAGATCAAAAGAGACACGACCCAAGTCACCCAATAACAAACTCTGAGTAATGTGAACATTAAATTTAGAGTGTTATTGAATATTCATATCATCCAATCATTAACAGTCTCTATTTTTTTACCTTGGCATACAGGAAAATTACAGAGTGTCCATTAAAATCCGTAGCGTTTTTTGCCACCCTTCTCCACGGGGGCGCCGTTTTAACTAGGTAGCTTGGCTCTATTGATGTAGCATAGTATGCTAACAGATGTTGTGCGGAGTTTGGCTGCCGTGCTAAAGAGTGCTACAATAGCGAATATTGAAAAAGACACGACACTATAACATACTCTGAGTAATGTGAACATTAGTTGAGTTTCATATCATCCAATCATTACATGTCTCTATTTTTTAACCTGGCATACAGAAATAACAGCTTTATTAGGCTTCCTATAAGATAGCTAACAGTTAGCAAGTTTTGTCTTCTTCCCACAGACTACAAACAGACTTCTTACCAACAAGTAGGCTACAATTAAGAAAAATCAACCAATAACGATGAAAAAGTTTAATGGATACAGTAACATTTGTACAGGTGCATTTGTAGCAGGTAAATGATTGGTATAGAAAAAAGAAAACAGTGATATTTTATTGGTTTTGCTACAATTTTCATTTTCAGTACATCAATATATCCTTGTTATTGTCACAGTGTTTCTCAGAAATCTCAGGAGGTGTTTTAATTTCAGCCCTCTGCTAATGCACTATTATTACCGTCTCATGTGAGTCACGAATATGCATTTGCAGGGGAACACAGACAGACTCACACAGGTCATTCGGCACATGTGAACGCACACACACAGGTGCTCCTTTGTCACCACAGCCAGACATGACGTTGCACTTTGCTGATCCTGAATACTGTCCTCTGTAGGCTCGAGTTTCAACAAACTCCGTGTGTCTGCTCCCAGGAGGCTTAGCTCTAGTCTCCACGTTCCAGGTCACCTGGATTGCAAACATACAGAGAGGCAGGAGAAAGAGAAGGTCAATAGGTACAGTATAGTGTTCAGATGTACTGTAGATGCAGGAAGAACGGGAACAAAAGCGAAGTAAACATCAGCTGAATATAGACAGTGGGTTGGAGAAGATCGAGTTTGAGTCTCTTTTGTGTTTGTGTTTAGATGGTGCATGTCGATAATTGCTTCTTTTGATGATGATCACAAAAGATGTTCAGAAGCAATGTAAAGATGATACAATACAAAGAAACTACCTAGCTGCGTCAAAACTAGGGCTGCAAACTCAATTCCTTCTTTGTGATCGATCTCCGGACATGTTAACTATCGATTACTCCTTTAAAAAAAAAAATCTAATTATTCCTGACAAATGTGTTTTTTTCCACAGCAACATGATGGATAACTGAAATATTAACCAAAGGGAATCAGATCATATATCATTCAGAACTTAACGAAGTGTGCTGAGAAAATCATTCCAGGTGCTGCAGAGTTCATCCAAACATCTCATGAAAGTTAAACAGTAGTGTTTGCTAACTGACAGCGTCTGCACAGGTGTAAGGAAATCTGAAAAACTTAAAAAGCACAGAGTGAGAGTGGCAGACAGAAGAGGCAGAACCTTGTAACTGTCCTGGTTCGCTCGAGACGCTTCTGATGGACATTTGCACCCGAAGGTGCACCACAGGCTGTTTCTCAGCTGCATTTGTTTGAATAATAATCATTGATTGATAATGTCGTACTGTCCTTCTCCAACTTTAGGACTGTCACTGTAAGTCTGCAGAACTTCAGAAAAGAAGTTTGGATTCTTTGTGGGAATGAAACTTTCTAACCACACTGCCGTCTCTCACACTTTTGTCTTTATCTTTCTGCTTCCATAGGATTCTCGACTTCCGTCGGGTGCCCCCGGTGGCGGGACGACTTGTCAACATGACGAGGGAGATCAGAGACATGACGCGCGATAAGAAGCTGTGGAGGACCTTCTTTATCTCACCGGGTAGGAGCTCTGCCAGCCTCTGCAGCTTGGCACACTGATACAGTCTCTTGGCTGCTTCACTCATCCTGTTTGGAGCGAGAACAAAACAAACTGCATATCACTGGCTTCAGCTTAAAGTAAACTCAGTGAGGTGTGAGGTGGGTTATGCGCCAGCAGATGGGAATAGTCTGAGTTTGTGTGTTGGGGAAATTTACTGTAGCGTGTGTGATGAGATTAAGAAAGCCATTAGAGATAGCAACCACTAGGTGACACTGTAGATCAGCTAATGCTCCAAAACTCTGCCAATACACCGGTGAGAGTCGTTAAAGTCAAAGCAACACCAGAACTCTCTCATTGGTTTGTGATTATGATTTGACAATGACCACAAAAATCAAAACTGTGGATTAAAGTGCAAAGTTTGTGACGGTGCATTATGCTTAAGAGGCCACATTTAAGTAGTTTTCATGTCGTACTAAAGTAGATTACAGCAACTAAAACATTAAACTGATAAAGAAGGTATGATTTAGAGTCATTTCTAATGTTTAATGTTTGCTTTGTCAGTATTATATAACTTTCTAAAGCCTTCGTCGCCTTCATTTTATATTGTCTAAGACCTCCACATCTCCATGTTTCCACATTTTGTTTTAAACAATCCTGAAAAACAAATATTTAATCCTCCTCTCTGTCTTTTTTCCACAGCCAATAATGTCTGCTTCTACGGCGAGTGCTCGTACTACTGCTCCACTGAGCACGCTGTGTGCGGTAAACCCGACCAGATCGAAGGCTCTCTCGCAGCCTTCCTCCCAGACCTCAACCTGGCGAAACGCAAGACCTGGAGGAACCCGTGGAGACGCTCCTACCACAAACGCAAGAAAGCAGAGTGAGTCAACGACACTCCTCTACCATGAATCTGAGGCCTCGCCATGACTCTTCAATTATACTCGAATATCTTCTGTTTCTATCCTCAGATGGGAGGTTGATCAAGATTACTGCGACGAGGTTAAGCAGACTCCTCCTTACGACCGAGGCACAAGACTGCTGGACGTCATGGATATGACTATCTTTGACTTCATGATGGGTAAGAGAGGATTAAGGAGCTCATAAATGCCTCTTTTTTTACGAGCCAATTAGTAAACTACAGTCCTCAATTTTTATGACTCTCCTGGTACAGGTAACATGGATCGACACCATTATGAAACGTTTGAGAAGTTTGGAAATGACACTTTCCCCATTCACATGGACAACGGAAGAGGGTAAATGAAGATTTGAGAATTCTTACACAGACTCAAGCTTCATGTAAAGTGGATTTAGTTCAATTTTCTTCTCTTTGCAGGTTTGGAAAACACTCCCACGATGAGCTGTCCATCCTGGTGCCTCTCAGCCAGTGCTGCAGGTTAGACCGCTTATTCTGTCAGTTAAGGTCTCTGTCAGACACAAGTCAGGATTTACTTCTTACAACACAAAAATAAAAAACACAAGGTTATACATCTTGTCATCCTCACCACAGGAAGAAATATGTGGCAGTGTAGTTTAGGGCTGCAGCTATCGATTATTTTAGTAATCGAGTACTCTATCGATTAATCTGTCGATTAATCGAGTAATCGGATAAGAAATGTTTTGCTTTCACTGTAATACTTTGCATTGAATCACGTTTGCCTCAGAGCGGACTTAATGCATGGACCGGGTGTTTTCTTTTAAGGTGCTGCAGCATTGACGACGTGCTGTTGTGAAACGCCAACTCCGCCTTACAGTGAACGCACTGCACAGCGTTTTCTTTCCTTTTCAGTGTGTAATGGTCCCACACTTTAGACACTTTCTGCCGTTTCCTCTGCGTGTCATCTCTTTCTTCCTCTCTCTGTCTGTCCTCGTTTCCCTCCATGATTGAACCAAACGCGCCATAGACATAATAAAAGATAGACCCCGCATCGGCCGCTACCACGAATGGGCGCTGTCGAGAAATGCGGCCGCCATCTTGGTCCGGTCATCCGCCTCACTCTGCACCGCTGTTTAACCGGCGGAATGAAGTCTGAGCGCATTAATGAATCATAGTTCGCTCAATACTACGTAATTTTCTTCCCTGCAAACGCCATTCAAAGAGGCATGATAGAGGCCATATTTTTTTTTGGCGCTTTCAAATACTCAGAATGAATAAAATGATATTTTAGAACATGGCAGCAGTGGCTGTATTATAGTATAACAATTAATCAAGGATATATTTAGGTTTAGAGCTAGGTTCCTGCTATGTCTCAATAATTATTAATAACTGGCGGTATTAATAGGCCAATTCAATATATATTGATTTGATTATGATTTTTTATATAGTTTAATTTTATTTATCCATTTGTAGACACACACAAATAATGTCATATAGAAGCACTATTTTAATAACTGGAAAATACACACAATACATATCAAAAAGATTTAAACACAAGAACAGCATGACAGGACAGCATCGAAACTACATATCAATTTGCTTGTTGGCTACACAGCACAGAGGAATCACTTGCTGCGAATTTCTCCCTCTAACAGCAATCTCCCACTTCTTCCTCAAGTTTTTGTCCTTAGGAAATCTTCAAAATGAAACAGGAGATCACCACAAAGAAATCTTTAATAAAACAGATAATAAAACAGAGCTCACTTTCTTCCTTTTTCTTTCTATTTTATTTCTTAACGTTTCTTAGAATCTCTCTCAAACAAAAGTTTTTCAATCTAATGCAAATCTGTTGATAATCGACCAAAGTTGCTATTATTGTGAATAAGCTAGCTGTTCGCAAATGCTGTTTCCTTTTTGGAGTTGACCGATAGTCTTCCTCTTTGGCCTACAAATGACTCTACAGTCAAGTGCAATGTTTAAAAAACGTTTAATCATAACTGTGAAAAGTTATTTCTTGAGCCCTGTTCTCTGCTGTCCGCCTGTTGGCACAGGAATACGCCGCACAGTGCTCCGGCATCGCTGAATGAATGAATATGATTGACCGGAGCGTATGGGAAGCTTGACCTGACCAAGATGGCGGCCGCATTTCTCGCTGCGCAGCACCCCCAGCGGGGTCTACCCTTTTATTATGTCTATGAAACGCGCGGCAGCGGAAGGAGCGGAAAGAGCACGCTGCTGCGCAACAGAAATAACCGTCCGTGTCAAACACCGTGCGCTGCACATGGTTCCGGATTTAAACGATTCCTCGAGGCATATAATTTGCCTCGAGGAATTTTATTAATCGAGTTACTCGAGTTACTCGAGTAATCGTTTCAGCCCTAGTGTAGTTTCAATCGAAGTAACTCAATCATCCTCTGCTCTTTGTTTCCAGAGTGAGAAAATCCACCCACCTGCGCCTCCAGCTGTTGGCCAAAGAGGAGTACAAGCTGAGCTCGCTTATGGAGGAGTCTCTGCTGCGGGACAAACTCTCTCCCATCCTCATCCAGCCTCACCTCCAGGCCTTGGACCGCAGGCTCCGGCTGGTCCTGCAGGTCCTGGCGGGCTGCATAGAGAAGGAAGGCTACGTCAATGTGGTGGAGGAAGATCTAGTCGGGGACACAGTTACCCGCAGGAGCCCGGGCCTCAGGTAGTGAGGGGCGAGACTCGAGGCAGCCGCTAATATGAGAAAAATGGACAACGCCTGTGGCTGTTAGACCAACGGGAAACGGAGTCCCATGTCTGCTATCAAGCTGAATTCAGTGAATTCCAAGACTTGCCTTTACTGCCCCTGTGGAACCTGCGTATACTTGTGTTTGTGAAGAAGAAACTGTCCACAGACACCAGGAGAGACTGCGCTACACAGAGGCTTTGTTAGAAACAGATGTATCTTGTTTTTTCACATGTTGTGTGAGACATAAAGGAGCCAATCCTGTTTGTTTGAACACAGTGGGTACCAGTTTGTTTGTGTGTTTTATCATAGTAGAATATAACCAAATGAGATCTTACACTGACTGGGCAGCATATGGTCAGACAATAAGCTTTATTATCAGTCATCACAATGTACGGAAGGGTTGAAAAGCTGGGTGGATGTTTTATTTTTGTCACTCTTGTTCAGTTTTCAGTTTCCACAATCAGCAGAAATAATCTACCACCAGGAGAAATCTAAAACAGTGTCTTCTGTTTGTCTTATAAGCTTTTTCGTTTCAGCGCAGACTTTGAACAGACCGACAGAAAATGTTCTTCAGACAGCACCTCCACATTGCCTTATTCTTCTTTTGAATTTCCAATCTCTCCTACGAACCGAGCTCGCAGTAAAACACGATGCTAAAATCGAACTCACCGAACCAAAAATACTTCAACATGCGAAGGCTGCAAACCAGCGTGCTGCACTACCATTCTCACATACAGATCTGCAACTCTTCCGGCTGACTATTTATACCACAAAAAAATCACAGTTTGTATATTGATTCAGTTTCTTTCTAGATGTCTATTTATTGGGAGTGAGTGTTTTAATAGATTCTGGGTTCTTGGTTTTGCTTCATTTCTTGGGGAATATTTACTTTGGGTACTTTGGCATCCAGATACTATTTAAACTGACATTCCTCTGGGTACTATTTTAACGTTCAGATGATAGAAAAACAACAATTACGCTGGACATCAAGTTTATGAACTGGTGCCATGCAGTTTTTTTCCTCCTTAGAGTCCTGCACACTGGCTAACCCGGTACCTGTGCAATGGCAGAAATACAGTACTTGAATGTTTTTGGGTTTGCAGTGTGGACAGGATTCATATAGCTACAGAGAGGCTGGTTTCACATGTGACAAGTGCTTTGAGGGGGGTGACAACCTCCGGCACTGTTTTCACAATCTCAGTGTAAATACTTATAAATATGTCGGAGGTCTAACAAGCTTCACTGCACAGTGATTTGCTTCTGTTTTCTGCTTCTTGCATTGTTACTGTGAAGATCTGTTTACTAAATGATTAAAGTGTGCAATAAAACAAAAGTGAGCACAATCTCAACGCGTGTGGGTGTCTGCAGACATTTGACACTTCTCATTAGTCACTGTGAGGATCGTTGAAAGGTGAGAGCGTCTTTTTTTTTTTAATGCTTAAAACAATGAAATAAAAACGGTAAAGCTGCCTCAAACAGACAGAACCAGACTTACACTTGGGCAATACCTCACAATTTCACCTCTCAGTATGACTGTTGCAACATATACGGATTAATTAAATGTTCACAGTGAAGGTTTACTCACTCAGCATGAATTTATTACCTGTTAGATCAAAGCTTAGGAATTATGGCCACACTTTTGTACCATTTACACCAGCTTTAACCAATCAGCTGACCTCCTATTAGTTAGCAACGATTCAGTACTGAAAAAATGACAGACTTTCACATCACAAGAAAAAACACAGTACTATGGTTGTTTTTTTATTCATGAGCACATCTTACCTGACATTTTTGCACTACATACAGTCTGAAGTCACCAGAAAACCACAAAGCAAGAGCTTAAAGTGAAGAAAATCTGTGAAATAGCCCTTTAAATACTTATTTTTAGCTTTCTTTGGCAGTTTTGCTTTTACAGATCTGACTGACCAGAGGGTGAAGAGTTACAGCTCTCATGTTCAACAAGCTCCATCAAAAGTAAGAACTTCTACTGTTTCTGTCCACTGATGGTGAGTTCGTTCTCGATTTTCAAGTTTTTTATGCTGCTTTACAAGTCAAATAGAAATGTTGTGATCATAACTTCTGAATTAAGATAGTTATTTTTGATGATTTTACAGCTACCAAACTACTTTAAAAGTAAAAGTTGATAAGTATCCCTTCTGCCAAATTTTCTTATCTAGTCAAACATTTACAATTGAAGAGTTTTATTTCCGTCCATCTAACTATTTATCCGCTTATCCGTAATTATAAAGTTTAAAAGAATAATAAAAAGTTATAGGTGTTACAGCGCTAAGAGACACAGTACGTTTCTGTATGTGTTTAGCCACAAATACTGACAATCTAATGCCCTGTTAGACCAGAAATACATTAACCCTAGAACACTATCACCGGGTGATTTTCACCTGACCTTGCGTTTATCTGAGTATCATGGGTCCCTGATTTTCACCCGACAATGGTGATGGAGGGTAAAGTAGGTTTGGGTGGATTTGATAGCTGAATGTAGGCGAATAAGGTCAGTAAGAGTGGTCCTGGAATTTGCATGCTATCTTTATTTAGCGCAGTGGTTATGAATAACTATCACAAAGTTGAGATTTTCAAGGGAATTCATATGGTGATGAGAAATATTTTAGTCAGTGTGAGGATGTTTGGCCCATGTTCACACTTCAAAGAATGGAAGGTCCCCACGAATGATCATTTTGACAAGCTTTACTGGTTGCAGATCTAGGTTACAGCTTCATGATGCCACAAGTGTAACAAAGACTGGTCTGAGTCTGTTCAGGTATACATAGCCGTTCACGTTTCCAAACATTCTGCGTGCATTTTGTTGACCTGAAGGAGAGTCCATGTAGGGTAATAACAAAGCACAACATATTTTGGGAGCCTGAGTGATGTTAAACATGAGTACAAGGTCCTTTTTAAGGATGGCTGTCGGAGGCTCATGGCTCCAGAAATCCAGCTCCAAAGTATCCGAGATATTTGAGTGACACAGCTCCACCACCCTAAAGGCTGACATGACTGGCTAAAGAAAATCACAGTCAGCTGGTCATTTTTACTCACTCCAAATCTGCCATATTTTGGTTCTCTCTCCTGCAGCTGTTATTGTGTCGAGGACCCTGAGTCTTCACGAGGAAAGTCTCACATGATCCAGGAATGGGTGGATATAGGTGGACCCCTCATGGCACATTTTCCTCCCTTTGGACATTGCACAGTTAAAAATAAAAGATAACTACTTTAATTTGTCATTTTTTGTCTTAGTACTTTTTCATGGGTATTTTATTTCGGGTAAAAATCACCCCTGCGACAGTGATGGTGTTACTTATTTTAGCGACAGTGTTCTGGGGTTAACTAAGTTCAAGTATAAACGTGAACTCGGCTCGTGAATTCACGTAAACGATTCCATTCGTGGGTGTTTGATGCGATCATGTCTACACCAGGTAAATACAGTCAGAGCAGAGGAGACACGGCGCTGTCCGTGGTGCTGAAAGAGAACATCAGCGTGTCAGACGGTGGTCAGAACCACGGACAGCGCCGGGATGTTTCTGGAGTCAGACGAGAAGCTGTGGGATTCATCCATTATCTTTAATGCCGTACTTTTACTGTAGTTCACCTTAAAGTGACGGATTACCCCTCCCTGCTGTATTGACAGTAAACAGTATGTTCCTTCTTTAACCAGGAGAGGGCGCTGGTGTACCGCGGCTCTCAGTGTGAGGGGTTTGGAAATGAAGCTGTAGCAGGTAAAAAACACTGGGGGTCACTCCAGCTCATCCTGGTCACCTGGCTGAAGCTTTTCCTCAGTCTGAATGAATGTCAAAGCAGACTAGTTTGTACCTTTAATACATACAGAGACACAGATATAGATACAGAGTCTGGAGGCACCGCACAAATAGGTACAGGAACACTTTTTACCCCTGAGCCACTGGGCTTTAAAACAACATTATGTGCAATACATGAGAGGAAGGTTTAGTCTTCTTTTAAAAGGTATATTTCATTATTTAAAGTTTTTTTAGTAGGCTGTATTATATTGTTTTTTTACTGTGTGCATTTACATTTGTTTTTTTTTATTATTTATTGTTCTTATATTTATTGCTTTTGTTGCACACTGGGAAAAGCATCCTAAACTAATTTTGTTGTAACTTGGTGTACAATGACAATAAAGTCTGAATCTGAATCTGAATCATATTTTAAAAGCATTGTCCCCTGTGTTTTGGTTTAACCCTCAAAATGACTTAAAGACACGAGACATTAGACAGTCACAGACCGTCTGTGGGGTTGAACTTTGCAAAGTTATCCAACTGCCAATTTAACAAAAGTTATTTAATGTGATAAAGAGGTAAAAGAGACATTAGATACTCAATAAGGGGGAGTTTAAACCGATTTTAAGGTCTCTGCATTGGCTACCCGTCTCTTTCAGAATAGATTTTAAGGTTGTTTTATTGGTTTTTAAAGCTTTTAATGGTTTTGGCCCTTCTTATTTATCTGATCTGCCTTATCTCATGAGTCAGGTGGAGCCCTCTGGTCTTTATGAAGTTCTCTGTTAACATTACCTAAAGTTAAAACTGAAACTAATCTTAATGACTTTAAAACCAAACTGTAAATGTACCTTTTCAGTCTTGCTTTTAACTAAAATTTATGTCATTAACTTTGTTTATGTGACTTAGCATTTATGTCTATTCTAGTTTTAATGACAGGATCATCTTTTATTGAGCTGTTTTGTGCTCTTATTTTAGTATCTTTTGCTGTTGTTTTTATTTCATGTTATTTATAATTTCTTAAATTTAATTCTGTTTTTAGATTTTAACCTAAACCTCAAGTGTTTTCTTGTCTTGAGTTTTAAAATGATGTTTCCTCAGTGCACACATTCCTGTTTATATGAAATCAAGTCCTTTTTATGTTTATACATTTTAATCCTGTTTCTGTACTTAATACTGTTTTTGTTTTGGGAATGAGGGGTTGGGCTGGGGTAGATTTGGGTATCCTTTGTTTCTTTTATTAATTTTTCTGTGTAAATCACTTTGTGTACATGGTTGTGTATGACAAGTGTTATTTAAATAAAGAATGATTGATTGATTGATTTTTGAAAAAATGTCAGTGAGCATTGTTAATGCACTTCCAACAAATGAACACTAGGTTGTGCACTAGAGCTGTGCAACTACAAAATCACAATTATGAAACGGTTCAGTTAAAGTAGTCACAACAAAAAAAAACACTGTCCAGGACCTTTTTAGGAGCACGTTTCAGACCATTTCTCACTGTTTTAGTTTTATCAAACTATACAATATCATTTTTTTCATACTCAAATATGAATTTTTTTTTCATACTAAAATATGAATTTTTTTAACATACTATACTATGACATTTTTTAACATACTATACTATTACATTTTTATCAAACTATACAATGACATTTTTTTCATACTCAAATATGAAAATTTTTTTTCACAATAAAATTGGAATTTTTTAACATACTATACTATGACATTTTTATCAAAGTATACTATGACATTTTTTGAATACTAAAATATTTTTTTACACTAAGATTTGAATTTTTTTTACATACTATACTATGACATCTTTATTATAGTATACTATGATATTTTTTGAATACTAAAATAAAAAAAATTCACACTAAAATTTGAATTTTTAACATGCTATACTATGACATTTTTTTCATACTATACTATATCATTTTAACATACTATACTATGACATTTTTTCATAAATAAATATGACATTTTTTTTCACACTAAAGTTTGAAATTTTAAATATACTATCCTATTACATTTTTATCATAATATACTGTGACATTTTTTTCATACTAAAATATGATTTTTTTTTTATACTGAAATTAAGAATTTGTAACATACTATACTATGACATTTTTTCATACTTGAACATGACATTTTTTACACTAAAATTCGAAACTTTTAACATACTATACTCTTACATTTTTATCATAATAAACTGTGACATTTTTTCATGCTAAAATATGAATTTTTTTTTACACTGAATTTAGAATTTGTAACATACTACACTTTGACATTTTTTCCTTCTTGAACATGACATTTTTTAAACTAAAATTCGAAACTTTCAACATATTATACTGACATTTTTATCATACTATACTATGTCATTTTTTTGAATACGAAAATAAAAATTTTTTTCACTCTTAAATTTGAATTTTTCAACATACTATACTATGACATTTTTATCATACTATACTATGTCATTTTTGAATATGAAAATATAAAAAAAATGTTCACACTAAAATTGGAATTTTTTAACATACTATACCATGACATTTTTTAACATACTATACTATGACATTTTTTTCATTCTATACTATGACATTTTTTTCATACTATACTGTCATTTTTTGAATAAGAAAATATATTTATTTTTTTCACACTAAAATTTGAATTTTTTAAAATGCCACAATGACATTTTTTATCATACTATACTATGTCATTTTTTGAATACGAAAATATATTTATTTATTTCACACTAAAATTTGAATTTTTTAAAATACTATACTAAGACATTTTTTATCATAGCATACTATGACATTTTTTTACCAAAAAATTTTTTTTCACACTAAAAATGGAATTTTTTAACATGCTATACTTTGACATTTTTAGCATACTATACTATGTCATTTTTTGAATACTAAAATATAAAAAAAATGTTCACACTAAAATTGGAATTTTTTAACATGCTATACTATGACATTTTATCATACTATACTATGACATCTTTTAGTACCAAATATGATTTTGTTTTACGCAAAAAATGTAAAAGTTTTAACATACTAGACTGCCTTTTTTTTTCATACTATACTTTGACATTTTTTTCATACATAAATATGAATTTTTTTTCACACTAAAGTTTGAAATTTGAAACATACTATCCCATAACATTTTTATCATACTATACTATGATATTTTTTAGTACCAAATATGATTTTTTTTCACGCAATAATTTCTAATTTTTTAACATACTATACTATGACATTTTTTTCATTCTATACTATGACATTTTTTGAATACGAAAATATATTTATTTTTTTCACACTAAAACTTGAATTTTTTAACATGCTATACTATGACATTTTTTTATCATACTATACTATGTCATTTTTTGAATACGAAAATATATTTATTTATTTCACACTAAAATTTGAATTTTTTAAAATACTATTCTAAGACCTTTTTTTATCATAGTATACTATGACATTTTTTTCATACATAAATGATCTTTTTTTTCACACTTAAGTTTGAATTTTTTTACTTTTTTTTCTATGACGTTTGTAACATACTATACTATGACATTTTTATCATACTATACTGTGTTTTTTTTTCTAAAATATGACATTTTTTACACTTAAATTCAAATTTTTAAACATCCTATACTATGACATATTTATTATACTATACTATGACATTTTTCATACTAAAATTTGAAATTTTTTTCACACTAAAATTTGAAATTTTTAACATTCTATACTATGACATTTTTATCATACTATTCTGACATTTTTTTTTAAACTAAAATATCAAATTTTTAACACACTATGAATTTTTTTATCATACAATACTATGATATTTTATTAAGATAATATTAGAAAATATTTATATTTTGTACTAAGATTTTATTACACCTCACCATGATTTTTGTGAAAGGAAAGGACACAACATAGAACCTTGGTTTCGTGTTGTAGAAATTGTTATTTAATTGCTAAAAGAAATAATGAAGTGCTGTTCAACATAAGCTTGCCGCAATCAACCGGTGGGTGTGGAATACTGCTCAAAGAAAAAACAAACGCAACAACAGGCGACTCTAAACTAGAGTGAAAAAAAAAAATCACTTAGATTAACTCAACACAGCGGTTAAAATGAACGAAAGGTAAACAGCTCCCTATCCTTTACAATTCCATGCAAAAACAAATATACAATTAAATCCCCTCCACACCAAATGTCAACACAGATTTTCCTAAAAAAGAATCTAATGAGCGCAAGTGTCTCGCTGCCTCTGGAATGTGCCGCTCGTCTTCGATTGGTCCTGCAGACTCCGCCCATTCAGCGGCTGGTTCCTGTGGGATCACATCCACTCAAAGACAAACACACACAGACACAACCAAATTTGGTAAACAGGCAACACATGAAGTAACCCCGACAGCAGGGACACGGCTGCAGCCATAACATAAATTATGATATTTATATTGTACTATACTGTGAAATTTTTGTTATATTATACTATGATATTTTATCGTACTATACTATGATAATTTCAACAATATTATAATATTATATTATGAAAAATTCGTCACAACACAACTTGGAGAGACTTTGGTGGTGTGAGTTTGACACTCCTATTAGCCTCTTTTTTAACAAAAGTTTTTATTTGTATTAACTCTTTTAAAGTGTTTTAAGTTTATAAGAAAACCATTTTTTTCAAACTGTTTAGAAAGAAAAGTCAGACTCCATCCTGATGCTGTTACCCTCCACAGCAGACCACCCCGCAGCCTCTCATTCAGCAGCAGCCTCTCCTGCCTAGTAACAGTATCCAACACCACTGTCCTCCCGTCACTATGGCAACAGAGCAGCAACCCCCTTCCCGTCCTGCCTTCCATTGATCCAAGGTGTGAGTGTGTGTGTGAGTGTGTGTGTGCTTGAGTCCTCGATGACCCTGACCCTTACACACCTCCCCCACTCCCCCAGCGGTGAACTTGAAGTCCGGCTGAATTTCTATGAGAACATCTTGAATTATTTGCCAGTTTAATTTAGACACCTGTCACAAATATTCCAGACAAACTTCTAAACCTGGAGTACATCTCTGAAACGCTTTTAACAAGACACATTTATCACAAAATTGGAAAATCAGGAATAATTTTTCTAAGACTAGAGTCTGCAGACACAAGATTGTTTGAGAAGGCCTCCTCGGAGCCGAAAGCGTCTCTCCTGCTGCTTCATCCGAGCGCAAAAAAACACACCAACAACCCTGCACGCGCACACAAACAGGCCTGTTCGTGCGCGTGCATCAGAGCAGAGCGTATGGCGAGAGATGAGATGAGAGGAGCTTTCAAACGCTCCTTCAGAGGCAGTCGTTTTTAACCCCTGTCCGTCTCGATTGATGTCAGCGCTGTAGGCAAAATCACGCTTCACTCAGATCCGCATTGATCAAAACAAACGCGTCCCGGAGAGGATAACTCACCCAAACGATCCAGGCACATTGGCGTGAGCGCGTACAGGCATGGGGAAGCTTGGACGTGTTTCAAATCATTTAGACACCCGATTTCAGTGTGTTTTAAAATATGAGTGATACAGGGTTTTTTTTTTAGGTTTAATGTTTCAACCTAAACAGGGATAAATTTGGCTTTGTGATGCTGAAGTTAGTCTTGTTTTTGCAGATTCCAACTCGACTGTTACGGGAAAGGTTATAGAAACAAGATCCTGATCCAAATCCTTTACAGATTTGGATTATAGTATCCAAGAGAGTCGACAGACTGAGTGAAACACAGCCCCAGATTTCTCAAACCTTTACTTTAGTTAAAAAAAAAACAATAATAGGTGATTTGACTGCTTTTTTTCCCACATTGAAGCAGGTCCTGATCCTAAATCCCAATACCTTGACTGTTCAGATCTGACCTGTTTGACAGTTTCAAAAACCTAAAAGTTTGTTAAAACCTCCCTCTGATAATTTAATCCAGATCTGAAGGGTCTATGTATTGCTGTCCCTTTTTACAAATAGAATAACGCATTCACAAATTTGAAGCTGTGTTTAAAGAGATCATATCCTCTCTATGATTATCTAGTCTACATAAGCAAACTCTATATTGATCAGAACCTGGTCTAAAGTGAACAAAAGCAAAGACCTGGCCCATTAGACGACAGCACCTTTAGAATAAGAGAGGTCTAAAAGGTTTGGGTAGTGGGGTTCTGGATCAGGACCTGATCTAATGCGGTCTAGAGGTGAAAAAAGCTGCAAAATAGACTTTTTCTTGTATTTCATGTTCTCCCTGTGTCTGCATGGGTTTACTCCGGGTACTCCAGTTTCCTCCCACAACCCAGAAACATGCCTATGTGGGGTTAGGTTAATTGGCCACTTCCAAATTGCCCATAAGTGTGAATGGTTGTTCGTCTCTATATGTCAGCCCTGCCATGAACTGGCGACTTGTCCAGGGTGTCCCCTGCCTTCGCCCGAAGATGCTGGGATAGGCTCCAGCCCCCCCGTGACCCCGGGAACGGCAATGGGGATAAACGTTAGAAAATGGATGGATGGATGTTTTGGAAGGGGGGTCTTTATTTTGTGCAATTTGATATTTGATATTTTCTGTACACGAATCTTCAGTAGTTGTCGTTCATGTGTTCAAGTTCATGTACTCTGAAATGTAATTTACTCAAAAAACATAGGTGTATTTATGTTAAAAATTTGAGTCTTTAAATGAGTTTGAATTTTATAAAAGTGGGTTTGTGACTCAAGGACCATGAGAAAATCTGGGTCCCAGAGTGAGGCCAGTTGAGAACCACTGCTCTAAGGGGTTTTTGCATTTATCAGACAGAATAAAGGAGTGACAGCTCTGAAGTCCTTCTTAGATAATCTAGTTTAGATGTGGTGTTGGGTCAGGATCTTGTTTCCAGCAAACTTCAGCACGGTGTCGCCTGTCATCCTCACATCTTCAGACTATTCTTGTGCGTAAAACAGCCGGATTAATAAACTCGCTGGGAACTTTACACGGCTCTGTCACCGCACCGTCCCCCTCTGAAACAGCCAGGCTTGTTTTTCAGAGGAGCAGCAGCAGCAGCAGCAAACCCAGCAGCCGGAGCGGGCTCTGTGTCTGCACTCATGAATTATTAAAGAGACGACTATTTCGCGGCAGCAGCAGCTAAAATTAGGAATAGCCTTATGTTGGCTATAATTAGAAAGCAGATGGAAGGCGTTCATTTATAACGGTGCATGAAAGGTTTTGACGTTTCCAGGTGAGGATGCTATACGTGAGTGTGTGAGTGTGTGTGCCTGAGTGTGTGTTTCCCCCCGAGTGGCCTCAGCCTGCATGGCGACAAGAGACAGAGCTCCCCCCGTCTGTCGTCAAGGTCAGACGGAGGCGCATCATTTTGCGTCAGGAGCATCAGGAGAGAAATTAAACTCCAAATCAATTGCCCTTGAACCACTCAGAGTGTGAGTGTGCGCGCGTCTGACTGACTGACTGCCAGCGAATGCGCGTGCGTGCATTTTGTTTACGAAAGTGAGAAGAAAAAAAAAGCAGCCGAGGTTGTGCGCGCCGCTCATCAACGCATCTGTCCACCCTGGCGCGTGTGTGTGTCTGCATGCCAGGAGCGATCACGGGCCAGTGCATACACGGCGGGGGAAGGAAGGGGCTTGTAGACCCCGATGAAGCACCCTTGATTGCGCAGGAGAAATTCAGAATGACCGGGATAAGCTACGCACGAGCGGCTCGGTGCGTGCGCTGCGACAATCACAGAGGAGAAAAAAAGAGGAGAGGAGACGAGGAGGAGAGGAGAGGAGAGAGGATGCTAATTATTGACGCGCGCCTGAGCAAGCTGCCAGCAGCCCCTCATCTGTCAGTCAAGAGGAGGAGGAGAGGCTGAATGGGAGGAGAGTCACCCCCTTCCTCCCTCCCCCTTCTCCTCCCCTCCCCTCCCTCTCTCCTTATTTTCATTCATGACACAATCAGAGACACACGCATACACATATCTCCCCCACGCAGAGGCTGGCTCAGTCCCTCTCCATCAAAAGACCCATCTCTCTCTCTCTCTCTCTCTCTCCGTCTCTCACAAACACTCACACACCTTCACACACGCGGACACACACACTCTGTCTTCTCTTATCTTATTTTCTTTCGGCCACAAAATCTCACAAAAGCCCCCTCCTCCTCTCCTCTCCTCTCCTCTCTTCTCTTCTTTCACTTTCGCTGTCGTCCACGCCAAGATTTTGGTCATCTGTTTTTCCGGCAAACAACAATGAAAGTATACACCTCAAACACACACACACACACACACACACACAAACACACACACACACACACACACACACACACACACACACACAGACAGAAGCAGTTGTGTTTCCAGACACACATGCGGCTTCCTCACCACCCACTCAGAGAGAGAGAGAGAGAGAGAGAGAGAGAGAGAGAGAGAGAGAGAGAGAGAGAGAGAGAGAGAGAGAGAGAGAGAGAGGAAGGAGGGAGAGCAAACCTGAGACAGAGGAGGGCTTTGAAGCTGCCGCCTGCCCTCTCTCTCTCTCTCTCTCTCTCTCCTGTCGGTCGCTCCTGAGTGCAACAGAGAAAGAGAGAGAGAGAGATGCATAGAGCAGGTGGTCCTATAGCTCTACCTCTCCTCTCTTTCCCCTCATCAGTACATCAGCAATCTCTCTCTCTCTCTCTCTCTCTCTCTCTCTCTCTCTCCCTCTCTTTCTCAACCCCTCTAACCCTGACACACACTCTCTCTCTCTCTCTCTTTCTCAACCCCTCTAACCCTGACACACACACACTCTCTCTCTCTCTCTCTCTCTCTCTCTCTCTCTCTCTCTCTCTCTCTCAGCACGATGGCAATCAGTCCACACGCCCCCCTTCCACTCTCACTCACCCCTCACACACACACATTTGTGCGTGGCGACTGTCGGACAGCCTGATAGACTCCCCGGCAGAGGCTGCAGGACAAAGCCCCCCCACACACCCCTCCACACCCCCTCACTCCCCCCAAAGTTACCCCCTCACCCCCACCTAGAGCTAATTCCATTATACATTCCTGACTGGAAGGAAGAGGGTCTGTCTTCTAATTGCTTTCTTATCCCCCTGAGTCCCCCCCTCACTTTCTCCTCCCTCTCCTCCACCACCACCATCACACCCCCACCTCTCCCCCTTCTGCTTTCAGCCCGCCCCTCGCCCTGCGTGCACTCAACATGGCAGCAGACAAGCAGAGGAGGGAGGTGAGCTAGAGAGCAGGAGAGAGAGAGAGTGTGTGTGTGAGAGAGAGAGGGGGAGAGAGAGAGAGAGGGAGAGACGCAGGCAGGCTGCTGCTATCAGGGAATACTGGTGCCATTTTCAGCATCGCAGGGTAAAGGGATTGAGCCTCGCCGCTGTACGCCCGGCTCGCCTCAGCTCGCCTCGGCCCAGAATAGCTGAAAAAAGAGGAGGATTGGAGGGACAACAAAAGGAGGAGAGAACGGCTGACCCCTAACGCAGGTACCACGCTTCTTTCGCCTCTCGCTTGTTTCTGCAGGATGTGAGCGGACGGCGGCGGTGTGCAGACGGAGGGGAGACTGCTAAAGGGGGCGTGTGTGCGTGCGAATGTGTGTCTGTGTTTGTCAGCGTGTGTGCTTCTGCGTCTGCATGTGCACGCCGAGTAGAGGACAGCGGGGTCCCTCATGGGACTGCGTTCTATTTCCACTCGTTGGGGAAGAGCGTTCGCCTCCCACACACACACTCAAACACAAACACACACACAGACTCGAACACACCAGACACCTGCCTCAGCCCTGTTTTCCTCCAGCATCTGTCCAAACAAAACGAGCACAAATACCGAGTGTGGCTGCGGTCCACACACGGACAACACGCTGCAGCCTCTCTGTTTGTCTGGGGTTTGTTTTTTTTCTCTCTTTCCCTCGCTGCGTTCAGAAACCCTGAGCCCAAGGATGTGTTACGTAGTGCTAAAACGGGACGCTATGTCAGAGCGATGATGTGTCATAGCACGCTGTTTACTCTGCCTATTGCATAAGGAGGAATCTGGAATTTATGTGCAGTCATGGTACACACGGATGTGCGTTTGTGTTTTTGTTTTCTGGTGCAAGTTTGGATGTTGATCGTCTTCTTCTGTGCGGTTACCCTGGTGGGAGCAAAGCAGGAACCCCCTGCTGTGAATTATAAATGTGTACTGGTGTGACGTGTGTATGTTTGTATGTGTGTGTGTGTGAGAGAGAGAGAGAGAGAGAGAGAGAGAGAGAGAGAGAGAGAGAGAGAGAAAGCAAGAAGCAAAGAGAGAGAGAGGAAGAGAGAGAGGATGTGTGCGTCACTTCAGAGGCGGCTTTACTACAGCCTGCCATTAAAAGATGCACTGAGACTGCAGTGTCACTGCTGACTGAAACTGATGCTACCAACAGCCTCACTCACCCAGGAGGAGAGAGAGAGAGAGAGACAGAGAGCGAGTGAGGAGAGAGAGAGAGAGAGAGAGGAAGAAGGAGAGAGGTGACAGAGAGAGGTAGAGTTTAAAAAAGATCCAAGAAGGTGGAGACGGACACGGCAACATGCGTTTATGTGAGAGTGTGTGTGTGTGTGCGTGTGTGGGTGGGTGTGTGTGTGTGGGAGAGGAAAGTGCGAGAGAGAAAAGAGCGCAACAGGGAGGAGGGGGGAGCGACGGAGATAACACAGAGAGGGCGTAGAGAGGTGTCAGAGAGAGAAAACAGAGGTGATGTAGAGAATGGGAGTGTGTGTTAGTGTGCACGTGTGTGTGTGTGTGTGTGTGTGTGTTTGTGTGTGTGTGTCTTGGTAGATAGTGACAGTGTGAGAATAATAGTGCAGGAGAGGTGGAGTGATAAGTGGTGAAGGGAGGAAGAATATATGAATGGAAGATGAGAAGCTGATCTCCTTCAGCGCCGCAGCGACATGGCCGCCATCAACACGCCAACATCTGCACCAGGATGCACAGTGTGTGTGTGTAAGAGAGTGTGTGAGTGTGTGTGAGTGGGAAAAGATGGAGAATATGTGGACACCTACGTTTGCAAAACTAGGGGTGGCCGTGAGGTGCAAAACAACAACAACAACAACAACAAATCACAACAGCTGATCAGAAACCATGACAACAAACGAAAACATGAGAAAAAAACATCAAAACAAAAACACGCAACACTGCAAAGAGCCACATGACAAAAACACAAAACAACAAAACAGACAACACAAAAAGAAATTTAAAAAAACACGACAAACAAGCAAATACAAGAAGAGAGGACAACTACGGTGGCCCTGAAGTGCAAAATGACAACAAATCTCAAAACATAAACAAACAAACAAAAAACAAACAAACAAAGACCAACATGATGATGAGTCTCAAAAGAAAAAACACAAATCACAACAAAAATACAACAAAACATGAAAAAAAACACAACAACAAATCATGTCAAGAAAAACAAAAAATAACAAAGGCATAGAAAAATAACAAAGACAGAAAAGGAAACACAGCAAAACGAAAACAAAACACAACAACAAATACCAAGTCATGACAAAAGTAACCAAACACACAAAAATGGCACAGCTACAAATCACTAGACGACAATTTACCAAACACGACAAAACACAAAAACAACAAAAACAAAAGACGACTTTAAAAAGCAGAACGCAACTTTTTCAAATGACACATAAACATCCGTGTTCGCCCAATCAGCTACGACCCTCATCACCGCTGACCCGCCTTTTCCAGAAGTTACAGAGTTGTGTTTCTAACTTTTTGTGTTCGATGATTTGTTTTTGTATTTTGCACTTCAGGGCCACCGTACATGACACACCTGTAGATACAAAGCTAACGACAAGGGAGGGATGAATGTTTTTGTGATCTTTCAGCTGACATCTTTTGATCTATTGTGTGTCTGTGTGTGTGTGTGTGTGCGTGTGTGTGTGTGTGTGTGTGTGTGTGTGTGTGTGTGTGTGTGTGTGTGTGTGTGTGTGTAAGCAATATTTCTGCAGTCAAAAGAAATAGATAAGACAAGAGCCAGCCCACTGGTTTGGCACAGCGTGGCATGGCAAGAAAACGGATCTCGAATACACAATCGCTGCTACAGACACAAGGGGGCTGCTGCACAAACACACACACACACACACACACACACACACACACACACTATAAAGCACAGTCTGCTCTGACTTTTTCTCCTTCACACACACATTCAGAGTAACGGTAGGACTCCTGCATGATGCAACACAATGAAAGGAAGCTGATTATCATGGAGATTGGGAGGCGTGTGGAGAGCAGGTTTCAGTCCGTGTGAGTGTGTGCGCGTGTGAGTGTGTGTGTCTGTGCGTGTGTGTGTGATGGTCAGCAAAGGGCACGCTGAAATTGGCATCTCATTGCAGCGGTGAAATGAAAGGTGAAAGCTCCCCTCTGCGCCTCCTCTCTCTCTTCACCTCCCTTTGCTTTTCCCTTCAATCTACTTTCTGTCTCGCACCAAAAACAAATATAGGAGGTCAGGACGAGGAGAGAAGGAGGAGAATCTGACAAAACAGCAAAATGATGAAACAGCTGCTCAAATTTAAAGCAGATAAGAAGAGAGAGACGACGACGACAACCTGTCCCTACCTTCGCCCCGGTCTTTTAATTAATCCGCCGCTTTATTGATACCAAGTTTCTTAATGACTTTAGCCCAATTTGAAATCCGTGTGTGCGCCAAAAGAGACAGTGTGTGTTTATGAGCGCCACGCTATAAGCCCCAAGTGCCCACCTAATTGCCCCGGAGGCTCGTGGTTACTTACTGCGGGGGGTTATTAGGCCGAGAGAGAGAGAGGGGGAATGTTTGTCGCTCATTAAAGAGAAGTGCTGCGGACACAAGCAGGGCTGTATGTTAGGGAGAGACCCGACCACAGCACTGTCATTAAAAACACACACATAAACACACACACACACACGCACAAGCACAGCCAGCTGCTAATGAATGTGGACACTCCACCCATGACTCATAGCATGTCGTCTGAATTCACACTGAATGACAATCTCAGTTTCTTGTTATAAATAGCAGCACGTCTTCCCTTAAAACATCCCAGTCGTGGTTATAATTAAAGGATTCCTTCGCTACGGGAGCTGCAGAGGACAAATATAACTCTGGGATTTAACGGCAGCGTGAATGCGACGCATCCCGCTCACGAGGGAGGAGGTTTTCTCTCAGAGGGGCGCGGGGGTCATCGGGGATTGTTGGCGTGTATCACCACACAAACTCCTAAAGAAGCAAATCTGCGGTACTTTCTTTGGAAAAATACAACTTTTGGCTGATGTGAGGATCTGACACTCAAGGTTAGGAGTTAAAATACGACTATGATAATGCGGCTCTGTTCTCCAGCACCATAATGGTACAACTCAACTGACCTGCAGCTAAAGTCACAACCTTTCAGGACTGTGTGCTGCATGTCTCTCATGCTGCAGCCGAGAAATGTGCAGAAGTAATCCTGCTGGTGGAATTGTAAAGACTTGAGTTCTTCGATAAAACTGTCTTTGTTCTGTTTACTGTAACGTTCTTGGAGAGCAGAGTTCTTGACATGGTTGAATGATGTTGTCTTGCAGTAGCGACTTCTGATGTTTTAACTTCAAAGATTTCCTGTGATTTTAGCAATTCGAGACTTTTTTGGGGACAGGCTTTTAAGAGGCAAGACAGGTGAAAAGACGACATGCAAACTAGAGCTGCACGATGTATCGTTACAGCATCGCCATCGCGATGTACGTGTGCGCGATAGTCATAATGCAGAGCCTGTGATGTTAGGATGTGAATGAACTCATCTAATTTCAAGGGTAGCTGACTGACATAGACTGCATGTGACTCTGCATGTGCTGCGCAGCGATCCACCAATCACATTCGCTCTTTACTCAGTTGCCTATCAGACCACCCTGCCAGACGTCAATCAAAGTCAGAGAGGAGGAAACAACACCCCTGCACATGGAAAGACTCGCTGGCGCTGCCGGTGTGCGATACTTTTTTTGTAGAAAACCACCGAAAATGAAGATTTGACACAAAGAAAAGAAAAGTCAGTTTTCTGGAATAATTTCGATTACAAGAAGGACCATGTGACCAAAACACGTGTTCTGTGTTCATCTGTTGCCATAGTAACGTCCCAGAACAATAAAAGCAAAAAATATCTCTGAGACAGACAGAAGCTGTTCTACTAACATTCACAAAAAGAGGTAAGATCAGTGCAGGTTAATCTGGTCATCTGGTCAATTCAGGTCATCTTGTGAAAATTCCTCTATTCTTTAATATCGCAGGTTTAGAAAACAATTGTAATGTTCGTTTTTTCCAATATCCTGCAGCCTTAATGCAAACCAGTGACCCCTGCAAGTCGCCTCAGTACACTGATACCTAAACCATCAGGCTATCCAGTGCCCCAGAAATCAGACCTTCCTGAAACTGGAACTGTTGGCGCCATCTGTAGGCGACAAAGAACAATTCATCTCTCGCTAATCATGTCCTACATGTCTGTAAGCAGAAAATCTTCTCACAGGAGCTTTAAAGAAAAACAGGACGGCAAAAATGTCACATTTGTGGACTCTGCTGCAGCCAATCAGGAGTAAGAGCGAGCCGAGCGGTTCAACCGTCGCCCATGTGACTCCGTGATTACATAAACATCATTATTTTGTCAGGGGTCATAAATTATTGCCTCCTTGTGGTTTCCATCACCTGCGTGGATCATTGTGGGTTACTTCACACACAAATAAACACAGGGTCCGCAGCACAACGTCCCACCCAAACCTCCTCCTGATATCAACAAACACACACACACACTAACACGTGTTATTCTCCGTCTGTTTTACCTGCATCACACACACACACACACACACACACACACACACACACACACACACACACACTCACACACGCTGTTTATTTCAAGGAGCTCAGTTTGAGTGCGGTGTGCGCGAGGCGGGTACACTCTGTTCCAGTGGCAGTATACCTCAGCTGCTAACCTAGATCTGATTACACACAGTATAGCTCCTCGTGTGCACGTGTGTGTGTGTGTGTGTAAGTGTGTGTGGTTGTGATCAGGCCCCTAATGCAGTTTGCAGGTAATATGTTTTTATTGGAGCGTCCAGGAGAGTGTCAGCGCAGTGTGTTTGTCTAGAGAGGGCTGATGTATTTCCTTTCGTGTGAGAGTGAGGAACATCAGAGGGAGCGAGACGGAGGGGGGGAGAGTTGTGTGTGTGTGTGTGTGGGGTGAGGGGAGGGGAGGGAGGGAGTGAGGGGTTACTGCAGGGAAGAGAAGACAGGGGTTGTGATGAGGGAGGAGCGAGGAAGAGGAGAAGAGGAGAGGCTCATCTGTATGCTGGTTACTGTGCGCTGCTTGTTTGATCTGGAGGGAGTACTTAGTGCTGGATGGTGGGATGCTGCTGCAGCGTTAGGAAGGCAAAAATAAGGCTCCTGCAAGAGTGTGTACGACAAAGAGAGAGAGAGAGAGAGTGTGTGTGTAATTAGGTGTGAGGTGTTGGGTGCAGCACTTTGCTCATTAAAAGGATCTGGCTGCTGTCCAGCTCTGTGCAGTTCATCAACTGTCCTTCATGTCTCTCTTCCTCTCCCCCCGCTCATCATCTGTCCTCCCTTTCCTCCCTTACTCACTCGTCTCCTCTCGTCTAATCTCCGTATTTTTCATCCTCTTCTATCGCTGCGCCCCGTCCTCCCGGCTTTGCTGCAACAAGCTTTGCGAACGATGGTTCTGATAGGAGGAAGAAGAGGAGGGGAAGAGGGGATCATTCAAATGGGCCTCATTAGAGACGAATAAATCATGATGTGAAAAAAAGATATTTGCATGTAGACATACAAAAAACTCTTTGAAACTGAAACCACACTAAACTTAAAGTTATCTGAGCTCACCTGATGGAAACACCTGAGAGAGAAACACAATGAACGAGAATCCAGAGAGAGACAAACACTCAGCTGAAACATCCGTCTGAAGACGGATCTGTGCCCAAAATTTTGCAGTCTGCTCTTACATGTTCCACTCCGGTCCAGTAGGGGGCGAACTTCACCTCCAAGCTGGAATACCAACGACCGCTAAACACAAAAAGAAGAGAAAAACAAACATGTTCCTCTTAGTTTCTGCAGTTTGTAACTTGTGTAGTTGAAAAAAAATGGGCAGACAAGATGCCCAACATTTTTTTTTAGTTTTGTTTGTTTGTTTTCAGTTTACTTTCTTGTGTTGCACTCACTAAAGGAGAACACCAAAATGCATGTTTTTAATATCCTGTACTAGCCTGTTCGATCTACAGTGCAAAACTTTCCCAGTGACCTTGAATTTGAGGACATTCTCCTCCCATAAGATTCCTCACTGCATGTTCTTTAACTGTCAATCATGTTTGTCTTAAAACAGTGACAAACATGAGGGTGCGTCGATGGTCGAATTGGTTAGCGCGCCCCTCGTATGGGGACCATGGTCCCTGCAGCGGTTGCGGGTTTGAGTCCAGCCCCGAGGATGTGCTGCATGTCCTCCCCCCTCTCTCTATCTCACCATACTTCCAACATGTCAATAAAAAAGCAAAAAACTTGCCAAAAAAGTAAAAATAAGAGTGATAAACATTCACACAGGTTAGTGAACCTGAATTAGTACCAAGTATCAAACAACTGTGTGTTAGCAGACAGCATCTACACCCAACCATCGCACTTTAACACGTGAAGCTGACAGCACTGATGGTGAGAAAAAAGGAAAATGAGAGCTACCCCCAACAGAAATGACGATGACGACATCATCGACAACACTGGCACGAAAACGTCGGTGTCGGGGAATACCTCAAATCTTTTTCACCACCTGAAGCAGCGCCACGCGGCAGAGCACGCACAATGAAAAAGGTTACAAACCCCGAGCGGAGCAAGGAGCCCATGACACCTGTGTGGCTGAAACAGCCGACTGTTCAGTCCTCTTTCTCTAGAGCAACGCCTTACGAAAAAACGACAGAGACACAAAGACCTCACAGATGCAGGAGATTATTGTACTGCAAAAGACCTGCCACCAATAAACACTGTTAAATTTTATTTTTGATATCATGATATATATATCAGTATTGACTGATATGAAGAAAAATTTTTTCCCATATCGCCCAGCCCTAACTGAGTCAGACTGTAAACACTTTAGTAAGTTTCTTTCGTTGGGTGAAAAGAATAAACAAAGGCTGATGATAACCTGTCTGATCACTCCTTAAATACAGAAAAATCTTCATCCATCTCAGATCCGCCAACGAAACTTGATTAGGTCCCCTGCAGATGTTTACAGCCCGCAACAAAACCCACTTTTGGTCGCTGCATCATTATCTTTCCTTGAACTTTGACCTCTTCTCTCACTCACTAATGACGGCAGAATCTCTGTCTGCGATGGCGATGTGACAGCGTTGTTTGTAGCGGCTCTGCAGGAGATTGTATTTAATTAGTCATCCGTCTCTGTTATGGTAGGGAAAAATTTGGATTATTATGCATAATTAGGGTTGCAGCTGACTGGACTGACAGGTGGTTGTGTTGTGTTCGTACTCGATCACCCTCTTTGGGCTTCCATATCTCAACTTTTATGTCCCTGAAATTGTGTTCACGCATGCAAAATGTTGTTTTATTATTCAGGTTTGACTCTGAAACAAATCCCGCCTTATCCTGCTGATTATTTTGCGGATAAATCTCGCAGCTCTCCAAAAGGAAGAGGGCACTAAAGTTCAGCTCCCAAAGAGCAGCTCTCCCCTTCATTAGCACATAGAAAGAGGTCTCAAAATGCTATATAATGCATACGTGCGGCGCTGAAGAAATGCATAATGAGGCCGTTCGCTCGGCGAGGAGGGGGGTGATTTTGCACTTGAATAAAGTGACTCCTTTGTGAGCGAATGCAGGATGATGCACACTTATTATTATTAAAGCTCCGTGGGTGAGTGTAGGGGCAAGTTTTCTTCGTCTGCACAGCTGTTCAGCTCTATGACCTGCAAGCAAGGCCGTAATTTTTTCTAAGAGGGTGCTTCAAGAGACTCGAGCGCGCACGAATGTGGGGAGAACGGTAGAAGAAACAAATAAAGGAAAAAACAAGAAAAAGTAGGAATCAGGGTGCAAAATAAATAGGTGAGAAACTGAGTGCAATGAAGGGAAGTCTGAACAAAATGGAGGAACAGCTAAAAGTCAAAGATTGTTTTGTGTGTTTCTGTGAGAGAGAGAGAGGAAGAGGAGGAAGAGAGAGGTGGAAATAACAACCATTAGCGCACACAGGAGGTGTGTGATGGGACCGGGCGATTGTCAGAAATCTAACTGGAACGAGAAACTGTCATCAGCATCCCTCCTGTGTTCTGAGAAACGCGGCAACAACGGCACTTTGAAAAGTTTTCTACCCACCTTCCCCCCTCATGTGCCTTCAAACAGCTGCTGGAGTTACATAATCCTGAGAGGAACGATGAGAACGAGCCAGATCAGAGACAGAGAGAGACGGATAGAGGAACCAAGAGGGAGAAATGTTACCGAACATGTTCTCTGCCAGGATATGATACACACAAACACGCACGCACGCACTCAAACGCTTATCTCATCACAGCCTTAGCCTCCAACTTGAGGACAATTATTATCACTTTTTATGGATCTGTTGTGTAGAAGTTTGGCTGCGATCATAAAAGTGCAGGAATGATATTAAAGTTGAGATTGTCTCAGAGAAAATAAACCCTGCAATTAAAGCTGTACGCAGTAACTTTTGATGAGGGGGAGGAGCATAGGAGACGACTACGTGGGGCAGAGTCACGGAGTCACAGAGTTGTGCAAAGTAAATTTTGAGAGTTTTTCGGGTCGGGTCGAATGTTTTTTACGCACTTCTAACTCAGTTGCCGGACATTTAAAGGATTTTATAAACTCCCTCCGACAAAACCGGACAGTCCCCCAAAAAAGAGGACATGTCCAGGTAAAAGAGGACATATGGTCGCCCTAGAGTAGTGCCAAAAATGACACTCTATAATTAAAGCTGTAGACTGTAACTTTTGTTGAGGGGCAGGCGCATAGGGTTACCATATTCTGAATCCCCAAAAAGAGGACACAGCTACATAGGGCTGGGCGATAAAACGATATATTGATATTAAGTTCCCTCAATATGAAACATGGTCAACATCATTTTCAATAGTCGGCATTCTGCCATGTTTTGGTAGACTATACGAATAGCCAATGAAAAGGGGAGTTGCTTTGGGTCCGCTTCACTCTAAGCCAATCATGTGGTGAATTAGATCCAAGAAGCAAACAACTGCGTAGTAGAAGACAGCAGCTACACTCAACCAGAAATGCAACCACCCCTGGCAGAAATGCAAGTGAAGGCTCAACAGATGACGACATCATTGATAACACCCTACAACTACGTGGGGCAGAGTCACAGAGTCATGCAAGGTAAATTTTAAGATTTTTTTGGGGTCGGGTAGTGTTTTTTAAGCGTTTCTAACTCAGTAAGTCCACACGACACAAACTTAAAACTTCCATTAAAAACCCCGAAGGATTTTAAAAACTTCCCGGTCAAAGCTGGACAGCCCCCAAAAAAGAGGACATGTCAGAGTAAAAGAGGACATATGGTCACCCAAGAGGAGCAGCTAGAGCGCGCCAAAAATGACTCAAACTTAAAGTTCCTTATAGGGGCTTTAACAAATTTTAACGAGGGAAGTTTGAGGCGTGATGCAGGATGAGGAAACACAGACCTCAGCTACAAAGAGAGTTTTTGTGTAAACGGGTAGATGTGCAAACATCTCAGCTTGTCTTGAAAATGGCTCTACCTCAGCCTCGGATGTTTCTATCCTGAAATGTGTCATTCCTGCTGTCTCCTCACACGACGTCTTTACCCCGGAGCTAGCTGGAAAAAAATGCTGATAAAGTGAAGAGTGACAATTTCAGCTGCTCGCCTTCGCACCTGTGCAACCAACCTTAAAGTTTGAGGAAGTTTTCAGGAGATCTGTGCACGTGCGAACACGGCTAAAGAGTCAGAAATAAGCGGAGTTAAACGATACCATGTGCACAATCTCTCCGTTATGAAGTGATGCAGCGAAAACCTCTTCAGTCCCACACACGCCTGTAAACACAGAACCACATGGACCCGAGGAGCTGAAGTGCGTGCATCCATCCAGCAGGCAGGTATGAGGTCAGCGGGCTGTGAGGCTCAGGTGCGGGAACATTCCTCCTCCTACACATGCACACATCATTATCTTTCCTTGAACTTTGACCTCTTATCTCGCTCGCTAATGACAGCCTGCTGAAATCTGTCTGCGATGGCGGTGTGACTGATTTTACAGGATGGCGAAAATCCCCGCATCCCGTCTCATGCTAGGTTGCATGTGCGTGTCTGCCGACATGCACGTGTGCGTTCCTTCATGTGTGTGTATGTTTTGCTCGACTGCCTCCACACGCTGTGGACACAAAGTGAGTTCTTTGCCTGTGAATTAGCTTCCATAGCAACTAGAGCCACACAGCCAGCCGGGCAGGCCGGCGGCGGAGCGAAAGAACGCCGCTCTGCTTGTGTGATCTGAACGTGGGCCCAGGCCTGGTGCCAAATCCGGGTACGGCAGGCACGCTGGCATGCTGTCGGGCACAGACAATGGGGTGTTGCTGCGGTGGTGAAAGGAGGGCTGGTGATGTTGTGGGGTTTGGATCAGAATGTGCGCTGGTATGTGGATGGCGGGCGAAGTCAAAAGCAGCCGCTTTGTCTGTTTGACGCCGCTTCAGCTCGTTTCCCAATGTTCCTCCTGTTTCATCGCTATTTTTGTTTGCAGCTAAGTGTCTCTCTACTTTCATCCCCTGCTCTCTCTCTGTTTGCTTTCCTGATCTTATCACTCCATCTCTCTCTCTCTCTCTCTCTCTCTGTTTGTTTTCCTCCTCTCTCCTCTCTCGGTGTCTCTCTGAGATAGAGGTTGCGGCATTGCGGAGGTGGATGTAGTGCGGGGGCAGAGGAGATTTTTTTTTTTTTATCAGAGTGTTATTGTCAGAGCAGGCCCATCACCTTGGATACACACACACACACACACACACATGCACCCACACACACACACACCTCAGACGTCAAACGCACGTCAGACGCTAACTACTAACAGTAAACATTGAACAAAAAAACAAGAAAGGCTGCGCAGACTGGACCCAACGGGACGCAGCTCACATGGCGAGCGGGACCAAAACAACCAAACTCTGTCGCACAGAGAGGAAAACAACCTCCACAGCGCGGACGTCACTCTCTGACAGCGTGTTGGCCTGTGAACTCGATGACGGCCGCGTCCCTCTGCGCCGCCCCGGTCACTGGGTGAGCGGGCACAAAAGGCGGAATCCGGCTAATTGCTAATGTTCCCATGCGGAGAAAACAAGAGGGAGATGCTAATGACCTCTCACTCTGATGTCTATCGACTGACCGAGCCGTAGCCATAGTAGCCAGAGCACGCACACACACAAACACACACGAATGAGAGTCACCTGAGGCCGAGATGTGGGATAAGCCTGAGTCCGTATTTGAAATTAAATTATGATTTGATATCATCAATTATCTCACTTGTTAGAGTGTATTTCCGCTTTGGTGAGCAAAACATAATGAATGCAGAGAACGGAGCGGCCGGGCTATTCTGTGTTTTAATATCGGGCTTTATTGTACCGATCATCTCTTTTGTGCGTGTTAACCACGTGTGCTGAGCTTTCACACAAAGAAACGGGAGGAAAAGAGGAGAGTGAAGGCTGCTGAGGAGAAGTGGAAGCACCTGGGAGTGTGTAAGAGTAGTAATCAATCACATACGCGCACGCACATATACATTAACACGGGAACACGCGAGCGTGCGTGAAGCACAGCTGGGCCGAGGAGAGCCATCTGTAACATCGCAATATAGCGCTGAGTGTGTGTAAGCGTGTTGATCATGTGTGTCTGTGTGGGTTTTTGAATTTGCTCCCATGTTAGCGACGGCACGCATGTGCATGCAAGCAAAATCAAGATCAAGTTTCATTTCACTCAACCGTGTCCCTCCTTACGGTGCAGAAACACACACATGCATGCTCACTAACACACACACACACATCTCACACGCATCACACAGCAGCTCATGCATAAGCATCAACTCTCACCTGCAGCCGCGGACTACACGGCAATGCATACTAAAAAGAGCGGGATAAGAAAAGGGCAAGGAGCAAAGAGAGATGGATGAGACAAGCGAAGGATGGAAGGAAGGAAGGAAGGATGGATGAATGTGGGGGGAGGGGGCCGCCGTGGCAGAGGTTTGTTCGGCCAAGGGAGATCTGTAATGAGATCTCAGTCAGACACTTATCCAGACTGGATAACAGAGGAGCAGCAGGGAATGCATTAGAATGCATTAGCCTAGCTGGCTAATATCAAAATCCGTGTCAGTGTTATTAGCATGAAGCGCCACCTAACACTCTCGCGCACACATCGATCTCCCTGAAAAACAACCAGCCTCGTCATCTGAGGGGGGGGGGGGGGGGGGTAGAATTAGCTAAGGCTGGCAACAATTCACAGCTACCTAAGCACTTTTCCCCCCAGCGTTAAATGAGAATAGGTTGTTGTTGTGTTAGCTTGTATCAGAGAGTGAGTCACAAGCTTAGCCTGGGAGAAGCCACAGCACAAATTTAAACATCAGAGCAGTCAATAAACCCTAGGCTATCTCCGTGGCCATATTTATTCATGTGGTTTGACACCCACAAACACACACACACACACACACATATAATGAAAGTACTCGTGCACAAACTGGAGCACAGATGAGCAAGTGCCTCTGATGTATATTTTAAGGACAGGGTTGGCAGTTTTCTGTGTTTCTCCTAATGTCAACAAAGCCTGTGGAAGTTTAGTCCTCTGTGTCGCTGATGTCTATTGATGCCGAAAAACTAATAACAACTAATCAGTGATCTACTCAAGTACACTAGACAATATATTTAAGTTATATATTATATTATTTAAGTTAAGTTTTTTTTTTTTTTGGTAGGATGGTAGGGGAAGGTCCCGCCCTCGTTCGCCTCTGATTGCTGTGCTGGGCTCCGATTGGTTATTCCTAATGGCTGTGAAATGTCATCGTCTGTCGGGTTAGGGTGAATGTTAGGAGATTTAGAAGTGCGATAATGTTCTGTTTGACGTACAGAGCCGACAGCTCGCGTTTGGCTCAAGCGTGTGATGACGTTTCCAGCTTTTCTAGCCAATCAGAGGCGAAGGAGGCGGGACTTTCTCCTACCTTCCTACAAAAAAAAATATTGCGCCCCAGACAGCTCCTAATAGTAAATCTCCTGCTCCGCATCTCCATCCAATCACCTCGCTGTATTCGACACACTTAATATGAGTGGACTAACTATCCGACTAATCATTAACGAGTATTACTCCGCCACTGAAAGTAGTCCCCGATGTTTCTGGTGATGCTGTTTTAAGCTAAAGTGAGGAACTTTTAATGTGTGTCATTTTTGGCGCCCCCTGTAGACAAAGAGGTGCGTTTTCTTCTTTCTCCGTCTGCATAATTAAATAAAGCTCAAACAGAAATGTTCGTTCACGCTGCAGATTCTCTCTCTCGCTCTCTCCATCCTCATAACTCCTGTTTCTCTTTCTCCTCCTCTTATTTTTTGTTATATTGCGGATATCGAGGAAATCAGATATCTTCTCATCCTTCCACGCCTCTCCTCTCCTCCTCATATTTCGACTCACTTCTCCTTCCTCGCCTTAAATTTCCCTCTCTGTATCTCCACCTCCTCTCCTTAACGGCTCCATCTTTCAATATAGCGCTCTGCTCTGCAGCCCCCTCCCCTCTCTCTCTCCGAGTTACCCCAATCTCCCTCTCTTTATCTTCTCCGTCTCTCCCTCTCCGGCTGACTCCATCTTCCTCTGTTCCTCTCTTCCGCTCCCCGTCTCCTTTTACTTGAACCTTTTATGCTCTCCCTCTCTTCCTCCGTCTTTTTCTCTCAGTTTCGTCTCCTCTCCCTGTTCCAGTCTCTCCATCATTCTCTCTGTCAACATCCTTCACCACACCTCATCCATCTCCCTCTCTCTCTCTCTCTCTCTCCCGGTCCTGCCTCTTTCTCCTCTCCTTTTCTTTTCCCCCCTTTTCCGCCTTCTTCCGTCTTCTTCAGCTCACATCTGCAAGTCTGACACTAATCTTCCCCCTTTTCAGCATGCTTTCCTCACCCCCATTACACTTCATTATTGGGCCTGTTCTTTTTTTATCACTCTTCCACTTCTCCGCCCCTTTATCTCACATTCGGGATGACGCATGGCTGCATATTTCTGTCTCATTCAAGCGGCCACATGCTCGCACACACACCTTCATCCCTGTTAATATATTCAGCGTGCATAATGTCATCGTCAAGGTTAACAGCTGAGGTGCTAACAGTGAGAGGAACCGGGTGTTATGGGTACTGTAGGAAAAACAGAGCTGAGGGTAATGATTCCGATCGGTGAATATTTGGGGGGTGTTACATGATGACCTTTGGTATAAATCATCAAAAATAATTTTAAAGGATCTCTGATGAGCCTTTAATCAAACGCTAATTATCCTCGTGAATGTTTGGAGCTGAAGGCAATCAGCTGAGGAGAATTTCATGCCGTTTTAGCTTCAGCCACTCTATCTTTGTCCTCTCGTTTATGTTCATTAACGTGAGGAGCCGCCATTGTTCCATGGATAATTCATTGACATGCGTGGCATCATCGGCGGCGGCGCTCCTGCATCCCTCCGTCCGTCCGTGTGTGTGTGTGTGTGTTTGTTTGTGTGTGCGTTTCTGAGCGTGTATCCATTCACAGCAGTCGGCGCACAGATGCAAAAGGCATGACAAGAAAATAACCTTTCCTCCCTCCCTCCTCGCTCGTCTGTGGCGATGACGACGAGACGCCTCTCTTGCACTCGTTCCCCCTCTATTTTTATCATCCTGACACCCCCCTCTTCCTCTCTCTTCCTCTCTCTCTCTCTCTAGCTGTCTGTCTCTCACTCTTTCCGTCTCTCTGTCCTTGGGTGTCTGCAGCCAGCTGTGTCTTCGGGCCATTAGAGCCCTCCCCTCCCTTTTCCCCTCCATCCATTTTCCCCATCACTGATTCCTCCAGCAGACTTTCCCCCCTCCCCCATGTCGCTCTCTCTCCTCCTCTTTTCCTCCTCCTCCTCCTCCTCCTCCTCCTCCTCCTCGTACTCCTCTGTCCCTGTGACCACTGGGGCTCCATTGTCACGGCAACTGCTGCTGATGGTCTCCTCCACGCTTCGGCATTCCTCTACGCCACTGCACCAAAATAAGACGGCGTGCGCGGACGCGTCTGTAAACATCTGCATGCAGACACCTGCGCAGATCTACAGAAAACAACATATAATTTCATTAAAATAGAAACACATTACGCCACGGCGCCATATGCACGCCCACACACACACCGTCAAATCCACACAGTCAGCGTTCTCCCCTCTCTGTTTATGTAAACATCTTGTTGCCTCCTGCGACTGCCTCCTGTTATGAAAAGTTATTGCGCCGCATAATGTAGCGTCATTTACTTCTCGGCACACCTGCCCTAACTCACTCATCATAATAAAACCGTGATTGATCCGCGCTCCCCTGGGTGTGCTGATGCTGAGAAAGTCTTCGGCCTTGGAGGAGACGGAGCGGGTTGTCTTTGAGAAAGTGGGCCAGGGGTATCGTGTCCCCGCCGCTTCGGTGCTGTCAGCAGAAGAGAGAGGCGAGGCGGGACGGATGTGACGCAGACGATGATTACTGTTTCCACCTCCTGGTTCCTTCAGGAGATAATGACGGAAATTTGATTCTGATATGAGCGAAGTTAGAAAAGATTTGGACGGAGCTTTCTCAGAGAGGATAATTTAGTACTTTTACCCATCGAGACAGCGTCTAAAGGCGTCATCTTTCTCCAGGTGATGCACAGTCCTGCTGCAGACTTTGCAAGAACCTTTAAGTCAGTAACCCGCACTGCACAAAAGAAAAAACGAAAAAACAGCACAGGCGAAGAGGACAAACATGATTATGAAAAAAAAATGCACGTTAAATAATGTGTTCATGCAGGTTCTCATTATACTCAGTGTGTTAACTTTGTAACCCTGAACTTAACACACAACCTTTGTTTACAAAAAAACTCCACAGGGCTTCTCGGATTTATCTCGTGACCCTTTATGGGGGTCCAACCTCAAGTTAAGAAACCACCAGACTAAATTCAGTCCTGTTCCTGAAGCTCTTCGCTGATGTTCGAGAAACGCAAAAGGTTAATGTCGAAATTTTACAGAAAAATCTCCTAATTCAGGCCACAGACCGGGAGTAGCATGTGTCTGCAGACCCAGAGTCCGCAGATTCAGGGCCATATTTCTGTAACTGCAACTCTGAGACCCTGTAGGGGAGACTGGGGTAAGTTGAGCCACCCCCCGTCGCTTGGAAATGGTCGATCATGTGACCAAATATTTAGGAGATGGACATCAATTCATGGAGTCTGTGAAGGTTAGAAGCACATGAGTGAAGAGGTTAGACATTTATTTACAAAAAAAAAAAAAACATTTTTCACTCTTGATCATAAGTTTTATTTGAAGGATACGGATAGTAGGGATACGGCTCAACTTATCCCACTCCTATGGTCAACTTACCCCATACACGGGGTAAGTTGACCATAGGAGACCACTTTTTTTGGCATGTTATATTATCAAGACAGTTCTGTTTACTCTCATTCTGTTGGTTTGCAGGGATGAACAACATCCTGAAATATCTGCAGATAAACTAGTTAGAGACAAAACTATGATTGACTTGATGTAGTGATCTGAAATATGAAAAATGGCTCATCTTACCCCACTCTCCCCTCTCCCCTACTGCTTGCTGAAGACCACTAGAACTGCAGTCCTACGATTGTGGTCTTGAAACTGCAGCCTCCATCTCTGCAGACTGCGCCTGGTCGGTGCCTCATATAGGTGAATCTTTACGCCCCTGACAACCACAGAGTGACTTATTGTCATCACTGCTCAATGCACAGACACACACACACACACACACACACACACACACACACACGTATATTTCAGGTCCCTTTTAGCCACTAAAGGACAAATAAATGGGTCATTCAGGAAGAGTGTACCATTCACACTGACATACACAAAATGATGGCCCATTGCATCATCTGACACCCCCACCCCCCCTTCCTCTCAGCGTCCCCCTCCTCCTCCTCCTCCTCTTTCTTCTCCCCATCCTTCCATCCATCCATCCATCTTCCCTCCTTCATTCACTCTATTGATTGAGCCTTTCAATTTCCGGCTGTAATTCAACGACACTGTTGCACTTGAATATGTAAATGAGCCCATGGGGGTTGTCTGTGCTGCTGTTGTCATGGTAACATCTCATCAAACACAGGGACGCACACACACACACACACACAGGACAGTGTCTCGCACAAATACACAACACACACACACGTACAACGTCCTCCTTTGGGGTTAGGAAGGAGAGACAAGGTGAAATGTGTGTGTGTGTGTGAGTGTGTGTTTTGTGCTGATGTGAAACCGAAACTCTGACAGTGGCATGAGATTTGGCCGGGGCTAGAATGACCTCACTGTACCCTTGGGTGTGTGTGTGTGTGTGTGTGTGTGTCTTTTTCATGTGTGTGTGTGTTTGATAGAGAAAAAGAGAGAGAGAGAAAGAGAGCGAGGAGAAAATTCCTCTGATGATGTCCGCAGCCTGGCCTCGTGCTCTTTGAACGCCCTCCCCTCACCTCCCTCTCTTCCTTTAAAGACCCCCCTCCCCTCCCCTCCCTCCTCCTTTTCATCTATATCTCCCCCATCTCTCCCCCCCTCCCTCTCTCCCCTCATGCCATGTTTGTGCGGCCCTTTAATCGCGCTGACAGGAGAACAGCGCTCTGTGTGGCTCCTGCCACCATGCGTGCACAGAAACACACCGTGAACATCAACACATGCAGTATTAATACGTCCTCCACGCGCTTTTCCTCACGTGCACGCTAATGAACTCCTGGACGCACGCACACATACACACATTATCAGTCTTAAGTGTTGAGCCTCGTAATGCCCTCCTCTCCCCCTGTGCCACTCTGTCCCTTTACGTTGCTTCGGGGACATTTTTAGGTCACGAGTATGTCACACCAATCTGTGTCTGTGTGTGTGTGTGTGTGTGTGTGTGTGTGTGTGTGTGTGTGTGTGTGTGTGTGTGTGTGTGTGTGTGTGTGTGTGCACAGGGGGGCTGGGAGAGTATCTGTGTTTACTGCAATATGTGTCTTCATCTGTGAGTTTGTTTGGAGATATGTGTTTGAGTTTATATATTTGAGCATACAAGAGGAAAACATGCAGCATACGCCGGCAATGGTTTTAAGATTACTGACATTTCTTTGGCTGTAAAGTTTTCGTGAAGCGTCTCGGAGGATAAAAAGTTAAAGGTCATAACTGACACCAACTTCGATTTGTAAAGACCGCACGAACAAGAGGGATTCAAATCAGAGAGGTGAAGAAAGAGCTGTGATACCATTATGAAACAGAAGAGGGCGCTTTTAGCCTTTGACTAGTATTAAGTTAGCTAATGGAGCGCTCACAACAAGCGCAAGTAAAATCATCTGCTCGCTTAATTCGCGCAAATCTAGACGCGTATTTACTCGCTTCATTTATGTGTCAACGGTATCAAGTGATAGAATTTGTTTTTTTTCAGTTTACCAGGTAATCCGACCTCCTCACTCATCTGCCTCCAGGTGAGCTCCTTTTTGTTCCAGTGCTAGCTCTGCAAGGGTTAAGCTCCTTTCACACCGGGAGCGATTATTTCAGACGTCTATATTTTTTTCGAACCCGTATCCTGTCAATACAAGCGTTCACATCAGCGACGTTTTGCCGTCCTGCAATATTGCAGCATTTATTTTTTCGTATCACGGACGATTTTTTCTAAAGCTTCGCATACTGTGTGTCCACTTCCGACCAATCAGATTTCGTGTTGTTGCGACGTCAGATTCACTGGTATATCCAACATAGCCGACTGGCTGATTGTTTACGTGTCGGAGAACAGGGTGATTTTTGATAAAAGACACAAATATTACAAAGATAACGACCTGAAGGACGACTTGTGGAGAGTTATAGCGTCTGATTTCTCATCTGACGATGGTTTGTGTGTTTTAACAGTTTGATAAACGTCTTTGTTTTAACTCTCATCTGTGCTAAGTAACTTTAGCTTGTAAGCTAACCTGTTCAGATACAACATACCATATGTATTTTCACTGTCTCAAACTCAATTGCGTTGCTGTCACAGCACCATTAGGTCTCGGTTGTTACCTTACATTTATGGATTATAGTTTAATGTGCTTATCTGTTACTGACCCCGACTCAGTACATGCTATCATGACAGACAGTCATCTTAACACTAGAGTCTAATCAGAACTGAAAAACACTCAGCCTGCTGTTGGGTCAGTCTTCTCGCTTCCACCCAGGAAGTCGCAAAATAGCATTGGGCTTGATGTGTATAGTCAGGCGCATCAAAATTCGCCTCCAAATATTTCGTAATATCGCGTCGTAATTTTGCGTCGGTCCCGGTGTGTAAGGAGCTTTAGATCAAATTGAACAAACTGTGCACAATTTTGACTTTTTTCTTACTAATTATTTGGTCATAATTTCATATTTCCATTTTACACCCTTGAGATGAGTCACTTTGAAGCATCTCTGGCTACGACGCCAAACACTTTCACAGTTGATCATTCACTTAATTGGTTTTTACTACTCCTGTGTAATCCCAGTATCTCTTGGAAGAAACTTTTGTGTCATGCTTGTTATCAAAACAAAATTAAAGTAACCAAAGGAGCAGGCATCAAAACAAACAGATTTATGAGGCCGTCTCTTCTTTTTTTAAAGCTTGAACAGACTCTGAGTTACTGTGAAAAAAGACAAAAATTTTGGACCGTGAACACAGCGTGTTCGCACAATGACGAGAGTGTGCGCTCCATCCTTGAAACAAACCTGGTTAATTCCTTTTAAACACACAGGTAGAAGATTTCTTTGAGCCTTTGGTGTTTAAAAAGAAAGAAAGCAGTTGTTTAAAATCAATGCAAAGCTGTCTCTCTGCCTCCCTTAACGGATAAATCATTAATGCAGCTCCAACAAGCCTGGACATTTATCCGAACAATAAGTTGTGTGATGATACGTCTGGGGTAAAAAGCTGGCAGTCTCCTCATCATCAACACGGACACTTCACATTGGGTTTGAACCAAGAAGGAAACGTTTTCTCTCCCCGGTAAAAAAAATAAATCCTGCAAATGTTCTCCACAGTGGTTTCGTTTGAGCTCAATTTTGGGAGGAAGTGGAGAGCCTCGTGGGCATGTATGAGTGAGTTCTTGCGCCCGTGCATGTGCATGTAGGTTTGAGAGCGTGCATGCACACTGCTAGGCAAATGAGCTTGTCAGTATTCGGTGCAGGCCTCTCTCTGGTGGCAGGCAGATGACAGTGCAGTGATTGGGCTGATTTCAGTGAGGACGTGAGGGGAAATCTGAAGGCTGCCTCAGGGCTCAGGTGCTTATCACCTCCCCGCACACACTCGCACGGGCGCCGTGTACGACACTCACACAGGTACAAAATCAACGCTGAACTTTCTGCCTCTGCCCATGATAGTTCCAGACACACGCGTGAAACCAAAGAAATGAGTGACACACACAAACACGCATGCACACTGCAGAGCTAATTATCAAAATGACTCCCGGTCCATCCCCTCTCACATCTGCAGACATGTGTGTGTCTGTGTGTGTGTGAGACCAATTATTAAAGCCCTGGGCAGGCAGGTAAAAAAGAAATTAGAGTTTGTCTGAAGGTCTGCGCGCACTTCCTAAGATGATCATTGACAATTAATTACAGCCCAAATGGCAGGTGGTATCTTGCGCACACAAACACACACCGGCTTTCCAACTCGATCAAGCCATGGTCGTTCATTTCTGTGTCAATCATATTCAGCTTATTTGCATGCTGTTCCAGCTTCCCTCATCTGTTAATGGCCTTTAAAATATGCATAAGTATATTCATTCAGCAGCCAGGCATGCATGTTTTAAGAGTCTGCCAAGGAAACGGTCTCGTGATTGGCAGTTCATTCCTGTGTCAATACTTGAGACGTTTTCCTGATTTAGTTTCTGACAAGAAAACTCTTTCAGTTTACTGTTATACTTGGATAACTTGGAGGCTATCAGCACATGCATGAGGTCCAAACAAGACGCCCATGAGTCGAGTCCACGTAAGATACTTTCTTGTGAGAGCAGCTTTTGGTGTCTTTCTTCTACCACCACCAGAAAAATGTACAGCGACACCAAATGTTCAGACAGACTTCGATTATTTCTACAAATGAGGACGTGGCAGCGTAACTTCTCTGGTGTTTGTCAAGTTAGGCCCATGATACTGAAGTCTAACCCCCAATTTCGAAAAGGTCGTAGGCACCGATCGCAGCTGATCGTTTCTTTCAAGTTAATGTGTCAATTTCCACCGGCTTCTTACCGGCCCCCTGCGTTCAGCGGACTTTGTAGCAGATCGCCAGGGTTCTGCTTTTTCAAGACGCCACAGCATGCCGTATAAATTCAGCAAAGATTAACCCGTGCTGGAAAGGAAGTCGGGCACAGACACAAAATAAAACATCCGGCTTTCAGACGCCATTTCACCCCGTTGACACCATGGATGAGGAGATGTTGATTCTAGAAGTCCAGAAGTAGATCTCCTCCTCTGGAAGGACACAAGCTTATGTGGTTATGTGGCTGTCTTTATAGAGACAACTCGTTATCGTGCGATTGCTTGTGAATCCGTGGGTTCTTGTGATCTTCTTGTGATCCGGTAGGAATCAGCGGACGGTGAAAAAAAGGGGTAATAAACCAAGTGATGAAGGCTCTCAGTGCCACCTGTCTCTGTTGATGGTATCAGCATGGACCAGGGGATGGATCTGGGATGTCAGAGCGAAGTGTAGGCCCAAATTAATGAGACACTGCTGTAGTTAAGTTCCTGACCAACAGGCTCAGTGATGTTTGAGATTATTTTTGCTGTATTCCAGTGTGAAAGAGAAACTAATCTAACTCACCTTTGCACAGGGAAAAGTACGAAGTGCAGACAAAAGTCGGCAAACTAAGTTGGTATTTGTCAACACTTACCAGAAATACAAATAGGCACTTATATTGGTAGGGGCATGAATCATACTAACCAATGCATGCTATGATATAACAACAGAGCAGTATTATACAATATATCATTGTGTAATTGACGCTCAAAGCCTTGAATGTCACATGCCTGCAGAGTGACTCCATACGTGAACTACTGACGGCCTTGGATACATCTGCAGAAGTCGTGCAGCCTCACAGGACTGCGGTTTCACTTCAGTTCTGCTGCAACTTAAAAAAAAAAAAAGAGGGACTCAAAAGAGTGACTGACAGATGACTAAAGATAAATGAGGGTGAAGAGACGGTGAGGGTTTGAGTCTTTTGTGCTGAAAGTGTCTCAGAAGCTGCTGTCCGAGGAAACAGCATGAGAGGAGGCCCGCCTTTTCTGTCTGTGCTCAATCCTGTACGTGTCTGTGCACGTCTCTGTCTCTCTGCATCTTTTCTGCCACTTTCCTGCTTTCTTGTCGTCATCTTTCACTCATCTTCTGCATGTGTGTGCTCCAGGAAAGACTGTAAATTAAACATCTGAGCCTCTCTCTCTCTCTGTCCTTGGCTCTTATTCCTTTGCTCTCTTCCTCTCATGCGCTCACTCAGTCCTCCCCGGCTCGCCCACGACTGTATTTCTTCTTCCTTCTTTCATCTCTGTCCTTCCCCTCTCTTCTCTCTCCGGGCGAGAGACAGAGAGGGTGAGGGATGGCGCGAGGAGGCGGTGGACTGGGGTGGGTGGAGATCATAGAGGAGATGAGGCCGTGTGGTGCGGATGGATAGACAGATGCATTGATAACGGCTGCCGACTCCGCAGCACGCTCGCTGCATATCCGATCTCTCTCCCCTTGTCTTCTCTCTCTCCCTCTCTCGCTCTCGTCTCTCTTTTTCATTTCGGGACTAATGCTCCCGTAGCCTTCAAATGTCAGTTCAGTATGGCAACCTATTAGATGGTTAGCCAGAGTGGCTGACAGCTCTCTCTCTGTCTCGGCCTCTCGCCTCCTCGCACACATTCAGGACGGGATGATTGTCTGAGGCTTTTGCCGTCATTCAGAGCGAGCTGAGAGCAAAATACTCGCTCATATCTTCTATTAGAAACATCACCCCACCCTGCCGGCGGCGGATTCAAAGCTTCCATATTTATCCATCAACAATTAATCACCATAACTTTTAAGAGTGAATTGAAAAGAACCGTAATATCACCAAACGCTCCACCGTCCCTCCAGTTTACAGAGCTTCTCTCAGTCCGCAGTGTTTCGTTTTCAGCTTGATGTTTTGCTTTTTACAGCCCACATCTCTGACTGCTTCCAGTGGCCTCGAAGCAGAAGGCGGATGTTTTCAGCAAATAAAAAAAAACTCTCAAACCACACAGTTCAAGCTCTTTTCAGCGCCAGACAGCTCACAGACCAAGCGGCAAACCTAAGCTGAAAAACAACACCAGCAGGGAAGAGCAAAGAGCTGCAGTTCCATGAGTGTCCACTCGAGGCTCTAAAAGCCAGTGCAGTCCCCTAAACATCTTAAATTTTTGCAGCGTAGTTAGCTTACAGGTGGGCACATTGTGGTTGTTTGCCAGGATAACAAACTCCCACTTAAGCTCCACCTCTTTGATTATCTCTATGTTAGCTTGTTGAGTCAGCATTTCCTCTGAAACCAGTGAGTGATGTCAACACGACCACATCCATGTTTCGCACAGTCTATGTGACAGACATGATTAGAACTTTACATTTAAACTGTATTTATCCGCTCAAACTCAAAATATACAGCGTACCAAGTCATCTGAAGTATTTTAGCATTTAAGCGTAACCTGACCATCGAATGCATTCTTGACTTTGGAGGACATGTGCGCACAATTAGCACACCAAAACATCTACATCTATATTTACATATGAGCAGGTCCACTGTCACCATCTTGCGCCGCCATGTCTCTACAGTGGCTCATGATGGACAAAATAGTGACACAACTGTTTTTGTATTTCATGAGTGGAAATGCAAAACGCACTGAAAAAATGTTTGCATATTTATCATGGATTACAAGAGCTTCTAGTCCTTGAAACCACCTTTGCTTCACCAGCAGCAGGGTAGAGTAAAGGAGTTTTTCAATCCTAAATTGGTTCATTAGATATCGCTTAATAAACACACAGTCCCTTCAAGCCAATTTGGATTGGTCTGAATTGAATCAGCTTTGGAAATGACTCAATCTGGTGATATTTTTGCACCGTTTTACATATTCAATTTGTTGTTTTTGTGCTTATTTTTAAAGAAAAAGATATCACAGTGAATAGGGTGACCGTATTCTGAACCCCCAACAAGAAGATACAACTACCAGTAATTTTGAGAGTTTTTTTGGGTGGGATCCAATGTCTTTTACACACTTTTGACTCGGTAAGTCCCCATGACACAAACTCGAAACTTCCATACAAAAACCGCAGACATTTGAAGGATTTTATAAACTTCCCCGGACAGCGCTGGGCAGCCCCAAAAAAGAGGACATGTCCTGGTTAAAGAGGATGTATGCTCACCCTAACAATGGATACTGAACGTGGTCATTAATGACTGAATTCTAGTACTGACTTAGCCCTAGTGGTCAAATATATATTGCATCCTGACCAGAATTTCAACTTTAAAGCGGCATATATATTTGACTCTGAGGTTGAAATTTCTTAAATGTCAGTATATCCTGATAAAAGCTGACCAATTAGAGGTCATTAGGAAAATATTTATAATATGAAGTAATTGAACTAGCTTTGCTTTGACCAACACTGACATTAACTTGGTGTTAGACTCAAATTAACTCGTAGTAATCCATTAAAACACAGTAATACAGCACCGGCAGGAGCCATTATGACGTATAATGAGAACAATTTGGATGTATGAGAACATGTGTGTTTGTGCTCATACTGGAGGTAGAATAAGTATACTCTGAGGTATTGATAATTTTATCTAAGTATTGAATATGGCTGTAGAGGAAATACATCAGCAAACAGGGATACAGAGGCAGTTATATACATAAACAGAGGGAGAGTGAGAGAGCGGCATGAAACAGAGGATTAGGGGCTTAGTTAGCCTGCATGAAATCCCCTTTTCCTCTCCCGCCCTACAAAGGGAAGACGGCAATTGTCCACGTTTTGTGAAAAGAAGGGGAGAAGGAGAAATGGGGGGAGGAAAGAGAGGAGGACGCATCCATCCATCCATCCATCCATCGCTGTTGTTTTTCTATGTTTCCCCCATGCTGCTCTGCATGGCTGCCACCCCACCTGTGACATCACATCTATCAATACAGGAGGTGTTTTTCTCCTTTTTTTTTCATGTTTGGCAAAAAACGAAAGGAGGAAAGGAGGAAGGGAGGAAGGGAGGAAGGAGTGACATTGGCCTTGAAACCTGCTATTGTCTTGCCTCCAGGACGGCCAGCAGCCAACCAGGCAGCTCAGAGAGAGAGAGAGAGAGGGAGAGAGAGAGAGAAAGAAGGGGGGACAAGGGGAGAGACGGTTGCCATGGTTACTTCCCGGGAGATGCGAGCACACTTGTTTATCTGTTGGCCGAGGGAGCGTGCACGGCGGGCCCTCTCACTGAGCAGATGTGTTTGTGTGTACATGTGGGTGTGATAGAGAGTGTGTGTGTGTGTGTGTGTGAATGAGACTGGACGCGCACACGCAGACACACACACACACACACACACACACACAAGGACTCATAAACTGAGCCTTCCACGGGTATCTTTGTAAACAAACCTCCACACACACACAAACACACACCTGCTCAATAGAGCTCCAGCTTACCTGCTCGGTTTTATTGAGCCAACAGGAGTGGACTGATGCAAACTAATTGGCCTGGTGTGAGCTGAGACGCCTGCTGAAGAAATCAGACGAGAACGAGAGAGAGGGAGAGAGAGAGACAGAATTAGAAGGATGGAAGATAAAAACAGACAAAAGGGAGAGAGAGATCGCTGAATGACGGAGAAAGAGGGGAAGGAAATGAGAGCTGAATGAGAAAAAGTCAGACAAAAAAGGAGGGAAAGAGGATGAGGTGTGGTGTATAAAAGGGGGTGTTGAGAAGGAAATGAGACAGGAGGGAAAAAAGAGGTGTAGAGGCTCAGAAAGGGGAGATGAAGAGCGATGAAGAGGCAGAATGAGAAAATGACAGCAATCCAGGCTCTTGAAAGGAAGTGAAAAGGACAGAAATATGAAGAAGCACCTGACTCGAAAGGCAAAAAAAAAAAAAAGAGATGAAAACAACAAGACAATCGGAGGACTGATGAAAGGGGAACATCAAAATAAGAGGGAGAAAATACAGCGTGATGACACGACTTATGATGTGACGAGATGCGAAGAGACGAGTGCAAGCCGAGGCGCGCTGCCATGTTAGCAGAGAGAAGCCCCAGTCCTGCAGAGCCGACACTGCGGGCACTGTAGTATGTCAAATGTCACAGACACTAAGCCACAAGGCTGCACAGGCTCTCTCCCTCTCTCTCACACACACACACACACACACACGTCATCAGACACAGACGCCCCCACAGAGGCACACAGCCTGCTTTCATGTTTGTGAAATCACACGCATTGGAGTTTGTTTTAGTCGAGCAGACTTGACTGAACCACGGCTATGCAAGGACGGAATTTACAGCAATAAAACGAGACTCGTTTTTTTGATTTAAGAAGCTGCATGTGCACATTTTACATATCAGATGGACGTCTGTGTGAAAGGGTCATGCTTAGGGCTGGGCAAGAAACTGAAAATTCACTGATACTGAAATTTACGACAATAACTGACGTCATTTTGCCCATATTGGTATGGTCGGTCATTGTCGTAGATGTCGTAGTCATGCATCAGAGATGTGACTCCACCCCATGCAGTCCATAACAAAGAGGGAAAGACAGGTGAGGAGATGGAGGACGGTTCAAAAGTTGGAGCGGCTGAAGTAGACAAAGTTAATGTGGGAGGGGGTGAGCAGCTTGTGGAGTAGTTATCGTCCGTTTATCGTGATCGAGGTGAACTGATCAATATATCGTGACATTGATTTGAGGCCATATCGTCCAGCCCTAGTCATGCTTAAACAGCCAGAAAGGGGCCCAAGTAACTGCAAGCTACTTAAAAGTGACCTTTAAGCCATAAAACATAGAAGTTGGATCTACTCTCAGTCGCAGCTGCAGATCTTTGTTTTTATTTTTGATTTTGTCTACATCCTGAATGCAGCAGAGGTGTCGAGTCAAAGCAGAAAATCACTCCCCTCTTCTTAAAGATCTGTCGTCTTCTCTTTAAAGAGGTGTTTCATTAGGTATGTTGCAGCGTGTGATAACTATCGATTCTTCCTGTTCCTGCTTTTTTTTTTTGCACACCTAAACCTGCTTGTTTCGTCAAAAGACTTTGCACGTGCTTTATTGACAATGCTACGTGTGATCCTCTTTTGTGCCGCCTGATCATTCAGTGTGAGGATGTTGATTTCTTGTTTTAATGCACCAAAAAAACTAAGAGATACAGCAGAAATTCTTTGTGGGGACACGCAGCAAAAAGTCAAACTGAGGACCAAATGCTCATCCAGGCCAAACAGAACCACAGAATCTGTCGAATCTCTACTACTAGAATTGATCAATTTGACGGCACAACATGCATAACCTGGCAAAAATGACGTAAACAACCTGAATGGTGTCGCAAAGAGGCACATGCAAGATGAGGACAGCTGCCATGTTAGCAGATTATGCAGAGCGGACTTCACAAAGAGTATCGGGAAACAGACGAGGGGGGGAAACTCAACCACAGAGAAAGAGTGACTGGTGTCAATCGGAGGAAATGTCCTCTGGTGCGTTGACACTTTTCTCAGAATAAGTCCAAAACAGAAACTGTCCTCTTTAATTTATCAGACGTTACAGACATGTATCTGTACTTGGACTTCTGCAGAGAGGGAAACGTGGACTTACAAACAGCTGCAGGTTCTCTGGGGTTCTCTGTAGCAGCACTGTTGTCCCCGGACACTGAGACCTATTATCGTGTGTCTTCATTTGCACAGAGGAAACTTGAGTAGAAGTGTGCATCCTCACATGTATGTGTGTGTTTGTGTGTGTGTCCCTGTTTTTTTTTTCTATGTGAGGTGAGGATAAGAGTCACCCTCCTTAAAATAACAAGCTAGCCCTTTCCCCCTAGGACGGAAAACAGCCATCCAGGATGCTGCCTGATCCGGGGCCGCCCTAGTTCACTGCTCAATCCATCTCCCTCTCTCTCTCTCTCTCTCCCTCTCTCTCTCTGTGAATCACACACACAAAGTCAGTCGTGGCCTAATAAGCGGGGTGTCTCTTCTTTCTCTCGCTGCTCTCTGCTGCAGAATCACACATGACAGAGGATTGTCGGTTGCCCACTTCCCTCACTGGACGACCTTCATGGCGCTCGCTGTGCTAAAAAAGCCCAGAACATTATCAAAGACACCTCCCATCCTGGTCACCTCCTGTTTGAACTTTTGCCGTCAGGCAGACGCTATAGGACAATCAGATCCAGAACGAACAGACTTAAAAACAGTTTTTTTCCGTCAGCAATAACTACCCTCAATGCCTTAAGGAAGTGACTGAATACCTATTTACTCATTTACTTTATTTATTCGGAACTTATTTATTTATTTAGAACTGCTATTTATTACTGTATTTGTTTTTAATGATGCACTGACTGTCTGGCATTTTTTTAATTTCGTTGTACTGGTTACAATGACAATAAAGGACTATTCTATTCTATTCTACGACCACGAAGCTGCAAACACACCAACTGTCGCTGACATACTAGAGACACATGCGAACACGACAGAGCACCTCCATCTCCACCTCCACCTCCAGCCAAGTTTAACAAGCTCTAACAGGCAGCGGTCAGCAGACCAAAGCTCATCTATCCGGCGAGCTCTAATTTTTATCAGCTTGTGCACTTCAGCAGCAGATCCCTCAGCTCTGTCTCACTCGCCGTGCAAGGGACACTACGAGAGAACAGGCCTCACTTACTCAATTAATAGCTCTCTGTGTGCATGAGCTGATACTGAAATATAGCACACGCAGTGCCAAAACTGAAAAGAGGGAATAAATAAACAGCAGCAAATGGTTTTAAGGACTTAGCAGCGTCTAATTTGCAACTAAGAAGGTTTTTATTGCATAAAAAATGAGGATTGTAAGAAAATTTGAGAAGGAGGGAAGAATACAGGCGAAGCAAAATCTCATTATGCCCTGGATTTTGTGGCGGTATCAGTGTGTGCCGGAGAAAACACATAAATTCTTCATGTGCTTATCTTCCTTGACCTGCATGTGTCTGGATCGAGGGATGTACGCGTGTTTGAAGGTGTGTTCGCTTTCATATGTGTGTGCACGAGTGTTTTCTCCCTCGATAGGCGAAGTTATGAGCCAGCCAGGCCTGCGGGCTGCTGGGCTGTATGGAAATGAGGAGAAACGCCGCTGAGAAGCAGGTGATGGAGGAGAAAAGGGGGAGGAGAGGGAAGGAAAGGGAGTTGGATAATGAGAACTCTGATGAGACGGTACGGAGAGCCCTGTGAATAGAGATATCTACGAGATAGAAAGAGGTAAAATATGAGAGAACAGCAGGACACGGGGAGGTGGAGTAGGGTTATGAATGGAGAAGCGAGAGGGGGAAACAGCTGCCACTAGTGGTCGCACGTGAAATACAGAGATGTAAAGGAGGAAGAGGAGACGATGAAGGGAGAAGTGAGGAATTAAAAGAAGAGGGCAGGTAGAGCTTCAACTCTTACAGGATGAGAGGATGAGAGGGTTGGGCAGAGCGGTCGCAGGCGTTAAATAAGAGAAAACAAGATGAAAAATAACATCACGCTGGGGAGACAGAGCTGAAGACAGAGCAATTTAGCCAAAACAGAGAGAAAGAGAGCATGAGGGGAGAGATAAAAACTGAAAAAAGAGGAGGAGGAGGCCAACAGACTGATACAGAGCGAGGAGAGAGACGAGGAAGAAGGAGGAGGAAGAGGAGGAGGAGGAGGAAGAGGAGGGCGCTGGCAGTGGCAGAACACGGGTGCAGGCGTGGAGACTGTGGCATGCAGCTCAAGTTGGCATGGACTCTATCACACACTCTCAGGCCTGGGCACAGGGCCCTCAGTGGCAGAAAACACACACACACACGCACACACACACACACACACACACACACACACACAGGCAGATCAAACACAAGGACATTTCTCTAAGTCGTCTCCACACACACATGCGGAGGGCGGAGAGAGAAAAACACAGAGCTCAGACACAGCCTGATGCACACACACTCTCAATTAGTCGCAGACCCACACACACACGCACATATGAAGGAAAAAAGACGGATGGATGAGTGTGTGCATGTGTGTGTGTCTAATTGTGCCAGCGCTGCCAGAGCAGAATGAGGGATGGTGTCTCAAAGCTGCTGCTGCCGCTAATAGCCGCTGACTGGAGGTGACAGGCTCCCTCTCTCCCCCTCTTTCTCCCTCTCTCCCTCTTCTGTGTCTCTCTTTCCTCTTTTTTTTTCTCCATCCAATCAGCAGTCAGCACATCTGTCCGTCCCGCTTTCCCTCAACCCAGTTCAGCTCATCCTCTCCCCCTTTGTTTCCCCCTCGTCCCCTTCTCCCTCTCATATCTCTCCCCTTGCCCTTTTACCCTCGAACCACCTCCCCCACCTGCATCCTCCTCCTCCTCCCATCACGCTTTCATCTCCGCTCCTCCTTACCCCCTCCTGCCCGCCACCTTTCATCACTTTCTCTCTCTTTTTCACCCCCCCTTTTCCCTCGCTCCCTCGGCTCTGTCCTCTCCAGCCGGTCCTGATGATGCACAGGAGATGGCTCATGCATGAGTGATTGCATGTGCATGTGTGTGTGTGTGCGTGCGCAGACACAACCATAAACATAAAATGAATGTTGTCAGCATAGAAAATGTGTGTGTGTGTGTGTTCGTGTGTTCGTGTGTGTGTGTGTGTGTGGGGGTGGTTGCACAGGTAGGAAAGTTATTATTCCTGGTGCGCTGCAGCATTTCAGGCCTGGACGAAAAGATCAAACAAAGACGAGAGAGAGGACGAACACACACACACAGGAAGATAAATACGCACACAAACAGACCCACACACACACACACACATCGACGTCTGCCATCCTCCAATCTCCTGCTGCCTCTTCAGATCCCCGGCTTCTGCAGTTGCCTCACGTCTGGACTGTGTCCACAGAGACGAGAGCCGAGCGAGAGCGCTGCTCTGTTTTCTATCTGCACCAGGTTATTAGACACATGCAATTAGCAAGCTCGAGCAGGATAAATATGACTGTTTGTGTGAGTGTGATTGTGTGTGAGAGTGTGTGTGTGTGTGTGAGAGAGAGTGTTTAGGGAGGGTGCGTTTGTGTGCAATCAGGGACAGATTGTACAGGATGCATCTGGGTTGGCCTGATGTGGAGATGAAGAGGGGGACAGGGTTGTTAATATTATAAGAGCTGCCAAGTGTGTGTGTGTGTGTGTGTTTGAAGCAGTTTGTGCGAATCATATCAAACCCTAATTTAAATGTGTTTGATGTGTGTGTTTGTGTGTGTGTGTGTGTGTGTGTGCGGTTGTGTCTCCCCTCTACTCAGGACTTGAGACATGAGGGTTCGTGAGGTGTGTTTATGTGTCTTCAGAGTCTTGGTACATATTTAATGCATGCGTGTGTTTGTGTGTGTGTGTGTGTGTGTGTGCATGGTTTGAGGGGGAGGGGCCTGATGTGTGCCGTCCTTCCTAGAGGGAAAGAGAAACGTGGGGAGGGGGGGGACTTTCACTTCACAGCCAATCGGTTTTGCTTCGCCGAGGCAACCATCCATCGCCACCACAGCAACAACAACACCACAGCAACGCAGAACCGGGGGGAAAGATGGCCGATGTGTACCGGCGCCTTTGCTCTATTTATCTCTCCGTTTCCCCTCCACCCTCTTTGATTCCCCCTCTGCTGCGTCCTCGTTTTTCGGCCACTGTTGTGTCCGCGCTTTTATCGGCTATCTGCTCACCTTAACCTTCTTTTTCCCCTCTCTGTGAGATACGTCGCATTAACGGGGCCTTCGCGGGGAGCTCTCCAAGGTGTGACCTGAAAGGGCGAGAGCAGAATTGAAAGAGGGAGGATGGAAAGAGAGAGGAGAGAGAGAGAGAGACAGGGAGGTTGCGGTCACAGTTTCCTCCTGAAAGGGCTCTTTTTCATTTCTTTTCATCAGCCGCCGCCGCCGCCGCCTGCCTGCGTGCGTATCTCGCCTCTCCCCTTCTTTTTCTCCCACACACAAATCCCTTTTCTCTTTAGCTCATATGTATGCAAATAAGGCATCCTATGCTAATGAGACAGGTAGAAGGAGAAGAAATGGGCTTTTACAGAGGAGGGGAGGACAGGATGAAAGGAGGGGGCAATGGAGGATAGAGGAAGGGTGAAGGAGGAAGTGATGCAGGCTGTTTCCCCGTCCCAGGACAGGACTCGCTCCGTCAATGAAATATCAGGGCGCAACAAAACGCTTCTGCAGCATTTCCAACCTTTAAGAATGATGGAGTATTTATGACTGCGCAACATCCACAGCTAAAAATCCTCAATATACACAATCAGTATCATCTGTAACCTGTGTCTCATGCTTCAGCGGCGTTGATAGATGCTCTGTTTTTAAATATAACACCCATATTTCCTTTAGACTTCACTGCTTTCCTGTCACAAAGACGACATGGCAACTTACCCCTCCTCCTCCTCCTCCTCTTCCTCCCTCCCTCCCTCCATATGCATTTGTTTTCTCTTTCGTTTTACTGAAAAGGATAAACATCTTGGAAGGGATTTTATCATCGGCCTTTCTCTCCTTCCACCATCTGCCATTGCGAGAAAAACTCTGAAAGCTGCGGCTCTGCCTTCCTTCGCTGGAAGACGAGCAGATCTCAGTTTTGTGGCGAGAATAATCACGGCACTTATTTTTTTTAGCAGAATCCAACCCTGTTGCACTGATTGGAAACTGCGGCCAATCTTCTCAGCTTTGTTTATCATCAGTATACTAATGTCTCAGAATCGATGTCGTAATGATTTCTCTGATGTTAAAATGCGGCGCAGACCTGGCCGTCCGATGTGTACGTGCTAGACGGCAGAGGCAGTTTTGCCTCAGGTGTGTGGGTCCCTAAATAGATATACATTATGAGGTCTGTGTGGTGTGTTGCCAGGGAAACAGGGATGGCTTGGCACTAATTGGCTGCAGGTTGGTTGCTATAGGTGCTGGGTGGAGCAGATAAGCTGGCTAACTTTAAATGATGGATAGATAGAAGGTTGCATAATTGGCTCCAAGGTTAAAGTATTCGCCGCGCCTCAGTGTCGGACCACTAACTATCACTCGCACGTGGTCATCAGAGGCGAAACAGGATCCAACAACCATCCTCCCCTGTACGTGTGTGTGTGTGTGTGTGTGTGTGTAGTCATTTGTTTGTGTGAGGCCTCCTGCTGAGGGACTATGAAGGAGGTAATGGCATTATTTGTTTTTCACGCTTAACTGGCTGTGTGTGTGTGTGTGTGTGTGTGTGTGTTTGTGTGTGTGTGCAACTCCAGTGGCGAGCAACAAACCCACATAGCAATCTAGCTACAGCCTTTCATATCAGGAATGTGTGTGCGCGCGCTCCTCTGTGTGTGTGTGGCACGATGCATTACACTTTAAATTGGTCCAAAGCTGCAGCGCACAGAGCTGTCAGTGACCAAGCTGCCTGCTGGCACCGTGTCAACCCTGCAGAGTCGCCAGCAAACGCGTCATGAACACGCTCTCTCCCACTAGTTCTTATCAGCTTAAAGCTAAAGATTCACGCCACCTGATCAAACTCGCAAAGAGGTGTTTAGTCATGCGGGGATGATGGATGTGCGAGCCAATTAGAACAGCTGCTACAGAGAGGACACGTGCTGGAACCGTAGACAGGGATTTAAAAAGATGGACAACACCACAGCTCCACAAATGAAACCAAAAACCGCTCTCTTTTTTAGATTGTGATCAGAACAACACCTCAAATCTGCAAGGGCGCAGCAGAGGGCGCTACACTACCACCAATGCTGTATTCTTAATACCAAACTCTTAAAACTTAAGATATTTTTCCAGTGTAATTCTTACTGTTAAAGGAGCACTAGCAAAAATTTAGTAGAGCCAATCAGAATCTTTCAGCCAATCTGCTGCGACCGCATGGACCGCATTGCCATCACAAACTTCAGGAGTCATATATTTGCAAGATTAAACAGCATCCTGAAGAAACCCGAGCCTTCTCATCTTCATCCCTCTCTAGAGCGCTAGTTAGCGAGTAAGTAGGGCTGGGACGTTTTCCTTTCTCCCGATTCGATTATACGATTTTTTTGGATGCCGATTTGATTTAAATTGCGATTCTATGATATTGTTCATTTTCTCAATTTTGAGTCTGCATTTTTAACACCAATGAAACAGTTAAATGTTTATGATTGTCTACTGACTATTCCAGGAACCATATTTCCTAAAACATACATCACATGTAAGTCAGTTTTTAAGATTTATTCTTAAATTTGAAAGAGAAAAAAAAAATTTTGAACAAAAAAAATCGATTTCACCCCTACTAGTTAGCGCCATAGACTGTTTATAGAATTGATGCCGTCTGCCTCCTTGCTGGGTGAAACAACTGCCAGAACAGCACCCTCTAGTAATGGGCTGCAGTATAGGTTATAAATCCTGCCTCCTCCAGCAATCCCTATGGAGCTAAGTGTCTTCTTAACCCTTGCTGTCAACATGGGGTGTTGAATAAGGGACCGTCAATAAATTCCTGGTTGATATTCTCAGAAAAGGCTGTTTTCCTTCAATAGCTTCAATATCATGTGACGAAAAGACCAAAAATTGATTTCAAATTATAGTACTTATGTTGACCATTAAGACACACACATTATTTGATCAATTTTCATTGTGCCCCAAAAGTTCTTTGTGTGCTCTTTACTTTTTCAACTTAGAGCACATGTGCTCCTTGTGAAAAAGTTAGTGTCAAGCCCTGGAATGCGTACAACGCTACTGCACAAGTGGTGGTTCCAGCAAGTGGAGAAAATCCCTGAAATACAGAGAGCAATTCGGCTTCAAATTCGTATGATGACAGGAGGCGGAGCCAAGTTGTCCATATAGTTTGTGGTCAAACTGAGGTTTGGTTGGTTATGTCAGGACTAGATTAGAGATTGTTGGTAGACACTCCTATTGATCTTGACTGACACAACACTGCACCTCTTAGCAGACATCACTTATCAGACACTGGTTGCTGTATCTGTTAATGTTTTAAAAAGGCTGCGTCATAACAAACACAACAATTACATGCACCATACAAGCAAGTGGAAGAGTGGACTAGAGGAGGAAAGCAAGAAGAAATGCAGAGAACACTAGCACAAGTCATTTAACTCCCATAACAGTCAGTGTCTGCTCTAAACTTCAAACTGACATGAGAATCTTTTATGTGCCATCCTGAGGGGTCTCCGGCATTTAATCAGTAAGTTTAATGAGTAGCCGATTCTACCAGCCAGTCCTCATTAAGCAGGCTGCAGCTCCAGATATTGCAGTCGGTTAGAGCTCGTCACAGGGACTTTATTGGGGTGGTATAACTTTTGTACGACGCGGCAAACTTGAGGCATGTCATCTATTCTCATATACAGTCAAAGATGAGAAACTGTTACTGTTTAATCATTCAATACATGATAAAAGTTTCCTGCTTTCTTTTCTTTCTATCTTTATCTGCCCCTTCTCTTACCCAGTTACCCTCTCTCTGTCCCAGTGCCCCCTCTGTCTGCAGGAGGGATGAAGTCATGCACCGCAGGCAGAGTGCAGATCCCTCCGCTTTCTCTCTGCCCTCCCTGCGCCCGCCGCTCCATCACAAGCATACGAGCGCACGGCTGTGCCAGTGCCCCTCCCAGAACACCTGACTCTGTCTAGTCACGCATGGCGGGCACTGCACACACACACACACACACACACACACCGACAGACAGGACAGACACACCTACGCGCACAGTAAAATGCACACCGCCAACCTTGCATGACGGGCATATCCTTGATTGTCCCCTGATGTTCCCCACTGCGAGCCTCACCACCAACTGTGGGTAATATGCGGTGTGCAGACACCCCTCATTTTAGCAGAAACACTCCTGACAGAAAGTGGATGGAGTTACTCCATCTTTTGTTCCGGTCTGAGACTTAACTGCACAGATGACAGAGTGTGGCACTAACGCGCTCAGAGTTTAGAGGTTTTAATTCCCATCGGCACCCGCCGCGCTAAAAATATGTGCACTCACTGGTATCGTAAGGTAGTTAAGATAAAAGTGTTCACCACACAGCGTATGCTCAGTTCCCTGGCCCTGCATTAGCACTGCAGTATTTACTCAATAATTTCATCCTGGGATATTGGAGCAGCGGTGGCAGCAGTTAATCTACGAAATGGGACCTCTACGATGGCTAATTCTGTTGATGTCCTTCACCACTCACCACCTGGGTGCAGATTAAAGGGAGTGTACGGCCTTAAAACACCATAAAGCTCTTTAGCACCGTGAGAAGAAACGTGCTTTCTTGGTTTGTTATTCTGTTTGGGAGCTCAGTCTTTGGGCTAAACATGGACGCTGTAAAGCAACTCTGACCTCTCATGTACAGAAAAAAACACGCTGGATTTCAAGACGACAGGGTTTCACAAAAGACAATGAAAAATAGACTTAGCATCTTTACAGATTTCTGTGAAGGACGATTGTATGTTGTTCAGGAAAACTCTCTAACAAAATGAGATCTCAGTCACGGTAAATTTGCAAAAATTTGCGGAACAGAAAAATGATAAATGTCCCGTCTAACTACAAGTCACTTTTAGCTCTAATTTGAACCCAGACTAAGATGGATTTCCTCAACTTGTTTTATATCTTAACACCAAATTGAGATTGTGAGATTATGAGCTTAATGAAAAGATGAACATGAATCTGGTTGTTCCCATTTCAGCCTCACAATAGACACTATCAAACCAAAATGAAAGTTCAAGGGGAGCGTCCAAAAAGTAATTATATATAAAGAAAATGGTAAAATCTAAAAGGACAAGTTTGTCAAAATTTCAGAAAAAGTCAGAAACAGTTATAATTATGCAGAATTCACTTATTAAACACGGCTCTGTCTACTTTTCTAGATTAAAATAAATCTCCTTTTTGACTTTTCTAACTTTATTTCACTGTCGTCAGAGTTCAAAAGAGGGAATGAAGTCTGTGAGTTTGCTACGATGGCTCTGTTTTGGTAATATTTCAGTGCTAGCGGCTCAGTCATGCACACACAAACACAAACACACACACACACATCATAATGTATGCATAAACACAACCTGACAGTCAGACTTGGAAAGGTGCAGGTAGGAAAACGGGGGTAATTATCGTTGGTTCTTTATGATTAACCAAGAGTGTCACACAGACGCACACACACACACTGCTGTGGTGTCTCACAAAATGGCGGGGAGTGTGTGTGTGTGTGTGTGTGTGTGTGAGAGAGAGAGGGTGTGTGTGTGTGTGTGTGTGTGTGTCATAGCAGAGGCTGTGTTGAGGAGAGGCCAGGCAGAGGAGGATACACAGAGTTGGCTTGCGTGAACTTTGTGCGTCTGTGGGTGTGTTAAGGGGGTAGAAGTCAGGTGAGTGTGGGGTACTCACAGGTAGGAACACCACTGATGTAAGCGTAAGAGAGCGAGAGAACACAGAGGGTGAAGTCTGACCTTCACTCCAGCTCTCCTTTCCTTCATCCATCCTTTCCTTCTTGCCTTCACTCACTCTTCTCCTCCCTCTCTGTATCCCTGCAGTTCAGCACTCGGTTGCGTGGCAGGTAATTTGCGCGCTATTGGAGATTAAAGTTTAATTAGTGAGCGAGGAGTCATTTGGGTCTTAGTTGAGTGGAATAAGGCAGCGGCGTGCATGATTTTCTGTGTGAATGAGTGTGTGTGAGTGTGTGTGTGTGTCTCCCGCTCGCTCACTCACCCTAACACATCAAGGCTCATCACCAAGAGAGAAAGAAAGAGTGGGAGTAGAGGATCCAATTCCTGCTTTCATCAACCAAGAACAAAGGATGGAGTTTTCCCCCTCCTCTTCCTCCTCACTCCCTCTTCATTTCTCTCCCTCTTTCTCTTTTCTACTCCTCTTCCTCCTCCTCCTCCTCCTTCCCCTCTGCTCCTGAGTGAGGTTGGCAGAGATCCACGGCCATATTCACACTTTCCCGGTCCCTGGCGAGACACACATGCTCTCGCACATACACATCACCTCCAGCGCCACCATCACACTGCGCCACATGCTTGGAAAAAAAAAAAGAGTGAGAGTTAACTTTGCCTCCCTTCATCCACCTGTGAGAAGTGACCAATAGATGCGTCACCTGCAGGGAGAGATTCACCCCGACACAGTCTGCTTCTCCCTCCCTCAATCTGTTTTTGCCTTCCGACAATCTGTTTTTATCTGTCTTTCTCTGCCATAAAGTGTTATAACTTTGTCATCAGTCTCTCAACTTTTCTTTTTTTCCTTACAACTCTCGGTCTTAATCATGTGCACATCAAACGTGCCAGATGGTCACACACACCGGTATGAATGCACACACGCCTAAGCCGCACATGCCGGCGTCTTGAGAGCTGTTTGCTAATGACAGGGGAGTCTGAATCCCAGCACCGCTGTTATTTCACCGGCTCAAGACACTAACGCAAATCAATAGGCAGCACGGCCCCACGATAACGATCTCCGTTTCTCCTCTCCTCCCTGCATCTCTCCATTCCTGCCTCTTTTCTCCCCTCCTCCCTCACATCTGCCTTGATCTTGCTGCTTTTCCCTCTCCCTCACACTCTCCGTGCCCTCAATCTCTTCCCTCCTCTTCTTCCTCTGCATCCCCCCATCTCACTCCCCCTCATTTTGTGTCCCCCTGATCTTGCAGCATCTCCCCCTCACTTTTCGCCTCCACTCTTTCCCTCCTTCACATCTCACCACTTACCTCACCTCTCCCTGCTGTCTTTCCTCCTCACCTTCTTCCTCTCTCATATCACATTCCCCCTTCCTCCTTCCCGTCACTCTACTTTCTCTCACCTACCCCCCTACCCGTCTTTCATTTCTCCCCAATCTTTCTGCATCTGTTCTTCCCTCAAACCATCTCCTCTTCCTCCTCCAGCTCTTTGCGGCCCTGTCAGATCAAATGTCTTCTCCTCCTCCCCGCTCTCTCCTCCTTGCATTTTGGTTATCTCCCATCAGCATATGGGTGGCTAGCCTCCTTTTAGTGTAGGGCCGGTCTATGTGTGCTAATGGAGTGAAGTATTCCCCAGTCTGGCTCTCAGGTGACAGTGGAAACTGGTGAAGGGGGGTGAAGAGGCCTGACCAAGACACCTTATAGGAAACTGCTGGGGGCACACATTGAACAGGTTAACTGACATGCAAAATAAAGAATAAAAACACAAACTTATGTGTTTAATCACAGCTACATCCCTCAAAAACACAATACCAGACCAAACTAACACCACCTATTTCTGAAATGCAAAACGCACGACCGTTGGTTAGCCAAATTCAGGGGGTCGACAGAACAGGTACGTGCTAAAACTACACAATATAGCCCATTTTAACCCATAACTCAGTCAAAACTTAACAGATATATATTAAAAAGAAACTTTTAGATCCAGTTTAACTTACCGTGTCTGGGAAAATCTTTATCTTCGCTCTACAATTGCGGAAAACGTCCATAAACTCACTTAAACCTGTGGAGCGCTCATTTTAGCACCGAACTTGCCTGGGAAATTCCATATTTTGAGCTTTTCCTCAAATTTTAAGTTACATGGGAATATTTGTCGACAAATAAGGAGAGGCAACGCATAGATAAAATGTTTGTGGCCAATTCGGCACAGATTTTAATCAAGCCTCTCGGCGTATATTTTGACAAAAGCGGGCTTCTGTTGGCTCTTCGCTAGCCACTGGACTACCATGACGACGTAATGGATCCCCCACCCCCATAGCTTTATGGGATATGAAGTCCCTAACCGGATTAGCTTTTAACTCGATTTATTTCTAATATGGCATTATATCATTTAGCTAGGGTATAATTTTGAAAGAAATGGCAGTGGATGTTGATTCTGCACACAAAAAATCGACCACAATGTCCACCTGCATACATTCAGACAGATGTACAGAGGAACAGACAGACAGACAGACAGACAGACAGACAGATAGACAGATAGATAGATAGATAGATAGATAGAGCAGTAAACAAAAATCTAAAATAATAGTCTAGATAATCAAAATTATAATGTATTAAAATTGCTTTATTTACCAATCCGTATTTAGCAGTAAACAGCCAAGCAGAGGGCGACATCAAAGTCTGCATCACCACAACAAATCTGTCCTTCAGGCTGTGGGTTCAATATGCCAGACCAATAAGCTGCCTGGCTCTGTCTCACCTGAGACGAGGTCACTCACAAACACAAAAAAACACACAAACAAACACACTACTGCCAGCTACTGCGCTGTTGCTACAGGGCGAGGGAAAGGTTTAAAATAGAGGACAGTGGAGGACAGGGCACAACTTAGAGGACACAGAGAGAATAGAGGAAGAGGATGCGTGTCTGCATGTGTGTATTATTGTGAGAGAGACAGCAGGAGCGACACAGCATCATCAATTAGACGAACCAAAGTGGCACAAAGAGGGAGCAGGTGCAAATCAGTGTGTGTGTGTGTGTGTGTGAGTGAATCAGTGCACATTTGCACACGTGTGTGTATGTGTAAATGAGAGGAGGGATGGTTTACATGAGAGTGGAACACACCATGAACCCCAGCAGGGATGTCTCACCAAAAACCTGCTCCAACACCGCTCCCTCTGCTTCACTGGAGCGCTCCACCCCATTACCTGGAAAGGGCGAGTGAGAGAGAGTGTGTGTATGTGTGTGCGTTTTTGTGTTTGTGTGGAAGGCAGATGTGCTTTTGCTGGACTAATCTAAAATGGGTCACAGCGAGATATGAGCCATTTTAGATCCGTTTTCAACCCTAAAATACAACTGCAACCTTGATGAAAAGGTCTCCCTACACCTGCATTTAGATGTCTTACAAAATTAAGAGTTTGATTAGATTTTAATGTCTGAAAATAATAACTTTTGCAACTCATTTATCAGGGGTGGATCCAGACTTTTTGAACGGGGTGGCCCCTCCCAAATCGGTAACTTACCTGTGCAGAGGAATTAGTAAATATGCACACACACAAAAAAAAGTTAGTCGCATATTTTTACCTTTGTATCTCCACTAATCATAAACCTTTAACATCTTAAGTATGTTTTGTGCTACATTAAAATTAACTAAGCAACAATCAGTCTGTCCCAGCACACCCCAAAAAGTTCCCCTTTCCACTCCTGAAACTAACCTGAGTCACCCTTATCTGATTATTTCGCTTCTTCTCTTCCTCTTGCATCCTCTCTTTGCTCGTCTGTCTCTTCCTCGTTGATGGAATACAAAGTAGCTCTGCGGCCCACTTTACAGGACCCCTATCTCCCCTGTGCGCTTGTGTGTATGCATGTGAGGTAGAAACCTCATGAGGGAAAGCATAAAAAGTGTGTGGGCACGGCGGAGGTTATCAATACTATGGGAACATGAACCCACAGAGCACCTCTTTCTCTCTCTCTCTTTGTTCTCCTTCTTCTCGTCCTCATTCCCTCTGCGCTCTGGAAGGTTAGCTGGAGTCCAACGATGCCCTCACTCCAGTAGACACACACATGTGCGCTCACACACACTGCAGGGGGATTGCAGGCAGTCTAGCTTTAAAGAAACGCACATTCATGCTACACTCTAGCATGCATGTGCAGACGCCAACGTTAGCAAACGCCAACCCAAGCTGAAAATGATTCATGTGTGTAGTCACCTACCTACACGCAGACATTGACTCACTTGCACATAAGCGTGCAGCAGGTAATGAGCAATCAGTTTTCCTTCTTCTAATTCCTGTCACAGGTGCCTGTTTCCAAGACAACCCATGCCAGAAACAAGCAGAACCTATGTGATGTGTATGTGTGTGCTTGATTGCCTTTTTCTCCCGCTCATCCTCCTCTCCTCCTCCTCCATCCCCGCCCGTCTCGTCACTCCGTTGCCATGTAAACAAAGCCAGGTTTAGTCCTTCAAAGGGCAACGCTCTGCAGCTGCCCGCTGGAGGTGACCGTGCTGAAAGACAGAGAGGGAGAGACGGACAGGAGAGATAGAAAACGGAGATAAAGGAGAGTTCTTGTGCGGAGGAGCGGAACAAGGGAGGGCCGGATGATTTTGGGTCAAGGCTGCAGAAAGCTGGAAAAGAGAGAAAAGGATATTCAAAGAAATAGGTCTGCAGGATTTGTCCTTTCACAGCCCACACGCTCATCTCTGGCTCATTGTTCAGCGAGAAAGTGAAGTGATTCAGTGTTATGCCCTAAAACGCCCATAAAGCAATATATGTAGATAGAGAAAACTTAAATCAAAGCTGTGCTTTCAAAATGGAGCATAAAGTAGACATATACTGCTAGTTTGAGAGTGGACTGTGTTGTACTACGTGTACGAAATTCTCGCCAAACAAACTCGAGCCACAAAGATGGAGCGAGGGAAAAGAAAAGGAATCTCAATGCAGACCATGTACAAACGATACAGGAGCTGACAAGCTGAGTGGATTTTCTTAAAGGTGGTATTCATTCTGACATATGGTGGTATTTCTCCTGGGACACAATAAATGCCGAGTGAATTTTAACTTTGCCTGCAGACCTGAAAGTCACATCAGGTCATGCATCTCAGAAATTCTACATTCAGACGATCTGTAAATACACAGGATGGGATTTCAGCCGTAAATGGTCTCTTAAAGAAACAGTACAGACATGATCATTTGATCATCTACCTTCTTTCTACCTCTCCTAAAAGGTCCTGTTGAAGAATGTGTGCGTTTAGTTTACTTAATGATGAAATCTTTATCACTCTAACTGGCTGGAACCAGAGTTATGAGTCCATTAAACATGTAAACCAAGCAAACCAATTTGACATTGTTTACCTGTCGACTCCAGGATCCCGTGTTCAGCCGTGTCCAATAATTCATTTACAGATTTCTGATTGTTTTTTCCTAATTTAAGACAAGTACACTAGCCGGGATTTTAATTCCTGCTCCAACAACCATAAAGGTAGTTGCTTTGACACATCTCTGCAACTTGGGTCATGTGATTTGATGACAGACTGCAAAGCAAATGAAGGATTGATTCAACTCTATATGAACAGAGCTTTTAAACTGTGATATGATTTTATCCAAGTGTTGGCAGCTACTGACCAAATAAAACATTCTGTTGCATCATTTTTTTTTGTCTTTAAACATAGCTAGACACCCTGGAAGACTCAAAACACCTTTATATTTTGCAGGCCCAGTCATCTTTAGAGTAAATGCAGACATGGGACACATTATCTGTTGAAGAGATTTCTATTATAAGTTGAATTTCATTAATGTTGAGCACCACAATCAGCCTCACAATCAAACTTCGATCCATTCTCTTGGCATTTAGAGGATAAAGCCGACTTTGACGCAAACAAACGCGTATATCCGAGTTTCTCATTCTGAGCACGTTTCATACTTTCAAACATTAGAGTGAGTCATTATTTCCTCACACAAACTCACCACTCAGTGTTTCCCCTCAGGTTTGTTTGTGTGTGATCTCTTCATGTCACATGCGTACACACCGCTTCTCACATGACTGGGTGGCTCTGCCGTTGCCATGGTGACCGTGGACCTATTTTTTTTTTTTCTTCCCCATCATTGTTGTTTTTATGGCGTAACACACCTCTGTGTGAAATTGTTCCCTCAGAAAGGTCACTGAACATCACCAACCTGCCAGTCATAGAAGGACGACGGAAAGATAAGAGAAACACATCTGCACAAACTCGGTCCAGCGTTGCTAATGAATTGAATTTTCCTCTGATACACCCGAGATGAATATGATACCGCTCTACAGTACAGACGGGAAACATCACCTCTGAGTCGTGCTTTCAGAGCCAAAACAGGATTTCAAACTATAACCACAAATAAGATAAACCTGATGGATTCCTCTCATTCAGAGACGCACAACTGCACACTTTTTATGCTCTCTCTCTCTCTTTCTGACCTTTATTTATTCTTTCAAGCTGAAGCTGCAGCAGTGCATGTGTGAGCAGTGTGTGCGTTCGCCCGTCTGATTTCTCCCATTTTCTTCCAGCAAAATGTGTGTGTGTGTACAAAGCGTGTGGTCGGCGTCCACGGTTTGTGAGGATGCGTGCAGACGTGTGTGTCTACAGTGTCGTCTTCATCAGAGATGGGATAGACAGCCATGCGTGTGAATGTCGATGAGTCATCCTAAACCCGAGAGAGATGAGACGCTCACACACACATACACACACTCCACACACACACAGAACCGCACATAGGCCCTACATTAGCTGGCTTAACTCAGAACCAAAATGGTTTCCCACATCGACCGGTGTAAGGCTCAGTTTCTCAGTTACAGACGCGATTGAGCCATTTTAGCATCAAAGCTTCGTGGAAAGACTCAACCAATACACAGAGCAGGATTTGATCAAGGGAAACAGTGACTTGTTAATTTCCATTCAGATGCTTTTGGCAGTATTGTTTGTTTTTTAAACTGTGATGCCAGTGTAACACATTGGCTTGGACCGAGGGAGGAAAACAAGCAAACAGATGGAGACGATGGATAGCAGACAGAGACAAGAGTCAAGATGGGGCCTCCATTTTCTTACAAATGTTTTCAGTTTGCTTCAGTAATCTTCCAATTTTATTTCACGAGACCTCTACATGAATATAAGCCATGACAGGCTTAATGTATAATAATCTTGCTATTTCATATAATCTAAAAATTTATAGAGTAGTCAGATCAAATCAAAGATTTCCAGGCCCAGAGTCCTTTTTCCTTTTAGTCCAACTCAAACCTCAGAGGCAAGGATGAAGTTGAAGTCCTCAGACAGTCAGATTGCTGCTGGGGTTTAAGAGACAGTTCTGTTTTATTAAAGGTGAGGTTATAGGAGGTATTTGTCAGCAGTAATTGCATTACCCACAGAAGTAAAACAGCAGAGTTTTTGAGTGATACGGGCTGCAGCTGTATGTGAGCCACAGGTATCCTCTTCTAACGATTGGACATGAGGTCACAGTTGATGCACCTGCACCACAAGGTAACTTGAGATTTCTCTCGCTCTCTGGTTAGCACAGAGTTCCCTTTCCTCCTTCAGTCCATTGAGTCTCAATCTCATTCAAAGAAAACGCTAAATGGCGACCGAATCAAAGCCGATCAATTATATCATCTTTTGTTTTTTTCCAAGTGGACTGTTTTCCTCATTGGCAGCCACGAAGACAGACACGTTTCCACCTCCTCTCTTTGTACTACAGTGCCGCCAAATAGTCCTGTGACAAATGCTGAAATATTACGCTGGTTACATATTTCAGGCAGGAGTGGGGCTTTGCTTTTGGGACCTCGGTGCTCCGCTACTCAAACATTCAAGTTAAGGAAGAATTGGCCCAAGTGTCGGTGTTTGTCTCCTCTTGCTGGTCCTGCGAACAACCTTGCTTATGTCTGTTTTGATTTGCGACTGTTTTGGCATCACTTTTAGGGAGCTGACATATCACTCCACTGCCGGCTAAAACAATAAGGGAGTAAGCTACTTGGAATAAAATGAAAAACCAAGGACACTTTGGACTCTAAAAACCCAGTCCCTCTTCACAGATTATTCATTTCCCGTATCTGTTTCTGGAGATTACTACCACACTGTCAGCGCACTGATTTAGTTATTTTGCAGGCTTTCTGTCTGCGCCATCTGTCTGTCTGTCTGTCTATGAGTGTCACTGACCTGTCTACGCCCCTTCCATGTCTCTTCCTATAATCTATTTGACTGGCTGCCCGGTGACCCCTTGTGACCTCCAGCTGTGTGTCATGACAACGGGACACTGACAAATGTCAGAGGAGATATTGGCTCCCTCCGTCTCCCATGCCTCTCCCCTGGGTACAAACCCACCCACACAGCTTGGCCAGACACTGCAGAGGAGAGAGGGAGACGAAGGAGAGAAGGCCCGCATCTGATGGTCCGTCTGTTTGTCTGTCTGTGGTTACAGTTTTTGGGTAAAAAAGGATCCTGAGAGATGAGGAGACAGACTCACAATCTGAACAGCTCTCTGTGCCTCGTTGAAGTGTGTTTAATTAGGACGGGGATAGCGGCGTGCTGATTGGATGCAGCATCTAGGCGTACTGCTGTGTTATTTTGGAGCGTGCTGTGTTAAGCAGGGTGTTAAAAGCAGATGTGTTAGACATGAGTGTGTGTTTCCAGGCGGGTGGGGGCAGGGAGATCTGCGTGTTTGGGTTATTTTGGAGTGTGTCATCGGTTGTCGAGAAGCATGTGAGCCGAGCTTTGGTGTGGGTGTGTGGCGTTGGGGCGTGTTGTGATGCCTACGATGGTGGTGACGGTTGGGGTGAAGTGCGATTGTGTGTGAATACAATGTGTGATGGGGTGAGTTTGTGTGTGCGTGTGCGCGTTTCCTCCCAGGCCGCTCCTCCTCCCTCGCAAACTGCCTCTGCATGCATAATTAACCAGGATGACTGGGGAGGTAAACACACAGGGAGACGTTCCATCTCTCCCCTCTGTACGCCTCCATTTCTGCATGCGTCTGTAAGTGTGTGAGAGTGCGGAGGTGAGGAGGGGTGTATGTCTGTCTGTGCATGTGTTTGCAAGCACATTTGCATGTGTGTGTTCATGTCAGATAGACAGGGAGCAAGAAAAAGACTGGAAGCGAACGTGCTTTGGAGCCAGAGTTGATGGAACGAAAGCTTTCTTCGTGTGTGCGTGTGTGCATGCCTGTTACTTGTGTGTGTAAGTGTGTGTGTGTGTGTGTGGAGGAAAAAGATAAATCCCATCTCAAGCTGCCTCTGAAGATGACGCGATGAAAGAGAGGGAGAGAGGATAAAAAAAGAATGAAGGGGGGACTGTAACCAGTCGCAGCTTTGCGCATTATGGAGCATCCAGCGGAACAATCAGATTCACCCTCCTCTCCTTCCTCAACCTTCCTCCTCTGCCCTTCTTTCTGGAGATATTTTACCCCCAAACACATCTAGTAAACGCTCAAAATATGAAAAAAAAATCCCCCAGAGTATTAATTTTTTTCTAAATTATGAATATTCAAAGCCTGCTCACTGGGGTTTGGAGAGCTACTGTAGTAATAAAGCTGGCTGTGCAGGCAGCTTCCCAGATAAGACAATCAATCACTTGTTTAGCAGCTAGGTGAAGCGTTCGGCTAATTATGGACCCCACCACATTGTGAGCTGGCGCACAATCTACCATTTTGCATCTGTCTGTCTGCGAGAGTGTGAACTGTGGTGATTGCTGCGGCTCATATTTCCCATGAGCCCAGGTTGTAAAGCCCACTCACTAAATCATCCATCCTCCTCTGTCCTCTGCACCCCCATCCCCTCATCCTCAAACTTATCATACTATAACTCTTTTCCTCTGCGTGCATCCCCCCACTGTCAATCTCTCCAGCTTCAATCTATTCTCTCTCTCTCTCTCTCTCTCTTTCTATCTCCTTATTAGATCCAAAAAAGAGCTTTTTTCTTTCTTGTTGCGTATCATATCGTACGGTTAGAGCAGCAGGGCCTGGGACAGAGATCTAGGGAAGTTTGTGTAGGGTTGTAGGGTGAAAGAAAGAAGCAACCAAACACACAAGAAAAACAGGGTATAAATAAGAGGGTGCCTCTGTGTGTCCAAATGAAATAAATCAGTGAGCGATACGTGCAGTTGCTTCATTCCTCTTTCGAAAAATCGATGCAAGAGCCTCCTAATAAACAGACGGACGGATCAACAGAGCAGATTCAGCGATCTCAGCATGGAGCGGTCGTCCTCTCTCCTCTCTGACCCCTACAGAGGCAGGCGGCTGTGAGACACGGCGCAGTGCATCCTAAAATACAGCAGTCGGCCTGCCGGGCTTCACAATGCCAGGGCTCTCTGTACGTGGAGGATAAAAGCGGAAGGAGGTGGTGCGGCGAAGAGGAGACGTGATCGGGATACAGATGCTGCTGTATAGTGTTTGAGATGAAAAAGGAAGGAGGTGTGGAGTGAAGCGATTAGGAGGAAAGTTTGTTCGCTTTGTTTGTGAGCGAAGAGACACAGAGGCGAGAGGACGCTCTCCGGCTAACTGTCGCTTTGACTCTGAAGTGAGTGACTGGAATTGGACCAAAAAGGCAGGACCTCTCCAATTTATTATTATTGGTGTGTCCCACCTGCTGTGTGTGTGACATGAGAGGAAAAAAGACATCATGTGATCACAGTCAGCTGTAATGGAAAACAGAAATGTTTACGCAGACACATGGCATCAGAACAGAGGATCTGAAAAGTGTCGTGTAGGCACGCTCGGTCCATCCTCTCTGCTGTGCTTGGTAAGGTTGGTCCGGTTAAATCCCACCCCTTGTCCCCTGTAAGCATCTTATTCAGGTCAACAAGTACCCTCACACACACGCGCGCACACACATACACACCGCAGGTGAGGCACTAGTACGCTGAAGGCAGAGGAGACAGAGAGGTAGGACGGAGGATGGAAAATCTCCAGGGGAATCTGGAGGTGTGTGTGTTTGTCTATGAGTGTGTATGTGTGCGTTTGTGTGTATTGTGTGTATATTTAGTGGCATGCCAAAAGCTGTGGACCTGCATGCATAAACACTAACAGGCCCACACTACCTCACAAACTCACATTAAGGCAGGCGCATGCAAGAATAGATGCACGCAAGTTTAACACACTGCTCTGCTTCCCCACACACAAACACACACACGCGAGCGTGCACGCAAAATGTGTGTTTCAGAGATGAATAATGCTACTGTGTGTCTGGTGGGATGCAGCACTGTCCCTAGGGCGGGTTGAATGCCGGGATATTGTGCTCAAACTGGCTGACACATACACACAAACCCACACACACACATACACACACAACACTCAAGCAAGCACGCACGCACATGCACACACACACACACACACACTGGAGCTCTGTCTCCAGGTGACTCTGTTTCTTTTATAAAGCACGAGCCAACTCTTCCCCTCCTCTCTTCCTTTCTCTTTTGTATGAATGCACAAACAGACACGCACACATTCAAAAACATGCACACACACATATGTAGGTATATATATAGGTAAGAAAAGGTTAGACTCGAACAAGCACATGATGCACAACAAACCCCCTACAAGAGAAACAGCACACATACAAACACACAGTTTGTAACACTTTCCCTTTAAGGAGGACAGAGTTTACATCTGGGTGGAAATAAAGAGGAGGAAAAAACGGCATCAAAGATAAACCAGAAATATCGCTTTACATTGTTTGTTTTGGTAATAAATCATAATATATCAGAGCGGCTACAATAAAGGGCTAAGTCTGGGGACTATATTTGATGCTAAACAATTATGAATAATGCATCATGCAAATTAAGCTGGAAAGCTCAATAGCCAGAGTGGCTTTGCAAGCGAGTTCAGTTCAGACTCAGAGCCAGTGTCATGACCAAACAAGAGATGTCATCTTATTACTGTGGCCTGTAGTATTTCAGTATTTTCTCAGCCCTGATCATGCACCACTTTACAGTATATTTAAACACATACACACAGGGCAACAATGCTCTTATTCTTTTATCACAGACAGCTCTTTTTTTTTCAACACTTTCTCTCTCCAACACGTACATCACTGAGTTCATAGACTTCACTGTAAGTCTGCACTTCCATCATCAGAGGCTGAAACAGGATATTACGAGGCCCCATCATTTGAGAGCCGTTTAATATGAAAACACGTCAACAGATCTTTCAAGTCTGTGCAAGTTTTAGGAGAGGTTTTTTTAACCATGTCTAGTTATTACATTATTTCAAGATCTGATCATTCAAAGAAACTGAATATGTGTTCATGAGTGAAAGGGTGATACTGGTGTAGATGGTTTCAATACATCTCTGAGTGTTTGCATGTTTTAAAGACAGATATAAAAAACTGTTTTCCTGAGCAGAGTATTTTTCATGTGACTTGAGGTGAATGTTTAGATAAAAGTAGACAAAGTATAAATACCACAAACTCAACACCACTAACCATCACATTCTCTATTTTTCCTCCCCTCTCTCCTTCGTCCTTCAGAACCCCTAACCCCCCCTTCCCCCTTTCCCATCTCACCTCACCTCCCCCTCCCTTCTCTGGCTACAGACGGAGACAGTGATGCAGTCCTTCCGTGAGCGCAGCGGTGGTTACCACAGCAACCAACCCTGCTACCAGCAGGAGCCCCATGAATTATCCCGCCTGGAGACCTATCGGCAACATCCACATCATCCCCACCCCCAGCACCCGCATCCGGGCCCTGGTCCACATCCGGGCCCTGGTCCAGGGCACACCAGGTCAAGCTATGAGACTCTTACACTGGCAAACCCAACAAGCATGCCTCCAGCAGGAGGACCAGGAACAGGGGGAGGCCCCAAGGACTGTTACAGCCAGCAAGCATACCCTGGATACCCAGGGACTGGTGGAGGCAATGGAAGTGGAAATGGGGGCTCAGCATCCTCACAGGCAAAGAAGTCGTACAGACCAAGCAAAGTCCCCCCAGCCAACCCAGGTCAGCATCTACAGGGTCCTGGGGCCTACAGTAACCACATGGGGCCTGGAACCTACTCAGCCCAGTATATAAGTGAGGGCCACCTTCAGCAGAAATGGGAGGACCAAGCCCAACTAGCACAGTATGACCAGGAGATGGTCGGACGCATGGAAGGTAGTGGTACACCTGCACCTAGTTCCTCACAGTACATTGACCAGAACCTGATGGGCCACTCCCAGACTCAGTGTCACCAGCCCTCCAACCCGGCATATACCAGCCCCCATCACCAGCCACACCCTCCAAACCCTTCCCCATCCCCTCTCATGTACCCCCAGAGCCACCTGCACTACCCCCAACACTCACCTTCTCCTTCACCATACATGGAAAAGTGCAGCCCAATGCCTCATTGTTACAAAGGCTACAACATGCCCACCAATTCCCAGTACGCCAGACAAATGAGTAGCCACAGCAATCTGAAGCAAGGGGGTTACAGACCAGCTCAAAACAGTTATGGTTATCAGCAGCCTCCCTCAAGAGGTTATGAGCAGCAGCCCCCTTTACAGGCCATGACCAACACCCAGGAGCCCCACACAAAATATCAACACTACAGCCAACCTCAACAAAACTACTGTCTCTCTGATCTCTCTGTCAGATCCCCAGAACAGTATTATCAGACCTGTAGCCCCTCCTCAAGCCACTCCCCTGCACGTTCTGTGGGGCGCTCCCCTTCATATAGCTCCACCCCTTCACCCCTTATGGCCAATCCAGAGTCATTCCAATATGGCCAACCTCCCATGACACCTGGAGCAGCCTCCTCTTCTTCATCGTCTTCAGCTGGTATGCAAGAGCAAGCCAGTACCAACCCCATGTTGATGCCCCCACGCTCACATCCCTCACCCAATGTGCCCCATGCAGCACCCCATAGCTACACAACCACACCACAGGTCCCCACCATGAAAGAACGCTTCTCAGAGAAGTTGCTGTCAAACCCCAGCTTGTGGAGTCTAAATGCCCTCACCTCTCAGGTAGAGAATATCTCTAATAATGTCCAGCAGCTGCTGCTTTCAGAGGCTCTGGTGGCCAACAAAAAGGGAAGTAAGCGCAGCAGTGGAGGGAGCAATAGCAGTGTAGGAAGCGGGGCATCCTCCAAAAAGGGCGAGGAGTACAAAAGCCCTTCATATCCAGATAGTGGCGCTGGGAGTGTTGGCGGTGGCTCCATGCAGGACCCTTATTCTACCCCACAGCATCAACCAATGCCCATGGAACTCCATGAGGGAGGCTACTCAAGTAGTAGTGATGAACAACTGGAGAGGGGCTACTACTACTGTGGCCAGGGCAGAAGTCCAGCACAGGCTCCAACAAACACACAACTAAGTTTGGATACAGCCTCTTCATGCTCCATGACATCTCCAGATGATATGTCCACCAGATCTGGAGACTCAGGACTTCACAACCTTACCCCTGACCTGACCAGATGTCAGTCTGGCCAGGGGGTAGATGGTATGAGTACTCCAGCAAAGAGCATTGGTGATGAGAGGTCACCCACAAGTATTACAATCCCAAGTCCTATGAAACAAGAAAGGGACTCTCCCTCGGATATACAACATATCAATGAGCCTGTCAAAGAAAACTTTGAGGAATCAGCATGGACAGAGAAATCGACTGAAAGAGAGGAGGTGACAACAGATAAAACCCCTGACCATGACAGAGATTCAGACATGACTAAACCTGCAGAGAATCTAGAGAAATGGTCAGATGAAGAGAAATGCTCAGCTCAATATAGTGACCTAAACAAAGAAGAGACGGACAAAGGATATTGTTATAAGGAGACAGTGTACCAACAGGTCCAGAGCAAATATGACTCTGATGCCAGAGACTCTGTTGAACAGTCCCCTGCAGCTCTTTCCGACTCCAGCCACAAAGAACACTTCATCAATGAGATGAAATCTGAGGCATTTAAATCGGAGTCTCCGACTGCCTCAGAGAGCTCAGTGAAAACCCTACCTTTCGTTTCCAGGGGTGACCTTGAACAGGATCAATATTCAACAGAGAAGGATGACAGCTCTGAGAATGCCTCCCCAACCCCCCAAGTTGAGGCCTTGGATGAGAGCAACTTGGACAAGAGAGGAAGCAGAGATGAAGAGGATGAGGAGGAGGGGGGAGTAGAAGAGGAGGTGGAAGAAGAGAAAAAAGAAGAAATACAGAAACAAAAGCTACATACTCTGTCCCCACCTCCACCCACTCATGTAAGAGAGGAACTGGGAGAGGAAGAGAAAGTGAGCCAGCCATTGACTGAGGAGCACATGAATAATAGAGATGGACAGGAGAAGCCTGTTGAAGATCTCTGCAGCAGGACAGAGAGTCAGAGTTCTGAGCCCCTTATTGACAATGAGCCTGCAGGGGCACCAGCCCATCCAAATACAGCAGCAGTAACAGCAGCAGCAGATGCTCCTACGAGGGAGTCAGCCATTGGTGACACTGCTCCTCAGCCGCAATCTGCAATGCCAGTTTTCTCAGCTCTTAATGACAAGGCCAGGGATCATATGGATCATAGCGATGCCAAGGTTCTGGAGCCAGACTCACCCCAGCTTCCAGGGAAGTCTATACTTCCCTCAGCTCCCTCCTGGGCAGACACTCCACCCTCCCCTAAAAAAGGTGATGAGGACATGGAGCCGGGCATCAGCTGCTCCAGCGCTGTGACTCCACTGGCCAAGTTGGAGCCCGTTGCTCCATCTGCTCAGCCAAGGGCATTCGGACGCAAACATGCCAGGGGCAGAAGAAGAATCATGCAGTCAGGTGTAGGCATTAGGCGGCAGCTAAGTTTGGAGAAGGAGGGGGAGAAGGAAGATGAAGGTGCCCCCTCACCTACCCAGAAACCATGCATGCCTCCCAGCAAAACTGTGCTGTTTTCAGATCAAATGGACCTCGCTCATCAGGAGTCTATTGTAAGCCAGACTCCCAAAACACTAACTGATGGTTTCCGATCAAGAATGTGCACTCGCTCATTTAATGCACTTGACTTACCGCCCAAAGTTGAGCCCCATGTTAAGAGAAAACCAGGTCCAAAACCAGGCCCAAAGCCTGGACTAAAGCCAGGGCCAAAACCTGGATCAAAACCAGGGCCGAAACCAGGTCCAAAACCAGGGCCTAAACCTGGTCTAAAGCCTGGACCAAAGCCTGGATTAAAACCTGGACCTAAACCAGGGCCAAAACCCGGGCCGAAACCTGTGCCAATTGAACCAGAGTTGCCACCGAAAATTGAGACCCCTCTGAGGCGAAAACCAGGACCAAAACCAGGTTCAAAACCTGGACCAAAGCCTGGTCCAAAGCCTGGATCAAAACCTGGGCCAAAATCAGCCCCTAAACCAGCTCTAAAACCAGGGCCTAAGCCTGGACCGAAGCCTGCAGATGTTTTACAGCCTGCTGATACTTCCCCGTCAAAGGCATCAGTGGGTCGCCCTAAAGGTTCGGTTTCTAAAGCAAAGCAGATACAGGAGGAGACTCCTCAGCCTCTGACTGCACAGCAAAGCAGGAACAGGAAGAGCTTAAGAACCCTGGCAGCACTAGTCAACCAGGATACAAAACCAGTAAACCAAGAAGAAAAACAAGCAAACCAAGAGGAAAAGGCCCCAGAGAAGGAGAGTCAGAACATGGTCCTAAGGTCCAGAAAGCCCTCACAAGACAAAATGTCAAAAGACAAAGAAAGAAATGCTGGGGAGAACATTGTTCCTCAGACCATAACTGACAAAAAAGCCAGTAATATTTCTCCCAAAATAGAGGAATCTGTTAGCTTAGAAGAAACGGTGCAAACCACTAAAGGAGTTAAAAACACAGATGTCCCAGCAGACCCACCAGCACTAGCTGCTGTATCACTCTCAACTGAAGAATCTGAAGAAAAGACATCACTTCCACTTAAACGGAAACCTAGCCCTGAGCTTGAGGTAACACCGGTTAAGAAAAAGAGGGGTCCAAAGCCCAAACCTAAGCCCTTGCCCCCTGATTCCCGTCTTTCAGAGGAGGTTTTCCCCACACCTACAGAGAAGAGTGTTGTGGGCCCCAAAAGAAGACGAGGGTCACCCAAGAAAGCTTCTGTTGCCACTCTCACAACCAAAGACACTCTCCCTAACATCAGTGAACCTGATACCACTAGTGATATGCCCGTGGTACCTCCTCAGTGCCCCACTAAAACAAAAGTTCTCCCACCTCGCAAAGGTAGAGGACAGAAATATGAGGCCATGGTGCAGAAAATCACATCTCCAAGCTTGAAGAAACATCTCCCAATTCCCCAGATAGACAGTAACCTAACTGATGATGTGTCATCCAAGCTTTTGTCTCACCAAGTCTTAAAGGAAGATGAGACTTTGATTCTCACACAGAGCCCGGAAACGATGGAGGGGGAAGGGAAAAGCCCAGAGTCCAGGCAAGAAGGAGGAAAACAACAAAGAAAGGAAGAGGAAACACAAGGAGAAGAAAAACTTGAGACAAGCCAAGAGGCATCATCTCGAGATGAGGCGCAAACAGGGTCTGAAGAGAAAGTTGTAAATAAGGAGGAAACAAGGCGGGAAGACCGTGAAGCAGGGACACCACAGGATGGTGGAGCTGACAAGGGCTGGAGCTTAAGAGAGGCTGAAGCAGAAGTCAAGTCTCAAGGAAAGGTGGCACAGCAGGCCTTAGAGGATTTATCTTCTACAGCCAATTCCTCAAGAACTAAAAGAAAGAGATGGGCCATGGTTGAGAGTACAGATGCCTCAGTTGTAGCCCTAGAGGCAGATAGTCTAATAGTTACAACACCAAGGCTAGCGAAGCAGAGGGCCATCAAAAACAACCACGAGATGCACCTAAAGCAGAGGAGAAAGAAGAGAAAAGGCCAAGCTCTTCAAGAAGAAACAGAGACCGTGGAGGAGATAAATGTTGAAACAGTCGAACAACCACAAGAGAGGACAGAAGAAAAAGTAACCCCAACAGAATCCACAGTACCTCTGCCAGTCAGCTCAGATGGGACCACAGAAGCCCCCCAGGTTACCTGCACAGATCTTACCCAGAAACCAAGAAGAGGTAGAAAACCATCTGCAAATCCAACCAAAAGGAAACGCGGCAAATGCTCATCAGACCTGATTCCTGATAAGCCCGTGAAGGTCCATAAAAAGCCTGGGCCAAAACCTGGGATGAAAGATGCCCTTGAGGTTATTGAGGCAGTAATAAGAGCGGCAGGATGTGAATCAGATGCAAGAGAGGAGAGAGAAAAAGAAGAGAAGGAAAGAAGGGAAAGAGAGAAAGATGAACAGCCAGAAACATCCATCGCCGGCCCTGTGGTGACAGTCTCTGACAACAAGACTGAGACTACAACCGTTAAAAGAATCAGGCGCAGACCTGTCTATCAAAACCCTAAACTGTCCTTCTGTCCATATGTGCGGATTAACAACTCCAGAGACTTTTCCTCTTGGTGTGCGGTTGTCAACAAACCCGAGGATGCAGTAATATTTCAAAGACGTAGAAAAAAGGGCATACTCAGGATGAGGAATCCTTTCACCGTTGCCAAGGTAGTGCCGTACACTGCCGCCATGCTGCAAGGACCCTTGGTAAACAAAAACTTCACAGAAAGATGTCTTACATGTAGCCTGTGTGGAAAGCCTGCAAATTACAGAGATCTAGGTGATTTGTGTGGACCCTACTATACAGAGGATAGCGTACCGCGGAAAGTTTTGACAACAGACCACAGAGAAACCCTCAGGTTAGAGTCAGAAAAGACAAATGAAAGCAACAGTAGCAACAGTGAAGAATCAGGCGACACCACAAAGAATGAGGGTGAAGGCAGCACAAAAAAGGAGGGCGACACTGAGGCACCTCCACAAGAAGGCAGTAGCAGTAGCAGTAGACACCATCATTGGCGGCATAGACGGACAGAAAGAACAGAAAGAACGGGTCAGGAGGGTGGTCCACGAAGATTAACGCTCCGAGAGCGGTTCCGGCGGATGAGGCAGCTCCAGTCTCTCAGCGCTGGAGCTTCGGGTGACCAAGAGGGCAGTGACAGCATGTTCCAAAGGTTACAAGAGGAAGCCGAGGCGAATGAGCACTGGGCGCATGAAAACTGTGCCATCTGGACCAAGGGGGTTATCATGATAGCTGGGAGGCTATACGGACTGAAAGAGGCTGCCAACAACTCAGCCAAAACGGTACGACTGCATCTATTCCCACTTCTTTTCTTGACGATTTTGCATGCAAGCTAAGATAATAAGATACGACAGTCATGCTAACAATCTGTGCAACTTCGCTGAGGAATCGCAATAACTTTCAACTGTTTCCTCTTTTCCTCTTCTCTATCCCTATGTGCCTCTATCGGTCAATTTGTTCTTTCTTTATTGGTCCCGGTCCATATGTCCGTCTGTCTGACTAACCCCAGAACTGCTACAAGTGCCAGATTGCGGGGGCGTCCCTCAGCTGCTGTTGGAGAGGCTGCTCTCATAAATACCACTATGTCTGCGCCAAAGAGATAGGTAAGAGACCACAGCGAGAGAGGAAGAGAGCAACAAGGGATGAAAAGGGAAGAGGAGTCAGGGAGCGAGAGGAGAAATAAGGAGGGAAATTGGGGAAGGAAGATTGGAGGGAGGTTTAAAGGGCAATGGGGAGGGGGAAAAATAAATCAGGAGGAAAAAGGGGGAAATGAAAAAAGGACTGAGAGAAAGGGGGGATGGATGTGGGTAGAATGAGAGAGGGAAAATACATCAAGAAGTAACGTTATTGACTGCGAAGAGAGATGGCTGAGGGTGCTCGGGGAAAGCAAAAGAAGAGGGAGGGAGGGAGCGAGCGAGCTTTGAATAAAGGGAATGATGAGAGAAAAGTGGTACCCCAGAGTGTGCATGAGGGAGTGGGGGAAGAGATAGAGGGAGGAGGGTGTGTACGCGTGCATTATTGACCACAACCCCAGTGGCTCAGTCCATCTATTCTGCTGTCTGTAGACATGTGTGTGTGTGTTTGCATGCATTTGTGTGTGAGAGCGTTTGCATAAATGCTTCCCTATGCACATCTTAAGAACATGTTACATGTATTCATACCTTCAGTGAATGTTTTCCTTCTCTTTGTTGTCGATATAAGTGAGTGTCCGGGTGTCAGCACATGTGTTGTATGACTCCCCTCGCATTACCTCATGGTTAGGAAGTACAGTGCGAGGATTAGAAAGCCTGCCACGTCTGCCTAGCCAGCACAGAGAGCAGAGCAAGGCCCTTTTTAATCCTGCTGAGTGCACCAGCCATATCTGACTGCCTGTCTGTCTGCCTCATCCACTCAGTCCCTCTTTTTCCTCTGTTGCTTTCCTCTCTCTGTGCCTTCCTTCTGCCTTTTTCTTGCCCATTTTTCGCCCTAACCATTCCTGTTTTGTCGTTTCTCTGGAGTTTTAGAGGTAGGGGTGTAGGGTCACTTCATGCATCTGCCTCATGCTGTTTGTTTCATTTACTGTCATGGTCTGTAAATGACATCGTAACTTATTAATTCCTTTGGTTTGCTTCCTCTCTTCCTCTCTAGGCTGCACATTCCACGAGGATGACTTCTCCATCAAATGTCCCAAACACGAGGTAAGAAAAAATTAATGTTTTTCACCTTTTGAAGTGTTGCAAGTGAGTCATGCACATTTATCAAGGAAGGCAAAGTGATGCACTTTTGCAATTTTCAGGGTCTTCATTCGTCTACGTTGCAGTTGTGCATTCAAAGCATGCATGCCCTCTCTCCGAGCATTTTTCATCATCCCCTTCATCCCTCTCCACAGCTCAGAAAAAAAAAGAAATTGAGTTCACACATTGCTGTCACAGGCAGCAGCACCCTGGCTCGATAGATGATACCGTACAGAACAGAAAACGCGATTGTCAGCTCCTGTAAAACAAAAAAAGGAGCAAAGTAGGAAAGAGAAGGGATCAGGTTGACGTTCCTCATACTTGTATCAAGTGTGCTGTCCTCTTCAGTGCCAATATGACACCTATGGAGGCCAAGATCACTTGGACTTGGTGATATTTTGTTACCAAATCAATATGTTCCCATTGACCTTAGCAGGCAAAACCCAAATACATCAAGTTGTATTTCCTTGTTGTACTGCTGTCACTCATACAGCTGCAGGTGTCTACAATTACAACATGTCACCTGTTTTTGGATATATATGGACAGCCCAGTCCAGTCAACATCCCTGAAAGACAGACGCCATCTAGTGGTGGCATGTACACACTGCAGCAAAGAGAAGGAAGGTCAAATGCAGAGGGAGGCGGGGAGGGAAGTAAAGAGGGAGAGATGCTGACATTCAGCAGGGAGCAGCGGTGCATTGAGGCAGCAGTTGCAGCAGCCTCCCTCTCTCCCTCCCTTCTCTGCATCCCTCTTTCCCTCCCTTTCTTTCCTCTTCTGCTCTCCTCTGTGCAGACTGACAGGGATGAAAAGCTGGCTGCTGATCAAAACACCCCACCCAGCATCACTGCCTGCTATCCTCCCCACATGCTCTCTCCACCCTTTTCTATCTCCTTCTCTCTCTCTCGTCTCCTTTCCCTGCTACTTTCCTCATTTTGCTCCAGCGCCTCCCTGCTGTTCCAGCTCCCTCCGTCTCTCACTCCGCTCACCTCTCATCTCTTGTGAGCTCTCCTTTTACCATTTTCAGTCATCCTCCCCTCATCCCTTCCTCACTCTTTCTTCCTCATCTCCTCTCTTCTCCTCTCCCCGCATCTCTTCACCTCGCCTCCCACGTCTGAGCGGCAGAAATAGAGTATGAGAAACAGAGAGAAAAAAGAGAGCAAGACAGAGAGAGATTGTTGTTAGTGAGCTGAGGCAGAGCTGTCATCAGCTGAGGGATCTGAAGGTCTGTGTGTGGGTCTGAGCCGCGCCAATTTACGCTGAGCAGCCTAATCAAAGGGAAGAGCAGATACAGATGCACACACACAAACACACACTAAGCTCCCACCCATGGGTCCCCCTGAAAACTCTCACTCTGCCTGCGTTCATTTGGTTTCAGGGCTGGAACACACATATCAATAAAACTGCGCACACATGCTGCCTTCAGCTGTAAGACACACACAGTGTGCGTCCACACAGGTTCATTAACAGGGTACCTGTAGGCTCGAACACGTAAACACACGGAGAGAGTTCGAGAGAGACAGGCAGAGGGAACGGCAGAGGAGGAGAAAAACAGTTTTGTGCTGCGGCTGAGAGGGGAAAAAAGAGAAACGGGGGCAGTTACATCAGAGAGCAACCGAATGAAAGAGGCAGAGATGGAAGGAGAAAAGAAGGGCGAGAGGAGACGAGCAACAGAGGGGAGACATTCAGGGAAAAGAGATCAAATCAAGTGAGACCGACTGTGTTAAAGAACAAGACTCAGTCCAGGGAGGTAAACACAAACAGAGGGAGTGAGAGAGAGAGAGGGAGGGTAACTTTAGGGAGAGAATCAGGAAAGAACGACAGAACAAAAGGAAGCTAGAGGGAACGGTGAAAATATAAGACGGGCAGAGCAAAGCCGCAGGTCTGAGCCCAGTCAATACGTCAGTGCAACTGGCAGTTCAGAGGGAAATTGAGTGGATATTGGTGGTTTCAGAGGAGGATAAGTGGAAAGAAAGAGCTCTACCACCACCACCACCACCTCCACCTCACCAGAGCTGTTAGTGGGCGTTCCTGCTGTGCCTCTCACAGTGGAGCTGGTTCACTGGCCAGGTGCATCCATCTCTCCGCTCCCTTATGCTGCAGCCTGCTGGCTTTCATGTCTGCAGACACACTCACAGAGAGGCGTAGACAGCAGGACGGTCTGCACACGCTCTATCTGTAGGATACAGGAGTGAACATATATTAAAGCTTTTATGTTGATGAATACAGAAGAGTAAATTTAGTCAAATTTGAAAAGAAAGCAACGCTGTGACCAAACTGCAGTTAAAAAAAAGTTCTCTAAACCTAATGGTTGTTTTTATTTATTTATGGTCATGTTAATAGACTGTTTTTGTTTATTCTTTATATAGTGTAAGTATTGTCACAGTATTGTGGAATTTGTACCGTGTTTTATTGGTGCTGCCTCTAGTTTTTTTAATCTCCCTCTGGCATTAATAAAGTATCTATCTATCTATCTATCTATCTATATATCTATCTATCTATCTATATAACATTAACAGCAGATATATTTATTTAAAATTTTATATACAATTTTTAAAAACATCAAATCAAAGACTTTTATAATATTTCAGCACAAAACAGGGAAATTAATGCATTTTTTGAAGACTAAGCACAGGTCTGGCAGCGTTTCTCAAGGTTTTTGCAGATAATTTTAGTAAATCTGAATTTTTTACCTCGACTTCTTCGAGCTTGCATGTTCTTATTTTCTCCTTCATCCTCAGTAATGTGAAGGTAGAAAGCACACAGAATAACATGAAAATTACTCAAAGATTTATAAATACTATCTAGACTGTGAAGACTTGATTTGGTAGGCCTGCTCAGTTATGTCCTATCTTGAATTTAAGACCTCTCACACATAAAAACAAGACATTTGAAGACTCTATATACCCTTAAATTCTCAAAAAAAAAAAAAAAACTGAATAAAGAACATTCAAGACTTTTCAAGGATGTTTAAGGATCCCTGCTGTATGTATAAAAGAGGAAAAGACAAAGAAAACAAATGAACCCTGAATACAGTCATTACAAAGTGGAGTGAACCTGATGCACTGAGCAGGACCTCTTCAAGACTTTGGCTTAACATATTTTATCTTGAGTGTTTTTAATCTTTCAAAGCCTCTGTTTGATGTGTGAGCAAAGTCCTCTCGGTTCACAGAGTTTCCAGGTGAGGCTAAAAATAACATCACCTGCACAGACAGCTCCAGCTAGCTAGCTACAGCGGCAACCACTTTAGCAGAGCTAGCTTCTATCAGAGACAATTTTACACAATTATGGGGCAGTTTTTACGAGAAAAGACAGACTCTGGCAGCATGTAACGCTTTTAAGGCTCATACTGTATACATTTTTGGGCTCAGTACCTGTTTTTTACTCTCCTGGTGTTGCCAAACATGAAAAACCCGAAGCTAATGTTGAGTCGCTCGCGAACGATTCGTTCAAAAGAACCGAATCTTTACGTAAACGTACTGAACCGAATCACTTCCTCGAGTGATTCAAATTTTGTAACTAAAAGAATCTAATCCTAATTTTTAGCATTTAAAGATGACATGCGAAACTTTTTAGCTGAAAAAAAAAGACTCTAATACCTCATATTTCATATTAAATAAAAACCTACAATTTTAATGTAATTCATTATGTTTTGTTTAAACCCATTGTATGTTTTTCTAACGTTTTCTAATCATTATTTTGTCATTTCACTGTGCAGCTTGGGGTAATTTGTAAAATTTATTGAATATGACATATAATGGACCATTTCTAATCTATTTAATTTGTGTGTTTTCGTCTTTGCTTTATTAATGTATTAGTGGAAAGGGGTTGTTTTGCATGCGTTTGTTCCAGCTTTCTGTGGCACATTCATCCTGAATTTGTTTTGGATTTTTTTCCCTTGTTTTTAAAATTTGCAGCAATCACTTTTGGTGATGTCGAGGTGTGTCAGCTGCCGTAAACTGAAACAGATTTCGCCCAATTTTTATAAGTTTTAGAGATTTTAAAACAGATCCTAAAGACTCAGAAATTTGAATTCACTCAGGATCATGTCAAAAACTCTGTTCCTAACTTATTAATATATCTAAAACTGAAGCTATTTTCATCTATTTTCACATCTCAGTTTTGCTGTAAAAAGTCTCTGTATCCTCATGTTGTTTGAGGTTTCCTTCTGTGTGTTTGTGACTTTTACTAATGACAGTCTGTCCTCCTCTTCTCGACAGGACCTGTAAGATATTCCAGTACACCACCCTCACCACCAACACCTACTCACAGCCGGTCAAGCATCACCTATCCAGCGAGGCAAACAGGAACGCAAACAGTCCGGACAGCCAACTTAACCTGAAAACACGGTGTGGACTGATGACGGGCAGGCACGTCAGTTGGCCAGTAGGGCTGGGGAGGGGGATAGAGACTGGAGCTGGGGGTTGACAGACCCTGGAGGAAAGCTCCAAAGAGAAAAGCTGCTCCCTAAACCCAGCCTGGAAATGTGTTTTCTCAACTGAGCTCCTCACTGGAAGGCAGGAGGCAGCAGTTAACCGGAGGATAGACTGTGTGCCCAGATCCCAGTGCACATGGGGGCTGTTTGAAATGCAGAGCGAAGAGTGTGTGTGTGCGTGTGCGTGTGTGTTCTGCCTTCAGATGGGTTGCTATCATATTCAGACACCTGGCGGACACTGATTGGACAGCAGCATCCCTCTGGCCACCTTGTCTGTGGTCCAAGAGGTATGTGTGTATGTGTGCAAATGTGTATGTGTGTGTGTGTGATAATCACAGGACTCATCATTCCCCGGCCACATCATCAGTGTGTCTGCGCTAATGTGTGCGTGCGAGGGAAAAAGGTCATCTCCAATTCAAGATGTCATGCATCATAAAAACAGCAGCCAACCACTGGATGTACTCTCTCAAAATGTGTGCGTTTGTGTTGAAAAACAAAAAAGGAAACTGTACATGATGATGTGCTTTACAGGTTCTACATATTCTGATAATGAAGAAAAAAACGGACGCAGTATTTTACTATAATGCTCTTATCTTCGGAGATGTATTTTGATGTGCATTATGACTATACGAACATCATCGCGTCACCCTTGGTATATGTCGGGCTTTGTGTTATTCTGAAATCAAAAAAGAAAAAGGAGAAGAAAAAAAAAAAGAAGATAACTCTGCTCAAGAGTGTTAGCGCATCTCGACAGTGTGCACATTCAGTATGTACAGTACGCCGCCATCATCACCGGACAGGTTGCGGATCAGGACTCCGAGGGAGGAGGTCAGGTCGTCTCACTTCATATCTTTATGTACAGTTCAGAAGTATTACCTACATAACGCTCGACATGAACATAACGTGTGAATATTTCACCTCCCACAGCAGTGCAGAAAGTTCTTCATTCAGTCCAGATGTCATCACACACCTGTCTGTTTGTGTATCTCAAATGTAGCCTCTCTCACTCTTCCATGCTATGTAACAACGCCCAGCGCACAGCGGGCTCAGTAAAAGTACTGGTCATATCAAAAGGAGACATATTTAAGTATTAGAGCATAAAAGAAAGTGCAAAAACGCCACACCAAACTCTCTCTTTTATGAAGCTCATTATTTAATGGTGTATATAAGTATTTGATGCTGTTTAAATGTAAGATGTGATGTACTAATATAATTGTGTATAGTATTTCCTAGAGATGTTTATTTTCTATAAAATGGAATATGTTATTGCTTATAAAATGTTATTAAAAGAATCCATTGATGAAAAAAATAACGACCTTTTTTGGGAATGTCACTCGTCTTAAGTTGGAGCATGCCGTTTTATTGATTTTCATGTCTCTTTGTTTGGAATCGATGACACAGCATCACTTTGTTTGAAATGTTTTTTGTAACGCCAATGTCAAATATACCAGCACCTTTCAATGCTGCTACGACCAACGCCTGCTCTTTTTGTCTTTACTGAACACGCACTGACATAAACACACTTGATTCCATCATGGACTGTGTATACTATGCTACGGTGGCCGAAAACCGCCACTGCTGCAAATAAAAAAGAATGCAAAAAAAAAAAAAAAGAAGTCACAACAGAGGGTACCAACGCAAAAAAAAAAAGAAATGGTGCAGATTTTAAAAAAAGCCGCTGCAAAAAAAAAAAATTGGTGATGCATAAAAAAAAAACAAAAAAAAAACACTTACTGCGAAAATAAAAGGATGCAAATAAAAAAATCCACAATGTAAGTATGGAAATGAGCTGCCAGGAACCAATAATGATGATGCATCAGTGTTTTACGATCGAGCCACAGAAGGCGACGGCGAGAAGACGAGCAAAGAAGTAAGTGGAAAGGTTACTGTTTAATTTCGCTTTGTAAACTTTTTAATGTGATATTTGGTTTTGGCCATGCTGTGCCTAAGTCGATATGAAGTTGAACTGGAGGATGCCGGTGTAGTGTTAGCTTCGGCTACCACAGGAAACCCACTACGCCCCGAAAAACCACCCACGAGAGAATGGTAGCTTTGCGATTCGGTTGCTGCCATCTTGGATTATGACATCGTCAAGTTGGGGTTGGCGAGGATCGTTCAACTTTCTGAGTCGCTTGTTTGTTTGTTTTTTGGTATATTTATAATGGTATATTGTAAAATTTAATGACAATATAAAAATAATTAAAAAAAAAGATTCCGAATTGCAGTTTTGGACAAATATTGTAAGGATCGTTAATCGTCAGGGCGACGCATCTTTTCTCTTACTTCTTACCTGGTATTTATTTTCGATGTTTCTGGTGTTTGTTTTTTGTTTATTTGTCTTGTTGATGTTGTCCTACGTTTTTTTTTTTTTTTCTGGTATAGTTATAACGGTATATTGTAAAATGTAATAATGGCAAAAAAGAAAAAAACAAAAAACGTCCAAGTCGGAAATCCGACTTTAGGGGGTCTTTCCAGATGAATATCCAACTCGGAGCTCAGAAATTCCGACTTCCAAGTACAACTGGAACGCAGCACCTTTGGGAGAATATGTAATATGCAACGCTCACTAGATGGCAGCCTTCAAAAGACTTTGCAGTTTTTGATTAAGCAATAAATACGTTTTGTTTGCAAACTATCAAATTCTGTTTCATCCAACTCTTCTGGAATTGAGATTAACTTTCACAGGTTTGGTGTTCCCTCCCAGCATCTGAAGAAAAAGTTTGTTTCGGGAGACACCAAAATATTATTCCACACCAGCATTTTCCCCCCAAAAATAGAAACCCCCGGAACATGCTGCAAAACTTTCGCCCCATTTTCCATCTCCGCACATGACCCAAATGCATAATTTTAAGCTGATCGGAGGGGGGACTGTGTTTTTTCTTTCTGTTCTCCCCCTCATTATGTGAGATTACACTCACTCAGAAAAGGAAAGCACAACAGGAGACGCTGTGTTCTTCTTTACAAAATGCTTTAATATTTACATCATAAAAGGTCGAAAGTAAAAGAATAAGGAAGAGATGAAAAAGTGTCCATGAAAAGGACACGTGTGAATAACACCTTTAGACATGTTACATCTCATTCAACCCCATTCTCTTGACTTTCGCTGTTTCACATTAGTGACGCTCTATAAAAACATACTGGTCCTCGGACGAAAACACATGCTGAAAACTTTTCTTTTTTGTTTACAGTCCTCTAAAAAAACACGGTGGTTCTGCAGGCGTATGAAACGATGATGACTGAGAGAGCAAATATTGCTCTTTATGTTGAAGTTACAAAGAAAACACTGAAAATTCACTACAGGCCCTCTTTGGAAACAATCATGGTGGTGGATTATTTTAGAATTGGCTCCATGATTCGAGTAACTTGATGAAAAAAAGCACCAAAAAAGGTTCGTGTTTCTGTCTGGGTTATTATTGTTGTTTGGACTCTGATGATTCTTATGTTACTGTAGTCGCTTATGTGTGCGACTGAGTCGGACTGCAACAGCATGATACTATCAGTTTGACACTTATCGCCATGGCAGCAGTGAAGTAACTTCATAATTTGGGCCCAGTTGAAAGCTACCAAAGAAAAAAAGAACAAATAAGCATTTATCACTCTGCTTATGCAAAATACTGCTTAATCCATGATCATACAGATTATAAATACATTTTAAAATATGTACACAGCAAAAAAAGAAAGAAAGAAAACAACCTCTGATGAATGAAAATTAACATAAAGCCATATTTTTACTCATCTCACTGAAATCAGCCTTGGGGGGGCTAGTGCAGAAAAAGTCACAGAGCTTGTGCGGCGGCGGCGAGACATGATTCAAATCAACTCAAACAATCCGAGGAGCGGCTTCCCGCCATACAAGCTCAAGGTCGGAGCGAAAAGCAACCAAGTCCGAATTTGGTCATCTTCCTCCCACATAATAAGAAACGCATCCCTGTGCAGCCAATCAGATCGCTCCGTCCGTTGAAGGTGCATTTACGTCGAAAGGATTAAGGGCGGGAGTTTTGCTGAATAGATTCAGGGCGAGTGTTTCTCTGTCATGCCTCACTCACACATACATCATTCACACGGAGCTGTGATGGCTCCTCTCTGTGGTCAAACCGTGGCACTGCAATGCATTCTCAAGAGAGGGGTTAAGAGAGAAAATGCTTCTTCAATTTGGGGACAAATCCACAGCAACATGAGCGTGAACTCTACAAGTGCCTCCTGATGTGGGGTTGGGGGATGTGGGAGAATCCATGAGAGCGAATCTGGACTGTTTCGATATGAAAGGGTGTTAGTGTGGTGAATCGGTTCAGTAGCTGCGCACCAAAATCTCAGACTGTGTGGTTGTGTGTCTGCGGGGGGCTTCTTTACAGTGTCTCCATGTACAGCATCCATGCATGACTCCCGCCCCTCCCCCAGGTCTCCTCCCTCCCTCCCTTCTAGCTGTTGGTGACGGTGGTGCCGCTGCCCAGCTTGATGATCATCTGCTGGCAGTCGTGGAGGGTCCTCTTGTCTCCCAGCTTCTCCAGAGTGCGGGCCGCGTCGGCCAGCATGCCCACCCTCTGGCCCGGCGCCGACAGAAAGGAAGGGGGGAGGTAGCGGCACGCCAGCATCACCGCCTCCGCCTGCTCCCGCTGGCCGGGCCGCGTCTCGCACTCTTCTGCGTGCACACAAAAACAAAACAACAATCTCGTTACCGCGGTGAGCTCTCCGCGCTGCCAGCCGCTGACAGCCAATCAGGCGGAGGCAGCTCCTGGTTTAATTACTGAGGGGATTTAGTGTTGGGAACAATTGGGCGAAATGGATGAGAAGTTGATTAGAGACGCTGATTACAGCAATTCAGCGCCTCTCAGCTCACTGTAAGTTTTACTTAAAAAGTTGAAACTGAACACAAATCTAGAAACTAACGCTCGGACTCAGGCGGCGTCTACAGTTAGAGCGAGGTGATCATAGTTCCTATATTAGTTATTAGTCAGGTACAAATGTGACTTGACCCCAAAAAAATTCTAACTAAAGGTTTTTAAGCTGTTTCTTTTATGGTATTAGATGTCCTTAATAACAAACTAAAAGTTTACCCAAGTTTGACTACTAGAAAGGTGTCATTTTTATGATGGCATCCATGATGGGTAGGAAGTAGAGCATGACACGGGAGCAGATTTTCACTCCTGTCCCGTCCCACTCCCAGAGCAAAAAATCCCGTCCCGATCCCGGACCAAATTAAAAAAAAATTATTCCTGTCCTGTCCACTCCCGTAGAATGACTCCCACTCCCATCCCGCTCCCACTCAAAATTACTCCCCCTCCTGTCCCGCTCCCGTTTGAATAAAACCAAACATGTTGAAAAAACGTTGCATTTTTTTATTTTAGGTAAAAGTGGCAGCCGAGTCGGAGCCCGAAAAATGTCATCCTCTAATAAGAAGCCCGGGAGATAACCCAGATGAATAGGGTAAAATTTCAAACTACCAGATATCACCATGAAACTTCCCAAGTTTATAGCTTACATTAAGACAAATATTTTTTGTATTACAAGTTTTGTCAAATGTTATGTTTGAATATGTAAATGAGGCAATATCTTATTAAATATGCGCTAATTTGCATATTTTTTCAGAACCGAAAACTGAACAGTGGATAAAGACTCTTTAAAAATTCTTGTTTTATCTTCTTGACAAACTAGAGTCAGAAGGGGGGAGGAAAGGACTTTGGATATCTGTTTTTATCTCTCTGTAAATGAGAAAATACTGTAACCACCCCTAAACACCACATGTGATCTCCCCATGTCCTTAAAATGACCATCACACTTTTGTATTCATTCTAGACCAGGAGAACTGGCGCCTTTTTTTCCACCTTTCCCAACTTCTTTGGCGCGTGTTGCAGCCATAGAATTCTAAGGTTAATTATTATTTACAAAAAGTTTTTGAGTTTGAACATTAAATATCTCGTCTTTGTAGTGTATTCAAGTGAATAAAGTTCGAAAAGGATTTACAAATCTTTGTATTCTGTTTTTATTTATGTTTCCCAACTTCAATGATTCTGGGTTTTGTTAGATTTTTTTTAGGGTTAGGTGTTTTTTTTCATAAATGTACCCGCCTATATGGTGTTTATGAGATTAAATAGATGCAATAAGTTCAAGAATACAGTTTTAATCATTTATAAAAGTGAAGCTTTTTGCAGACGTGCAGAAAGGATGACTATGACGCGTCCACAAACCTGTCTTGGCCCCGGGCGTCGCTCTGCGTCGCAGCGAGCGGTCCAGCAGCTGGTGTGTGCGGGTGGGACTGGCCCCCGCCATGAGCCGGGCTGTAGCTTCATGGAGGAACAACTGGAGAGAGAGAGAGAGAGAGAGAGAGAGAGAGAGAGAGAGAGAGAGAGAGAGAGAGGAAGAGAGGAAGAGGAGAGGAGGGAGGAGGGGGTGATGATGAGTCATACAGTGTTCAGCTTCACCTCAGAGGGACTTTGAAACGTTTTCTACATCGCTGCTAAACATTTGCCTCCGGGTGTGTGTGTGTGTGTGTGTGTGTGTGTTTCAGCACCTCCCAGCTAATTTCCACAGAGATTTGCACCGTGGACCGACTGCAAATATGTGCATAGAAGTATTTATATTTGAGGCTCTGCTCACAAAGTGTATCCGTGTGTTTTTCTCGCTCCTGAACGCCCGAGCGTTCGTCTTTTAAACGCCGCTTTATGAGGGAGCTGAAGACGTGTCCTGATCTTATTTTGGAGCGTTTTGACTTCACACATTCGAGCATCTTACACGACAACAAACAGAATTCAAAGATGGGACTTGGATGGTGATTAAAGCAGCCAATAACACGGGGATAAGCTCCGCCCTAATCTTTATGCTTTCATGTTCGAACAAAAGGAAGAAAAGGCATTACCAGGCTGACCGAGCGTGATGTGCATACCAACATGCCGGCTCTAGATTTAAATATCTAAGAGCTTCAGCTTCTAGGTGAAAATGTAGGAGTAGATCTTTTTACTTCTATCAGCATCTGTAAAAAATACTGAACCGCTCCCTCAGTCTCATCCGAGGGGTGAACCGGGTCTACGTACTCGTCTCATCGCAGGTCTGAAGCTGTGCGCCAGTTTGCGTAGGGAGCTGAGATCTTGCTGGAAGCCTTGCAGCTCCGGCGGGGAGGCCTGGTGGACGCCCGCTGGGCCGCTGGTACCAACCGACCCGGACCCTACGGGGCCGACCCCCTGCTGCTGCTGCAGGCGCCACACGTTGGTCCTCATCACTAAGAGGAGGTCGCAGAGGAGCAGCTGGACGACCTGGAGAGGAAATGAAGAATTCGTCAACCTGGACATGATCATTTAACGTTTGATCATAAACAGATAAATCGTGTTTCCGTGTCTTTCTGCAGGGAGCAGCCAGCTCTGTGTTGCACTGCAGATACATTGCACTCAGCGGAGACACACATGCAATGCAACTACAATGCACCACAGCTCTGGTCACAGACGGCGAACGGTGCGAGAAGAATCGCCATCTGGGAAGGACACGGCTGGATCACAGAGGAGGTTTCCGCTCGAGTGTTTGGGCGATTTTAAACTGCTGACTTCTGCAATCCATAAAAGTGACTTTAACGTGCACCCTGCATGAGTGTGAGTGTGTGTGTGTGTGTGTGTGTGTGTGTGTGAGTACCTTGTCTAAACTTGAGCTGTGGCAGTGTGGTCCCAGGTTGAGGCTGTCTCGGAGGAGGGCGCTGGCCTTGTCGCTGTAGCTCAGACTCTGCTGGCAGTTTTCTGGCTTGGACAGCAGAGCGCGCACCGCCCTGAATGTGTTCAGACACGCCTTGGGCAGAAGACTCCTGAGAGAGAGAGAGAGAGAGAGAGGACACGGGTTAGAGTAGCAGAAAGAAAGAAGCATGTTTTTGTGTGTCTCTGTGTGTGTCTGCACGTCAAACTCACTCTGCGTTCTGCAGACTGCGCGGCAGGTGCTCGACGGTGGGATACAGCCTCTCCGCTGCTGCATCGTCTCCTTGGAGCCAGTTGATGATCACCACGGCAACAGAGGACCACCACTTGGAGTGGGGGTCACAGCCTGGAAGTTGGAACAAAACAGTCAAGATTCGACGGACAAAAAAGGCACGCAAAGATCCGAATCCCCCTCCGTCCAGTTTCATAAGCTGCACACGCACGCACGCACGCACACACACACACACACACACACACACACACACACACACACACACACACACACAGAAAGAGCGAGAGAGGCAGCTGCTGTCTGTGTTTTGACCTCTGAATCAATCTGTTTGCCCCCTGTGGCAGAGTCAAAACAAGCTGAGAGAGAGCAGCCATTTTGACGACTCCCTCATGTGGGAAAACTCCTCCATTTAACACTGGGCAACACACACACACACACACACACACACACACACACACACACACACACACACACACACCGACTTCTGACACAACCCGAGGCTCTGCCAAGAAAAGTCTCAGATTAAAGTCCTCCTCTCCCTCCGCCGCTCTCCCTCCTGTCAAGGTGATTGCTGATTTGACAGCGCCGAAGACAGATGACGCAATCTGAGGAGGATGCCTCCCCCTTCACCGAGACACCCCCCCAACCCCCGCTCTCCCCCCCTTCTGCTCAGATCAGCAATCAGTGAGGAAAAAGGGAAGTGGAGCGAGGCGAGATCAGACTGCTCGGATTAAAAATTAACTTTCTTTTGTTGCTTTTAATGACGTGTCGCGTTCAGAGCGTCGAACAAGCTGCAGGAGAAAGACGAGGAAAGGAGCCCAAATATGGACATGAGGTCTCACCTGTCACTGTAGCCATGTTGGAGCCGATAGCGAAGGACTGGGATGTCGCACCTGCAGCATCTGAAGCGCTGATCAACAGCTGGAGGTACTCCAAAGCGTCAGCGTACTCTCTGAGGAGAGACACAGAGGGATCGCTTATTTCAAGCTTTGCAGGAAACGCATAATAGAAGGTCGTAAAGTCACCTGACTGTGAGCGGAGCGGTTTATAATTAAACTATAATCATTAATGCAGTGAAATCGTACTGTAAACGTGACTCAGATATTAGGATTTTTGGCATTTCTCACCCTTCGCCCTGGTTGCGGCTCTTCTCTCCACACGGCTGCGCCACGCAGTACAGAGCCTTCTCCAGGAGGTGCTCTCTGAACGCCTGAGTCACCTGAGCCAGAGGATCCACTGGAGGAGAAGAAACAAACCATCAACATGAGAACTCTCACTATGTTTCGAGGAAGATTTCAGCTTTTAAATTCACTTTTCCTCGTGTACGTCTGTGCTTACCGGTATTCCCGGCCTGGCTGTAGATGCTTTCTTTCGGAGTGCTTCGAATGGCCCAGTCGCCGTCCACGAAAAAGCGGTGGCCCAGCGGGTGACAGAGCCACTGCATCGCCGGAGGCACGCTGCCGCTGGACGAGAGGCACGCCTGGCGGGCGCTGCTCAGGAACACACGCTATCGAACGCAAAAACACACGAGAAAAAACACTCAGTCAAGTTTCTCACTCTCATTTCCAGCGCTGGTGGGATGTGGGAGGAGTGTTTACTTCACTAACGATGTTTTGGTTCGATGAATGTGGGTTCATGAGTCCCAGGGTCATGATTTAATTTAATTCAGAGAAAACTCTTCACTTAAACACTTCAGTCTGTTTTCTAAGAGGACTTCATTCTGGACTCACAGATGTGAAATGCAGGATCCTCGGCAGGCTGGCTTTGACCCGCAGAGCCGCAGAGACGTAAACTTCAGCCAGAGAGGCCACAGGTAGGCAGGAGCCGGCGCACTCCGCGAGGTTCACCGCGCTCAGAGCCATGTGCACCGCTGACAGGTGGCTCCCGTTCAGCTTACCTGAGAAAAAAAAGACAAAAGACGAGGAAAGGGTTAATTATTTATGCTTTATTATTATTATATTTTTGAAGGAGAAGTTCATGCACGATACTCAAGTTTCTGTCCCGTGAATATTCCTCCTAATCCAACTCACCTGTCATGTGCAGCTGATGCAGACGGTGGTAAACCAGGGCGGCATCACGGCTGCTCTTACAGGCGTCCTCCTGCAGGGGGCGGTCTGACCGCAGTCCTCCGGCTCTGGCAGCCAGCCAGCGGCCCACCCACAGGCGCTGGAGGCAGAATCTTAGCAGGGACCAGAGAGCGGCACAGGCCAGGTCCAACTGGGAGATGGGTAACGGACGACCGAGAGCCTTCAGACAGGTCCACAGGTTCTGACTGGCCTGAGCAAAGTCGCCCTGGTAACGGCGAAGAAGAAGAGAGTGAATGGATGAAGAAGACATGAGTAATTTTATCTAAAGAGAGGAATAAAACGATGAAAAACCACAAACATACTCTAGCGAGGTCCAGATCAGCCTGTTTGCGGTGCCTCCAGAACAAAACAGAGGATCCAGAGTGCGGTCTGGTCACCGGTTCTCCGTACACCAACAGCCGGATCAGAACCCCGGACACCAGGATCCCATTCAGCAGCCAAACCAGGATAGAGGGCAGCATCCAGTCCATCCATCCCCACGAGTCCGCTACAAAAAACCACACATTTTAGAATCATCACAGTCGAGTTTTCAGGCTTTTCCAAAATCAAAATATGAATCACTTAAGAGAGCGGAAAGTTCGACCTCGTACCTGCGATCTCCACTCCGAGGACGCTCCTCCCCGGGTGATGGGTGGCAGCAGCTGCGGCGCTTCCAGCTGAGCTGCTTCCGGAGGAGCAGAGCAGAGCGGCCAGAGGGTTGAGGGAGAGGAAGAGGAAGGTGAAGGCGCACAACGCCATACGGGATCGGTCCAACATGCCGCCAGCGCTGCCTCCTGCAGCCGATCTGTCTACGGCGCCCACGCTCGGCTGTCGAATACAGGACAAGAGAGACGTCAAAATGGAGACGCTGTACCTGCTGAGTGATGTGTGCGTGGAGGAAGTACGACCGCCGCTTACCTTGGTGTCCTCCACCATCGGACTGTCCGGCTCCGAGTCGCTGCCGCAGTGCGAGAAGGAAGTCGGGGAGCCAACGTCGGAGGCAGGCGGGGTGGGCAGCTCCGTCTTCACATCAGCCTGTCCGTCCACTTCCATGGCAACCAGGTCTTTGAGAGACTCTAAAGGGGAAACAGTTAAGAGGTCAATCAGCGGCGGTGACACCTTCATCCTTCAGTTCCACTTAACTCAGAGAGCGTTTTCAGGATAACACTCTCTATCAATGGACCTCATCACTAAAGGTCGACCGCACGACCTTTGCTCAAGGAGCTGAAACGAATCGTGGAAAAAGCCGTAATGGAATCAAGACCGGAGGAGAGGAGTCTGGAGCACGTACTGTTTTTCTGCGCCGCCATTTTCAGAGCCATGTTCTCCTGTTTCAGCTTCTGGTTGGACTGCTGCAGGTAGCGGATGTAGTCGATGGCTTTCCTCAGAACGGCGGACTTGTTGAGCTGAAGGAAAATCAAACACAAACAATCATGAAGTTATCTTCACACGAACATCTGGACCGATCAGGATTCACGAGGAACTCTTTCCAACCTTGGCTTCGGTTCCCGCCACCAGATCTTTGAGCTCGATGATTTTGTCGTTGATGGAGGAGCGGTAGCGCTTCTCGATGGCGTTGTGAGCGGTGCGTTTCTCTCCTTTGTGCGGCTGGCCGGTCGGCTTGCTGCTGATGGCGATGCGGTTTATGGGGAGCTTCTCAGCGTCCACCATGACGGGTACTGTGGTCAGGATGGTGCCGCCGCCCATAAAGGCCTGAAGAAAAAAAGACGAGAAAATGATGACCTAGAACAAACCGTAAAATCCCGATGGTGGTCTCTTTTCAGGACAACAATAGACTGAATTTTGCAGACCCTCCTTCCTCAGTAAGACGCCGAGTTCGTCAGAGCTTCTTACAGTCGCACAGTTAAACAAATGAGCTTAGGCGTGGTGTGAGCTAAGTGCGGTGTTGCACAGGATGTCCTGACCTGCAGCGAGGTGCTCTGAACCGGCGTGGTAGAGGCCAGGGATGTTGGAGACGCCATGGTAGTGACCATGCAGGGGTCATGCTTCAGAGTCGTCAGCAGCAGAGACTCGGCCTTGATGAACTGGGGCTGCAACAACACCTGAGAAATACAAACACAGGAGCTCAGAGATACAGCTGACTGATACTGGACTCAAAGATCACACACACTGGCGCTGGTCTAACAAACTCACAGGTACTTGCTGGACGTGGGGGGCGATGGTTTGAACTGGTGGGCTTGCTGTTGTGGTCAGGAGAGGGGAGGCAGTGGTCAGCCCCTGGATCTGAGCCTGGATGGTCACTGGCTGGACATTTGGAGGTGAGGACGACAAGGTGACGGCGGGTTGGCTCGCAGCGCCGGGGCTGCCAGCTGGAAAAAAAAGGGAGTTTACGGATTTAGTCGTGAAGAGTTTTACAAAATATCCAAGAGAGCGGGGGTTGTTGAGCGGGATAGAAGTTTGTAGGGATTTGATTGACATCTGGAGGATCATATGTAGCATGTATGACAGGAGCTTCTTGTCCCTAAAGGCCACCGTAGCTTCACTGAGAGCAGGGGCGAGCATGAACGTGTTTTAACCAAGAACCCGATCAATATGTAGAATCTTCCTCATCTACGTTTTTTGTTTTGCTCTAAAATCCCTGCTAAACTTCCTGTTTACATCGAGGTGCATTCTGGGTAATGAAGTCCTTTTAACCAAATTAAAGATTTGGCGATGAAATCACACTCTTATGCTGCCATTGAGTTACCTCAGAAGTCAGATGTCGGCGCTGAAAATGACTTCACACCCGAGTTACCAGCCTTTCCGTTACCAAGTCGGAAAAAAGCAAAATCGGAGGCGGAAACCAGATGGCTGCATCTATGAAAGTTATTTTAGCGCCAATATATTGTATTCAGACAAGGCATAGGATAATGTGCTTGTTTCCATCTTTTCTAGCCAATCAGAGGCGAAGGAGATGGGACTTTCCCCGGGAAAAGTCTCCCCCCGGAAGGTCGCAAAATCGCATCACGCTTGATGTGTATAGTCAGGCACGCCTCTGAAAATTCGGCTCTGAATATTTTGTAATTTCGTGTCGTATATTTTGGTCGTTCCCGGTGTGTAAGGACCTTAAGAGTGTGATTTCATAGCCAAATCTTTAATTTGGTTAAAAAGACTTCATCACCCAGAATGCACCTCGATGTAGCAGCATTAGTCCTCTAGTCAATAATGAAACATGAAATAAATCAAGTTCAAATGAAATCTTCTCTTTTTTTTAATCATATATTTCAAATAAATTGGTCCTTGATGATAATTATTGAACTCCTAACTTGAGTAACTCAGTACTTCCACTTCTCTGCACTGTACCTTTAAATAAAATGCACATTTTTTAGATTTTAGTTTAAAGACCGTCTTTGTGAACCTCTGGGGGTCATGACTATCTTCGTCTAAACCGGTCACTGTGCAGGACTTTATCTCTGGGTTTGTGGGCTAACAGGTGACGGCGTCTCATCGGTGAGAACTAACAGCAACATTCAGTGTGTCACCTTCTGTCTCTTATCAGCTCCACTGTGATAAACCGACAGCTTCAGGGTTCGAGAAGTCATAAACTTTAACTACATTAGAGACGATGGAGAAGTGATGTTAAACGATCAGTCACCACATGAACACGGCTGCACACGCGTACACGTATTGTACATGTATAGTGTGATATGTACTTTGAACATATGCCACTGTCTGTACATTCACAATGAGCATTTTTCACACAGCTGAGCAAAGTCTATCAGATTAAGACGCTCACCTGTGAAGCTGCTCTGGCCGCTGTAGCCGCTCCGGGCCTGTTGGGGCTGAAGCTGTGTCTGGGTCTGCGCCTGGGGTGGAGTCTGTGGCGCCGGCGATGTAAAGAGAGCCTGCGGCGTGGAGCTGAAAGTCAGGTTCTGTACCGGTGAGCTGTTAGGTGAAGCTGTCTGAGCCGGGGTGGGCAGGCTGAGAGTGGGTTGGGGCTGCTCCACCTTAGGCTGCCTCAGGGTTGACGCCTGCTGAGGCGATGACGGCTGCTGCCTCAGGGTGGTGTTGGGCACCTGGGCCAGAGGGGACTGCTGAAACGTGGGAGGCTGGAAGGCCTTGTCTGGGGTGGATGAACTCCGTGTGATGGGAGGGCCGAGGAGAGCATCCAGGTGGGGACTGCTGCTGAGGATGGAGGAGGATGAGGATGGAGGAGTGGTGGTGGTGGTTGGAGGGGTGGATGAGGTGATGGGCTGGGTCAAACTGGGAAGCTCTTGGGTTGGAGGAGGTGCTGTGTATGGAGGGTTGTCAAAAAGCCCTCCAAACTCCATGTCTTGGTTGCTGATGAGCTGCAGCATGTCTGGAAAGAAAGGAAACCAGACCAGCTGTTACTGTTGCACAGACGAACGAATAATCACAAACTGAAAGAGGACTCTGCTGATCACTTTCTGAGTTTTTAGGATCAATCCCTCAGAGTTCAGAACATGCAAATAAACTCTGATTTCAACTGGGAAGACTGCACATCCATTTTTACAGCTATTCTGCACATTAAGACACCTTTGCAAAACTCTGAAATTATTGCAAACGATCAGGAAATCATTTTCAATTTATGACCAGTGTTGTCACTCTCAGTGTGTACATTAAACTTGTTTTACAGCCGTGTTTTCACTCCGTTCTGATGTAGTCGGGATTCAGGAGAAACAGGAAAACTAGGGCCCGACCGATTTATCGGCGAGCCGATTTTAGCCAGTTGGAGACTAATCGGTAATCTGCCAAAACTCACCGATTGTCGCCGATATTATTAGAAATAAATCAGAATAAGATTCGGTTTCATTTAAAAAATGTTCCGCCATTTGACAAACATCCCTTTTCTTGTCAGACAAACCTAGTGTCGGATTTAAAGAGTTGAACCAAACGCCGTTAAAATAACTGATGAGTTCAGTTTTGTAAGAGGAAAATAGACGTAATGTTCCTTTTTAGCTGAATATGTGTGCACAAAAAAAACACACCACAGTCATACGGTTTAATTTTCCATGGCGTAGAGAAAACACACTGTAGTATTAGTTTCTTTTGGTTCACCCTCATTCAGCACACCTGTCGCCCAGTCAGGTGTGCAGAGTTCCTCTTCCATAGTCTCTGTTTTATTTCTAGTGTCATGCAGCCCGACAAGCTCGCCATGAATTAAACCCACCAAACAGTGTCTGTAATATCGTAAGAGCTGCCAAAGCATGTGCAACTTATCGGCAACTCATGCAAATAAAAAGGCACCAAAAGAATGTCTAAAATCAGTAAGTATGAGCAAAAATGTGCAAAAAATTTATAAAACATCTCAACTATGCATTAGTTTTTTAAATCTATATTTCACTCTCAACTAATTTTCCCAAAATGGAGTCACCCAAAAGTTTAAGATACAGTTAACAACAATCCAGCAGCCAAACATGACTGAAAATGTGTTTAAACAAATGTTTCTTCAGAATCACAACAAAAAATATGACTAAAATAAGGAGCAGGACAACTGAATCTAAAGGCTACCATGTGGTTATTTTTATTTTTCTATTTCCTGGATTGTAAGCGTTGTATAACATAGTTATTTGTTTACGTTCTGTATACAAGTCATGTTTACAACCTATACAACATTTGCCACATGTGTACCTGCAATGTACGATATTAAAAAATCCAATAAAATATTAATCATACAAAAAAAATGAATCTAAAGAACAGGGAAATATCCAGAGTATTTTCTTTTTGCTTTAGTATGCAGTACAAACACATAGTGGCCCACAGGTAAACATATACTGTACAGCACAGTCGACGCTTAAAGTTGTTCCTATTTATAGTATTCCTGGAACTGTGGGATAAAGTCCTCCAAAGAAGGGGCAGAAAACTGACCAACATGTAAAAGCTCAAATTGACTTGAATATTCACGTAAAACAACTATGACTCATTAAAATGTCTTTAAATTCACTAAATGTGCTGTAAGGCTTAAATTCAGAGATGCTTTTGAATAAAAATGGGAATCATAATGTTCACAACAAACGTCTGGACATAGATGTGCTCTATTTTCTCTCACTTTCAATAAGATCTCAAATTAAAACTTTATTTTACAGTTCCTACTTTTCACTTTATGAGTGATTTAGTGTTAAAACGTGGTCATTTTGTGTCTGCAGACAAACGCAGCAGCAGCCTGAGTTTGTAATCCAGTGTTTTGTATGAGGTGATCGCTGTGGACCAATCAGAGCGCGTCTCAGAGACTTGCTATGCCGCTCAGCCCAAGACACCAAAGAGAGGGAGCCTGTCTGCTGCTGCTGCTGCTGCTGCTGCTGCTGAGCGAGAGGTTACCATCGAGCACCAACACCCAGGGTTACTGTCGGTCATATTTGGGAAGGTGGCATGCACCGCTGCAGGATATTAAGATAGGAATCCAAAATGTGTTATAATCTGGTTTTTAGGACACTCTACCTCAGTTAAACTGGATATTATCGACTTGATTAGTTTGAGTGTTTTTAAAACCTCAGGTTATATTTTGTCCACTCCATTAACAATCATAAAGGAGGCAAAATATTAGGAACACATTTCAATATGCCCTACACACAATAGTGCATCATTTTCACTCATTTTGACTTTAACAAGTTATAAAAAGACAAAAAGTGGAACTGTTGTATTTAGTTGTATCAGATTAGAATATAGCTGAAGGGTGTATGTTATTATACCAGGGAGTATTAGGGCCACATTAAGAGAAAAAATTAAGACTGAGATTAATTTACAAGAATAAAGTCATGTTTAATCACTTACTAGAGTAAAGTCAGAATAAAGCTGTGTTTAGTCACTTACTAAAGTAAAGTCAGAATAAACTCCTTATATTCTAACCTGCTGTTTAAGATGACAAATGTTGAAATTAGAGCCATGGAGCATTTCGTGAAAATGTACTTCAATAAAGGTTTCTTTAACAAGGAGGTACTTCATCTTTTGGCACATCAGCACCACATTATCATATATCATAATGATTTTATTATGACTTTACTCTCGTAGCTAAGTAACTACTTTACAACAACTTTATTCTCGCAAGTAATGATTTTAGTACTACTTTATTCTTGTAGCTAAGCAACTACTTTATAACGACTTTATTCTTGTAAGTAATGATTTTAGTACGACTTTATTCTCGTAAGTAATTTTAGTACAACTTTATTCTCGTAGCTAAGTAATAACTTGGTTTTATTCTCGTAATGATTTTAGTACGACTGTATTCTTGTAGGTAATGACTTAAGTATGACTTATATCTGGTAAGTAATGACTTTAATATGACATTATTCTTGTAAGTGATGATTTTATAAAGACTTTATTCTCGTAGCTAAGTAATTACTTGATTAAGACTTTATTCTGGTAAGTAGTGATTTATGTACGACTTTATTCTTGTTAGTAATGACTTTATTTTTGCAAATTAAGGACTTTAATCTTAAAGTCTATTTTTTTTTCTTAATGTGGTTTTAAGTATTATTGTCATCATAAAAATCGTCGTATTACTGCTTTCATAAAAAAATAAAATTAAATGAAAAAATTGAAATTAAAAAAGGAAATCAATGATACTAAAACCGCACTGTTGAGAGAAAAATCAAGAAAAAGGTTCATTTTCCTAATGAATCCTTTTATCTCCTGATATTTATCAATATTAAATTGTGTTAATTCGGTCACCTGAGGCACTATGAACCCAGCACAGAGGAATGACCGGCAGTAACCTCCTAGTGTGTGTATGTGTGTGTAGAGCAGGCTGGGGGCGGGGCACGCTCGCGACCATTTAGCAGCACGTTAGCCTAACCGTTTAGCTTAGCTCCACCGCTGCAGTAACAGACTTTAAATGCTACAAGATAAAAACAGACAGACAGACTAGATAAACTGACATAAAGTCCCGGTAAGTGAGGTTTAAACACACATGGAGGTAGCTCCCAGTCACCACGCACTGTTATTAACATGACTGGATTAGCTCTTTCAGACGTTTCTTACCGTCAATGTCGCTCAGAAGAGCCGTGTCTATGTCGCTGGGATCATTGAGCGACAGAGTTGGATCCAGAGTATCCAGTGAAGGATCGTCAAAAGACAGGCTGTTCATCTTTAACGGTCGTGTCTGCCTCTTAAACCGGCTTTTCAATCTCTCTCAGGGGGGGGAATCTCAAACGTCTCGAGCTCCTACATTTGCCAAAAAACCCACTTCAAATCCCAAGAGTGGAAGAAACACGCAGGAAAAAAGGCTGAAACTGTGTATCGGTGTGTGAACTAACTACACACTCCTAACCCCCATGATCGTCCGGGTAAACTTGTCAAGCCAAGCCAAACACTGGAGCTCAGGCAGTACAAACGTGCTAACGCGAATCCTCCTGGCGAGTGTGATGATTGACAGGCGGGCCAGCCAATCAGCGTCTCTGCAGTAGATTCCCACGTCCCACTGTTCACCAGCGTTGTTTTTATTATTTATTTGAATAAAATCAACCTTATATCTGTCATCTCTTATCTTATTTCTCTGTCTTTTAGCTTTGGTTATACTTGTACTCTTTTCTTAATTAACCTTTTGCTCATTTCTGTTGCTCTATTTCATCATTACTATTATTATCAGTATTACCTGTTATTATTTTATTATCATTGTTGATATTGACTTTTATATTTACCACCCTATTTCTGCTTTCTACCCCCTTTTTTAATTGCATTTGTTTTTATTTCGGTCCTCATGGTCTCATTTTATGTTGCATGGTTCTTGTATTGTCTGGGTTCCTTATGACACGAAAATGGCCTTAAATTCCATTTTAACTGAGCTTTTTGTTTTTATCTGTCTCTTTCCATGTGCTCTATGACTACATGTTAAAGCACTTTGTTAACTTCTGTTTTTAAGAGTGCTATACAAATAAAGTTATTATTATTATTATTATTATTATTATTATTATTATTATTATTATTATAGGAAAGTTTTAAAGTTTGTTTTGTTTTGTTTTTTTATAAAGGTGGAGAGCCTGAACTATAGACAGACTTGGCTTTGACATTACAGACCTTGTATTTTGTAAATAAATTAACAAAATGAAGAAGCTCTCAAATCTCATTGTACCTTCTATGTAATGACAATAAAGGAAATTATGTCTCGAAATTCTGTTGATTTCTTCCTAAATTAGTGCAGAATGCACTAATTCTTCTCGAATTATTAATATCACTATATAATATAACATGTACTCCATTTATGAGTTATAAGCCATTGTGTAAATGTTGTATGTATCTTAAGTCTTATTATACTGTCAATTTTTTATTTAGGTAAAACAATGAAGTGACAGAATATGGATAGTATGCATTAATTTAGCAAAATTAAATAGACAAAAATGTGATTGTTGTGACTTAACTTTAGAAAGGCTTCGCTTTACCATTACAGACCTTGTATTTTGTAAATAAATTAACAAAAAGAGAAAAGGGGTGCATTAAAAAAATATCTACATATAATATACCAGCCTTGTTCATCTCATTTTTGCCAAGTTTACATTACATGAAATATGAAGTGACAGATTGTGGACAGTGTGCATTAATTTAGCAAACTTAAATAGACAAAAATGGGGTTATTGTGACCCAAAATACTGAAATATGTAAAGAAATCCTTTTTTAAAAGTATTAAAAATGTTACATCTGCTGTGGTCAAGTTTTTTCACAATTATAATTACAGCTTTTTAACTTCTGCTCCGTTAAACCATCTTTTTATCACGCAGACATGACCTAAACTCTGTATTTGTGGTGAAAACAGCGTGGACGTGTTTATTGTGGGCTTGCCCCCGAACAGCCAATGGCAGCCGGGAGGGCGTGTACCTGGGAAAGCCAAGTTAGGTTGCCCCGAAGCGGCAGCTCCTCCTGTAGAACCAGTGAAATTGTCCAATGGGAGGCTCAGGATCCGAGTGGGGTGATCCGACGTCACAGCTCTGAGTCTGAGTGATTACATCATGTGGATCCAGAAGAAGAGGGGAAATAACCTGCAGGGAAACAAGTGGGAAAATAACACGAGAAATGGAGCAAAGTGTTTATTTTGGCTCATGTCAGTAACGAAAAAATAAATAAATTCACACTCACGGAATATTTATATAACCTTTTCATATAAGTGTTTTTTATTTTAAGTTAGCAACTCACTTAAATCACTTGTGATGGAAAAAAAAATCAACATAATGAACCTTATTTTCCAGTTTTGTTAAAGTAAATCTATAATATCAGAAAAGTTAAACATTAAAACAAAAGAGGAACCCTGTATGAGGTGTGGAGGGGAAATAGGTCAGTGACCTACAACTGAACTGTAAAGTTGTTGACATCGGGGAAGTGGAGTATTGTTGAGAACCGGTCATTGTGCTTGTTATTTTAATAGAGGTGTGTTTCTATAAAATCATCCTTGACTCAACTTGGCTTCAGCAACCTCAAGATAATTATCTACAGGTGAAAAAAGGCAAGACTTGTTAAAAAAAGATACATATGTGGGTTAAAGGGATATTCCGGCGTAAAATTAAGTTAGGGTCAAACCATAGACACCCCTTGAGAGATGAATGTTGCCGACCGCTTGCTTCTCTAGTTATAAAAACTTGAGTAACGACCGCACGATAGCAATACACAGCGATCTGAGGAGCCATAAATACACCTCGACCAAAACGCCACTCTACAGCCACAAATAATGCTCAGAACAGCACCTAACTTCATCAACAGTACATGTAGGGTCCCAGCCACAGTACTAGCCATCAAACATCTTTTTAACTTTGCCTAATTTCTTTAGCAAAGAGACTAAAGACAACTCACCTACTTTTCCAGCAGCCGCTTGTTTGTAGCTAGATGGACTACAGCGCGGTGACTCAGCTCAAGGAAGAACATTTATGATCATTTCTTCATGGAAATGCAGACCGAGAGGCAGAAGAACTACCGCGTCTGCAGAGCAAAATGATTAATATGGTGATTATTACTTCAAGGAAATTATAAAGTAATGATCATAAATGTTCATCCTTGAGCTGCGTCACCCCGCATAAATTTGCGTCAATCAGTCAAAGCTAAAAAGAAGTTTGGTGACTAGTACTATGGCTAGGACTCTATATGTCCTGTTGATGAAGTTAGGTGCTGTTCTGAACATTATTTGTGACTATAGAGTGGCGTTTTGGTTGAGGTGTATTTATGGCTCCTCTGACTGCTGTGTATTGCTATCGTGCGGTCGTTACTAAAGTTGGTATAACTAGATACCAACTGACCACTTACCTCTCTATAACTAGAGAAGTAAGCGGTCTGCAACTTTCATCTCTCGAGGGGGTGTCTAACTCGGTGTTACCGTGTGTTTGAACCTTAATCAATTTTACACCGGAATATCCCTTTAATAGCTTGTTTACATGTAATGTGGTGGTAGCATGGACCCGGGTATAGCATGTGGCAATGAAGGGCCAGTCCCAGTGCAAGATTGAGGGCTAGTTGCATCAGCTTGAGCATGTGGGAAAAGCAGGGACTGTGTCACATCCTGTCAGTGTAAATAAATAACCACAAACAGTTGTGAGGTAGAGGTCACACATTGCTAGTGTTTTATTGGGCAGTTACATACGTGCATCAGGTCAAATCTGACCGTTAGTAATGGCAGCAGACATCCACCGACAAACACAAACAACAAAAAAATATCCTCTCCTTTACATCCGCGACACATCAGAAAACAGATCTGCTTCATCAGAATTAAAAGACATTCAGAAACTCTTTCAAGGTAGCGGTAATTTCGAGGAATACATGTTGCAGTCAGGACTTAAGAAACAAAGCTTCGTTAAGATCCTGAAAAGCCCTCAAACACAAACAGAAAAATACTCTCGAGTTCCCTTTTAAAGGATTTACTTTTGCATTTTTAGTCATTTTTGTTTAGCCTGCAAGTTTTTTTTTTAAAGTGAACACAATGGTTGATTGTAAATTTAACGCTACTATCTGAGTTACATGGCAACCATATTAATCTATTGAACTATATGTTACCATACAGCACTGGAAAAAGGTAAAAGCTTGTTAATTATTACCTTTTAAAACCAAAATATTTACTCATAATGATTAAGAAAACACAAATAACCAAAAATACACGATATTAACAAGCATTATAAATCATTGATAGTTCCTTCTAGTGAAAGGCCCATACTGATGACGGTAATCCAACAAGTATTTTCAAAGCATGACTAACAGATTTGAAGGGAGTGCCTGAATAAACAAAGCTTTTACTCATTAATGGAGTGAAAACATTAAAATAAACTACATTAAAACAAACAACCTCAGCGAAAAATAACTGGAATGAAAATCAGATTGTTTTTTTTTTTTGCCTCAACGTGTGAATGTAAGGTACTTAAAAGATAAACGACAGTCAGAGCTGCTCGGCTGATTTGAGTCGAATAACAGAGAAAATAACAAGCATCAAACAAAGTCTCGGAGTGCTGAAATCAAAGTAAGAATAGTTTTTGTTCATTTGCCACTTGCTTGTCTTTACTGAAAAAAAGAAGAAAATCACAGATGATGGGTACAAACATGATTTGATTTTGTGATTTTTGAAATAAACTATAAAAATACAATCAGGGATCAAAAAAAGACACAAACCTCTCTGCTTGTTGGATACAACTGCGAGCGAATACATCTTCTATCAGTTACAGAAACTGAAATTTCTGCTTTTTGAGGTATATAGATTACATTATATAGAATAAAGAAGGTGATAGAATGCAGCCTTCATTATAGGATTTGACTGTAAGGTATATGTTTTGTTTTACGCAGATTACTACACCTGTATGCTAAGTCTTGGTCGCTTGTTTAAATGCCATATCATGTCCACCGATGTGTAATTTGCAGTCTTAAGTAAACCACTTTGATCGTCTACTCTATCAGAACAAGTGCAGCTATACACAGTTAGAAAACTCATGTGCAAAACGGGTCTTTTCCCCTCCCCTAGAAAAATAGTCACCATCTTGTAAACACAAAGGACAAAATACAGATTTTTTTATTTTTCGCAACTAAGAGAATAAACATTATAATAAAGCAGGGGGAGGGAAATCTTCATGGTCCACCGACGTTATAACATCGTAGTCAGGATGAATTCAGTGCTATTTGGTCATTAAAGCCTCAGTTTTCTTTGGAATGGGTATGAGTTTGTTTGACTTTTCGGAGCTCACGTCTGAGGGCTGAAAAGGCTGATGGGAAATTTCGTCAATGGGCGTGTTCCTTCCACTTGACCTCCCTGACATCAAACAGAGAAATCGGACAAGTGCTGTTCTGACTGTTTTTTAGTGTCTTTTACCCTTTGGTTAAAGGAATGCTGGCATACACTCATTAAGATAAGATAAGATTTAGCTATTATATTTAAAGTTAGCAAAATTAGCCTGCTAACACACTTTTTTTTACCCCCTCCACACTACGACTTTGATCATATTTAGCAATAAGGAGGAAAACAGCGCAAACAATTAAAACAATAAATGCATAAATTAGCTAAATGCAGTTAAACGACAGAATAAAACCCTTATTGTACTCCTCTGCACTGACCTGCCGTGAACTTTCCCGTTTATTATCTCGCAGTAATATACTACATTTTTAAAACCACATCAGACAAGCCAGGTTGTCTTCCTTTGGTGGTGCGTGACAATTAAGATACGGGGCTGCGAGTACAGCCCATATTAACAGATTAATACATCCAAATATAGAGCACAGCTGTGCGCAGTAAACACACTGGACCTCTGCATGTTAGAGCAACACTGTGGCATGAAAACGACAAAGAGGCGGAGATCACTTGCTACACCACTGCCAGTCAGCGATGAGATGGGACTGGAAGGACTGTTTTGGAGGAATCACTTAAAGCGAGGACCTTTAGATGCCCCAGAGAGAGAGAGAGAGACAGAGAGCGAGAGAGAGAGAGCGAGGTTCTCTTTGAACAGTCTACAAGGCAAAGAGGGTGTCTTCTGTCCGTTCAGCCTTCTTGTGGGAGCCTCCAGGGGCCCGAGCGACGGGGTGAGCAGGGTCAGCTGCCGGGGGAGATGGCAGCGAGTCCACCGCCTTCGCTCGCTCCTCGAGGAACTTGTCGAATTCTGAAGAAACAAATGCGGTCATCAGGGACGTGCAGAGTTCAGAGTTTGGAGGAAAAAACATGTGGAATCAGCGCCAGAGTAAAAATGAGACACGAGTCGAACATGACCTTTACCTTCACTGGTCACCCCTTCCTCTGCAGCGTCCCCTTTCTGTCAGGAAGGAATAAAGAGACATGAGATCGAATTCACACATGACAAGAGTCTATATGTTTCAAAGAAGCTCGTACAGGATAAGATAATGTCTAAACTGTTGTTTTAATGAGGAAATCACACCGTCAGAGTCCATACACATTTACTGAATATGAGAATCCGTACTCGCACGACTATTTTGGAAAGCAGCTCAACAACTAACTAGTTTCACCATCTGCACATTAAACCTCTCACAGAATATGAAAAGTATATATGAAAATAATCCACGCTTTCATTATCTACTGTAACTTTTAATTAGTTTTAGTAGACAGGATCACATCACTCCAATTTTAGCCTCCCTTCACTGACTTCCTGTCAGTTTTAGAATTGATTTTAAGATTTAACTGATTACTTTTAAAGCACTCAAAGGACTTGCCCTGAGCTACATGTCAGAGCTTTTAATACTTTATGAGCCGACTCGCAGCCTCAGATCCTCTGGCGAAGGCCTCCTGGTCGTTCCAAAGTCGAGGCTCAAAACTAAAGGTGAGAAAGCTTTCTCCATCAGAGCTCCTCAACTTTGGAACGACCTGCCAGAGGAGATAAGGTGTGCAGAGAAAGTCGTTATCTGCCCCCAAAAAATCGATATTGGTCGGGCCCTAATAAAATTAAAGTTATTCTTCTTGTTATTATTATTATTATTATTATTTTTGTTATTATAAGACTGAAGCTTTAAAGGTCAGGTGAACTCCAACCATCAGCTGAACAAAGACACTCGGCAAACTTTAATAAAGGTTCAAAAGTTTTTGTTGGTCCTTGTTCAGTTTTTCTCTAAAAAAGTCAATCCTGTTGGCTGCTGAGAAAGGATTCACTCGTACTGATCTGACTCTCTGCTCTTGAGTTTTCAGAGTTTTTGTTTTTACTTTAATAATTCAGCCTCAAGTTAATATTTACGAAATGTTTCTATTCAATGAGTTGTTTTATTGTTTCCATTAACAGCATTTCAGAGAGTTAGAACAATACAAGAATCAATGTACAGTCAATTATCATTACCAGCAAAATCAATGTATGTACTTTTTTGTCAATATCGCACACCCCTACCTTGGTGTACAGTCAGAAACAGAATGAGCTGAAACACAAGTTTACGCCGTCATAACAGAGTCGACATTCATGCACCCTCAAAACCTCGTCCCAGCTCCACAACCGTCACCATGCACCATTTCAGCCGTTAAACAGGTTTGTTATTGACATAATGTTTGTAAGTCAACTGTCACAGCAGAGTGTCAGATTCCAGTCATTGGTGGAAATCAGTTAGTTGAAAGTGTGACAGAAAACTAAAGTTATAAGTCTTCAGCTGTATGAGACGGGTGAATGAAAAGTGCTACAAAAAATAAGTGAGTAAAACCAAAGCAAGGGCAAAAGAGAGAAAGAGAGAGAGAGAGAGAGAGAGAGGAGAAAGAAAGATATAAATCAAGGTAAAGAGGTCTCACCACGTCAGCACAGAGCCACTCCTCTATGTCATCCATAACAGAAGACTGCGATACGGGGATCTATGGAGCAAAGCCATGGACAAACCAAGGGGTAGCACCAAAGCCACATGACAGAGAGACACCCGACCCCGACAACAAAAACAAAAATGTCAAACGGACACCAAACACACATATAAGAAGAACAGAAATCACCAGAGGCTCAGAGAGGGAGGTGACAAAAAAACAAAACAAATCAAAATGAGAAGAATAAAAATGAATTTGCTCAAAAAGACACGCTCGACCCCTCTGAAGTCTGTGCTGTTATTTTTTTTTTTACATCACTTTAAGAGTCTCCTCTGAGAAGAGGAGTCTCCAGGTTGTGTACTGTCCTCATTAGTTGTGTTGTGCTGACACGGCGTAACAGCTGCCAACTAATGTCACACCGCAGCGTTAATTATTCCACATCATTAGTTAATTAACCAATCGCTTGAAGGTGATTAAATAATTGATTGGATGGGAAAAAGTGAAAGCACAGGGACTGTTGAGAGGCAGGGCTATCCCACACACTGACACACACACACACACACTGACACACACACACACACCTTCCTGTGCAATGCTGCAGAGCGTGCAGTGGCAGCGATGAGGGAAGCCGTTTCGATATGGATGGGTTGTGTTTGCTTGAGTGGGCATGAAGTGAAAGTGGGCGGCATTAAACCGCACTTTAAAAAAAAGGAAGCTGCGGCTGGAGAAAGTTTAAAACCATCGATATTTAGAGAAACGGAAAAGTTACTTCATTCTTCTCCAGAACACGCTGAGTTTAAACAAAAAGTTCACATTTGAGACTCTGACCTGACAAAAAGTTTGTACCTGAGACTCTGTTGCAGGCTAACTGGTCGTGTTTTTCTTCAGGTTTGATAATAAACACAGTGAAGGAGCTTTTCAAATAAAACAGGTCAAGGCAGTGGAGCAGTAAAAGTCATTCACAGAGGAAATAAATGCACATGCAGCTGTGAGATCAGGGGGCGAAATGTTGTAGGAAAAGTGCACAATAAGACGCCTGCTCTTATCGTGACTCATCTTTATATTCATACATGTACAGACACAACATTTACATCAAAAACAGTGTTAGAAATATGGTGTGTTAATCTGCTAATCTATTTCCTGTTAGTGTGAGATGTGGGGTTGCAGGACAGCTGATAAACACTCTCTGAGACACAGCAAAGACACTCCAGCTTCCTTATTTCTTAATCTGGGTTGTTTTTATTCAGTGTCTTTGCTGTGAAGCAGACGGCTGATTTAGTACTGAGTGATCGTTACGAGACGATGGAAGTTTCTGGTGATGTGTCAGGATCATTATCCATCATTAAGAGAGGTTTAAAAGTATAATGCTTTAGTCATGGGTGGTGTTAAGCATCCATGTCAATACAGTAAAGAGTAGACGGGCAATATGAATGAAGATCAGTTAATTTACAACTCAAAATCTTCAGCTCTATTCGTACTGGACTAGAATTATTAGGGAACCTCTGTTAATTTGTGACATAATATCCACTTTGTCTCTGAGTGCTGCATCACACTCTACAGTGGGCAGCCTGACAGATATTTGTGTATAGACAAAGACGACCATGTCAGGTAAACTTCTCCAAGGGACGTATATCCCACTGAGCATATTTTGGTCTAAAAGGTCTAACAGACGTCTAAATGTAGTCTAGACGACTGGTCTAAAATCAGGCAACCACAGGTCCAAAAATGAAAGTTTTTATAGACGTCTAAATTTAGACCAAGTTTAGACTAACCGGCTGACAGGTCTAACTGTATATTGCTCAACAGCTTTCATAATTAAGTATTTGGAGATCAGTTATGCAACTCACAGTTGCTTTTTTAAATTAATAGTTATCAAATAAAGGGTTAAAGTGCAACGTCTAAATTACATCTAAACATATACAGAATCTAGACGGTTGAATTTAGGTCCCAGAAAAGAAAACAGACGTCTAATAGCCGTCTGTTGCTCAGTGGGAGAGTTCGTAAGTGACTCTAAAATAAAGCCGTTTGTCTTGAGCCACACCCCTGCTAATGATTTCCAAGTGATTTAGTGGTTTAAGCACTTTCTAATCCTGAACAACAAACACGCCTTACTTTTTGCAGCCAACACTGTCTTAATAACCCACACTCACTGTCAGCACTATAAAGTTTGAAATATAGAAAATGTTCCTCACTGCAAAAGCTTTTAAATGCATTTAAGTTTCACCACCACCGAAGACTTCCACTGTATGAGCTGCTGTTGTTGTTGCTGTCTGTCTGTCTCTCTCTCTTACCCTTGTTCTCTATTCTCTCTCTCCCTCCTTCTCCCTTGTACTCTTTCTCTCCCTCTGCCCTCTCTCCTACTCCTCTCTCTCTCTCCCCCTATCTCTCTGTATTCCTCCCCAACCCAGCAGCGGCTTGGTGACTATCTAACATGAGTCTGGTCCTTCCCAAGGTTCCTGAATTGGCACTATAGAAATAAAATTTGATTGACTGATTGATTGAAAAGATGCTAAAAAAACATCACTTCTCCAAATTACCAAAATGATTTGCAAATGTGCAGAGGTCCCTGGATAAAACTGATCCTGTGTGAACAGAGATGAAGACAATAAACCTAAATCTTGAGATCTGAGGGGCTTTTTGGAAAATTTACCTCCAGCAGTAAGAAACCATATGTTCACTGTCCTTTATACCACCTTAAAACGGGTGTTTGTTGTAAATAGTGAAACACTGTATGCAGCAGGGACTAATATTGCCCAACACAGAAGACCAGAGTGTGTATTTGACATGGAGGTGGATGTTCTTTGGGGATAAACTCGGCTTGTTTGGGGTTTGTTTTAGCATTCCAGGACAGAACAGTGAGATGGGGCTGACAATGAAAAGCAGCTCATGAGGTTTATGGATGACGCCGCAGGAGGTGAAGAGCAGGGGTGATGGAGGACATGAAGGAAAGGGGGGGTAGGAGGAGGACACACTGAGGATGGAGTCCTCACCATTCCTTGGGTAATAAGCCAGCTGTCTATGGGCAGCTCCTGATCTGCCGGGTTATCATCCCCTTTTACCCTCAGCTGAATCAACAACAGAACAAGACCTTACACAAGAGAAGAAAGGTAGCAGGCCCCCAACACAGCATAGCACACAGTGCAGAGAGAGAGAGACAGAGGAGAAGTCAAATATGCAAGAGACGATCGCTTTTTTTTTTTTAAAAAAAGGAGGGGAGGAGGAGGAGGATAGAGGGGAGAACTGAAGAAAAAAAAGTGTTCATTCAATAAAGATGAAAATGAGGAAATTAAAGAGAAAAGACTCCCTCAGGTAAAAACGAGTCCAACTCAAAGAAGGGATGGTATGCACAGTCACTATTGTGTCTGCTGGTGAGTGTCTGCACATGAATCTGCTACAGCTGTGCACATTGTACTAACCGTGTAAAAACACTGCAGTGTGTGCTCAGACAGGGAGAATCTAAACTATCAGGTGATTTTAGTGTCTGATTATCTGTATGAATCGTGTTTGTGGAGTTTGAGTCGAACAGAATCAGGAAAATGTTGAAATCTGGAAATCCTAATTTATCAATTTCACAGAAACTTCATCTTTTTAGTTATCAGATATCCGATAAAACCAAATCATAGACACACGGAGCTAAAACTTTTCGATCAAAGTTCAGCTATTACGGCACACAGGACAAATGTCATTACATGCCAACGACTGAGGACAGACTGGTATCAGAGCGCCCATCAGCCGTGTCAATAACACAGCAACCCCCCCAGGTCCACATTCGGGTGAAAGAAAGCTGCATGCACCCGTGTACTCACCCCTCCTGTGTTCTGCTGTCTCACATCCAAAGCAGAGGCCAGGCCGCCCAGAGCCTGAGGGTCCTCATACTTGACGCTGTGCACGTAAAAAAAAATAGGAAACACAAAATCAAATGACACAAGATTACAAACTTGATAGATTTATTAAAACTAAAAGAAAAACTGAACCGGAAGCCTCTAGACACACCAACACACCAATATTTTATACATTTATCAAGGAGTAAAGCAAACTCATAGAACCTGAGGAGGAAGATTTGCATAAAAACGAACAATTATATAAAACCAGGAATATCAGGAGGAAAATGCTCCGTCCTCGCTCTTCTTCATTGGAAAACTCTTGCCTCTTCCCCTTTTCTTGATTTTATTTCCTCCAACTAAATGCCCCAAATTCGGCACAGAAAACACCAGGTCTGTTTTTACCCCGCAGACATTCAAAGGCCGTTTCAGGAAAAGCGGGAGGAAATTACTCGCAGAAGAGGATGACGCAGGTGAGGACGGGTGAAGGGGAAATGGGGACATGTAAAACCCGATCATGAAGTGTATCAGGAAAGAACGGCATAGAAGTACGCACGGTTTGGTTTTGTTCGAAATATAAAAAAGGTAGTTATGAATAGATATTACCCTAAAATAAATTGTATCCTGAATAAAAACACAGGGGATCATCAGCTGTCCAAAAAGAGAAACTAAATTGAGTCCTACTTTTTGCGTTGTTCAGCCAGAGAGCTGCTCCTCGTCTGGGCAAACATGTCAAAGTCGTCTCGATTGGGGCCGGGTAAAGAGGACAGGGTGCCGCTCACACTGTCTGAGGCAACGTCTGCAGAGAGAGAAGCAGAGAAATCGAGGATTAGACGGAAAGATTTAAATAAGCAGAAGACGCCAAACAGAGATCAACAACAAGAGAGAGGTATATTCAAACTTTAACGTTTTAACTTTAACATGCAGAGACACCAAAGAGGATCTGTCAGTGATAGGAAGGAGTGTCTATCTGTGAGTGATGTTGGTGGGCTGTTTCCTATCAGCCTGACTGAGAGACTTTTACACTGATTCTTCGAGGCTGAGGGGGACTGGATCTGCAAGAAAAATCTTTATCTCTTCGCTGGAAAACAACAGAACTTTTTCCGTTTCACTCTCACCAAGACCAGCTAGTGCAGAGGACAGCGAGGCTGGAGTGGGGTCACGGGCGGGCGAGGCAGTAGCCCCAGGGGGGGAGTGGGGTTGAGGGCTGGATGCGATCCTGGGCGTGACCACTGCGGGGGAGCCAGGGCCCAGGTCTATCAGGTTGTCCTCTGTGGCCTCGTTCAACATCTGAAAGAAGGGAGAGAGAGGGACAGACGCAACAGTCAAAGCCCTTACAGTTACAGCTTGATAAACAGATTTAAAGGGATATTCCGCTGTAAAATTAATTTAGGGTCAAACAACCTGTAACACTAAGTTCAGAATATCTCTTCAAAGCCTCGCCCTTCTCCAGAGGAGGATCAGTTTATTGATGAAAGTATCTGTCCAGCTTCTTTAATTCACTCCTACATTTGATCATTTTAAGTTTATAGGATTTAACTCTGACTCATGTTTTTGATGCTTTTTAAAAAGTCGGTTTTAGCCGGACGACTATTTTGACTCCACGTTTACATACTGAGTCACCATGATGCGCTGTGACGTTGTATCAAATACGAGCATGGCTGCAGCTCAGTCATAAGCTCCGGGCTGCAACCTGAGCGAGGAAGATAATCACGGCTGCACTGACAGCCGGTAGGACTGCACAACCTCCAGACTGATAAGACTTTCAAACAACAGCTCTGTGATCGTTTATCTTTGTCTGTTTTACATGTGCTTCATTTAAAGGCCTCACCAGGGAGAGAGACACATGGCTAGAAGTCATTGATACACTTTCATTCGATATAAAAACGCCTACATGTCTTTTCCTTTTCTAATAAATTCCTGCAGATTATAAAGTTTGCATCTGAACCCAGTCCCTCCATGACGGCTCACTCACTTATCAAGTTCTCTGATAGGATGTTGATGTTTATAAAAAAGCATAAAACAATCTAAGAGCTTGTCTAATACAGATAAAGGGGATTCCTAAAAATAACTAAGTTAGCTTACTGTGTTTGTTTACAGAGAGAAAGCAGCTACCGAGATCTACAGGATTGACTGTTTGCACAGGTTTAAGACAACGTTGTGGGTCAGGAGTTCACCGCTCTGGAGAGATACTGAGGGTTAAACAAACAGTTGCACAAGACCTGATATGTGTGAGGGCAGACAGACAGACAGAGGGAGGGAAATGTTAGTATCTAGTGTTACTCAGTGCTACTGATGTTGACACATCGTAGGGGTCTACTGTAGGGCAACTGGTAGTATACTTGCCTCCGTCAGCTAGCCACAACACAAACAGAAAAACAGAAAAATTAACACAAAAAAGGTGATGTTTGCTGCAGAAAGACGTTTCCTATACATCCAAACACTGACACACACTAAATAAGAGGTTTGTGCGTGTTTAAATTTACCCTTACGTAGTGTTGGGCGGTATGAACAAAATCTTATATCACGGTTTGAGTAATTTCATATCACAGTATGTTTTTTCTCCCTGTAAACTCAATTAATGTCTTAAAAATCACCATACTGTTGCATTTGTTCATTTTCCTTTTAAATTTGGTTTTGTTTACAAATGCAAACAAAGTGTCAGACCAGTCTGGCGATTTTTTATCATATGGCGTACCTTTGGTGAAAGACTCTGCCAAGCTCTTTTGTATAAGAGGAGCCGCTGCAGCTTTAGTTTTCGGTGCAGCAGGTGCGTCACGCATCTTTTGGCTCTCATAATAGAGCTTGGCGTGTAGAAGAGGTTTCTGGTGTTTCCACCTCCAGCAACGACACGCCACACGACACTCTTTGCATAGTTTTGTTTCTGATCATTATCGGATTTTCTTAATCTAAAGAATCTCCAGACAACCAATGTCGTAACTCGCCCTTTTTCTAAAACAGTTCCTCCTCCTCTTCCTCGTGTTGGGTGGGTCAGGCTGCCTCAGTTTGCTCGGTACTGCCACTAATCTCAGCGTCCACCATGACAACCACCAGTGCTGTTTCTTCTTCGCTGAAACTATGCCAAGCAGTCTGCTGGACACGCTGGTGATTATAGGGAGCGCACCCAAACCTGACCAATCAAACGGAGCGAGCAAACTCCACACGACACACTGGTGAATATACAGAAACGCACCCAAAAAGATGCGCTCCGGCTTTCCTGTTAGTGAGCACAGACATCTGCTCTCTCTCTCCGACATTAACAGTAGAGCAAAATTTCTACTTGTAGACACTTTTATACCGTCACATGTTTTATACCGTCATACCGCCCAACACTACTCTTACAGCTACTGTTGGTTGTTGTGTGTATGAAACTGTAACACAGAGTAAATATGAGTGATTAAAAAAAGCTGAACAAAAAGTTATGAGGATAGATTTACGTTTGAAGCATCTCTCACAGAAACTCTTAATGTTCAAATGTTAGACAAGTTGCCACAGGCGGTGCAAATGTAGACACGCTAAGAAGTCAAATCAAACCAAAAAGATCTGAGAACGCGCAAAAGTAAGCGAAGAAGGAGCGATCCTCGGAGGAGAGAGACTTCAGGGTGTTTGATACTCACCCCGTTGTTCTGCGCGGTTCTTCCCAACCTGTACCTCTCGTACCTGCAAGCAGCAACAAAAGCCTTTGAATGTCTCGCCACAAGCTTTGTGAGGTTCAAATGCTCGCACGCTTTTCATCTTGAAAGAAACAATTTGCCTGATTGAGGGAGCTGAGTGTTTGAAAAGGAACAAGTTCTTTCAGCTCTGAGGTTTTTGAAATAAAATTGTGTTCAATCGGTGTAGAAAAGCGTGTTTTAAGGAAAAAAAGGAACATTTGGTGGATATGCTGATCAAACCAGTACCTCGGTATTTAAACCATACATAAAGTTTAAGATCAATTTGCAAAGAGTAAAAAATTTCAATATGCACATGTGGATTTGTCTGATAACAGGAATTTCCCGTTGTTGGTTTAGTCAATCGTACCTCTCATATCGGAGGAAGATGTTGTTGAGGTCATCGTTGACGTGCAGCAGCTCTTCGGTCACCTCCTCGTTGGAGACGCGTGAAATCAGCTCGACGACTCTCTGCTGCATGGCCCTGCATGTTCTGTTCAGCTCCTGGAAACAACAAGTGTGTTAAAAACGACAACAAAAATGGAGAACAACGAGATTCTTACACAAACACCTGAGGGGATCTGACCTGAGGATGTTAAACTCTGCAGGAAAGTCTAAACTAGAGGTTAATTACCAGTTCTTGGAGTTCAACCACAGCCGAGTGGCTCTTGATAATTGCGGGCACATCCCCTCTCAAAACCTGAGATACTACTCCCCCTAGTGGCTGCACAGTGTCTCCTAATTTTCCAGTTCTTTTTTGAAGCTGTTTTACTTTCTAAATTAACATCTATGAAATTTAAATTGTCTTTGTTTTGATATTAAAACCACATGAACTAAACATCAACATGAAGCTCTCAAACAGCAGTCACAGCAGAAACAATAGCACCATCTGTATGTGGACCCTAACCTGAAGCAGCTCGAGGTCAGAGGCCTCCTCCTGGCCCGGGACCATCTCTGTCAGCATCTCCGACATGACTTTGGTGTTTCCTCTCACTACGTCCAGCTCGCTGCGCAGCCGTGCGATCTGAAAGCACAAAGGGTCAGAGGATATTTGAAAACATCATGAGCGTCTTCAGTCTCAGCTGTTCTGCAGATGTTTTAGGAGACAACCGACTGAGTAGGTTGTGAAATCTGAGGAAGACCTAAATGAGGTTTCATGTACTATCTGAGCATGATGAATAAGTCAGAAGACCCCCCTACCTGTTCAGGGGTTGCTGTGATGGGGCTGGGAACCTGGGAGTCCTGTGTGGCAGAGACAGGGGCCGGAGCAGGTCTAGGAGTCCCAACAGCAGGTGAAGCAGGGGCGAGGTACTTCAACATGGCAGGGTCTACCTCTGGCGTACCCTGAAGTGAAAAAACACACCTCTTTAGGACACTGCTGTATTAAAGGGATATTCCGGCGTAAAATTAATTTAGGGTCAAACACACCGTAACACCGAGTTAGACACCCCGCCAAGAGATGAATGTTGGTAAAACTAGAGAAGCAAGCGGTCGGCAACATTCATCTCTCGAGGGGGTGTCTAACTCGGTGTTACGGTGTGTTTGACCCTAAATTAATTTTACGCCGGAATATCCCTTTAATGTGCATGAATGTTTGTACTGTTCATGTCTGTCTTTTCTTCTCACCCTCTGTGGAGTGTGGATGGGAGACAGTGCGTCCAGATCTGCCATGGGGAACTCTATGCCTTTCCTCTTCAGTTCCTCGTAGATGTGGACCACGCCAGTTAGATCAGGGCTGCTCCTGAAGGCATCAGCCCAGGCCTGCAAACAAACACACTCTGTGATAAGTTACAAACTGAAAAGATTGGGATTTTACATCACAGTGTTGATAGAGAAAGGCCCTCCAGAAATCTTCAAACCTGCCTCCTCACCTGTATGAGCGACAACACTTTGTCCTGCACGATGGTCGGAGGGTTTGTTTTTGGAGAGATAATCTTGACCAACACACCGTCGATGAAATCTCTGTTGGCCACCTGGACGTGAAACCTGTGTCCACAGTTCTTTACACACGTCTCCAACACCTGCAGAAAGGAATGAAGACTTAACAAACAAAGAAAGAGTGCGCGGAAAAGAACAAAAACAAACTGCAAAGAGCTGAAAGGTTTGAGAAAAGGGAAGACTTTGCTTTCTTCTGTGGTGCGAACCAAAGATGGATGTTTTCATTACACACAGAACTATTCCTACGAAAGACGTGGGTGGATGTAAACAGAACTCAAGAGTACAAAAAATAAACATTGAAACTGCCTGAAAGGGACAAAGTCGAATTAAACCACCTGCAAAGAAAAACAAATTCTGTTTTTTCCCAGGGTTTACACACCCTGCTTCAACACATCGTTGCAAAATGCACCTGTTTTGTTGCATAACTCCCGCTGACATGCCCTTTTACAACAACAAAAAAAGAGCTAGCACATCTTCTTACTGTTAGCGCCAGCATCACTTCTCTGTAGTTCTTGTTGCCGGTGAGCCTCTTCTTCACTGCCCGCATGGCGTCTTTCGGCCTGGAGGGAAACAGCAGAGAGGCTTCAGCTGAACATCTCTAACTTTCCCGGAGTAATCGGTTCTCTGAGCCTCGATAACAGACGCTGTCGAGCTGTCAGTGTAGCTGTTTGAGACGTGGCAGAATCATCGCACCATCTGTTTCTCCCTTCTCTGTCCCTGTGACTATCTGTACCTCCTGAGGCGAGATCCGAGCGCCCCATGCATGAAGAGCTCAGGTCGGCTATTCGCCTCAAACTGCCCGTTTCCTCGCTGCAGATGAGGCGTAACAAGGTTTGATGAACTCCGTCAGCAGATACATGGACTGAGTCAGGAGAATGAAACAGAGAGATACTGACAGAGTAAGAGCATTAAGTCTGACCTATGTGGTTTTGCCTTTTTAGCGACTATTTAAACTCGTTTTATTGATGTTGTCAAGCTTGAAAAGTAAGATAACTTTTTCTTTAAATGGACGAAACACATTGCTACAATAAAAATTATGTTTGGCATCCTGTGTGGAGGTAATCGGACCGAAAATGGGAAAAAAAATCATCAAGTTCTGACACAGCAGCATGTGCAAAGACAACATCGAATCACAAAGAGGTTTTAGCTGTGTCAGAAATTTCATGAATAAGTCCAGAGTCCTACCTCTAACTCTGTGAATGTTTTGAAAACAATGAGCTCTGTGTTCGCTTGTGTGTGTGTGTGTGTGTGTGTGTGTGTGTGTACATGGGCGTGACAGAAAGAGAGCTCCATGTGGCATGCCAAGAAAGTGAGTGTGTGTAGGCAGGAAGAATGTGAGAAGCAGGAAAAAGAAGAAAAAAAAAGTGAAAAGCATTGAAAGGAAAAACGGAAAATGACTTCTTTCATTATTCTTCCTCTTGAATTCACTCTCTGCATGAATGATCTGCAGGCTGATGATGACTATTATTGTGTAGAGTAAATGATCACTAAGGTGAAATAAAACTAGTCTGACCTTTATAGTATACTCACAAAACTGTGTCAAAATGTGTTTTTTAGATTTGATTAAAAACCAAACAAGTTACTGATTTACGGTGGCCGAGAACCACCACTGCTGCAAATAAATAAAAAATGCAAAAGAAAATCCACAACCGAAGTTAACGACGCAAAAAAAAGTGGCGATGAAAAGAAAAAAAGTTACTTACTGCGAAAATAAAATTATGCAAATAAAGAAAGCCACAATGAAAGTGAGCTGCCAGGGACAAATAATGGCCGGCGTTTTACAATCTAGACACAAAAGACGACGATGAGAAGATGAGCAAAGAAGTAGAAAAGTTATTGTTTAATTTTGCTTTGATCAGTGTAGTGTTAGCTTCAGCTCACTTCCGTTGTGGCTCTTTTTTTTTTGCATCCTTTTATTTGTGCAGTAAGAAACTTTTTTTTTTGCATCTCCACTTTTTTAATCGTTAACTTCCGTGGTGGCTTTTTTTTTATCTGCACCGTTTCCTTTTTGATTTGCAGCGGGCTTTGGTTTCTTCTCTTTTTTTTTGCATCTGTAACTTTTGTTGTGACTTGTTTTTTTTTGCATCCTTTTTTATTTCCAGCTGTAGCGGTTCTTGGCCACTGTACTGATTGATGAGAAAAAACATCAAAATTAAAACTATATCCAAGTTAAAATCATGACAAGCTACCTTCCTGCTGAAGACAGTTGTTAGAAAAACCCTAAACACTGCTCGTAATAATAACATTAGGACATATCAGGTATATTTTCTTCACTGGAGTGTGGTATCAGCACTTTTGTAGAAATAAAAGCTCTGAATACTTCCCAGACCTCTCTTATGTTATCATCTGTGTCAGTCCAGCTTTTACATCAGAGTGAAAACAGAGCCTTTTATAAGGGAATACATTTCATCAAAAACACACATGCACTTTGACGATAAGCTCCATCTGAGTAATGTCAACAGTAAGAGGGAAAGACTTATCTGTGGAAAAATCACTCCATGATTTATGACATCAAACCTATTTAGAGAGGTAGGATTTTGATATTTGTTAAAGACTAAGGGAATCCTAACATTAATATGAAGTCATGTGTGAATAACTCTTTTAAACGCACAATGGGATTCATGACATCAGTCAGTGACACCTGACTCGGAGAGAAGAACCCACAAAGCTCTCTGTATTTACGGTGTCTGTTGGTGAAGTCAGTGTATTGTTCACAGGAGTCACCAGTCCTTCAGTCTATGACCTAACCATGATGATCGCTCCGGTCTGTCTTTGTCATATCACATTCACTATAATTAAAGTGCCCATCAGTATTAACTCATCCCACTCACGGCAATTTGAGGAGCAATTAGGTTCTCACTCAAGGACACTTCAGGATCCGAGTGGGATGTGACGAACTCGACCACAGAGCGACAGCTACGCCAAAGCAAGAGATCTTTTACTTAAACTTGTTTGATTAAAATCTAAATTAAAACACATTAAAATTCATTTTAAGAAAGTGTGGCAGCTCACCCTTCCTCCGTCTCGTTGATGATATCGCAGATCTCCATGTTGAGGGTCCAGTCCTCGTTCTGTAGGCCTCCATCTGTGGCCCTTTCTGCAGAGACACAAAAAAAAAAAAGAGTTTCATTAATTTTTGTCTGGACTCCTGACAAAACACGACTCTTAAGACCCAAAGTTAGTTTTCTGCCAAAAGAACTACCAGTTTGAGTCAATTGATGCTGCCATTGACTCAATCTAGGATGTATGTCAAGCGAACAAATTAAAGCGACCCACAGTTTATGTAACACTGAAAGCAAAACTGTTGTGTAAGCAAGTCAGCATGTGGTGACATACTTGGGTGCTGTGTCTCTCTAGAGTTGTGGTGTAAAGACAAAGTGTAATTGCAAATCATTTAAACTCAGTATTCAAGCAAAATACCAAATTTTTAAATTATTATGATTTCCTGTTTTCATGGTACAATTTCAACCTACATTTACAGATGCATCTATAAACTGTGATTTTCAGCCCATGCAGTGATTTCAACTACAGAGTCATGTCAATGCACTGCTGGTTGAGGCTTTGTCCCTTCTGTAACCGATATTTCTCCAAATTCTCTGAATCTTTTAATGACATTATGTTCTTTAGATGATTAAATCCCCCAAATTCTTTCCAGTTTTAGACAGGGGGCGCATAACTCCGAAACTGTTTAACTATTTGCTCATGTAGTCCCTCACAGAGCAGTGGACCTTTTTATTTTTACATTTATAATGAGCATAAACTTAAAAAAAAAAACACATTTTCTACGTCACACCTGAGTTCCCAGCATTTCAGTTACCAAGTCTGAAAAAGCAAAATCGGAGGCAGAAACAAGACGGCTACATCTACGAAAGTTATTTTAGCGTTTTTCCGAAAATATAAGGCAAGCGCTGAAATAGCTTTCATAGATGTTGCCATCTTGTTTCAGTCCTCAGTTTATGATTTTTTCCGACTTGGTAACTGAAACGCTGGGAACTTGGGTGTGACGTCATTTTCAGCTCGGACTTCTGACTTATGAGGTAACTTGAAAGTAGCATAAGTTCCTAGGCCTGTCGCGATAATCAATAAATCGCCTTATCGCTTGGTAAATAAAAACGAGGTCGGTCATTTTGCCAGCCTCGATAATTGACGTGCGTTTGTTTTCCTCCTCTCTCGCTACCAAACACGCTGGATGAGAGAAGAGGTCTCACTCTGCGCATTGTTCTCGGCACCTGGGGGCGTTGGCTCTATAGCGGAATGAACGGAGTTAGTGAACCCTCCTGTCAGTTATTCAGTGTCTTTGTCACGAGGGGGCTGGCGCGCACAGGCACACGGACACAGACTTTTGGATACAGTGCTGCAAGTGAGCGTCGTGAGTGAAAAGCAAGCAAACAGAATGAACACGACAGCTTTGGTGTCTAAACCGAACGCAACAGCCCAAGTGTGGGAATATTTCGGCTTTAAACCAGTTTTGTTTTCGTCAACCACAAAACTCCACGTGTGTGCGCGTGTGTGTGTCTGTGTGTTGGAGGAGCACAGCAGGATGATGAGAGCTGTCAGAGCGGACTGAAGCTGCTCCTATATGTTCAGCGTTTAACTGACTGAGTTTTGCAACTCTGTTTGTCATTTTCGTCTCGTCCCATCAACGTAAACGCACTTTCGTCTCGTCACATTTTAGTCATCTCCGACTTATGTTTAGCTCGTCAACGTTACGTCTTCGTCGTGGAAGAAAGGGAAATATTTTAGCTAACGAAAACAACCAGTGTTGTTCTCGTTGACGAAAATATTTCCCTTTTTTTACGCTGGCGTTGACGAAAATATTTGACGAAATATGACGAAAACAACACTGCTTTAAACCAAATGAAAGAGGTGAGCCCACAAATACAGACGAGCCGATATGTCGTACTTGTTCCAAAGTTGTGGTGACAAAGAAGGGGAATACGACGAACATGCATGTGCACCTCAAGCGCAATCATCCTCTCCATTTTTCTCAACTGAGCAAAAAAAGTACCGCCGGAGGTACGGAGCCATCGTCCCGACAGGTACCGCTTACTGAAGCGTTTGGTAAGCAAAGCAAATATAAACAAAACAGCGCAAAATGGTGCGCGCTGACAGACAGTGGAAATTAAAGTTGATCACTTTTGACACGGTGTACTCGCATTATTATGCCATATAATATCATTATCTATAATTTAAAAAACGGTGTCAATAATATCGTTTATCGGCGATTATTTGTAGCACAATTATCGTCCAGCAAAATGTGTTATCGTGACAGGCCTATAAGTTCCAAACCATTAATATTTCACACAGGGTCCTTGTTTTTTTTTTTATTTCGCATTGTACAAGGTGTTTTAAAAACATGCTAAATTAATAATAAGAACGATTCCACAGAGTCGATTCAGGAGAGCATGCTTTGTCACTAGTCTTTTTACGGTACAGACAATCTGCTCAAGTGAGATCCATTAATAGCCTTTCTACAAACTAATCTCTGTTAAAGGGCTGGGATGAGGTTGGGGATGAGCAGACAGATCAGACTGTAAGTCTTAGTCACTTTTCACAGCATTGTCCCTGATAGAAACCCTCATATTTTACACAGTATGGTCTGCACCTGTTGCTGGGATCTCCAAGGCTGCCGTAAATTCACTCAAAGCACCAACCTGTGAACTTGAAACAGCTGACTGAGGAACGTCAAGCTGGTTCTGCTTATATTTTGTCCACAGAGACTTACTTGCTCTACTTCACTCAACCCTTAAATTAAAAAAACTGAAGCCGGGATATAACGTGTTTCAGACTGTGTGGAGCTACAGTGAGTGATGAACTGGCTCTGTTCTTTTTTCTCCCCCTGCCTCTCCTGTCTCCTGAATTCATCCATCATATCTGTGACAGCTGATGTCTCCCAGGCAGGCAGTCGTGTGGAGAGAGATTCAAACAGTATCAAAAAAAAAAAGAAAGGTTTTGAACCGAAGTGAGCTGTGACCGAGTTCCTGTGAGTGACACTCCATAGATTCTCATTAGATGACTCTTGAGCTCGGACAGGAGGAGCTTTTCTCCCTGACGCCCAGAGGCCTCGAGCAGACTGTCATGCCCAGGCCAAGAGCCTCTCACTGGGCTGTTTTCCCTTCCTTTTGGGGAGCTCGACATTGGTGGGGAGCCTGACAGCCATGACTAATTCATGCTCTACTCCCTGCCTCTGATCAGCTTGTCATAGACTGAGTGAGCACAGAGTGACAAGCACCTTTTCTGCCTTAAGAACAACAAACTTACAGCCATTGAATACATTTTAATATAAGAAATAGGGCCAGATCATATGGAAGTTGTGGGGCCGGTGCCGATACCGATTACCTACCCCCCCCCCCCCCCCCCCGCGACGATCGGTGCCTCCGCGTCTTAACTCACGTTCCTCATTTCCGGTCCCGGTTCCGGTCTCATCTGGAGACATGCGTCTTCCTCAGTAAGAGAGGTAGCTCGATCACCTAATGTGCACTGTTGTTCATTCTACCGTTACTGGCACGGCTAACAGTGTAGCAAGGCTAATAGCAGGTGGCTAACTCTAACTTTAGCTTGCATATTACATGGTGCTTCACCGTTAACTTGGTGTGACCGAGACCAGCACAGCGGGGAACATCGTGAAGTGGGTTGAACTGAAACTTGTTGACTTATTGTGTATTTCACAAACTGGTTTATTTACCGTTGAGGCGGACCACTCCCCTCCGTGCGTCCCTGAGCTGCCTGCTTCAGAACCGTCACTCTGCTGTGCTGTGGGGTAGTTCGTGGATGAAGAGTGTCATGAAGTCGCTGCGCCATCTACTGGATAAATCGGGGATCTTTTCAAATGGCGGAACATTTTCGAAGTGAAACCGAATCTCTTTCTCCGCACTTTATTTCTGAAAATATCGGCGAAAATCGGTGAGTTTTGTCTGATTACCGATTATTCTCAACTGGCTCGCCGATAAATCGGTCGGGCGCTAATAAGAAACAAACGAAAGAACTTAGTGATAGAGGGAGGATCCAGCCACTGCTCCTAGGACATCTACAATAATCTCTGCAAATACATTGCCAGGGCAACAGCAGGCAGAGTAAGGGGTGAACAGGGGAAAGATTAGAAAGAAAAATCTGATCTTTTCCCATGAAATAAGCGACAATGACGCAGTATAATCGCAGCCTTGCTAATGAAGTCAGAAGACTGCTTAGTGCATTCATTCATGGTGTTGTGTCAACCGCAGCCTCCTCCCACTCCTGGGAATGGACACCACACCAGTGAATCCAGTCCATCACATGGTTTTAACAGTGGCAGGCTGTGCCACGCACCACCAACCAAGGCACAAATCTCTGTCCCACTGTGGCTCCCTTTCTCCATGTGCTGTCCTTCTCAGACTCTTCCTTTGCCGACACATTTTCCACTCCTCATTTTACTCTTTTTTTAAACATGAAAGCTCACAATTGGCATCCTTTAAGAAACTAGGTTTTAGTGTAAGTTCCACAGTATCTACCTGCCAAACGCTGGTATATCTTGGTATTAAATGTGACTTGAAAGTCTAGCTCTTAAGGCTGTGTAACAGGTCATGGCAGAGGCTAAACCTAGAAAGTCTAGCCCATGGTAACAGAAGTTAAGCCACGGTATACTGGCCCAGGGCCCATCGCCTGACCGAGCTCAGACTCCCACACTAAAACTGCTTCAGACTCCCACACTAAAACTGCTTCAAACTCCCTTTATTTTCCTTTCATTTTTGTCTGTGAGTTAAAACCATTGAATGTGCGACATCTTGTTAGATACCTCTTTGTCTATCTGCGTTGCCTGATCTCACTGCACTAATAGCCTCTCTCCAGCTGGTTTATTTTTGGACATAATGTAGCAGCAGGTAAATAAAGAGCCACAGCCCTAAATCTGCAGCATGAAAAAGAGAAAAACACTCCTACACACGTCAGTCTAAACCCTCCGTCACTGTCTCTTAGTCACTTATAGGAAATAAAAAACCTCCTCCAAGTTTTTCACAATACATCCACCCATTTCAGACTTTATCTGTCCCCATTCTCTCTCTATTGTTGATTCAGGTTTCTTGGTGTACAGTCCTGCTACATCAGACAGAGGCACAAACACCTGGCTGCACAGGACAGCAATTTTAGGCTGAGGACTGAGATCAAGCAGACAGAGCAGTAGTTTACAGTCTAATCTTAGATAGGCTGGATTATACAGTCTACTGCAAAATGCAAGACCTAAAAGACACCCTGTAAAACAAAACTCTTTAAATAGTGCTCAAAGTTGATGCGTGAGGAATAGAAATTTCGGATGACATGGCATTCAGCGCATTGGACCTGAGGTCAAACATAAGGCCCCTTAAATCCCAAACTTGTCCTTCATCCAAACTGTTTCTTTCCAAGAAACTTAATTAAAGCGCTCCACAAACTTTCTGCATTTAGAGAAGGACGTTTTAGATAAAGCGAAGAGGAACCTGATGGCTCTTGATTCATAAAACAACAGCCCGGTCTATTTTAAAGAAGTTATAAATCAATGCTCCTGTGATAGCTGCTGTATTTTTGCTTCTATGTCAGTTTGTGGGATGAAATAAACAGAATCAGGAAGTGCTGGTTGAACCCTGAGGGATGGCTCGCATCCAAGGCTGTAAACAAGAAACCATTTCAAAACATTCATGAGTGAATGAGTGAACTATAAAACCGATGTTGGACTCTTGAGGGATATACTTCCTTGTCACTAAACCCTGCTACATTTAACTAAGCTGCACCCAAACCTCACTTCTGTATCATTTTGCTCATGAATTTGTTCATTTCACTTTTTATCAAATCTGGAAATCTCAAGAGAACAGAGACAGCAAACCAAAAAGTCAGAGTAAAGGTATGAATAACAGAGACAGAGAGCAGCCACTAAGTACACAAAGGAAAAAGAAACTAAATAATAAATAAATACAAATGTAATCCTCTGATATAAACTTTTAACATGTGGTAGTTTTAATGTTGAATGCTCTGCACACTGATGCAGAGAGGGAAACGTCCAAAGTATCGTTATTGCATCAACATTTTGCATGTGACCTCTTTGGAAACCATAAAGCGTTTTGCAACACCTTCGGACAGAGGTGCAATTTATTCTTCATGCCGAAGTAACGCAAGACTTAGAATTGTTTTATGCTTGAATTGAAGTGGGATGTTTCATTAATTCCTGCTCCTTAAAATGAGGAAATTATGCCGTTATTTTAACATAAAAATGTTTGCTGTCAATACATGATCAGTTAAATGAACAGTTAGTTAACTACTTACTAACTTGTGTTATAGAAAATCTATAAAGTCCAGATCAGCAGGACATTCAAGTTCATTTTGCAGCCAAGCATTTGCTTGACTTCTGACTCTAACATCTATCTAATATTTGTCTTTTCTCATGATTAACAGTATTGAAGATCCATCACGTTTTTTTTTAATATCAATGGCAGGAGTATTTAGTTTATTTACCATGCTGTGTTGTCTTTACTTAATATTTCTGTTATTATTATAATTCTTAACTTAATTCATGTTAAGCACTTTAAGCTGTTCCCATAAAAGGTGCCACACAAACTGGGTAATCGTTGTGAACCTAAAAGTTTAGCAGAAGTAATAATAAGCAAGTAAACTTACCACACATTCATTCAGTCTACATAATCATTAATATTACACAAGACAAGTCATTTTTATGATCTGGTCGTAGTGAAAGAAGTGCAGTGTGTGCTGTTTTCTAATGATAAGCTCAGCAGAGTCATGGTAATGTCATCTCTGAGGTTGTTTATCTCTCATCACTTTTGCAAACTAGCACAATGAAAGCATAGATGAAACCACAAGAACACATGGGGATGTGGTGATGGTGGTGTCACCTATTTTTCACTTGATAAAACGAATCAAATCCTCAACAAACAAACAAACAAAACAACCCTTTAGATTAATCACTAAAACCAACTCTGCTGACCAACCGCTGTGGTCAACTAGACTCACTGACATCTGAACCTTCAAGTGTCAAAACCTCTTAAAAACGATGTCATTTCTCACCCCAGTGCATCTTTTTTTAAACTTATTCTCTTTTCGACACTAAAACGGGTTTTTATTATCAAATTGGACTCAAAATTTAGGTGTTTTCGCTGGATAATGTTAGCTAAAAAACCCAATCCGAGTAGATGACGTTTGCTGCGATGATTCTTGCTAGCAGGCTATTTCTACTGGCGACACCTCAGGGTACCGTTAATCCTTCTAGAAATCACCCACCGCCTGCCAACGCTCAAATTACACACGAAGAAGGTAGTTTAACGTCTATATGAAATAACTGTAAAGATAACGTACCTATACATTGACCCACGGGAGTGCTGTATGGATTTCCAAGTAAGAACTCCATTTTGACAACAAACTATCCGCTCGGGAATGACAGGAGCTGAGGCCCACAGGCGGGACTGCTATGTCCCGCCTACACTGTAATCCTATTGGCCAATCAGACAAAGCTTTCAATACGATTGGCCATAATTGATGTCGATCATAGTTCGCAGCTGAAGTTGTGTTCAGAGATAGTTTGACACATATTCACACGTACGACACGTTTAAACGTTGAGAATATGTCAAAATGATCGGAGAAATCGAACAGAATTAGTTAAGATAAAAACACGTGAGCATTAATTCGTAAACATTAAGGTTATAAGTTGTCCAAACAACTCACCTCTTACTTAAGAGGAACATGTAAACAAAAGAAAACATCAACTCAAAATATGTCAGTTTTATATTCTTTTACAGATCCTTTGAAATGTCGTGTTGCACAACGTTTTAACGAGTCAAACAAATGTAAAAGTGTGTCTCAATCGCAGTTGCTCATCGATGTTCTTGAACGCAGCTTACCGTCAGGCTGTTGCTTAGTAACGGCGTATAAACAACCGACCAAAGAGGTTTTTTTCTGGCTTAATCCCGTTAACGAACGAGTAAATTGTCTTTTTCTAATTACTTTTGCATTGTGTACGACCAAGACGAGGTATTTAACAAGCCTGTGCTATTTTTGTCCAGTTAATTCAATGAGTCGAGCTTCAAATTTACAAAATATTTTTCTTTCTAAAATTTTTTCTTTAAGCAGAGGAAAATTTGAACTCAAGTAGGAATACTCCCCAACTGACAGCAGAATGAACAGTACTGGTAAGATAGTTGAGCTCGTTTTAATAGATGAGAACATGCTGAAGGAGGCGATTATGGAGCAAGTTCCATCAAAAGACGTGAAGCAAATATTGGAGAAGGAGGGCATCAACTACAGCGAAGTCCTTCAACTGAGTCTGATGCTGAGAAGTAAGAAAGATAAAGGATCATTCAAACAACTCTAATGAACGTGGATTCGGTTATTTTAGCTGTTTTTCTTCTTTCCTATTCAGATATCCCTTTGATTGATAACCTGTGGGAGTTCACATCATTGGAGAAGCTCAATTTGAGCAATAACCGCATAGAGAAGATTGCAGGCCTGCACAGTCTCTTGAATCTGACATGGCTGGGTAAGATAAACCTGTGGAATTTTTTTTTTAGAGAGATAGAGATTTTGATTATTCGATCAAATATACACCACAGGCCAAAAGTTTGTAAGCAAGGCCATTACAGGCCGAACAGTTGGGAGTAACTTCAAGTTTTTGTTCACAATGCTTTTTAAAAAAATCTAGCTTGAGTTTTATGTATCTTCATTTGTACCATACCCACATACAATATAATTAGTGTGACAAAACGAAAATCACTTATAGGAGTATTTTTCAACCATACTCTGCTTTAATTAACATTTAAACTGTGTTATTGTTTTGCTTTGCTTAATTTCATCGGCCAATCTGTTCCATAGCTTCACCCCCATAACAGAAGGACACATGCTATTTTGTGTTATACGAACGCCAGGTTGTTTTAAATTTCATTTCGTTTTAAGTTTCAGACTCCACCCATTTACCTTTGCTGATAAACTTTACCATCTTTATATTCTTTAGATCTCTCATACAACTACTTGTCAGAAATCGAGGGTTTGGAGTCTCTGCAAAAGCTTCAAGTTCTGAATTTGACCGGCAACAGGATCTCTGTCATTAAAAACATGGACGCACTTGAAAATCTCGCTCAATTTAGCATCGGAAACAACAACGTTGAACAGCTGGACGATGTAACAACCTTTCCTTCCTTACCACAGTATAACACCTGTGTTTTTTTTTCATAATCTACTTGTTTGCACTGCAAGAACCACATAACATTAATGCTGTAGACTGTACAACTCTTCAGAACAACTATATAATCTAATATAAACTAAACATATTTAAAGGTGCTCTACCTCAGGAGGTTTACGGGCCTGTGCTCCCTCAACCTGTTTGGAAATCCTGCCTCTAAAGATGAGAACTACAAGCTTTTCATTGCAGCCTACTTTCCAAATTTGGTGTACTTGGACAACAAATTACTTGACAGAGAGACGGTAAGTGTTGTGGTCTCATTGTAACATTCTGTGATTAAATCTTAATGTCATAACTATGCTGAGATTTTTTGAAATGGCTTGCATACTTTAAAAAAAGATTTTTTTATGTGTTCATGCACAGAAAAAGAAAGCAAATCTCAAATACCAAACTGTCCTGGAGGAAATAAGACTCAAGGAGCTGGAGGAAGCTGTGCAGAAAGCAGACCAGGTGATAATCACGTATAAGAGGCTACCTCTTACTTTACGCAGAGCTTTCAGTACATGTAATGTGTTGACAATGTTTTTTTTTTTATCCTGTAGAATGAGTTTGTGAAGTTCCTCAATGAGTGTTGTCCATCTGAGAGCATGCTCAAAGCAAATCCAACAGCAGAGACATTACGTTGTGTGCCTGAAATTGCTGAAGTGATGGAGGCATATCCTTTTTTTGTATGACCTTGTCCGGAGGGGGCGCCAAAATCAACACAAAATGAAACAGAGAAAGAGTGCAAACATATCACTGGTTACTTTGCCTTTCTACCATTCATGGAGAAAGTGTAGCGCAATGATTACTTGAATTCTTTGACTCTAAACTCACATATGAGGGCCAAATGCAGGAGCTGTGTGCAGAGATAACTACGTTAAGCTTGGCTGAACACAATCGAAGGGAGGCAGAAGTGGATTTATTCATCAGCGCTCATTTTGCGGCTATGAAAGACTACAAGATGAGAGTATCTGAAATAATGCAGCAGAACCTACAGGTGAGCTTTAAGGTTGATAATGTTTTAAAAAGAAATGTTCTGGGTCTTTTTAAATATGGACGTTTTTGCATATCACACCCCTGCAGAGGATGCTGGAGCTACTGCAGGAATCAGACTCAGATCCACAGAGGGAAAAGATCAGCCAGTCCTGCGACAGCCTCATGGGGAAGGAAATTCATGTCAGCCAAACAGAGGTCTGTGTGTATCCTTAAATGATTTTAAAAGGATATATCCTTGGTCTTTTTAATCATGGGTTTCTCTTGTATTACCACTTATGTAGATTATGGTGAAGCTGCACCTTATTCTTGACCCAGATGTAAAGAAGACAAAGATCAGCCTCTGCAAAAATGAAATCAAGAGGCTCTATGACAGCTTCATGGAAATGGAGTGTCTGCACGTCAGTCAAATGGAGGTGGGTGTATATTCAGGCATGTGTGCACACTTCATTCCTTATACTACAACTAAAGTATAATTTTTAATGAATACTAATCAAATAAGGATAATTAGGTCATCCAAAATAAATGGATTTGTAAAACAAAACTGAAAGTGAGGCTAAATAAAAGTATTTTTGATCTTAAATACAAAAACAACCACAAGGGACAAACTTATTTCATTTGCTCTCTTATTGTTGAAATCTGTTTGGTGATTTTTGATGTCTGTAAATGATATTTAGTGATAAATAAGATGATCAATAGCTGAATGAAGACAGTCTATATTAACGTTTTCACAGGAAAAACTGACAGTCAATGAAATCTCTCTCAGGAAAGGAAACTTTATAAGATTTTAGAAGACTCAAATGTACTGAACTAGATCAGCAAAGAGACTAGATGTGCTACTTTGCCTGCAGGGGGCGCCAAAATCCACACAGGTTGAAAGTTTTTCAAAGTAGCCTGGAAAAAAAATCAAAATAATTTCCAATTATGAAGAGTTATCAGTTATGCTGAGGATGCAGCAAATTCTATCATGTTATTTAATTTTTAGCCGATTTATTAGATTGATCAAATTGTTGCTGTTTGACTCAGACAATTGTAGCAAAGAGGGTTTTATACAAAATGGATCAAAATACATCAAATGTGATAATGTGCATTGCAGCATGGACTTTATCTAGTATTTAAAATGACTGTGAAGACAAATTCAAATCCAAAAAACACAAGTCTAACATCTGAATTGTAAAAGTCCAGCCACTGCACCTTCACATTTTCAAAATCCAGTCCCTAAAAGTTAAAAAGTCTTTCATGCAACCATTTGTTGTTGAAAAGGGAGTATTTCTGGCAGACTATAATAAATTAAAGCATAACAATAAAGAACTACAAAAGATTTTTACCAGACATAACTAGTAAACTTTATATATAGAGAGAGAGATTGAACAACCTGCCTCACACCTGTTGTCAAAAATGCAACTTTTGTTGAGATTTGCCCTCTTTCTCTCTGCAGGATATCATCAGCAAGCTGGACCACAACCTCTCTGAAATGGATAGCAGCTTCTGCAAAGCAGTTCAGGGGTTATATCCTTCCTGACTGTACGGTAACTCTTGAATAATTTCTGAAACGCTGGTTTGTTACTCATCTCCTCACTCAGTAACAAGCAAATGAGAGACAACCAGTTTAAACTCAAGTCCAATCTGAGTGATTTAATGACTGTTTGAATCATCTACTGCTAGTTTTATTTCCATGACTCAATAATACATTCACTCAGTGTCGAGATGTGGAGAATGAGTACTATGATAAGGTAAGCAAGGTGGCTGCCGAGACTCTGGAGAAAGTGGACAAGGACGACTCTGAGCACAAATTGCACCATGATGTTCAAATAGTAAGTGATCTCTTGACAAAACTGACAATCCAAACTGTGGGGTCGCTTTAGAAATACCTGTTGTTCACACCTGTGCATTCTGTGTGCAGCTGGTTATGAAAAAAGATGCAGTGACCAACGCTCTGAACACTGCTCATAAAAACCACCTGCAGAAGATCAACAGCAGGGAGACTCAGCTGGTTAACCATGTGAAAGAAGCGAAAGAGGCTCTTATCAAAGGGGTAAGAAGCATTAACCAAATTATAGTATATGTTCTATTTCGAGGTAGGTGGCAAACATTTCACACAACTTGCATGTCTATACCTTTCTGTGTCACTGCAGATTCAAGACAAAGAACTTTTGGGGAACCGAACTCGTATGTCAGACAGTCGCAGATATGTGGACCATTTGAGGGAGCAGCTGGAGGAGTTGCCAAAGTATCCACTAAAGTGTCCAGAATAAGAGGAAAATCAGAAGAAGAACAAAAGGAAGAAGGAGAAAGAGAAGAAGAAGAATCAGAAGAAGAAGTAGAAGAAGAAAAGGAAGAATAACAAGTAATTGAGGGCATTTTCAAAACAGAAAACAAACAAAACTTTCAACATGACAGAAAGTTATTAACTACTGCAAGATTCAAAGATTTAGGAGTTACGTGCAGTGTATAGTATGTGTCCCGTCCAACTGGGTCTATAATTGGTGTAAATAAAAATATAAGGATTGAGCTTTTAAGTTTGATATAAGCTCGGCCCTAGTACATGATAAAAACCACAAGATATTTTTTGTGATTATTGCCTCAATTCTTCAGAGTGTCTACATTTCATGTCTGAACAACACCAAATATATTTTTATATTTTATATATTTTTTTAAATATATATATATATATTATTTATTTAATTTATTATTGTTTGTTTGTTTTTTATTTAATTATATTATACATTTTATTTATTTTTTAACTTATTTTTTAATTATTTTTTTATTTTGTTTTTTTATTTCAATATATTTATTTTTTAAATTATTATATTTATTATTTTTTTTTGTTTGTTTTTTATTTACTTATATTTATATTTTTTTATGTTTTTCTTTCTTATTCATTTATTTACCTATTTTTTAATTATTATTATTATTTTTTTATTATTGATGATTATAGATTCAATACCACTCCCAAGATTCAACTGAGAATGTTATCCAATAGGACTGTTGCCCCGGACGGCCACAAGTCTCCAGCCAATGAAACTCGGGGAGGTCGAATTCCGTAACGACGCTGCATTCACGTAACATCGGCGTAAACAGAAAAAATAAAATTTCAACGGAAAAATCACCGTGAAAGTCCCAGGAGTCGATTTATAAAATATTCGACAAAAATGTGGCAGATCAAGAAAAAAACAGTGTTACTGCTAAATGGTGTTCACGTGTCAAAATTGTCTAATTTTCACATTCTTATCGTGTCTGTTATGAGTTTAAGGCTGTAACTCTGCATTGATTTCCACATGCTGGGAGCTTTGTTATTTTTGAACAATAACGTTTAAAGCATAAACATGTAATGTATATAACTCTTTCCAACCACGAGTTTAAACTCACGATAATAACGTAGCGTAAACGACTTTCCAAATCGTCGAATAGGATCATCCGACGAGTTCCTGAATGCAGCATGATACGTTGCAGTTTGTATCCCTCATAGATATATATAAACGCTAGATGGCTTACGCACGCTGTATGCCAATGGAGACCGACGTCCGCGCATGGCGGCCATTTTGCTACGGGAAGCTCGCCCACACATAACGTTCCAGTCTACGAGTATGAAGCATTTAAATGACCACAGATTGCTTTATTTTAAACCGATTTTTAAGCGGTTTGATTTGTAACAAACCTCAGAGTTTTAGTTATGTTCCTGCAAACTCAAGAATAATTTGAACCATGGACTTTAATAAATAAACATTAAGCAGATAGGTAGAAGAATAGGTACAGGCTTACATACACAAGGCAGTTATATTAAATCATTTATATATAAAACATTTATATATGTCATATTAGTAATATTTCTATTATAGGGATAACTGAGAACAGCACCCTCTGGTGACAGGCTGCAGCCTCTGCCAGCCATCCTTATGGAGCTGTGGACAAACTTTATAAATTTATTTTTCCCCCCTGCTTGTGATGTTGACAAGTAGTTACTATCAGACTGGTAGTAACTACATAGATAGATTGATTGATAGATAGGCTGTCATACAAGAAGTTAGAATCTCAATTGTGGTCTGCCTTAACAACTCGCGCAAAGTGACTTAAAGTTAGCCCTTAAGCGCAATTAGCTGTAAAGCAACTGTGCTTCATGATTAAGTCTTTTTATTCTCAAAGAAAAACTGCAATTTCAATATGTCCAAGAATCCCGACTCATAGCCATGTTATTAAGGTCTGCAATAAACAAAATCATTTGTAAATCTTTCAAGATTTCAGCGAGTTAAGTGTATTTTTGATCATGCAAGATTACTCACCTCCATTCAGCTACCATAGAGCGTACCAGAATGGTGTACTGAAGTAAGATGGCCGCCATGTACGGACGCCGGTGACTCCGCCTCGGGTCATCTAGCCTTTCTTACATATATCTATGGTATCCCTCTTCAGCAGCAAGTCTATGGCCAAGCCTCCCAAGAAGCTGAGAGAAGTTCCCTGACTTCAGTAATATCCCGCTGGCAGACCCTCTCCTGTTAGCTCCCCTCTCTCTTTTAGGTGTTCGCTCCGTCGTTGAGTTCATGACGGTTGCTGACGGTGACACCCTCGCGCTCATAATGCCTGTCCGAGCAGAGTGCTGCAGCACCACCGGCTTGGCCTGCTCATCCTCGGCCTCTCTTTTCCCTCCTGCCCCGATCAACACGTACCAGCCGGGGGTAGCCACTTCGCTTCTGTACAGCGGTTCACAGTTTCGGGGATATCAGAAGAGTAAAGGCAACTCCTACGACGTGGAGGTTGTTCTACAGGTAACGTTTTTACTCATCTTCAACTGTGTTTTTTTTATATTAATGTTAGTTTTTTTTTAAATGTTACCTGCGAACTTAGCGTATTTGTAGCCCGAGCTACCGTTAGCCTGTCGGGCTCATTTTTCAGCTGCTTGGTGTGAATTACTAACACACTGACCTACTTTTGAGCCAGCCCAGGTGACCGTTTCTGCTTTGACATGACGAGTTAATTACAGAAATTAACTTTTTGATCAACTGTTTTCAGTTCATACGCCTCCCAAATACGTAGGCAATGTTGTACAGCTAGCTTCACAAATAAGTGATATTTATCCCCAACCATGAACAGCAATCATGCCTTACTAACCAACGCCCACCTGCATACCAACTTACTTCATATTTGTTATATTCTAGGGATGCACAATTTGCAACATCCACGTGAAGGAAATGTATTATTTTGCTGTAAATTAGGACTTTATGTAGTGTATGTAATTACTGTTTTCTCTTTTAGTATAAACACTTTACCTTTTGGATAGAGACCAGGCTTTCGCACTTATTGAAGGCAACCAAACAAAGTTTTAACTAGAGATGCACCGATCCTTTTTTTCCGATCCTATCCATTACCGATATCTGGGCCGATCGTATCGGCCGAAATCAGATACCGATCCAATATTACTGTTGAATGAATGAACTGTATACCTCGCTCTGTGAGTGAAGGCATCAGACTTGACATTAGCCTAATTAAAAATGAACACAGATATATATTTACTTAATATCATTTATTAACAAATTGCACATTAGCACACAGCAAAAAGAAATACGACTTACATTTATTAAAAGAAGAATTAATTAAAAGAAAAAAATGACTGGATCGGAACACTGGATCGGCATTATTCATCAGATATCCGATCCAGTGCATCCCTAGTTTTAACCAGCTATCTGCTATCCTGGTGATGATTAAAATGGTGAAAAATGTCTTGAAGATATAGCTTCAATTCAAGAACAACATGTTTTGAACACAGGTAATGTGTTACACACCGATATCAGCAGATTAAGTCCACTCTTTAATAACTGATTAGTTACCACACATCTCATTGATATCACAATATTGAATCATGCTGTTGAACATCATATTATTCCCTATCATTCAAGCCTAGTGTCGGATCAGAATCAACAATCAAGTGTCAAAAAGAAGAGTTTTGTTTTGTTATTAGATAATATTAAATCACAAATTATAAAAGACATGGTTTTTAATTTTTCATTGAATCTTTATAATTTAATTTCCTGTTAGTTGATATTCCATTAAATGTCAAAGAAAGAGAAAACAAATCAATGTATTTTTCCAGATGTCATGCAGCTGTGAAGGCATATTAATATGATAAATAAAGAATACCTTATGATAGCGTGACAACAACACAAAGCTGAGCAGAAAAAATACAAAAAGAAGGCAACACAGAAGTGCAGCTAAAATTACTCCCTCCCTTTAACATTTTTTTTCATGTTGGTATGTGGAAAAAAAAAGAAAAGCCACTTCTGCTCTTGTGATTGTGACCTGTCCCTTTGAGTTACATAATTGTGTTTTAAAAATAACTCTTCATTTGTTTGTCTTTGGCAGCATGTGACAATGGAGGACTCGTATTTGTGTGGATACCTGAAGATCAAAGGTCTGACTGAGGTAAGCTTTCAAACTGGGTCACTCATACTGACCTTGATCCTGTCCGAGCGTAAACTGCATCCACGTTTCAGCGTGTTACAGCTGGTTTCTGCTTGATTGATTCGAGCTTAATTGTGTCATATTTGATAAGAAAAGTACAAGGCCATCAGGTTCAGCCTCTGCTTTCGGGTTTAGACTCCAATCCTTGGCACAAGTGTGTCAAGTGTATACTCATTACATTATGCAACATGTGGAGGGGAAAAGGCCAGAAGGATCCTGAAGTGCATTTTGGCTGCAGCTGCTGCAGGTGGTGTGAAAGATGAGATGAGGTTGTGTGTGGTTCCAGAGACAGAATTAGCCTGACTTGGACTGAAAAGTTGAGAAACTTAAGATGACAAATTGTTATTTATATTATATATTTTTTCCCCTCTCTCTGTGTGACAGGAGTACCCAACACTCACAACGTTTTTCGCTGGTGAAATAATCAGCCAAAAAAGGCCCTTTTTAACTCGCAAATGGGACGCAGATGAAGACGTGGACAGAAAGCACTGGGTATGTTATGTTTGCCTTTTCTTTTCAAAAACATATGAAGAGGAGTGTGCAGGAAATTTCTCTTGTTTCTTCTGATCATTTTATGAGTTTCTGCTGTCTAATATAGTATTCAATGATCTGTCTGCAGGGCAAGTTCAAGCCTTTTTACAAATATGCCAAAAGCTTCAACTCCGATGACTTTGACTATGAAGCACTCGAGAACAGCGATTATGTCTTCATGAGGTGGAAGGTCAGTGGTGCTGATGACATCATTTTGCTAATGTGTGAAATAGTTTGATCGTTGCATCAACAAAATCAAACCCAGAAAGGCTCTAGCACCATAAATGGAAAACTTCTGTGTGGTTTTGTGAGCCAATGTTCGCCTATTCACAACTTTTATATTGAGAAAATGTCGATCCTGCTGCTGCAAAAGAACTTTATCAGCTAAGGTCGCTTTCACACCAGAGCTGTTTGGTCCGCTTTAAATGGACCAGAGTTCGTTTCCTCGGATAGTCCGCTTCCTTTGGGCAGGTGTGAAAGCTCATCCGAACTCTGGTGCGGACCAAACAAGCGAACTCTGGTCCGCCTGAAAACACGGGTCTCGGTTCGTTTGCAAATGAACCCTGGTTCGGTTCGTATGCAGAGTGAAAGCTATGGCAACAAGTGACCGCTGACAGTAGCAGTTGCTAGCTAGCTTAGCACAATTGTCTGAACAACAATAACTCATAAATTCACAATTTGGCATATTTAAACAAAATCAAATCACAACTACCAACAGTCACAGTCCTTAAACTCTGTGTTTGAGACAGTGCGAGGGTGTAGGTGTGTTTTGGTTGACACTCACCAGTTACTTTACGACTACAGGTGTCATCAACAGATTTCTGAAAAGTGTTTAGCGCCAAGATGATTTAACCTTTCCTTTTTTCTTTCTGCATCTCCAGGAACAGTTTCTTGTTCCAGACCACACCATTAAAGACATCAGCGGAGCCTCCTTCGCTGGCTTTTATTACATCTGCTTCCAGAAGTCCACAGCCACCATTGAGGGGTATTATTACCATAGGAGCTCTGAATGGTAACAGCAAACACAACAAAATCTTCTCTCTCTTTTTTTAGTGAAAGTTCGTGTACTGATGTCAATCTTTTTTTGTCTCTATCTGCAGGTACCAGTCTCTAAATCTCAACCATGTTCGAGAGCACAGTATGCCTATTTATGAGTTTCGGTGACGAACACACAGACGAGTGTTGAGTCAAGCTGAGGACAGTCCTTAGTGCTCTGTGGTCTGACAGGAAGGGAACGACGGAGAGCCCCTCAATTGGAAAAACTGGAGCTGATCCTGATCCCTTACTGCGGGGGAACTTAACCTGCGATCAGACACTGGGCTGATGGACTGAAAGAAAGTCGGCGCAGAGAAAGTGGAGCTGATTAAAGATCGGCAATAAATGGACAGTTTTTACAGTGAACGTAAGACTGCTGTTTGCCTTGAACTTCATTTTGATCCTCATGTTTTTGATTATTTTAATTTTTCATTTTGTGCAGCCTGATTCCTTCATGCTCTCATAGAAACTGTCTCCCTGTAGTTAGAAATCAAAGCGGCAGAGACACTAAAAACAAAAGGCCTTTAAGATAAGAGCTGCAGGAGGAAAGGATTTAAAACTATGGGAAGAGTTTGTTGAGTAAAGCTTAAGTTCTTTTAAACATATATCATCCTTGCAATCTCACTCTGATGCCCTGTAGTGATTTGTGCAGAGTGTAATGGTGGAATAATTGCCAAAAGATTGCAGAAGTAGTGATGATCAACTTTTTTATGCAAGGTGTGTGAGACTGGAGGTTATGGTCTGGTTGCTCAGGGAAGGTCTGTGTGAGTATTGTGTTGTTATGGAAAAACGACGACTGAATTAGGGGTTTGGAGTAGGGATAACCGCTAGGGTGGCGTCTGAACAGCTCATAGCGAATAGTTAATAGTTATTAAAAGCTGCTGCTTTCTATGCAAACCAAAGGTCTCTAATAGGTAGAAATTTTACCTCCACTTTACTTATCTTATTTCTGATTATTCGTCTTCCAGAGTGTTTGGTTTATTCTTCTTAATACTGAATGACATCGAGTGAGAAAGCCCAAGAAAAACAAGTTGTGCTGCAAAAGTTTGTGGATTCGTTGTACTAAAATGACCAGCGTTTGAAGCTCAAGATATGCGAGAGAACATTCCACTACAGTTAAACATTAACACTCAACAATCAGTCAGAAAGTGTCGACAGATAGGAGACAAGAAAAACAGCAAATCATGGTATCTCAACTTAGAGTTTCAGATCAATGCGGCTAAATGAGTCAATATAACTGGAATTTTAATGTAGTTTAGTTATTCAACAGCTTCATACCACATGCCTGTGATCTACTTGGTATTATTTCTCTGTCCACTGTGGAAAAAGCAACAAAAGGACTAACGGGAGAAGTCTAAAGTACAAAGGTTGATGTGAAAGAAAACCTTTTGATGCTCTAGAGGAAAACAAACCCTCTGCCTTACTCTTTTAAATGTTTGTAAAGCTCTTTTTTTTAAAGGAACAGGAACAGTAAGAATATCTGTGGAAAAAAGAAGTCAAACTTTTTCTCCGGAAAAGGTTGATTTAAGTTTTTGTTTTGGAGAGTGCATGTACTCCGTCTGCCTGCCTCGCTGTTGCTCATAGACTTTAAACTGACTCGCCGTATGCAGCATGTCCGAGTGGATTTGATGGGTTGTGGGGATTACTAACGACGGCTGTGTAATTTTTAAGTTTAGAGGTCGAAGTCTGAGAGACTTCATAATAATTTTGCCTTTTTTAATTAATCATGTAACAGAAAAAAATGTGCAATGCAAGAAGGAAATGTTTAGGAGTGGGAGGAGTGTGTCATTTCAGGTCAGTAAGGAGATGATGTATGATAAATCTGCTGTGATGGCATTGTGTGAGGAGGAGGAGGAGGAGGAATAAAGAGTGACATATTTTCTAAACAGTTGTGCATTGTGTATTGTTTGATCTTGTGATTCACAGAGCAGATAAGAATGAGAGTGCGTCTAAAAAAAGGTTTCTGTAGGTTTAATATTCCTCTCTGTAATAAACTCAGAGGTCCAGATGTTCAAAATATTCTGGATCAGAATTATCCTGATTTGAAAATACTATTTTTGGTCATCCAGTATGCAGGCTATTCCGTTATAATTCTGTCATCAAGCAAAAACAGACTGCTGTGTATTGCTATCTGTGGTTGTTTCTAAAGTTGGTATAACTAGAGAAGCAAGCGGTCGGCAACATTCATCTCCTGAGCGGGTGTCTAACTCGGTGTGACGGTGTGTTTGACCCTAAATTAATTTTATACTGGAATATCCCTTTAAGCTGAACTATCCATGGAGAAGTTTAGAAAACAGACATACTGGGAGCAACCACCAGATGGCAGCAGTCAACCATCAAGGATTTAGGCCTTACAAGTCGAGAAAGCCATGTAAAGAGTTCTCAGCTCTTCTCATTCCTTAGAGGGATGATTTTTTCTTCATCTGGGACACTCTCCTTGTCGTCATTGTCGTTTGCTGCAAATTAGGAGTAAAATCTGCAGCCCACCACATTAATTCTGATCAGGGTATGAGAGATGTCTGCAAGAAAAAGCTTAATTTGAGTCTGACTCTGTTCAACTATCTTTCGGTTTCGATGAGAGAACTCCCTGATTAGGTCTGGATTTTATCTGAAGCCTCAACTCTTTGTCCTTGACTCAAGTAAACATGACTTTCAGAGAGACATCAAGTGTTTCTTTTTCAACAGGTTAATAATCAAGCCATAGAACAGCTTTCCTGAGGACATGTGATACTGCATCGACAAATCTGCCTCCATAAATCGGTGTACGTGCAGCAGCCAAGAGAACAGAGAAGGAAACATGTAAAATACAATGGAAAGAAATGTGAGAAATGACATGAGCAACTTTTTCCCTCTTCCGGCTCAAACAATGCTGTCTTTTCTCTTTCTAAAAAGGTTAGGTAGCATATTCAGAGTAACACTCCTTCTACTGCACGTTAACAATCAGGGCAGCTCATTAAAAGAAGCATTGTGCATTTCAGTTGCAATAAAAAATGTTTCCAAAAACAAATGCTGACGTATTTTTTGAGTGATTTGGCTGCAACACAATCCAACAATTAGTTTTTACACAATCCTTGCAGAGCGTGATTGTAATATTAGGAGTTGAAATGTAGTTTGGATTTGGTTTCTAAACTTGACAATGCAAGGGGTCACACATTTTTTGACATGAAGGTCAAATGTCATGAAGGTTAAGTATCTAATAATAAAAACTGTAGTTGGCTAAAGAGTTGTGGGTACAGACATGGATGTAGTTTAAAGAAAGCTGACAGTCTTGATTATGTAAGTATACATACGCTGCTACCAAGTAGTTCCTGTAAAGCTTTAAAGTAGAGTTTGTATTCACCATGCAGCAAACTGTCCTTCTTAACTGAGTAGATGTTATATTTATCTTATCCATCAAGAACCTTTTCGTTTTTGTCTCACACTTTACTATCAAACTAACTCATTTACTTTTTCAAGACAAGAAAACACAGAATTAGATCCTGAATATCACAAAAAATTTAAGAGTCCTACATCAGCTTGATAGCCTTAATAGTCTGTTCTAGTTAAAGCTGGTTATTTGTTCTGGTAATCACACTTCAGTGTCACACACTTAACTAGTCATTAGCGTTGCATTTCCACTATGAGGACTTTCCCCAAGACCTCAGGATTTTTAAGAGGTATTTTGTGACTCTAAATGGTGGAAAAGTACCAGAGATTACTTTCTAAGAGTACAAGACTTTTTGACATCATCAGGTACCTCTGTTTCAACAAAATAACAATAAAAAAATTAAACTCGCTAAATTATAAAATGCTCTTATTAAAATTATCGCACTTGTCGTGTTAGGGTCGCTGTTGACCCGGTTAGATCAATATTTAATAATTAGAGCAAAAACTGAAATCATAAGTGCACTGACAGTCAGATCCTCTTCCAATCATGTGAGATTTAGGAAATTCTAATTTTTCCATCTTTTCCCTGCGGAAAAAATAACATCAGCCATTATATACAGTCTATGGTCCAGACATGTGAGATCAATTCAGTATAGATGTCTGTGTGAGGGGTATACTGACAAATAAAGGCCCAGAGGACCACAACAAAAACTATTATAATCAATATTTTCATGGATAATGAAGCCGAACAAGGTAACCTAGAGATGAGAACCAAACTGGATGATAGAGAATTGTTTTTAGTGTAATTTACAGCTGATTGAAGACACAGGTCAAAACCGGCCCTTAACATAGTGGGTGTGTAGTAAAAGCTAACACAGGAGGAGGGTTAATTTAGGTGGAAATGTGGGTTTAGTAGGAACCTACAGGCTCAGTCTATGTTGGAGGATTTTTAGGATATTCACTGCTTTTGTCATGCACTTAACACACCTGTTGCACATTCACCTCACAGCTCCACACAACCTGCAGGGCAGGCAGAGCATCATTTAAGCAGGTCAGGTGAGTTTTAAGTGTGTGTCAGACTGTAGTAATAACTAATTTCAGGGAAATGCTTTAGGAAGGAGAATTGAAACGAAGTCATGCGGCGTTTCCTCAAACGTGCAGCCTCACCTTGTTATTCCAAACCGGAGCAAATTCCTGACTCAATTGTGGTGAAATTAATGTCGCTTGATGTCGCAAAGGAGTCTCTGGAGAAATGCTGGACTTTCCTGCAGGTGACGTGCATAGTTTCCACCTCCGAAAATTGCGGCTACGTGACTCAAGGGGCCACACCTGCGCTGCCTGGCGACACATATAAGCGCGTGTTGCGCATCCCTGCTGCAGACTAACCGCAAGCAGAGGTTTAGAGCTCACACCTGGACTATCCTGCACACTTTGACTCTGCAGCGTTATCATGGAGGAGCAGCGGTATCCCCTCAGTGTCTGTCTGATTGGAGTGATGCACAAGGAGAAGAGCAAAGTGAGCGCAGGGGGGAGTCTATTCACGAGCCAAACTGAGAATAAATGTTGGTCTGCCACGTGCTTAATCTGCATTTTCCTCCACAGATGTACATGACCTCCGTGCTTTGGTCGGACCAGAATGATATAGTTATTTACAGAAGTTTTGGGGATTTCGTAAAGATGCACGTAAGTACAAAATTCGGCCATTCTGTTTTGCTTGCACATGTGCAGTTTGTCCTTTAATTCTGTAAAATAACGTTCCTATCCTATTTCAATTCCAGAAACAATTAAAGAAAGCTTTCCCACCCGCGAATAAACTCAAGAAATCCGACAGAGTCATCCCCAAATTTCGAGGTGAGTGTGCGTAATGCTCAGTAAATCTGTGCCAAAGTGCGCAGCAGCAGGTTGGCGGATTTCTGACTGTTTCTTTTCTCTCTTTCAGCTCAAAAGATGAAGCGCAAAGGAAAGAAGAAGGGCCCCACTAAGTCACTCCTGCGACTTAAAGCCTTGCAGAAATACTGTAATGAACTTCTGAGCTGCGACCCACGAGTGTCTCAGCATGCAGACCTTATCCAGTTCTTCCATCCTAAAGACCAGGACCTGCGGCCAGAGTTCTCCAAAAACAGGTAAGCAGAAAAAAAAGGTTTTCTCTTCTTACATCATGGTTTGCCATGTTTTACCTCCCAGACTTTTAAATTTATTCCTCCTGCCATTGAGTCTGCTGAATCTGTCAAATATTCTTCCTCAACTGTTTTATTGTTCTATCCATCCTTCCACATTCCTTTCACTTGTTGTTGTTAAGCACTCTTTGGTGCTCGGCATGCAAAGTTATGTAATGATTTTTTTTCCTTGAGTGCATTTCCTTCAGTATTAACCCGCCATGCTCCTTTTCCTCAGCATCATGATCATGCCATCAGAAGATGAAGTCCAAGGACAGGGTGGTGGAGGCAACGTGACCCAGCCGTTTGTCACTGAGACGTACCGATGCGTGGCCTCTTATGAGACCAAAGACACCAAGAACAAACCTTTTAAAGTGGCGCTGGATGAAAAAGTAGACGTGCTCATCAAAGACAAAGCAGGTGAGGATTCACAGATACGGATTACTGGTACCTAAATATGCTGAGAGCTGCTGGATGTTGAACGTTCATTTGTGTTGGTTCAGGGTGGTGGCTGGTGGAGAATGAGGACAAGCGCATGGCCTGGTTTCCTGCACCGTACCTGGAGAGGCTGGAGGATGAGGATGATGATGATGAACAAGATGGGACTCCTGAAAGAGGTACTTAGATAAATACACTTTCTATCATTTGTATCTTGCTTGCTTTACATGCTTTATTGATCCTTTTGGGAAGGGTTTATCAAGGAAATTAAAAATATATGTGACGATAAAAATTGTCTTTGCCTGTACCTAATAATTAAACACCTCATTGTTGTTCCAAGAATTAAATTTCAAGATATTCTTCAGCCCTACATCACACATGCTGAAGTCATTTTTTCCCTCTTTTAGGAATGCTGTACTGTGCCGTCAAGAGCTACAAGGCTGCCAAAGATGATGAGATAACTGTACCCATAGGATCCGTGGTGGAGGTTCTCCAGCAGTCAGACAATGGCTGGTGGTTCATCAGGTAACCAACATATTTCAGACAAAAACAAACAATGGTTTCGTTTGTGTTCATGTTGACTCCCTGAAGCCACAGGAATCCAGATTTTCAACCACACATTCTTGTCTTTCTCTTCCTTGACAGATACAACGGTAAAGCAGGTTACATCCCCACCATGTACCTGCAGCCCTACAACTACCCTCACATCCGCATGTCGCCCATCCAACAGGACTTCCGCTCCAGCTCTCCGCTCCAGGTTGCAGGTCTGGACCAGCAGTCTCGCCACCTCAGCAACTCACAAGGAAACCTGCTTCTTTCACCAGTCAGGTCGTCCTCTCCTCACCCACTCCAACCTGACAGCAGGCAGAAGTCCCGCTCTATGACCCTCCTGTCCCAGCAACCTCCTACTCTGCCTGCCAGGAGCGTCACCCCAACCCCCCCATCCACCACTAGAGTTGCCAACGCACCCACAACCGCCAAGCAACCCCCTCCTCCTGCAATAATGGTGGAGATGGATGGAGAAGAAGCTCAAGGTAGCAGGAGCTGGGGAGACGAAAGTGAGGGAAGCTTTTCCGGCGACAGCTCTGACTTCAGCTTCAGCGACGACCTCAGCTCCTCTTCAGCAAGCTCCACTGCCAACCTGAGCCCAACCACTAATGACGACCGGCTGCGTTTCAGCCGCACACCTCCTCCTCCATCAAGCAACCGCCTGAGCCCGACAAGCGCCCATGAAGGGAAACTGATGCCAAGCATCTCTGACCCAAACCTCTACAAGGGACCGACAACACCTAAGGTACCACCTAGACCACAGGCCCAAGAGATCCTGAAAAGATGCACAACTATCACCCGCAAGAACGCAGCCAGAGGAGGAGCTTCACCTACTCCACCTGAGATTGTCAGTCGATGAAGTTTCTGTTGATTTTCTTTACCTTAGAAAATCAAGATGGACTTTTTGGAATAAACAAAGTTACAAACTGCAAGACTGCGGTGAGAGATGAGAAGAGTTACGGAACTTTTTTAGTCTTATGAAACAGTCAAGAGGCACCAGATGCATTTAGATGATTTTATATAGAGTTTTTCAAGTTGTATTCATACAGCATCATTTTAAAAAGAGATGGCTGACATGTTTATCAAAAAAATGTACAATGTACAAAGGCTTTGTCTTTTAAAAGTAATCAGCGAAGTCTGTTTAAAGGTGATTACATAATCAGAAACACTAACTTTACCTCCTTACTTCCCTCTGTCTTAAATGATTATTTATTTTCCATACTGGAAACCCTGTGTTGTGCCTTATATGCATTTTGACTGCTGTTTACAGATAGACAGAAACAGAGTAAAAGTAAGTGTGTCTAAAATAACAGTGTCTGCCTGCGTGTATGTGAACAAGTCTATTTTCTACCTTAGAGTGACAGCTAACTCAATGTGATGAATGAGATACTTGTAAATATTGGAATACCTCTTGTGTACAAACACTGAACGCCTGGATCAATCCAGAACTAAATTGTGTAAATTTCTGGATGTATTCGTGTCAGTGGTGAGTTTGAAGCAATAAAAAGTGTGTTCTGGGAATGGAACTGTGACTTAGTGGTTGTTTGTTTCTTCAATTTCACACCTGATAATGCATAATGAACCTTAAACCAAAAGATATGCAGAATCTAGGACATTTTCTTGAGTTATTCTCTTCTAGGAGATAAGCCTTGAAAGCTGGATCGAAGTGTAGTTTACTATACTGTATGGTGAGCAGCCTGAATAATCATACTAAAAAGTACTCCCTCAGTTTTGACAGTTGGCAGCGCTCTATGACAACTGAGTTCTTCTTGCAACTAAGCTAACATTAAACCTAAGATTGTTAAACACATTTAAGTCTTAACATTTCCCTGATTTTCGGGCTTTAACTTATTAAACCGAACACAGTCCAACCAGTAGCATTATCTGTTAGCATTCCTAACCACTGTATCACTTAAGATCCTCTTACCTGACAGCCTTTTAATTTCACTAAACCGGTCCTATAACACGTCCAGAGCTGATATTTTGTTGCAGGTTGAGGGTGTTTTGTGTCAAATTTTCTTACTTTGGTCGACACCGTTTTTCCAGAGCTCTCGGCACGTTTCAAATTCCGGCGCCATTTTCTTCTTCCGGTTATGTCCTCTCTGTTGGTAACTGGTCCGCCATTAACGACCAAACTTTAGACATGTACGCTCTCGAAACAAATCTCAAGATGGCTAATGACATGATTTGTCTTTATCGGTCACAAACACCGAACAAAGAGATGTTTTTGCTTCTTTGTGTGCTCTATATGTGTTCGGGACTAATTTCGGCGGATCGATTTGGTATGTGTGATGCGGTTCTCCTGGCATTACTTCCGCTATTTAAAATTATTAACTGACATTAGGCGGTTTTGACCCGATCGGAATCACTTATCGAACACAGTAAGAAGACCTGTGTGGTTAATGCAAATGACTCTATAATGCCGTTTAACACAGGCTTTTGTTCAAAAGTCTGGGTTCATCAAGTAAAAAGGAGACTTAAAACACAAAAGACAAGTCCTTATTAACTGGAAAGTTTTGATAAGCCTCTTAGATAACAATCTCCTCCTATTTATCTCTTATAATTTGATGGTCCATAGCCAGGTCAATTATATGATCAAAAAACGATAAACAAAGCAATGAAATTAATAAAAACATATCATTTCATCCCAGAAACATGTCAGAAACAGCTGGTTGATTCTCACACTGCGGGAGCAAGATTGGTAGAGGATTAAAGAACTAAATAAACATTTAAAGATGAATATTTTCATAGATTCATGCCTCAGCACGTCTTTGGTGTCAACATTAAATAGATCTTTTGATAATACCATTCTGTAAAGCTGTAACCCTGTTGGATATTTTGGCAATTATTTTGTTTCTCATGTGATGATCCAATTAGTTTGATAAATATAGATACATAATGGGCCCCACCTTTGCTTCACTGAGCTGTGTTCATCTTAAAACACCTGCTGGGTATTTCCACTCTGTTTCCACTAGGTAGGCATTCACTCCGCACATGAATGATAGACTCAAACTTAAAGGCTGTTACTCAGGTAAGTAAAAATAATCAAATCTGTATATTCTGTTTAGAAATAAAACTCATTTTAAATGACAAAGACCACTCTTTTTATTGTACAAGTATCAGCAGTCATCACATTAAAAAAATCTGGGTTATATAAGTGATCTTTTGTGTTGTGGTCGAGCCGGTAGAGCAGGACTACTTAACATTACAAGACAAAGCACGCTGGTTTCTGCGCATTAACCTGGATCAGCACCTGAAGGTAAACAATGCAGTCTTTATCCTTTACTCCATCAGGTCCTCCATATCTGAGGAAATCAGGCCGGCATAGTTTCATCACACCTGCTCAGACTCTAAATGGAGGAAATGATGCACAACTTTGGTTGTGGCACAAGAGAAAGTCTCTCACCACTCAGACAGGCCTGTAATCTGTATCATCATCTTTTCAGACCTGTCCCTGTCTCTCTTCTCTCACTATATCACTCCAGCTAATGGTCCCAGATAAGAGCACCTCCCGGACTTCTTCTCCCTGCAGGAGTGAGTTTGAAGATCTCTATCAGCTGCTGATGGTTTGGCATTGTGGAGCTGACGAAACTGGGGGACATTTCATTACTTTTACAGTTTGATCTGTTTCGTCTTCGTCTTCTGAACTCTCCTCGCTCTCGGAATGGTGGTTCCCGTTCGTTTCAGCGCTCTCTCGCCCGTTGTTCGAGGATGCTTTCCTGGTGACGCTGACCTCATTGTCCTCTTCTTCTTCCATTTGACAGTTTTGGTCTTCGTCCTGTCCACTATCAGCATCATCTCCATCTTGTTTCTCCTCATGGCCGCTGCTTGGTCCTTTCTCTTTGTCAATTGTAAAGAAAGGCTGTGCAAGAGGAGTGGTGTCCATTTCTTCATCTAGATCCATGCTACAAAAAATGAAACAGTATCGTCAATATCTTAATACAACCCGATTGTATGAGTATGTAGGTAAAAGCTTCAATTGTGCAGCCCAGCGCTGTGATCCCATATGACCTACAGTTCTGTAAAAGCTTCAAACATTATAAAAAGTGTCATCATGTCTGGTGTAACCGCAAAACTTAACCCCTTTGTCTTCTTAGGAGACCAAAAACACAACCAGCCTTTGTGTGAGCTGGAGTTTGCTGCTGGATCGATTACATGCTGAACTTGATGTCACATTTGACCCACATTAACACATCCTGGTTCACCCGAGTGTGCCAGACGATTCCCATTAGTTAACAGGAATAAACAGTGTTCCTGAGCACATCGAAGAATGCACGTTTGCAGTGTTAGCCGGAGAAACAAGGAAGTAACTGAGCTCTAGTCTGTTACCTTTTAGATTAAATATACAGTCCCAGACTCTGAGTCTGCATCCAGACTGATGTAAAACCAAAAATATTGATGAAAAAAAACAAATTTGAAGGTTTGCAAAAAAATCCAGAGACCCCACCCTGCACACACTTTGAAAGACTTAAGGGGTCCTGCCTGGTTTTAACCCACGGCTCTCTCACCTGGACGGAGCACCGACGACTCTCATCTTCTGCCACATGTAGTTCAAAAACATGGACGCCTGCAGCAGTTTGCCGATCCTCTGCATGTGCCGCTCTGTGACGGGGATAAATGAATCATACGGTTATTTTCTGTGCTCTGTTTTTTCCATTCATTTGTTGACAACTTTAAACCCAGTACCTAGTTATCTTCTCTTACACGTGCCAGTTTCTCACGACTGGAGCTCTTGCCAACAAAACTATGTTAACGACCTGCTCTTTCTTGTTTTTTATAAATTCATTTCTATTTCATCATCTGCATGCTTTGCCCTTCTTGTCTGGCACGGTTATCCATCGCCATTGTTTTCATAAGTGTCTATAATTATTGACTCATTTAGCTTTTAAGTGTGGATGAAGACCTTGCTGACCTATACCATGTAAGATACATCCTCTCACCTGTGTACGGGATCAGTCCCTCTAGGTGCGCCCGGGCGCCCTGGTACTGCAGCAGCTCCTCAGGTGGGACATGTGTGACGAGCACCTTCAGGACGGCCTGGGCATCCTGACAGTTTCTGGCGTTGGTGTTCCAGACGACGCAGTATCGCAGGATCGACTCTGAGAGGGGTCAATGTTAAAACAGAGGCCGGAAAAAATAAGGGTTAGAGGTTTAAATACACGAAGGCATCACAATTAACCACAAAAAGGCTTTTTTTAAATTAAAATCTTTTTAAAAGTTTATTTTTAGAGTTTTTCTGTAATTCAGTGAAAGACCCCAGTGACCCTCTACCTTTCTGATCCTGTCGAAGCTTCAGCACCGTCTTCTCCAGCAGCTCTTCTCTTTCGTCTCCCTGACGGATCGCTAGAAGTAACATTGAAACAACATGTCAGCTCCATCTGTCCAATCAATCAGCACAGTATCAGCAGTAAAAATAAGTGCATTCACGGGTCAAAAGTCAAGGTAAATCCTAAATACAAGTTAAAAAAAGCTCAAAGTTAATGAAATAATCCTGTTTCTGGTGACCCTGCAGCTATTATCAAGACTTTGTCAACTGCTGGAAAGATTACCGTGAGCTTTTCTACAATATATTCTAGCAGAGCTGAATAACTGTTATAACAGAGGTGTGACAAAATACCAGAACAGGGTGGAATCATATCATATTGTATTAAAATACAGGTTTTCTTTTAGAGAAAGGTATAATCTGTTGTAGAAGTGTGAACCGTCTCATTCAAGGAGTTAAAAAAAGGACCTTAAATGCAATTAAACAAGTATTTTAATTACAGTTTTGAACTACCAGCCTTGCTCAGTGATGTATCGGCGAGCTTTCAAAAGGGAAATTTATTGGAAACAAAGAACCGAGACTGAAACATCTGCAGAAACAGAGCATGTCTGCTTAGATAATTCAGTGGGACTTTAGTCAGAGAGGTGTTGGATAATATCTGAATACTCTGAAACCGGTTTGCTACTGCTCACCAAACGCCAGCATCATCACTTTTAGTGATGCTATAAATAGAAAACCACGTAAAAAAGCAAAGTCAGGATTATAAAACACAGCGTTACAAAACTGGGCGTGTTATCGATACCTCTCTGCATCTTTAGATTCGTTTTACACGCACTGAGTGGCGTGTTCGCTGATTCACCGCCGCTGTCATTCAGGACTTAAACCCTCAGACTGAGGCGGATAATTCCCGTTATTGTAGCCGAGATCCGAAGATCCAAACTCTGACACAAAACAATCACATGTGCTTATTTTAGCGAGTCCATCCTGGAAAAACTCTCTTTTCTTGAGCCGACTAGGATTCCCATTTATCACACAGAGGTGTTTCACTTCACAATGACTAATGCTACTATACATGTTTCGGTTTGGTTTTGACTTAAATTCTTTTCTTGCACCGTCTTTTGACAGCTGCATCAGTGCTTTGATGACTAAACTCTTGCAGAGAGCGGTTACTTGTTCACAAAGGCAGATGACAGGGCGACAAACCAGCAGGTCATCACCGTGAAGACAGAAGAAAGGATAAAGGAATGATAGAAATGCAGCGTGTAAGAAGGGATACAAGATCTTAGAGAAACAGGCTGCAAATAAACAGTTTGCGAGGTGTACGTGCAGAAGAGAAAGCAGATGTTATTACACCCGGTTATACAACGAACATCAGGATCCAGTACCTTTGATCACAGTGAGCACCGTGTGAGGCTGGTCCAGCGAGATGGCGAGACCCAAAGCCTTCAGGTATTTCTTCTCATGGAGCAGGTTAGACAACTCCTGCTGCCTTCACATGCAGAAAGACAACAAAGACATGATTTAAACAAATAAACCAAATGTGCACAAAGATTCTCAGTCCCTAATATTAAGACTAAAGCAGGTTTAATTGTAGTCAAATGTTTTTTTTCCTCAATTGTCGTTACGTAACAGGAGGCTGAAAAGACGAGGAAAGAAACGTCACTCAGTTTTCTTTTAGTAGAGATTATTACAACATCTTAAATCCTCCATCAGTTCCTGCTATTATGTTTCCAGCTATGTGCAGAAATCTGTTTCTATCATATTAATCAGGGTTTGTCTTTCAGTCCTGTGCAGACTCAGGGGTTAACATGTCAGAGAGCACGTATAAACACAAATACGTGACCGTATGCACACACATTAACACCAGACTGATCTGAACCCTCAAATTCTTCTCTCTTATCACCACCTAAAAACACAGACAGCTTGACCTTTAACCCAGTCAGGTCCACCTTGGTCTAACAGACAAACAGGGTTGTGCAAAGAGGGGATCTCAGACCTCAGACAGAGCGACGACAAGACTTTGTTTGTCTGAAGCGACGTCGCCCCGCTCTGAGATCCATTTTTCATGTCGTGAAAGAAAAATCTGTGTGCGGCGGCTTACTTCAGGATCTGATCCTCCTGCTTGGCCTGCTCCTCTGCGAGCTCCACCTCGGTCACATCCTATCAAGGGGAGAAAGAAAACAACACTTTTGAGGCGATCTGTCGAACCCTGAGGGAAATTAATCTTCTTCAGGTTGGTGAGGTGGACAGAAGGCAAACTTTTAGGATCCAGTCTCAGGTTTCTGCAGGTTTTTCTAGGCATGCATGGTAACAATCGTTGATGAGAATAAAATGAAATGTGGACTTTTTTCCACTAATAACAAATGCATCAGTCTCACCAGCCACACGGTGATGTTGGAGTCTGCAGAGCCGGTCACCATCTTGTCGTCTTTGCGGCTGCCGTGCAGACCCCACACTTTGTCCTGGTGGGCGTCCAGCGTCTTCACACACTCGTTGGTCTTGATGGTCCATAACTTCACCAAACCGTCAGAGCCACTGAGGAGAGAGCAGACTTTGACTCAAACAGCTGATATCACTGACAGCAAAAAAAAACTTTAAAAACACGTTTTAATTTTTGTTTTGAACTGATCATGTGAAGATAATTATATAGGGTGACCATATTCTGACTTCCCAAAAAGAGGACACAACTACACAGAGTCACGGAGTCGCATGAAGTTAATTTTGAGAGTTTTTCGGGTCGGATCGAGTGTCTTTTATGTGCTTCTAATTCAGTAAGTCCACGTGACACAAAATTGAAACTTACATACAAAACCGCAGACATTTGATGGATTTTATGAACTTCCCCAGACAAACCTGGACAGTCCCCTAAAAAGAGGACATGTCCGGGTAAAAGAGGACGCATGGTCGCCCTATAATTATATCCTGCAGATCAGTGAGACACAGCTGCAGTTTGCGTGTTAATGTTTCCCTTCCACATTCCTCAGTCTCATTAGCGAGCAAGCGTGAAACTTCTTACTTATAATCAACGATAAGGATCACGACTATCAGACATCTGAGATAACGAGACGTGTGCATGACGGTTTTGGGGCTGAATTTTCCATTTCTCACAATAATGTGAAGATGTTTTGACAGTAATCCTTCTGCACGGTTTCCTCAAACTTATCCTGTAACTGGAGTTATGGTAATAGAGTAAAAATCTGAGGATGATAACATGTGAAAGTGTCACTGACAGGGTGGTGAGGTTACCTGGTGAGCAGCTGAGTGCCTCGGCTGACAAAGATCACCTTCAGAACAGATGCATCATGACCCTCGAACGTCTGAAAAGTAAAGAGTAGACGTTTTTGACAAGTTTCTACTTATTTTGCAATTTTCACGATTAACTCAAGCTGTCAAGATGCAGAAGAGCAATCTTGAAAGTAACTAATCAAATATAAAGGGAGATTTTTGATTCTGCTAAGGGTCAAAGATCGAAATGAGGGAAAGTCCAGGTTTATTTCATGGCCCACCTTCAGGCAGCTGAAGTCCTGCAGGCTCCAGAGTTTGGTGGCGCCGTCAGCAGAAGACGTTGCCAGGACCTGGTCCACAGGGGAGAAGCAGACGGCCCAGACGCCTCGACGGTGACCCCTGAACACCCCGAGCAGACCGAGGTTTCCCTCCCCAGCTAAAGACCAGAGCTTGGCTGTGCGGTCCTGCGAGCCCGAGGCCAGCAGCTTATCGTTGGGCGACACCGCCACGCTGTTAACATCCTGCAGAAGGAAATGAGACGCATGTTTGAATTTTAATGCAGTTTATATCAATTTAATGAATAATGGAAGTTAAATATGATGAAACACGGTGGAAAAAAGATGTCGTCTTTTTCCTGAAACATTCTCTGAATTTCTCTCTCGACACAGCCTCCAGTTTCATCATCAGCTCGCTGTGATTGACGCGTTACATTGTGTTAAAATCTGATATGAGACAAAGACATTCAGCCAAGTGACGTAACAGGCCCCGCCGGAGGACAGACCAACGATTGTTAAATCTCACATCTCTGCTCAGGAGCGTGACGGCGAAGCAGGAAATCACCGCATGTCTAACCGAGCTGTTCATAAAGCTCATCAGCTTCCTGGGTTAAAAAAAAGACGACAGCAGGTTTTTTCAGAGCTTCCTGATGAGAAGAGGTTTTTGAAGAGATTGCTAGACAGAGATCGTGTCTGTGACCTCAAGGAACAAGATAAGATAAGATAAACCTTTATTCATCCCACAGTAGGGACACTTGCAAATGAGTCACAATAAAAAGTAATTTATGAGACTTAAGAGTTTTGAAATTTGACTCAAGGGTGGAGAGCGAGTGCAGACTGCAAACGAGTTTATCTTAATAATAAAAAGAAATATGTGCACAAGGTTGGCAAACATACTTGACCGACTGACCCACTGTAACCGAGCATTTTAAAGGGGTGACCGCACAATATGCATGTGTGTTCAAGCTTTTTAGGTCGCCTCTCCGTCTCAGGAACCGTCTGCGTCTGACAGAGCTGATCTCTTAATGTTGGAGTTGGAGGATGACACATCAGGCTGCAGATGCTTTGGCTGATGACTCTCTGTAACCTGATCCAGGATATGTTGGTGTATTTTTTTAAATTACATAATGTTTGTAACTTTGTCGGTATGTGCTGCTCTGATCCTCAACTTCTCAGCTTTCAAAGCTTTTCATGACCTTGTCTTACTAAAAGCTTTTAAACAAAGTGAGGAGCTCTCCGAAACTGGTCTCATAACACTTTTACACGCCTCTATTTGTCTAGTGGAGAGTCTGAAGTTAGTGTCTGAGGAATGAACAGTGAACTCTGCAACTTTTGAACTCTCTCATCATTCCTGCGTCTTTCCCCTCTCATTAGTCCAAAAATCTGCCTTGACTGGATTAGACCAGCTTTGAAAAATGTGCAACTTTCAACAAAGACTTTCCTCCGTTAGTCCCCGGAAACAGAAATGAGCAGAGTTGTACGTGAGTTTGCAAAAGAAGATGTAACTGGAGCAGTACTGCTTCTTCCTTCTGAGAGAATTCAAAGTTAAAATGACGAGAAAATAGTGGAGTTAAATGTCACCACTCCCTCTTCAAATGACAGAAAAAACAGATGAAGTTACACCAGGAACTCTGACAACCCAAAATGTCTCAGATTTTCCTCTTCCTCCAGATGCAGCGATCGATGGTCTGAGTGTAATTGTACGTTATTTTTTCCATTAATATCAAACATAGATGAAGAAAAACTAAAATAACTTTATTGCCTTTAAAACTGAATTGATCCAAATGGGTGTTTTTTGCATTCATGCAGCATAAAAGCAGCAGTGATGGAAACAGCCGGAAGGACGCGGTCTCGTTTGTTGACAGAGTGACTAAGAGGTTGAGCGTGGCGTCTTATGAGTTTGTAGGTTAACAGCTTGTCAGAACTGCCACAACATTTTGACAGCACTCAAATGTTTTCCTAACCTGACACCCTTTCCACTGCACTGCAGTTTGACTTCTCAGGAATAAACTGTTTTATTAATAAGTGATTTATTGGTTAATTAGTTTACTGAATTTCCCTTCTTATCTTATCTTATTAAAGTTTCTGATTTCATTCACAGCCACTCAGAGATGTGGATAAGTCTTTGTTTTGATCATGGAAAAACTTTGAGAGACATCTGGGTCAACCAAAGCGTCCTCCATTCAAATGCAGATGCTGTAAGAGGAACATGAGGAACTACCTTTTTCCAGAGGTTTGAATGCAGTTAAAAGGAACTAAGCAGTGGGGAGAATGAAGCCAATCATTTTCATTTCATTTTTATATTTTTGGGGGGACGCTCTGGTATTATACCTTATTGGTGGGAGGTAAAGAAGAGTATGGAAAATTTTTGAAAGTGCAACTTCCACTTACATTTGAAGTTTTATATTTGGGAAAAGAGAACCGGGAGATAACAAGGTCAGGAGAAAAATACATGTTGGTAAAAACAGATGCACCAAAAATAGAGGATTGTGTCGAGGTAATGATCGATATATATATAGAATGAAGAAGCTGACTTTCTCATCTAGACTAGAAACAGATACTTTCAAAAACTACTGGAAAAACTGGGTTGATTTTGTGTCTCAATTGAGAGCAGACTTTGCGCAGTAAAGGCATTATGTATTATAGATTATTGATCCCCTTTGGTTCAGGCTACAAAGTTGTTCATTGTTCATTTGTTTATTATTATGTTTACCCTCCAACAGGAGAAAGAGACAATGACAGAGAGGTTTGGAAATAAGGACATGAGTGAAAAGTGTTTCATTTTACTTCACAGTTATTCTACTGTAACTTTACTTAAGAAGTTTTTGTCTAACTATGTCTCTGCTCTGCTGTGGAGAAACATTATATACTGTTAGAAATTTGTGGAATATATGTAAAATGTTGATGGACTATTGATATGTGAAATCGATAAAAAAGAAAACAAAAAAGGCACCAACAAATAGGTTTTGCATGCAGATATGTCTTTTTTTTAAATGTCCTTCAAAATAAAAGATTTGTTCATCTTAAAGTGAAAAGTTACTAGAATAAGAGCCCCTAACCCAAACCCAAACATCTACAATGTCGACTACTTCTGCAGAAATTAGGGGTCAACCTAAATTTGGAGGTTTTTATCAAACTGGTATGCCATCATAAAAAGTGATAATATGTTTATTTGATAGTTTTTGATTTTTTCCTCAGGGAGTTCAGTAAATATCTGTAAAAGAGGAAACAGCCTCATGAGCAGTTTAGCCTGAAAAGTTTGTTAAAAGCTTTTAAACTCTAAAATCAACCTGCTCCAGATGGGCGTTAAACAGCTGTATCAATGAATGAGTGCACATGTGGAGTAACCACCAAGTGGACATTTGAGGAACTGCAGTTTGAAGCTCTTCCGTGATGGACCACATTTCTCATGACCAGATTTTGGATCATCAAGCTTCAAATGTTTTGAACCTGATTGAAACCTTCATTCACTTTCATGAGTGCATCCTTGTGCTGTTACCTTATCGTGCGCCTTCTCGGTGGCGCGGACGGTCAGCTGATGCACTTCAGCTCCTGCTGTTGACAGGTCTGCAGGGAGATCCCACACCTTCACCGTACAGTCCTGACTGCCGGACACTACGAAGGACGCTTTCATCCTGGAGAGAAACACCATCTTTGAGTTCACTGAGTCTTTAGATTCTTTAGATTCTCTGATGAGAAGCAGGAAAGTTACCTGGAGCAGGTGATGGAGCCGACAGCATTAGTGTGGCTGGAGCCCTGGGCCACGCAAGTCACCTGACCGCTGTCGCTGTCCATCCGCCACACTCGCACTGACCTGTCCTGAACGCAGAAACACAACATGTGAAAACTTTCTCAGCTCTGATGTGGTGAACGTGTTTCCTGAAGAGCTTATTGTGAGTGTGGACGACATGCATGTGCAGCTTTTTAACAACAGCTCAGTGTGAGAGTCGTTGATGGACGTTAAAAAGACGAGACGCACCTTCGCACAGCTGGCAAACAGCAAACTCTTTTTGAAGACGTCCAGTGAGAGGACCGTATCTAGAACAGATAAACATAGATGTGAGTGCTGGGGCAGATAAACATCCATCAAACCAGATCAGCAGGTCACACCGATCTGGATTCTTTAGATCCTGTTTCCACTAACGACACGCTTCATTTCATGTGTCATCGAGGTAATCTTTTCAAGCTCTTTAAGATTTAATGTTAAGATGATTTGTACCCTGGGCAAAGAAAACTGCAATCTTACTGTAAACTAAGTATAAGGTATTGATTCTACATTTGTATCGATTAAAATCAGCTAAAAACAGTTTTATCTTTCAGAATAAAGATGAGAAAATCATCGACTTTTCTAGCGTTAGCTCTATAAACTTAAAACTTAGTGATTCAGGTCGTCACAAATCTGCTGCAGCCGTTAGAAACCACAGTAAAGAAGAACGATATTTGTTTTCGTTACAGGGTTTGACACAAGATTTAAAACCTAAACATGACAGACATCGGACAACCCCAGCTGTGGAAACTTTCTGCTCTCTGCCAACATAAACAGACTCTGCAGGTCGTTTCACTTGCAGGTTCACATGCACCGCTGCTGCCCCCTGCTGGTGACCCACCTGTGTGTCCGTACAGGATCTGGCAGCTGTTGGTGAGCAGCTCAAACACCTTCAGCTGGCAGCTGTTGGTGGCCACCACGATGTGGCTGTCGTCTTTACCCAGAAACTTCACGTCCAGCACCTCGTCGCTGTAGCCCACGAACTGAGAGCGAGCAGACAAAAGAAGAGAAAGTCACCTTCAATTTTACTTTTACGCCACAAGCTGCACAAGTCTCACCGCTCTGTAGCATTAAGAATGAAGCTTTTAACTATTACAGTTTTTATTGTTGCTGCATTTTAACAAGATTGTTATTGAGTGTTAAAGGGATATTCTGCGGTCGTTACTAAAGTCGGCAACATTCATCTCTGGAGTAGGTGTCTAACTCAGTGTTATGTTGTGTTTGACCCTAAATTAATTGTATGCCGGAATATCCCTTTAAGTACCTCAAGTTTTTAGTTTAGACCAAGTCAACTACTGATACGTAAACACTGCCCCCTAGTGACGACTTTTAGAAGTCTGTTTTTAAATTGTTAGGCTGTAATTTGGCAGCAAAAGTAGAAGACATGAAACCTGTCTCATAAACTAAGATCCAAAAATCAACTCTGACTGAAGTCTTGTTCTGTACCTGCTGCTGTGTGCTGAGCTCAGGCAGCTGATACAGCACGATGTTGTGCTCTGCAGTGACTGTGGCCAGTCGTGAGGAGTCGGGCAGGTGGAGGAGGTACGTCAGACTGCGGGGATCATCGTCTTTCTCTTCTTCCTCCTCCTCTGCTGGAACGGGGAGGGTCTGAGTGTAGACGCAACGCGCCGTGCTGGCCTCCCAAACTCTTAAGACACCTGGACGTGAAGAGGAGAGGGGTGAGTTAATGAAAACAGAACGATTCAGATTAAACCATGAAGACCAAGCAAGAGGCACACCTTTGCTTCCTGCTGTGATGAAATGCAAGTCTTTGTTTTTGACTCCAATCTGAGAGAAGTCGTCATTCTTGGACAGAAGCACAACACCTTCCACAGCCTGGAGACCAAGACAACACACACAGACATGACCCAGCAGTACTCTAGAGTTTAGATCTCCTCATATCATTCAGTTTTTCACAGTCTTACCTCATAGACTGGTACGGTTCTTTTGGCTTTCTTGGTCTTCAGGTCCCACACTGTGCAGATTTTATCTCTGCCGGAGCTGCCGGAGAGAAAGAAAACATCAAGACACCAAAGTTTCAAACATTTTAGAGCGCTTAAAGCTTAAATTACAATCCTCGTACCTGATCATGGTGTCTCCATCGCAGCTGAAGCTGAAGGCGGTGACAGCGCTGTAGTGACTCTCCAGCACACATGCACACTGACTGGTTTGCAGGTCCCACAGCCGGATACCGCAGTCCAGAGAGGAGGAGAAGAGCTGCAGTCGGCTGATGTCAGGGTGGAACTGGACCAAGCTGCGAAGACATAAGAAGGGTTTTCAGATTATTTATTCAGAAAGCCGAATTCTTTCAATAACACCTGACATTTTTCCTAATTTTTCCTTAAAAAAAAACCACATCACTATTTTACTCAAAGCGAGACAATATCCACACTCACTGCACAACCCCAGACGACCCTTTCAGGTTGTGGGTGCAGTACTGCTTCACCACATCCCAGATCTTTATGGTGCCATCACAGCCACCTGCAGGACAACCAGAGGACAGAAAACCCAGTCAACTAAAAATCAGACGGAAATATACAGGCTCAATCAACACAGCTTGATGTCAATAAGTTTGTGAGTGCTGACCTGTGGCCAGGAGCGTGGAGGTGGAGTCAAAGGTCATACTGGCCACGGGAACAGTGTGAATGGCTTTCCAGGAGCGAGTACACTGAGCTTGTTTCCAGTCCCACTGCTTCAGGAGGAGAGCTCTGCTGGCTGTTACGAGCATCTGTAGAGGGACACAGAGTAGAGACACAAAGATGATTTAGAAACAGTTTTACAGGCAACTTAATGAAGTTTATAAAAGTAAGTAGTGAAAGTGTGTTTGCTTTACCTCATCGTCACAGCTGAGGGCAAAAGATGTGATGTCCTCTTGATCATCCTGCAAAAACAGCACAAACAAACATGATGAAAACAACCACTGAGTGATCAAATGTGTAAAAATGGTGTCAAGAGTCAAGGTTCACATAAAAACGTCTTAAAATTCAGTTCCTTTCTAGTGCTGAAAGTAATAAGATCCAAAGTGCTGCATATAGTATTTTAATAAAGGTTAAAATGTTGAAGTAAGCCATGCTATGAGTGACTATGCTGTCATAAACATTGTCCTTGAATGGCACAAGCCTATGTAGGAAAACAGTTTGGGTATTTTTTTTACTTACATGCTCAACGCAGTGGACAATCTTTCCTGTGCTGGTCTCCAAAACATTGACCCGAGACCCACAAGTGCAAAAGATGAACTTTTCATCTTTGCTGATCTGAAGAACAAACAGAAAGTTTCATCAAACAGACGTTTATGTCCCTCATGGGTCGGTTGTACATTTGTATCGTCAGGTTGTTATAATTAGTAATACTTTAATTTACAACATCATGTGCTGAAATGTGATACGATATCTGTTATTTTCACATCTAACATAGTAATAAAAAATGCTAAAGCTGTGCAAGCAAAAAACAGAACAGAGAGACAGATGATAGATGACTGGTCGAGAGATATAGAGATGCAAAACTTGATAGGTGCTATATTATGAGACCTTAGCGCAGGATTCGACATACTGGATCATTCCTTTTTATCGAGTAAGCTGAGATATTATACATTTGAAGACTTTGCAAACAGATGGATTAAAAGTTATCTGACAAACAGGAAATATTCAGTTCACTTCAATGGCAGAGATGTGGGGTGTGGGGTGCCGCAAGGAAGCTGCCTGGGACCACTTTTATTTTCAATTTTTACAAATGATTTGCTGTTGATCTCGAACTCTGCCAAAATAGTAATGTATGCGGGTGACTCCACAGTTTATTCCTCAACAAGCACGGTAGAAGAGCTGAAACAGGTATTAAACAGGTATTTTTAACTTCAGACATTAACAGAAAGTACTGTAACAAACAATTAAAGGTGTATTTATTTACATATGGAGTACCATGAATGAAATTGAGTTCAGCTCTTCTCTCCGATGGATCAAGTTTTCTTGTCATCCCTAAAATAAGTTCTGTTTTTCCTTTTTGTCTTTTCACCTTTCTGTCTTCATTTTATTAACGTATTGGTTTATTTTTCAACAAACAATAGAAAATAAGAGCAACTGTATGAATAAAGTGTAGAATGAATGTTATGAAAATACAGTTTTTTCTGATTGATTACAAAAATTTGAGCTTTAGTGACACTTTTCATAAAAAACATGGAGCTGAAAACTCACCTGCACTTTCCCTCCTTTGTAAAACGGCTCAATCTTGCTGGACACAACATAACTGTGATAAAATAACACAAAAATCAGTGTAACACGTCTCAACTTTACATGTCACATTAGCCAAGATCATGCTAACTAGACAACAACGTCCACACGCCGAACACGCCATACGTCAAAAACTTACTTTGTTTTGAACTGAAGATTCGTGCCTGCCATTTTTGTTCAAAGGTTAATCCAAAACCTGAATATTTTGACAGCGGTGAGGGTTAAAGGCAGAATTTTCTCACTTCACACGTTGGTTACAGTCAACACATCCATCCCGCATGTTGATAGCTGTGTCGCGACAATAATACGTCATTAGAGCGCAAAGTAGTGATGGGCACTGCAGTTCTTTTAGATGAACTGAATCACTAGAACCAGTTCACTAAAAAGATTCGTTCAAAAGATTCGCTCACCGAATCATATAGCGTGAGAAGCGACTCCGACCTCCTGAACTGATACATAGCTAAACGGTTCAGGATTCAGATCAGATCATAGCCTCTGGGACCAGGAGACGAGAGTGTTTGGCTGTGTCCTATTGTATGCAAGTTGCTGTGGTGGCAATTTAGCAGTGAAAAAAAAGGTAGTTGTGTCCAACAAAAATGATTCCAGAGAGTGTAGTTCAATGCGTGATTTGTTCACCAAGTGATTCAGGCATCAGTGCATGTGGTCCCTCGTTTGCCGGCTGCTGGCCTGGCAGTGCCGTTTCTCACTTAGGCTCAACTGAAGAGAGAAACGAACGAATCACTAGAGGAAGTGATTCGGTTCAGTACTGTTAGGGTGATTTTCTTCAGCCAGTCATGTCAGCCTTTAGGGTGGTGGAGCTGTGTCACTCAAATACCTTGGATTCTTTGGAGCCAGATTTCTGGAGCCATGGGCCCCCGACAACTATCCTCAACAAGGACCTTGTACCCATGTTTAACATCACTCAGGCTCCCAAGATATGTTGTGCTTTGTTATTACCCATGGACTCTCCTTCAGGTCAACAAGATGCAAGCAGAATGTTTGGAAACGTGGACGGCTATATATACCTGAGCAGTCTCAGACTCATTTTTGTTACACTTGTGGCATGATGAAGCTGTAACCCAGATCTGCAACCTGAAAGCTTGTCAAAATGATCATTCGTGTGGAGTGGACCTTCCATTCTTATAAGTGTGAACATGGGCTAGGCATCCTCACAAGTACGTTCACCTAAACGATTCGGTTCTTTTGAACGAATCGTTCGCCAACGACACAACACCCACGCAAAGAGATGTGATTGGCTGAAACGCTTTCCCATACAGCGCCGTATAATTCCAGCATGTAGGATTAATAACTCATTAAAATCAAGTTTTAAACTGTTATGTTTAGGGAATTTACGTCTATGAGTAAAATAAATGGATTATTTTCGATCATTTGAGTTTAAAAATGAACTTTAATTCCAAACTTTACCCTCGAGGCCTCTAACAATAGGCAGAGCTGGATCTATTCAGCTGTAAAAGCGCCTGTTTGTGGAGTTTGTGGGCTTTGCTGCGAGAACAGCAGGGAAGAGACTCGTCCAGCAGTGAACACCATTATCTGCCTTTTTTATAATTTACGGTTTTACGTGTAGCCCACGCCGCGTGGACCCTCCTTCGTGGTTTGTCAGGAATGTTCATGTATCGCATTGATAACACGGGTGTGTGTTTGGTTTGTGACATGTGAGTAAACCGATATGGTGGAGTAACCCGGCGGAATGAGGACAGGAGACTACCATGGTGAGTGAACAACAACGACGTTTCTTTTTATTATTTAATTTAAGTTTTTTTTTATCTGTTTTTTCTTAGGTGTACAGCTGTAAAACACGTGGAACTACCTTTAATTATAACTTTTTAATTTGTCTGTTGATTCCAAAACAAGCAGTCATATAAAACTGCTCTGTTGTATTTCTTATAAATACATTAAATTAAAGATTAATTTAAAGCAAAATACAACCACACATTATACATTTACATGAGAAAAACTCTAAGCAGACACATTTTACCTATTTTTCACTCTCATGTCACCTGTCATGTGACTTTCCAGAACAATTCTGTTTTGTTGTCTCCCACCTTTATGTTGACAACAGTGTTGACAGGCTGTTGTAGTGCCATGTTTTACACCTGTTGAGAAAATGTTCATGTGTTGGTAGGGCTTGGCGTAAGGGAAAAAGTTTATCATGATATGTATTTTTTCATATCAGTCGATATCGATATATAAAAAAAGAGATTTACAGTGTTTATTGGTAGCATGTCATTTGCAATACAATAATCTCCTGCATCTGTGAGGTCTTTGTGTCTCTTTGACATTTTGTCGTAAGGCGTTGTGCTAGAGAAAGTGGACTGAATGTTCGGCTGTTTTGGCTCCTTGCTCCGGTCGGGGTTTGTAACCTTTTGCGTTGCGCGTGTTCTGCCGCGTGGCACCGTTTCAGGTGGTGAAAAAAAAATTGAGGTATTCCCAGACTTTGCGAGAACATGTCAAAAAAACAAACTACCTCCACACCACCGACGTTTTCGTGCCAGTGTTGTCGGAGATGTTGTCACCTGTTGAGCCTTCATCGTCATTTCTGCTGGGGGTAGCACTCATTTTCTTTTTTTCACGTTAAAGCGCTATGGTTGTGTGTAGCTGCTGTCTGCTACTAAGCTGTTGTTTGCTACTTGGTTCTAATTCAGCACATGATTGGTTCAGTATGAAGCGGACCTGGAGCAAGTCCCCTTTTCATTTGTTATTGATATAGTCTACCAAAACATGGCAGAATGCCAACTATATATTGACCATGTTTATATCGATATTGTGAGAAATTAATTTTTGATATATATATCGTTATCATTTTATCGCCCAGCCCTATGTGTTGGTGTGGGTCACAGTCAGTTCATCCCTTTAGTTATTAATAAATAAAATATGTGTATATTGATTAAATTGAAGAGCAGAGTTGTGTTTTTATTTGCCACATCCAGACAGACTCAGACGCGTCGACACAAAGTGGAGGTTATGATGTGGAGCTGTTTGTGGACACTCCAGACTACGACCTGATCTGCACTATATGCCAGGGTGTCCTCAGGTGTCCAGTGAGAGCTGCATGTCACCACATCTTCTGCAAGAAATGCATCTTACAGTGGCTGAAGAGGTACTGAATACTACAAAAATACACACAACTTTTTAGGATTATTAAAGATAATCTGGACTGAGACTACCTGCTATTTTTCTTCCATAGGCAGGAGACCTGCCCCTGCTGCAGGAAGCCTGTGAATCCCAGCTTAATCTTTGTCATGTTCAAACTGAGCAAATCTATCGGACGCATGAAGATCAAGGTAGGCTAATAATAATAACTTTTTTATAGCACTTTTAAAAACATAAAATAGGTAAGAAAGTATCTATTATAGCTACAAGCTTTTTCTCATTCTGGTGGACGATAAAAGGCATAAAACATGTACAGAAAAGTTAATAAAAAGTCAATATTAACCACACCATGACCATTATGTGTACACATAAATTACTGTAAATAATATTATACTTCAAAACCTTTATTAAAATGTATATAACTCAGTAGTTGAGCTGTATTTTTCACAGTAATTAATGAGAACTTTTACTTTTTATTTAATCTTCAATGTCTCTTTTCACATCACTTTCAGCTACTTTATAATTTTACTGTAATATTGACCTCAGTAAATATTTGGCTTCTTCCTCAGTCAACTTACCTAGTCTCCAATATTTAAGATAATTCCCTAATGCTCTCCCTCACTGTCCATTTTTAAAACCCGGCTAAAAACCCACTTTTACTCCTTGGCTTTTGACCCAGCATGAGACGGCATTTGTTTTATTGCTTTTATTATATTTTAAAACAACTATTTATTGTTGTTTTATGTTTTTATGTTATTATGTACCACACTTTGTGTCAGCTTTGGTTGTATTTAAAGTGCTCTCTAAAAAAAGTTGAGTTGAGTGTCAAGCAGAAATCCGTGAATGACTCATTTTGAAGCCAATGATCTTTTTGTAACTTTCTGTTTCTGGTGTGTTACAGTGTAAGAATGAGATCCGCGGTTGTCCAGAGACCTTCCCCCTCTCAGAGCAGTACTGCCACAGCATGAGCTGCCTGTATGAGCTCATCCCCTGTCCTTACCAGGGCTGCCGGGCGCAGCTCCTACGCAGGGACCTGGACACCCACGCGCGCCACTGTGAACACTGGCGTCAGCCCTGCCACATGGGCTGCGGGACGATACTCTCCCACCGCACCCAGGCCCAACACAACTGCTACAAACAGCTGAGGCAGGAGTACGAAGCCAGACAGAGGAACCACAGGGCCATCGCAACCGCCCTGCAGAGGAAGATGAGGCGGATGCAGAGCACCATGGCCCACATGAAGAGGCAGATTGGGCTGATCTGTGAGAGTCTGGAGGTGATGGATGACCTGAATGAAGTGGAGGAGGAGTACCTCGGAGAGAGCAGCGGGACGCCGGGTAGCAACAACAGCAACTGCTGAAGAAAAGTCACAATTTACTGCTGCTGGTTGGCTACTGCTTTGTATCAATCTGCGTGTGTTCACTTTTTTAGCGGTGTGTTTTGTGAATGTGTAGGTTGGTATGAGATTTACTGAGTGACTTTGTTATATTGTGCTGTATTTTTATCAATTTTGTAAATAAAAGTGTTTACTTACCACAGGCCTTATTATCTTCAATGGAGAGAAGAAAGGAAACTCAATGTTACATAAATAAAGAAAAAGCAACGGAAAAAGAGAAAAATACATACAAAAAATACAATCACAAGCTGGTTAAGGCACAAAAAATACACAGACAGGAGTTGTTTTCTGTATTGTAAATGCCTGCTTCAAGGACCTCTAGTTATATTTTGCGTATTCTGGCTTCATATAACTTTACTTCTGTGTAAATGTTGCAAAATTTTCAGAGATTATTAGTTAAAATGTGTGAAAAATTAAACCAAACCTCGAATCAAGGGCCAGGAGGACCAAAGAAAGCTACCACTTGAGGCAGTAATGGGTCTGCTGTGCTCTTTGGGAAATCTCGCGATAACTCGTCAGTATATAAACTAACGGCACTTTCCATGGGTCTTCTTCCTGTAATAACGATCACGTAAGTACAATATGTCATCCTGTAGTCGACTTTAAATCCTCTTTTATCCTAAACATCCTTCACCGGAGTACAGTGGTTATACGTTAATAATTACATTTTAAAGTTGTGTTTTCAATATTTCTGGATATTTACGGAGCTAAGTCGACAAAGATGTACATATTTGTGATGTTGTGAGAGGTTCGCAATGTGCAATATGGCGGCCCCGGTTTCTGTACATCTCCGACTGAGAGATGGAAACGTGCTTGTGAATGTACTCTTTGGTTTCTTAAGGATTATTTCTAATTTTTGTTAATGTTCGGCTTGTCCTACAGCAAATGGCGGACGACGCCGGTGGTAGAGGAGGTTTTCGCGGAGGTTTCGGCGCAGGTGGCCGCGGTCGGGGCCGTGGACGCGGCAGAGGCCGTGGAAGGGGCCGTGGTGCCCGGGGAGGAAAGTCTGAGGACAAGGAAGTACGTTTGGCGTTAAGAAGTCTATTATTGATTACTCTGTTTTTCCTGAGAGATCTCTATTATCTTAAATCTAAGTTCACACATGTCTCTGTTTACTATAGTGGGTTCCAGTCACCAAGCTGGGCCGCCTTGTCAAAGACATGAAGATCAAGACCCTGGAGGAGATCTACCTTTACTCTCTGCCCATAAAGGTGAGCAGCAATCTAAGATACTGGGTTTACACACAGGATGGAGAAACTTAAAGGGATATTCTGGCGTAAAATTAATTTAGAGTCAAACACACTTAACACCGAGTTAAGACACCCTCTCAAGAGATCAATGTTGTCAACCACTTGCTTCTCTAGTTATACCGACTTTGGTAATGACCGCATGATAGCAATACACAGAGCTACACGCTGAACCGAAACGCCACTCTATAGCCAGAAATAATGCTCAGAACAGCACCCAAGTTCATCAACAGTACATATAGGATCAAAACCATAGTACTAGCCACCAAACACCTTTTTAACTTTGCCTAATATCTTGAGCAAAGAGACGAAACACAACTCACCAACTCTCTTCCAGCAGCCGCTTGTTTGTAGTGAGACCTCAGGCCAGTCCATTACGGACTGCAGCGGGGTGACGCAGCTCAAGGAAGAACATTTATGATCGTGAAATACAATCAGACAGTGACACAAAGGCAGAAGAACTACCGCGTCTGCAGAGCAAAATGATTAATATGGTGATAATTACTTCAAGGAGATGATAAAGAAATGATCATAAATGTTCTTCCTTGAGCTGCGTCACCCCACAGCAGTCCGTAAATGACTGGTCGGTGTTACGGTGTGATTGACCCTTAATTAATTTTACAGCGGAATATCCTTCATTTTAAATTCATTAAACAGTGCCCAACACGCTGAATAAGCAGACTTTTGATAATCTCTGACTACTAAATGTGGAGTTGGGAACTATGAATGAAAAAATCTGTCCAGTTTCTACCTGCTTTTTCCTTGTTAATGCTAATTTATGATACATTATGATTGAAAAACATCTGTTTATTTTCTGTCTACAGGAGTCTGAGATCATCGACTTCTTCCTGGGCTCTGGTCTGAAGGATGAGGTGCTCAAGATCATGCCTGTCCAGAAGCAGACCAGAGCTGGTCAGCGCACCAGGTTCAAGGTGAGCTGTCGAGAACTCTGCTAACAACAGTCCTAGATAATCATCCCAAAAGTGATAGTCAAACTGACATTACCTCCCTCTTACTTTGCTCATAGGCCTTTGTTGCCATTGGTGACTACAACGGCCATGTGGGTCTTGGGGTGAAATGCTCCAAAGAGGTGGCCACAGCCATCCGTGGAGCCATCATTCTGGCCAAACTGTCCATCGTCCCTGTGAGGAGAGGCTACTGGGGTAACAAGATCGGAAAGCCCCACACTGTGCCCTGCAAGGTGACCGGACGTTGCGGCTCTGTCCTGGTGCGTCTCATCCCCGCCCCCCGTGGTACTGGCATTGTGTCTGCCCCCGTGCCCAAGAAACTGCTCATGATGGCCGGTATTGATGATTGCTATACCTCTGCCAGGGGCTGCACTGCCACTCTTGGCAACTTTGGTAAGAACTTTCCCCTTTTTTTTGAATACAAATCTGTTCAGACTTTAAAGGTTCTCCTTGCTCTGCTCAGCTGCATCTCTGCTGTGGTGTAGTTGTCGTTATCTGGAGAGAAAGAAACGAGTATTGTAATGCACGGCAGAAAGGCGGTTTTAGTCGTCTCTTCTGTTCCCTTTTCGGTACTCAACAGTTCGTGCATTAAAAACTACAGCGCTGTGCTTCTTTTGAACTCTGTCTTGACCATTTATTTTATTTTATTCCTCTACAGCCAAGGCCACCTTTGATGCCATCTCCAAGACTTACAGCTACCTGACCCCTGATCTCTGGAAGGAGACTGTCTTCACCAAGTCTCCCTACCAGGTAAAATAACATGCACACAAGTGTTGGTCATGCTTTTGTTGAAATTTTGAGGATCTTGTATTGACTTTTTTTTCCTTTATTTCATATTCCAGGAGTTCACTGACCATCTGGCCAAGACTCACACCAGGGTGTCTGTGCAGAGAGGACAGCCCGTCCAGCCACCCGCCTCCTAAACTTTTGATACAGAGAACTGTTGAATAAACATTCTGAAACATCAAAGATTTCTTGTGTTTGTACTGAACTCTATAATGACTACTGTAGTAGAATGTCCTCATACATTTCGGTTAAGAAATATAGAGTAATTATCTTTTAGTAAGGAGTCACAAATAACTATTTGTTGGAACATTTAATCTCTGCAAGAGTTAAGACTAGTCTGAACAAAGTGTTGAGGGTCAGACATGTCATCATGGGTAGCCTTCTGGAGAATTGATATGCCATACCCATGATGACAGAATACGCATGCACACACACACACCTAACAGTATAAAAAGGCGTACAAGAAAAAGCTAAGGAGGCTTTCCCTGGTTTTGGTCAAGACTCTGTTTGGCTGTTCTTCAGATCTCATCCTGTCTTGTGCGTCGTTTTACTAAGTTTACACTGGATTTTCCACAACAGTGCACATGAGGGTCGCTTCACGGACGCATTCCGTTCACATTAGATGCCCGGTCATTGTAATGTGAACGACCGCACAGAAAGATCGGATTTAACAAAAATCCAAATTGTGCATCAAAACCTGCAGTGTGAACGTCGCCTTCGCTTGCTCCCAATTTTTAGGGTCAATCTTGAAGCATGAAAGTGATCTGAAGGCCTAGTTCGCCATGATGATAGTGTTGACCTTGTTCAGCATGTAATTCTACCAAAAACAAGTGTTTCCTTTTGCAGCAAATGCCAAATAAGACCATATTTAGCAGCCCAAGTATACTGATTTTGTTTCCCACAATGAGCCCGCTGAATTTGAGATGAAGAGGATATACCAAATCTGAAACATAACTGACCATAACTGATGTTTTACAAGTATTTGGTTTGATTTGCGAGCTGTCTTCCAGGGGAGCACCTCACTTGTTCAAAAGGACACTTTTCCGACATGGTTTATCACATTTATTTTACAATCTTTACACAGCAGATAGTGGGGAATCATTTTTAAGATGTCTGGGCCTCAGCAGCCATCATTCTCTCTTTCTGCTTCATGAGACATTTTCTGGCACTGCCGTATGCTCCCAGGTCTTCATCTAAAAAGGGCAGATCATAAACAAAATAGAGAGTATTTGGACTAATGTGACCATCATAAAACTACTTTCCAACAATGACAATGTATGTTTTGTTTTATGCATCCTTAAGAGCAATCTACTTACAGCGTGACCTGTAGTTAGCGGCTGTCTTGGTGAGCAGCTCGGTTTCTTTTGCACAGTTCTGAGTGGCGCTGTGACCCTCTCTCACCTGGCAAGCCTTAATTCGCTCCTGAAGCACCTTCATAATCTCCTGGTCAACTTTGCTGAGAGGAAAAGACAATAATACAATGATTATCCTATCATAAAGACCACAGGGATACACTCTTATTTGAGGCTGCTTTGAGAACAGTAGTGACTCTGGAAATAATAATAGAAAAAAAATAATACACATTGCATGTCTGGATTTGTTTGATAGCTCATATCTGCAACAAATGCCCTCTACTCAACACGGATGGTTTTCAACATTACTACAAGTAATAAGCAGAGATTTAATTCAACAGTGAGCAACAAGAGCATCAGGGAGTCTTGAGTTTAAACAAAGTTTATCCAGTCCAATGCTGTGAGTATAGGATGCCCCGTGCAGTCCTTCAGAGACATATAAGTATTGGTGACTTCAACTTAAAAGAGATTAAACATAGAGCTAGAAGGGACACTGACGGTGTTTGCCAGAAGGATGACTAATGTGAGGAGTGAAAGGGACCAAACTGAAATCTAAAATATAGAAACACTCCGTTTTCTTCAAGTGTACTGCATGAAAATGAAGCACATCACATTGCAAACCAGAAAATACTTGAAAGAACATGAGTTACAGATGGGGAAATCTTTTTTAAAGATATTTTTCCATGTCCCATTATAATTAGGCATTACTAACGCATGAACATCTCAGGTAAACAGATGTCCAGTCAGAAGCATTATGCCTTAAAATGATATTCTGGCGTAAAATTAATTTAGGGTCAAACACTCCCTAACACCGAGTTAGACACCCCGTCGAGAGATGAATGTTGCAGACCGCTTGCTTCTCTAGTTATACCAACTTTAGTAACGACCACAGGATAGCAATACACAGCGGTCTGAGGAGCCATAAACAAACCTCAACCAAAACGCCACTCTATAGCCACAAATAATGCTCAGAACAGCACCTAACTTCATCAACAGGACATATAGGGTCCCAGCCTCAGCACTAGGCACCAAACACTTTTTTGACTTTGCCTAATTTCTTTAGCAAAGAGACTAAACACAGCTCACCTACTTGCTTCCAGCAGCCACTTTTTTGTAGCAAGACCTTGGCCAATCCATCATCTACTGAGGCAGAGTTTCACAGCTCAAGGAAAAACATTTATGATCATTTCTTAATGGAAATACAATCAGACCGAGACACTAAGGCAGAAGAACTACTGCGTCTGCAGAGCAAAATGATTAATACGATGATTATCACTTCATGGAAATGATAAAGAAATGATCATAAATGTTCTTCCTTGAGCTGAGTCACCCCACTGCAGTCCGTAATGGACTGGCCTGAGGTCTCGCTACAAACAAGCGGCTGCTGGAGGAGAGTAGGTGAGTTGTGTTTAGTCTCTTTGCTAAAGAAATCAGGCAAAGTTAAAAAGATGTTTGGTGGCTAGTACTATGGCTGTGACCCTATATGTACTGTTGATGAAGTTAGGTGCTGTTCTGAGCATTATTTGTGGCTATAGAGTGGCGTTTTGGTTGATGTTTGTTTATGGCTCCTGAGACCACTGTGTATTGCTATCGTGCGGTCGTTACTAAAGTTGGTGTTACTAGAGAAGCAAGCAGTCGGCAACATTCAACATTTGAGGGGGTGTCTAACTCGGTGTTACGATGTGTTTGACCCTAAATTAATTTTAAACTGGAATATCCCTTTAAATGTAGATAAAAGACATTCAAGAAAACAGGTTAGAGCTGAACTGGGGTGCATGTGTAAAATTCTTAGTGTCAAAACAACTTTTTGAATGTTTTTTACCTGCTTCAAACAGGAGTGTGTGCATAAATGTTTTAAAATAGCTTGATGAGTGTGTATTGATTGTATGTTATGATAAATTACCAGTCCTGCCTCTTGACTTACTAATCTCTCTTCCACTGCATCTCAGCCTCATAGTAGCAGGTATAATCCCCCTCCTCACACTCAGTCAGGTCAGGAACACGGCGGTACTTCTTGTGGTAGTACACGGGCCTGTTTTTCTCCTGAATAGTGTCAAGAACACCTGGAGGAGACGAGGGAAACGGTTTCAGGACGCTGTACAACACAAACATCTCCTAAGAGCTATGCTATCCAGTTAGCCGCGTTAGCTTCAGTTACCTCTGAATGCGGTGACAGGCACGTCCACGGTGTAATGAAAGACTTTTTCCACGACCAAGCCCAGGTTTGGTACTGCTGTCTGTTTATCCACTATCGGAGTCAGCTGTGGAGGCCTCGGGTAGGCATCGTGGTTACTATCTTGAGGCATGTTTTCGCCTTTTAGTCGTCTTTCACCAGATTCGACCTCGTCAGACCGATACAAGAGTTGCGCATGCGCAGAAGAATCTCTATAATGGCGAAATAGAGGTCACAGTTTTTAAACCTGGATATTGTTCACAGTACTTCAAATTTAAGTTTTTCCGACGTTATATTTCGGTATAATTGTTTTCTTGAACGAGGACCTTGACTTTAGCTCTATTCTAGAACTTTAGATACGACCAGTTCGAAGGGTAAAGGTCACAGGTGAAGCTGTAGCGCCATGTTTGTGCAGTAGAGGGTGATACAGAGCTGCTATTATTTCAACATTTACACAAACATTTTAAGGGGTATTCCGGCGTGTAATTAATTTAGGGTCAAACACACCTTAACGCCAAGTAAGTCACCCCCTCGAGAGATGAATGTTGCTGACCGCTTGCTTCTCTTGCTTAACTGTAGGCAGATGAAACCGTCTTTTTGTACGTTTTTCATGGTAACGATGAAATTTTGTCCACAAGGGGTGCTGTAATCAACAAAACCAAAGTTCCTCAAAGTATCTTTAAGTATGATGTTGAAATCCCCCAAAGAAGCTTGAAAATACTATAAAGCATGTCTAAACACCAGGCTTTAAGAGAGTGATTTAAATAGTTGAAATTAATCACTTTAATCTACTTTTTTAAAATTTTTGTACAGACAAATACTGACTTAATTGTCTTAACTTGAGCTCTCCCACTCAATTGGTCTCATTACATCTATTTAAAGCTGCTTTAAATTCAAGTTTTACCCAAATTAGAACAAGGTAAAGTTATTAAACAGTTATGATTCATTACAGCCAAGCTAACATGGGATTTATCTGTGTTTACTCTAAAGAAATCCTAAATTGAACCTGTCCTAGTGGAGCAGGTAGATATTGTCACCATGACAATGTAAACTGTCTTTTTCCTCCTCCTCTCCTTTCTTGGTGATTTGTTCCCGTCCACTGAGCCTCCTCACCACTTAAGACCCCTGACTTCACCCTCTCCCCCCTCCTATCTGGGTGTCTTGTCAGGGCTTGGCAGAGCCTGCCTTGTTTGAAAGCGAATACTGCTTCTCAGCTGGGCCAAACACCAATATAGAGTCCTACACTGTGTATCATCTTATGTCTGATCTTTTCATCAGCGCAGACCCCTCTCTCTTTCTTTCTCACGACGGGACAGTGAACAGACATGGTCAGTGCTCCTCGTGCTTTTGGGGCCTTTTTTTCTCTCTTTTAAAGGATAGATTCATCTGTTGTTTGTCTGTCTTATAACTTTTAGATATGTGTTTGTGTGGCTTTGTTTGTTCCTGATAATTTTGAAGAGATGAAGTTTGTTTAAAAAATTATTTTGCAATGGCTGCCCTCATGGAGTCCACGTGCGCCGAAGAAATGGAGACTTGTTTCTTGAGTTGCACCCCAATCTTTTCATTTCAGTCGTTGTATTTTATGTTTTTTCTTTGCTTTCTTATTCCTTCCTATTTATCCATCTGTCAGTCTGTTTTTGCCATTTAACTCACTCTTTCCTTCTCTGTCTTTTCCACTGTTTCAACCATGCTGGTTGTAAAAGATAGCTGCGCACTGATGAGTTTCTGCTTGCTTTAAAGAAACTTCTCTCTTTTGCTGTTGCCAAATACTTAATTAATACTTAAAAAAGTCCCCAATGATCTAATCCTGCTTTATAAGTTTAGCATTTAGAGATGACTCTTTTTGTTATTAGGTGCTATATCAATTTAAATTGAATGATTAAATGATTACACTTACCTGGGCTCCTAAAAACATGACCTAAAGTATGAGCATTAGTCCTGAAGATTAAGGGACTTCACTGTGAAAGTATGCCCTCTTTATGTCAGGTTATACATGTAGTAGAATCTTTTCATACATTTAGACATCATACATCATAACTTTTGGAGACCATAGACAGGTAGCTACATTTTGCTTAATTAAAAGAAAGTGTTAGGATTTTTTTTTCTAAATATCATCTCGTCTCGCAGAATAAATCCAAACACCAGTGTGCAATATGAGACGACGGTAAAGCCGTGGTTTAATTTTAATGAATGGTGACTCTGACTTTGGTTCATGCTTCTCTTTCAGTCCCATCGTAAATTCCACGCACCCCGTCACGGGCACATGGGGTTCCTCCCCCACAAGCGAAGCAAGAAGCACAGAGGCAAGGTGCGCACGTGGCCCAAAGATGACCCCAGCAAACCCGTCCATCTCACTGCTTTCCTGGGATACAAGGCTGGCATGACGCACACGCTGAGGGAGATGCACCGCGTTGGCCTCAGTACGTGTGAATGGAGTCAATGCAACATGACATGACATCTAGTTTTTATAAACAATATCACATGTTTTAGCCGGCCAATGACTGGGATCAATCCATAAAAGTAAATTAATACTTTTCATTTTTCTGCCACAGAGCAATCAAAGCGAGAGGAAGTAGAGGCAGTCACCATCATCGACACTCCTCCGGTCATCGTAGTCGGGGTCGTGGGTTATATCCACACCGTCCGTGGCTTGCGATCCCTCAAAACCATCTTTGCCGAGCACCTGAGCGATGAGTGCAAACGCAGGTTTTATAAAAGCTGGTGAGTGGGTTTAAATATTCTCCTGCATGTGGAGTCGATGACCTCTAAAACAGCCGAACCTCATCTCTAAATGAAGGTTTTCGGTGTTTCAGGCACAAGAGCAAGAAGAAGGCCTTCACCAAGTATAGCAAGAAGTGGCAGGATGAGTCAGGGAAGAAGCAGCTGGACAAGGACTTTGCTACGATGAAGAAATACTGCTCAGTGATCAGGGTTATCATTCACTCTCAGGTAGGTCAGACAGGTATCTAGTGAAATCAAATCACAGCAGATCATTTTATATTATACTTTTGACTTCTCAGAAACCACTAACTGGGAAATGCTTCTTCTATAATATGATAATGAAGGTTAAACAATAATGCAATCCTACAATAAAACACCATCAGATGGTAATTTGAGCATTTAGACACCTAGACAGTACTGAATCACTAGAATCAGTTCACTAAAAAGAGTTGTTCAAAAGACTCGTTCACCAAATCACTGAACACTTTGCAGGAGAGGCCTGCAACTCCAACCTCCTGAACTGATACACAGCTGAACGATTCAGGATTCAGTTCAATTCATAGTTTCTGGGACCGGGAGACGAGAGTGTTTGGCTGTGTTGCTTTGGCAAAAGTCATGATGTTTTCAGTGTACTGTCCTATTGTACGCCATATATCAGGTCTGCTCGGTAAATTGGGCTCAGTGAGTGATTCGTTCACTGGACGTTTAGAAGAATTCACACTGAACATTCACCGTTCCTTCGCAAACCGCTGCATTAATAGGATTCTGCGAGTTTAATGCACTACTTGTTACATGCTGTGTCCTATTGTATGAAAGTTGTTGTGGTGGCAATTTAGCAGTAAAAAAAGAAAAAGGTAGTTTTGTCCGACAAAAACAATTATAGAGAGTGTAGTTCAATGGGTGATTCGTTCACCAAGTGATTCAGATGTTGGTGCATGCGGTACCTCATTCGCCGGCTGCTGGCCTGACAATGCTGTTCCTCACTTCAGCTCAACTGAAGAGAGAAACGAACGAATCACTCGAGGAAGTTATTCGGTTCAGTACGTTCACTCAAAAAAGTTCTATTTATTGAATCGTTCGGGAACGACACAACACTACTTGACAGGGGCGTGCTCAGACTTTTCTAACTGGGGTGGCCCTGCTCGGGCACTGACTCATGCAGGGGGGGCATAAGGTAAGTGTTGACACACACAAGTTAATGGATTTATTTTCTCGTTCTGTTCCTGTTGATCATGTGTGTTTAATGCTGAAGTATCTCTACACGTTACAGTCTTGAGTATATATATTTTTTTACCTTTAGAAAAGTATCAGAGTGGCAGCGGTGAAATCTCCCCACTTTTATTCTCTGAAAGGCTGTTTACACAGATCTGAACTCAGCAGAGAGTTGAGTTGTTGCGTTTTAGCCATTCCTTGTGTTCTTCTTTGCATTATTGGTAACCAGCAGTAGGCGTGTCACAGTCTGAAGGTTTTTGCAACGTACAACAAGATATGCTGCAGTAAAAAAACTGTCGCATTACTCGAGGTTTCACCCTGAGTGCGGCGTCAGGGAAATATTCAATTCCTGCCGCATCAGATTTCACAGCTCTGCCCTATGGGAGCCGCTCACTGTACATCCCCATATGTCTTGGTCCACCCACGCATAAATGCAGAGGTCTCAGACTCACCCACCTGACTGCGTGCAATGGAAAAAAAAAAAAAAGCTGCTACATTCCAGATCCGCCTGCAGCCCCGAGCTCAACGACTCTGGGCCGTGGGGCGCTCCGCCTGTGGGGCGCTCCGTGGGGCGCACTGCGGGGTGACGTTTCAAATGGCAGTTTAAAAATAATTTGCTGGGTAGAACCTGGCAGCTGGCCCATGCTCTGCCTAGCAAAAACACATATGTTGATAGAAGAAATAATAACAAGATTACACAAGATTTGAATCAGCGCCGTGAGGATCAGTATATTTTAGGCGACCTTTCATAAGCCATAAAATCAAATGTGCTTTTAAAAATCTGGGCCGTGACGACTGCCTGGTGTCAGTATGACGGGTTCAAACAAGATCCCGTGCTGAGTAACACATCTAAACTTAGAGGACTGGTGTGGATGTCCTATAGTAAGTTCAAAGCGAGATGCTTTCTGGATTTTGGACTCCTCTCAGCTGCTGTTTTTTGTCCTTTCTTTGCAGATGCGATTGCTGCCGATGAGGCAGAAGAAGGCCCACATTATGGAGGTGCAGCTAAATGGAGGAAGCATCTCAGACAAAGTGGACTGGGCAAAAGAGCATCTGGAGAAGGCTGTCCCTGTCTCCAATGTGTTCGGCCAGGATGAGATGATTGATGTTATTGGGGTCTCCAAGGGCCACGGCTTTAAAGGTCAAAAACATCTCTGGTCCAGGACTTGTGGGTTGGATGTACTGTGAGATAAACTTACTCGAGTCTTTGTGCCGATAGGTGTGACGAGCCGCTGGCACACGAAGAAGCTTCCCAGGAAGACTCACAAGGGTCTGAGGAAGGTGGCCTGCATCGGAGCCTGGCATCCGGCCCGTGTGGGATACACAATCGCTCGTGCTGGACAGAAAGGCTATAACCACCGCACTGAGATCAACAAGAAGGTCAGCTGAGGGAGCAAAGTCCACCCATAAATTTCAGCCAAATCATGCACAACTCTTAAGAAATGAAATAGCCTGAACAGTGGTGTAGTCAGGGAGGGTGGAAAGGGGGCTATCACCTGCCTGATGCCCTTGAGTTTAAAAGTAATATGATGGAAATGCTGCTGCAGTGGATATGACACTATAAGGTTCCCTCTTTCAATGGGAAACACATGAAAAAGTTCCCCAAGATGCCCGACTACTGAAAAAATGTGCAGACTGAAGTCCATCCATTAAAAAATTTATTTAAAAAGTGCCCAGGTAATAAAAAAAAAATAAAAAGTGCCCTCTAGATGTCCTTCCAGCTAATAAAAAGAAGAAAAAGTGTAACTTTGATGCCTGTTCATCAGAAAATATTGGGGAAAAAAGGCCCGTGGATGTCCTTCAAGTGTTTGAAAGCAAAAATAGTACCCGAAGGATGCATAAACATATAAAAAATACGCCATCTGGTTTTAAAGGTTTTAAACTTCCTCTTTTCTGTGTTTTCTGAGGGATTTACATTAATGCCATGTGTATTTTCTATCTTCAGATCTACCGTATTGGTAAAGGTGTGCACATCCAGGATGGAAAGGTGGTCAGGAACAACGCCTCCACCAACTACGACACCAGCCAGAAGACCATCACACCCATGGTACTCTTGATTTTTGTTTAACAGATAAAAAGATTTCCAGGGAAAAAAGGAAAAGTTGCGAAAAATCATCTTAGAAATCAGAACAAAATGAATGTCTGATAGATTACTGTTGTTGTGTCTCTTCAGGGAGGTTTCCCTCACTACGGTGAAGTGAATAACGACTTTTTGATGGTGAAGGGCTGCGTGATCGGAGTAAAGAAACGTGTCCTCACTCTCAGAAAGGTACAGTGGATTTTAAGAGTCTAATTTACATCTGATGGACAAACCTGGGTTTAAAATATACATCCATCCATCTTGTACCACTTATTCCCGTTCCCGGGGTCGCAGGAGGGCTGGAGCCTATCCCAGCATCTTTGGGTGAAGGCAGGGGACACCCTGGACAAGTCGCCAATTCATCGCAGGGCTGACATATAGAGACGAACAACCATCCACGCTCACATTCACACCTACGGGCAATTTGAAAGTGGCCTATTAACCTAACTCCACTTCTGCATGTCTTTGGGATGTGGGAGGAAACCGGAGAACCCGGACTAAACCCACACAGACACACCCTGACCCGGATCAACCCAGGACCTTCTTGCTGTGAGGCGACAGTGCTAACCACTACACCACTGTGCCGCCCTGGGTTTAAAACAAACAAACAAAAAAAACCCATCTAATTTTCTCATTAATTTGTGGTAACACTTCTTCAATATTTGTACTCCCTCTTTAGTCTTTGCTGGTGCACACATCCCGCAAGTCAAAGGAGACCATCGAGCTGAAATTCATCGACACAACTTCCAAATTTGGTCACGGCCGCTTCCAGACTGCCCAGGAGAAGAGGGCATTCATGGTGAGCGTGTGAAACAGCCCTGGCACAGACATAAATCTGATGATCAGACCTCCTGAGCCCTTCTGCACTATTTTAACACTGACCTCTGGTTTACCTGCAGGGCCCACTGAAGAAGGACGCCCTGAAACCACCTCCAGAGCCTCTGATCGAGGAGGTCTGAAAGGGAAGAAACTTCAAATCTTAATGCTTTTGTCTTAAAGATAATAAAACTGAGAGAAGTGCATCCATCTTTCTTTTTGTGATTGTGTTTCAGCTCCACTCTTAAGAGGTTTTTATTCACAGATACATCCATGAGCATATCAAGAGTTTTAAGAAAATCATGCACCTGGGAGGCTTGATGGAAAAACAGTTCTATGATAAACATGTTTAGGATCTGTGATGGGATCCATGTGGGTTTTGCATTCTTTGAAACAGAGTTATTGGCGTGCAGGAAGAAAATCTGTCATTTGAATCAATGTCAGAGTAAATCAAAAAGTTCCCCTTTGAAGAACCGGCACTCTGCCTGGTTTAAGGTTCAGTTTCCTCCTCGTCACAGTAGGGGGCACTGTAACGCCATTCTCACACAGCCCACATCTCTCTGCAGTGTCGCCTTCAGGAAGCATCTCTCCTGCACTCTCACAGGGGACGCTCTCAGGATGAGCGCAGAGCAGGGACCCAGCTGCAGCGTCCTCTGGATCCATCAGAGATCCATCTGCTTAACGACCATCTGCATCACGTAAACACCATCTGCGGCTACTCAGACAGGTACTCCTGGGACTCCATGGAGGATTGGTGGGACGAGGACTGCATGGAGGATTGGTGGGACACAGTCGGGTTGTCGAGGCCAGATGTCATCAGGGGCAGATAAAGATCATCCATGTTTGGCATGACGAACACTTTCTGTCTCAGAGCAGAGGGCGGGAAATTTTCACCAAAGTCAGAGTCAGAGTCAGAGTCAGGGTGTTGTTTTTTTTTTAAGTTAAAGGGATATTCCGGCGTAAAATTAACTTAGACACCCTGTTGAGAGATGAATGTTGCCGACCGCTTGCTTATCTAGTTATACCAACTTTAGTAACGACCACAGGATAGCAATACAGAGAGCCAAGCACTCAACCAAATTGCACTCTATAGTCACAAATAATGCTCAGAACAGCACCTAACTTCATCAACAGGACATATAGGGTCCCAGACATAGTACTAGTCACCAAACATCTTTTTAGCTGTGCCTAATTTCTTTCGCAAAGAGACTAAACACAACTCACCTACTCTCTTCCAGCAGCCACTTGTTTGTAGCGAGACCTCACGCAAGTCCATTACGGACTACAGCGGGGTGCCGCAGCTCAAGGAAGAACATTTATGGTAATTTCCTCATGGAAATACAATCAGACCGAGACGCTAAAGCAGAAGAACTACCAAGTCTGCAGAGCAAAATGATTAATATGGTGATTATTACTTCAAGGAAACGATAAAGTAATAATCATAAATGTTCTTCCTTGAGCTGCAACTGGCATGCTGTCCCGCTACAGACAAGCAGCTGCTGGAAGAGGGTAGGTGAGTTGTATCGGACTCTCTTAAAGATCTTGAATTTGCAGCGGTCGCTTGTCATTTTTGTTTAATGGATAACGTAGAATAATTTTCAGAGGCTTGTATACTTTTGTATATTCTTGAGACCAACTTTTTATTATCTTTCTTTTTATATGCCTCATGAAATGTGGACATTAAATTGTATTCCTTCTCCTCCTTGAATTGTAATTTTTTATTATAATAGTCTCTGACTTGCAGGTATCTATGGAAGTCCTGACTCATAACTCTGAAATCCACAGTCTGAGATGAGGATACAAAAGGATGTGGATGTTTAAAGCCCCCCGTCTAATCTTGCAGGTTCAAATTCTTGATCATATGCTATCCAATTCAAGACTCGAACCTGTTTCTCTATTTGTTACAGTGTGTTTTGACCCTAAATTAATTTTACCCCGGAATATCCCTTTAACACATATAAAAACTTTTTAAAAAAGAGCAACGTTCAAAGTTTTTAGCATTAAAGATGATGTTTGACAGACAGACTCACCTGGAACTCACACTGCAGCTTCTTCTCAATCCACTCGGTCACATGAGTGAAGGTGACCTCCCTCTCTCCGAGCGTGGGACGCACATGGAGGTCTAACCTCGGAGGCACCCGGAAACTGTACCTAAAGGAGAGAAATAGACTCAGTTAGGAAGAAAGAAGTGTAAAATGATGGTTGGAAATGACAGAAAGAGAAACTTGGTACCATATCCTGTCTGTAGGAGGAGGCGGGATGTTGACAGCCAGAGTACCGGACAGCTCCAGGACCTCCACGCTGAGCATCAGAGGCATGTTGGACACCTCAGCGATCTTCTTCCTGATGTACTCGTTCTCCGTGGCTTTTTGAAAGTACTTTGATTTTGCTATTTTGTCGACAAATCTCAAGATTTTTCTGCTTGTGCTGCCGCCAGTGTGACTAAAGGAGGAGAGAGGGGACACAAATCAGCACATGTGGTCGAATGGTTCAATGACTCGTGTTATTAAATTTACCCTTCAGCTGTAACTGCAGCACTCTTATCTCCTAGAGACCCCTGTGTCTCAGACAGAAGAACCTCCTCTTCATCAGACGAGCCGGCGCTGGAGGACTCTTCATCACTATCAGCCAGAATACACAGCCTGGGCTTAGAGCTGTAAAAACCCAACAGGAGGTCTGTTCAGTACAAACTTTCCCTGAGTGTTTAAGACCGTTGAGGAGAATAAAACAATCCTGACCCCACTTGCTGCATCTCCGGTACACTGTGAGCCTTGTCCTCGCCATCTTTACCCAGCTTATACAGGTTCATCTTCGTCTCCAGGGTCATCTGCAGACAGCCCGTGTACATCACCTCCAGTTCCAGCCACAGGCCTGAGGACAGAGGGAGGCGCTTTAGAGACTTGGATCTGTAGGAAGAGTTTTAGTTAGGAGTCTTAAACGTCTCTGGACTCGCGCTGATGCCGTTCCAGCAAACACGCGGGACAAACAGGGAAAGCTCGGGCATGTCATCATCAGTTGAGTCAAGTCAAGAGGATTTCTAATCCCCCGAGGGAGGAGACAATGGAGAGCTCGTAGGGCGGGTCCACCAACTCTTTGATGGAACACATGGGATCATGGGCTGAGCGAGTCTGAGAGAAGAGATCTGAGTACAAACTGTGAGGACTGTCCCTGTTCAGTGTGTCTTCAACGTGCAACCAAGCTAGTGGACATGAGGTGTCTGTGAGGTTATGGCATCGACTGTTTGTATCTTTACTTAATACTTCCTCTTTTAATTTCCTTCTGTGGATAAATTAAGTTCACTGAATCAAGCTGAGTGGCAATCTCTGGAGTTTGAAAAAAATGAAGCCAATGCAGAGGCATAGACGCAAAGTGCAGTTCCACAAGTGTCCACTAGAGGCAGGTTGCAAAAGCCTGGGAAACTCTACTGAAATCTGTGTTAAATGATCCGTCTTTACAGCAAATAAAAGGAGGACATTATGCTGATTCTACAGAGGCCCTAAGCAGACATGATTTATTATTATTTTTGCACAATACGGGGCATGACTGAGCTTATATGGAGTGTTTTATGTAGTAATTTGTCTGTTTACAGGTTGTTAAGCAGGGCTTGACAGTGCAACCATTTCACTCGCATTTGCCAAATAGATGTGTGCGAATTGTAAAATGTATTTAGGGACATGTTCGCATAAAAAAAAGTTAGCCAAGGCAACAAATGTTTTTCATGTAAATACGGTGAAGTTGGTTTTAGGTTGGACGGACATTCACTGCAGATCTACCGGTGTCTTCTCACTCTCTTTAACCGGGAATAGCAACAGCAGCGCAGTTAAATCAACTCAGCACCCTCGCTGTCAACGTCGGGTGTTAAATAAGGGACCATCAATAAATTACCGGTTGATGTTCTCAGAAAAGGCTGTTTTCCTTCAATAGCTTCCATGTCATGTGACCAATTGACCTAAAACTGATTTCGAATAATAATACTTATGTCGACCAATAAGACACACCTTTTTTATTTCCCTAATTTGTCCTCTAAAAAATTTTTGCATAAAATTTAAAGGCAAATTTTGAACATTTTTTTCACTTGCTTCCATGTCATGTGACCAAAAGACCTAAAATTTATTTCAAATAATAGGACTTAACGCTACACTACCTCTGCCATCCTCTATTGTTGTTATGTTTCAGTCTGGAGATCTGGGCTGACTTACAACAGCCAAAAACTGCTTTGATATCACTTATCATTGAAAAAGTAATCATCAAAAACAGTATGGAGGGAAATAACAAACACACACAGGCGTACCTCTGCGGTCCAGGGTCGGTTTGGAGGTGCTGAGGACCTGAGGTAGGCAGCTGCCCATGTCCAGATCAGCCAGAGTCAGCTCGTTCATGAAATACGGCAACTACAAGAGGACAAACAACATTTTTAATTAGTAAACACTCTGCGGTCATGATGGATATAGGAGTATCTTAATTAAATCTATGTAAAGTAAACACAGAGGCAGCTGATGACTCTGAATGAGACAGTAAACAGAGGAAATTCGCAGAGCTAAGGACAAAGAGGCGAGCGAGGAAAGTTAAAACGATGGTGTGTGTCGAAGAGGAGAGCAGGAAATGAGTAATGGGATGCTGCGGTGCCATCAGTGTTTTTCTCCCCTCTCTCACCTCCTGCCCGAGGACTTGGAGAGAGTGCATTATCAGCAGACTGTCAGATACACACAAACACACACACTCAGGAAACAGAGCTGCAGTGCTCGTGTGCTTAATGTCCCATCTTTTGACCTTGCGCTCAAACCAGCGCTGATGTTATTGTCCTGTCATCCTGTCATAACTCAGCGTGACACCGTGATTCTGCTGCTGATGATCGTGAAGATAAATGTGACCATAAAAAGCATCAACGGGGGCATCAGTCAAGCAGATCTTTCAAACTTAATTCACCCTCCTCTCTCTCTCTCTCTTCCTCTCACCTTGATCTTGCTGAGTTTCTTCTGGATCTTGTGCGCCACCTGATCAGTCCAGTACTTCTCCCGCAGAAAGTCCCAGAAGATCCGACCCACCAGGGAGTTAACCCAGGTGGACTGGGCCTCTGCAGAGCACGCTCCTGTCCCTGAACTTGCACTGGGCTCGGCTCCAGTTTGACCCGCAGATCCAGGATCTTCACTTTGAACCTGTAGGAGATTGAAGGTATTTTAAGGGATATAGTGGTGTCAATTACAAACAGCACAGACCAGGATTAGCAGATCTGTAAGGTACATTTGTGGTGTACTAGTCAGTTCCTATTCCAGGATGGTGAAACCGTATATTCCTGCATATTGATATCCATGCTGAGCCAGCATAAGAGAGGAACAGCAGCTGATATTGACCAGCTGTAATCAATGGGAGTAATGTAGAGCACTAGCACAGCATGCAGAGGGTAAGTAGAGCAAAGACGAGCTCCTGTATCGGCAAACGATGGAAAAGGATTCAGCAAAAACCTCATAATGGATCTGTGCTAATACTTGTACTGATCCGTCAAAAGCTATCGATACTGTTGATTATGGTCTTCTTTTGACCTTTCCTGGACTGTGGTTATCACTTACATATGCATCATAATCTTTCCAAGCCCTCACCTTGTTAACTTTCGCACTAGTCGCTAATTTTTATCTCTAGGGTTGGAAGCGTGTTCTCCGATGCTGCCATCTTTTTTCGCGCCAAATCAGAAGTCTCTATCTCTTACATATGTGGGAATGATCGTTACAGTTTGAATGATCATTACAAACTGTAAAACTCTCTTCATTGTGAGCTGTACTAAGGGGGTTAACAAAGCGATTCTTGGCTTATCATCTTTGTGTTTTTATCGCAGACTTTTTTATACTTTTTGTCTTGAATACTTGAGCAGAAACGAGGAAAAGGGTTTAGCTTTTTGCACCGTAATCATTTGAAATATTTACATCAGGTGCAAATGATTCCAGATTTGTCTTTCTGATCAGTTCCAGTCTGTCTTGCTTGTAATTTTCAACAAGAGTTTTTACCATTTACTAAAGGGGTTCCTCAGGGATCAGTTCCGGGACCTGTTTCTTTTTACAATCTATATAAAAGACATTTTCTTCTTCATTAGTGACTGTAATATCAATCTTTATGCAGACGACACTATCATGTATTATTCTGCCGACTGTTAAAAAAACTAAAATTTGGTTTGATGCATTTATCAGTTTTTAACTAGTATGTATGAGACATTTTATCTATATCATTTTTTTTGAGTTTTTTGTTTTGTTATTCGTACAATCACCACAAGGGGCACTTCAGGTGAACGGGCAGGTAAATGCTACAAAAGGGACACAGGTGAAGCAGTGATCTGGGGAACGGAAAGGGCACACGCTAATCTCTGACACCACTCTCACCCTCATCACCATCGTCGTATTTTGGACGTGTCTGTCTTTTTTTGTTCGTTTTTCATTTAATCAATAAATGGCAAAAATATAATTCAACAACAATCTTGGATTGGACGTTGGATTGTACTAGAAGCGCGTCAAAAACACCTCACTCCCGCACCCAGACAGTGACTAAAATTCAGGTCAGCGTAGTCACAACATAGTACGATGCTGAATTAAAGTGTAAGTAACTGGCCTTCTTGTGGATTGTAGGGCTTTCCTTGTCACTGTCACAGGGGCTGGGGATGGGGTTGCAGCTCTGTGTTAAAATCAGCTGGGTCATATAGTTGCTGTAGTCCAAAAGCGATCTCGTTTTCGTGGTTCCCGCCAAGTCGTGCAGCTCTTCTGTGATTTCTTTGATAGCGTCACCACCGGACAGCGTGTCTGCATGCAAAGAAAATAGAAATAGTAGAATATTTGCAGGATTATCAACAAACTTTGCAGGTAAACCGGTTTGTACATCTATGATTCTCTCACCTGTGCTCTCCTCCCCGCTCACACTGCTCTTCGCTCCCACCCGGGATGCAGACAGGAGGTGCTGAAACCACTCCTCCTTCTCTCTCCCCGTGCGGCCGAACAGGTACAGGGTGACAGGCAGCCTGTTGTCGAGGACGGAGTACGTCTCCTTCCTTTCTTCCTCTTCCCCCTGTCCTTCCACGACACTCTCCTCCCCGACCTCCCCCTCGGCGAGATTTATGCAGATCGGGTATTTCTTGTTCCAAACCCGCTTACGAGCCAAACCAGGCGGCAACAGAGACACCTACGACAAGGACAATTGATCAAACGCAAGTGTCAGTGCAGCGTGACTTCTCTTCATTGAAATCTTGACTCTTCTTGTCCCAATTTAAAATGAGTTTTCTCTGTTTTCATCGACATTTATTCATGTTTCCTCTAACCTCCCAGCTCTGGACAGTCCTCAACATACATATGAAATATATCACTGGCTTTTAATGTGATTTATGGTTTATATATGGTTGCAAGTTTGCAGCAACTCCTCGCTTAAAATGACCTTTTTACATATTTTGCTTGACTCAAGTCTGGTGCCAAAATACTGCCAGTGATTCAATGTTTTTGCAAGTTGGACACTGTGCAGCTTTCATGTAATTGCATTATAAGAAAGTGATGATTAACCAAAGTTAGCCGACACGTCAGCGTTAGTCTAATGCATCAATATACACCTGGGCGGCACCCGGGTCAAGTTTATCCAGCACATCATCACTCCAGCAGCACTCCTCCTGGTCTTTCACCCCCGTTTTAGATGACAATGTGGGTGTGGAGAGATGAGAGTTCAGGTGAGAGGTCACCGACTCCCCCGCTGGGACCCAGAATGAGAATATTTTCGTCCACAGATGCACTGACCTTACAGTTCCCCAGCTGGTAAGTGCATGTGCGCAGAAACACGGCCTCATGCGACGGTTCGTCGAAGGATGCCCAGCGAGGGATGTTGGCAGGTGGGTATGCAAGGCGTAGCCGGCTTCCCTCGAGGGACGCAAACACCGAGTGGAGCATGGAGGGGTGGAAACTCTCAGCGTCATAGATGTGTGTTTCATTCATCCAGCCCTGGAAACAACAACAACAACAACAGAGAGGTGTCAAAACCTGCAAAGACAGTCACAAATAAATTTTCCCATCTGAGTGTTTTTCAGCAGAAGGAATCCACAGTGAGTGCTGCAAACGGTGACGACCCGGCTCAGCAGGAGGGGAAACATGAGACATGGCAGGATACATCTGTCTCATTTGACACTGTGGGAGAGCCTGCGGTTTGTAATTCCTCTGTCCTCATAAAGTTTACCTTCTTTGAACCTGCTGACTCTGCGTTTACAGAGTCAGCTGTCTTGAGTGCTGTCTTTCAAAGTCAGCGGCTCCATAAAACACGAATCAAAGCTCTATTTTAAGTGCTCTCTCATGCAGTTTTCGGTTTTATCACTCACCGTGCTAAACAAACATTAGAGCTTGTAACTGATTCCCCTGCAGCAAAATCAGGATCAGTTTAAGTAGCTGCGTTTACATGGGCACAAATAATCAGAATAAAAATGCATCATGTAAACATGTCGACCGGAAGATTCTGATCCAATTTGGCTCAATCGGCGAGAACATCACTTCCTCTCTTGCATTTTAATGTATTTTACGGCAGTGAGTCGCTACCTACCCGATCCGTTCTGCGCAAGTGCAAATTTCCTTCACCTTAAAAACTTTATTTAAACTACCGATCGATTCAGAAACAAGCTGGCGATCTGACGGGCTAGCTAGCAGGAGGCTCCAGAGCTAATGCCAAGGCATTCGCCAGAACTCCTGCCCAGCATGGTGAGACCTTTTGTGCCACAGATAGCGCCACCACCCGGCCAAAATTTACCACAATTTTAACACTGAAATATTCACATTCATTCAATCCTTTTATAACTACGTTGCAATTTTACAGAGAGTAGGAACCTTTAATTGTAAAACTGGCGCTCTTTCTGGCGCTCTGCTTCAGTCATGGGTATATCTGTTCAGGAGAGAAGCGTGTAGCTGGTGATAAACTGAAGCATCGATAAACTGAAGTGTCCATTCTGACCGTGGCGAGCTCGCTGATGCTGAAGCTGTCGCAAAGATGGCTAGTGGAGGAAGTGACTTACATTTCGCACATATGCTGTACAAATCGGGTTTCCAGGACGGATCAGTTAGCGCTAGGAGTGAGCCACTACCGCGTTTGTTGGTTTATTGACAGCACAGGTGGGAATACAACTCTGCGCTTGTCCAAATGCTTCTAATCTGAATAAAACTTGCATGTAAACATACGTCATGATCGGATTATTTGATTTTGCACCCATATAAACAGTGGATTCAGATTTTCCGGTCCCTCAAATTTCTAATCGGATCAAGAAATTCTGCACATGTAAAAGTGGTTACTGAGAGTGCTTTGGTTTCCCAGATACCTCGAGAAATCCTTGGTTTGCGGTCTCGTCATCCAGCTGGTCCATGTTCAGGGGTCTGGATTTGCCAAAACGAAAGCCCTTGTTGTTCCTGGCAGACGAGCGCCGAGGGGCAAACATGTAAACCACCACCAGGCCCAAAACGAAGCCACATGCGACCCCCACAGACATACCTGTCATATAAGAGGGCAGCGGCAGCACAAAGAAACCGTACGCTAAAAGACCCACAAGGAAGAGCCAGTGGAAAGGCAGAGACGGGGTTGGAAAAGAGACTCTGGACTGGGTGTGAGCTCTGTGATGAGGTCCACTCTGGAGCTCCACCACCTGAATCATGTCCTCGTAAGTGTGGATTTCATAATGTCCGTCTCTGCTGTGTCTGTGGTGTTCTGGGGTCGTGGAGGATTTCGTAAACGAGCTCTGTTGGAGTCTCCTCAGAGGTGAATCACTATCAGTTCTTCTCCGGCACTTCAGCTCCATCTCCTCACCTCCACAGCTGCCTTGAGAGGCCGTTGAGTCCCCGGCCCTCCCTTGCTTTGGGCTGCTTTCATCCCCCATGATCTTACTCAGCATGCTCAGAGGATCCTGCATGGCTTCAGAGAACTTCCTCCGTGTGTCCTCAAAATCAGCAATCAGAGAGCTGCCCCGGGGTTCAGCAGGAGGCACGCTGCCAGGGGAAGGAGGTGATCCCCAGTCGTCGTCTTCACTCTGTCTTCCCGGTTCAGGCTTGGCCTCAGGGATCCTCGGGTGAGTAAGCTGCTTCCGGGGATGCAAATGCAGCTTTGAGTCCGACTTGGAGAGGTTGACCTCTGGCTCGACCCGACGGGAAATCTCCGTGCTCAGGGACTTGACCAGGCTGAGCAGAGGTTTGCCTCGCAGGGAGCTGGTCTCACCCACCTCCAGATCCGTGGAGGAGGATTTGACGAGGTTGCCGGAGACGAGGACTTCAGAAGAGAGATCCGCCAGAGAACCCGGGGACGAAGGGGAGTGGGGCAGGAGTGGCAGGTGAGAGCGGCGGCCAGTGCTGAGATCCAGCTCCATTCCCAGTGTGAGGTCGGGCTGGCTCTCCCTGCCTGGCGGTTTATCCTTGGAGAAGGCCACGATGGGACCTTCATCATGGCGGTCCAGGCTGAAGATGAGCTTGCTCTCCTCCATATCGCCTCGGGAATCAACCTAACGGGGACGCCGTCCTTGGAGATGTGGAACATGGTGGTAGTGGATTCCAGAGATCCCCCTCGGTTAATTTTCTGTCCATCGTTTTGGAAGCTGAAGAAAATAGAAGAAAATAAATCAAATACTTTGTGTAAACAGCTTCAACAAACCCTTTCACTTTTACTTCAGCAACTTCGGCTTCTCCGCTGCGTCTTAACTGCTCTGACCTTCTTCCTATTCTCGTCCTCTCTGCTCCCTTTCCTCATTTCCTCTCCCCTCTCACCTCTTCACCTGCCTCTCTAATCCCCTCCCGCACTTTTCTGCTTTGTCCTTTTCACGTATTCCTCCACAGAGATTCAGAAGACTTGGTGTGTTTTACTCTGAGCGCGTTTTTTTCTGGAATCATTGTGAGGAGTTGTTAGCACAGAGACTTTAATCCCAGAGTCACAGCTAATCCTAAATTAGAGGCACGGATCCAGTTCATTAGCCCTGATCCCTTTGGTTGTTTGCGCCGATTTGACAATTCGTTCTCGCTCGCTGATCTCTCTCTCTCAGATATTTTTGCTTATTTAATATTGCCTGCAGAAATAAAAGATCTTTGAGTGATTTACATCTCTTCAACAGATTTTCCCAGATGGTTCAGGGATTCAAAACTCCTTCATCATAAACTCACTTCCAGCCCTGAGATCCCCTCATCTAAAACCAGGAGAAAAGCTTCATCATCATCAGCAGCAGCATCTGCTGTTTGTTCTGTTCTTAAACTCTGAAAATCATGATTTTGCTTAAATTTACTCTTTACTCTTATTTTACATCAAACAAGTATCATAGAGCACAAATCACAGAGAGTCAACAACTCAATGCGACCCAGACTGATAGTGGATTAACTGTGATCCTCTGTATTTAAGAGGCTTTTACCACAGGAAATTAAGACACTTTACGCATGAATTAAATCTGATGAATGGGCGATCTGCAAGTCTCTCAGATCCGCGTATATTTGCAGTAACGTTACCGTTTACTTGTGTCAAATTCAGCGGAAACAATTTGTACAGATTCGCACATAAGTAAAGAGAAAATAAGGAGCATAAACTCAGATTATCAGACAGATTCAACAGGCCAAACGTGATTTTTGACAAAAGATGTAAAGAGACCCCCCAGTAGGTCATGAAGAGCTGCTTCTAAGATTGAACATTGAAGATTGAAGATTGGTTTATTTGTCATATGCAGGTTAAACATAGTCGACAGTGCAATGAAATGCTCCGGATGAGATGAAACGCTTGACCCAAAGAAGTATAAATAACTCACAATCAGAATTCAACAGAATAAAAATACAAAAATATAAAGAGTATAAAAGAAATATTTACAAGGTGCTGCTTTCAGAGTGTAAACGTATGCAATGGGGGATAAGTCAGTGGGATAAATGAGGTACGAATTGCCGTATTGCACATGAAATTGCACTTCACAGATAATATTGCACTGTTAAGTAGGTAGTTCTAGTATGTAATAGTAGGTAATTCTACTAATTTCAAGCATCTACATTTAATTCCTGCACTGTGGTGGAAAATTATGTGACATTTTGATGTTGAAATTTAAAAGAAAATTATTTTGTTTAAAAAAAAAAAAAAAGATGCTACAGCCCATGAAGCTCATATTATAGCGAGATTTGATCTGTTATTTTTATTGTGGTTATTTTCGAAATGTCAAATTAATGTTAGTTAAATGATAAAATAAACTAGTACTACACTTAAATTAAAAAAGGACTTTCAGAGAATTAAAATTGGCTAAAAAAAAAAGCTTGCAGCTAAATTTAACATACTGTTAATGCTAAAACAAGCTTTTTATCCTTTGAAGGGGCATCAATAAATAATTAATTAATAATAAAAATAAACACTTTTTCAGCGTTTTCAACTGGACAGACATCCAGAGGGCAATTGTTTACATTTCATAAAACGGGCGGGCATCTAAAGAGCGCTTTGTTATGTTTAATCTCTCAGATTATTTCCTGTTTCTTTCATGCTTCGGTGTGAATTTCCTTCGTAGGTCATGGAAAGGCATCAGAGTTGATTACAGTCTGTTTTATGATCAGCTTAAAACTCTCACAGATCTTTAATGAAGGCTCTGGCAGGTTTTTTGGGAGTTCAATCTTCCCCTTTATGAAACGATCCTCCATCTGGATTCATCTCAAAATCACAACTTCATGATTCTGCGTTTCAGAGGCTGAAATTTCACACTAAAGCAACAACAGGAGGAGATCTGGGATATAAATACTCTGTGAGGATGTTGGTCACATTCGGCATTATCTGACCTTCTCATTGACTCCTGTATTATCCTTTTGTTATCTCTATATGCTGTTTATAGGGAGTTATTCCTTTTAGCACCGACCTGCTTGGCTGTTTGTCAAATCTAATCAAATGAGAGTGCCGTTCTGCCAGCGCTCACCCTCCCTCCAGACAGGCCTGCATTACCCTAATCAATTTCTACTTTGGAGTCTATTTGGAGCGCTTCTCGCTGACGGGGAGAGGGAAACCTTCACTGCCCTGTGGAGTACGCAGTCAGCAGTCAGCAGGGATTTTGGCTGTGAATGAAATTCAGCAGGAGACAAAAAGGAAGAAAAACGATCGAACGTCGTCAGCCTGGAATCCAAAACTTTGTTTTGTCGCTTCAGGACGGAAAATGAAGCAGATTTAATGATCCCGGGGAGGAAACTCTAAATATAGTTTATTTTTAATGAAGGAGAGACATGGTAAAAGTCTTTGATGGCCCACAGCTCTTTCTGCAATAATCATGTTTGTGCCGAGTAGGGGAAAATTAGAGCTGCGGTCTGATTCATTTTATATGATGCTGACACTTTTTTAAAAGCAGTCATGTCTGTTAGTTTGGTGATTATATTCACAGTTATTAAAAATCAGAGAAGATTTTGGATTCAATTCACCAAAAGCCAAAACAATAGACAGAACACTTATATTTTGTATAACATTTTTGCATTTCATAAAGCATCCTGAGAAATGTTTTTGTGTTTATATTTGGTGAGGTTGACCTTCAGGGCCACCATACTTTCTGCATAAACAGAAGAGACAACTCTTTAGAAAGTTGTAATAGACAAATGTAATCAATATTCAATTTTGAGCTCAAATCAAACTCAGCATAGTCACGATTATTCCTCTGTCAGAGCCGGGGAAAGCTGGATCAAACCTGAGCATCCGCTGATAATGGGGCAGGTCTATTCAGGGGTTAATAAATGAGGATTAAAAGATGATGAAATAACATGACCAGCTGAAAATCCCACTTTTATCCAGAGTGTCACCACCAGATTGAAATCCTGCCTCTCTGCCCTCCTATTGGCCTTTCCATCTTTTTTAAACAAACCCGAGAGGATAAAAATGAGATGGCAGCATATTTGCTTTCATCCTAAAATGAATTTCCTAGAATCCCTGTGGTACATTTTAGGATTATGTGACTGTCCGTGGAGCCTGAAGAGGGACTGGACGATAATTTAAAGACCATCCTGTACCTCAAATGAACATTTGGCACATATGGCACGGGGGTCTGGGACTGTCCGGGTGTCATGTGATCAGTGTTTTCAGAGCTTACATGCACAACTTCGTTACAAAAGGCTGACTGTGCAGAGAGCGAAACATCCCGCATTAAAAATTAGGGGTGGAAGAAAAAAAATCAGTTCACGTAAGTATCGTGATTTTATTGTTTTACAATTTTTAAATCGATTTTCACGTAAATTTTTTTTAATTATTTTATTTTATTTTTTCAAATTTAAGAATTAATCTTAAAAACTGACTCACATGTGATGTGTCAGAGCCGGCCCAAGGCATAAGCGAACTAAGGCTACGTTCACACTGCAGGTTATGATGCACAATTCGGATTTTTTGTTAAATCCGATCTTTTTGTGCGGTCGTTCACATCACAACAACAAATGCGGGATCTAATGTGAATGGAATGCGTTTGTGAAGCGACCGTATGCTCACAAAGCACAAATTGCTTTCTGCGCCTGTTTGTGTTGTTGAACAATGGTGACGTTTGTCGCATGTTGACGACGTATAGGTCGGATGAACCCGACCTGAGCGTCCACACTGCAGTCACATCGGACACATGTCCGATTTATATCCACATAAAAAAAGAGGCCTGGGTCAGATTTGAAAAAAATCAGAATTGCACTGTTCACACTTGTATGAAAAAATCAGATATGTGTCGCATATGGTTAAAAAATCGGAATTGACCTGCAGTGTGAAAATAGCCTAAGCGCCTGCTCAGGGCCCCGCAGCCAATAGGAGTCCCCCAAGAGCAACCAACGAAAAAATTAAAATAAAATATTTTTTCATTTTTTTGCATTTGTGAGTGATGCTTTCTGTATGATCAAATATATATTATTGTAAAAATAAAATAAAGTAAAAACAATTTAGTACTGCTGCTGATGTAGGCCTATGATTGTTATCTGCTACCATTATGTGCCTTCTGCTGTGCAATATGCACTGAACATCCAAAGCGCAGGTAGTTGTGGGGCAAAATAATCTCGCAAAAAGGACAATACCTTCAGGAGCAGAGAAAAGAAAGAGGAAGAAGAGAAAAAACGCTAAGATAAAGGTATGTTTGCATGTCACGGAATGTTATTAAAGAGATTTGTGAAGGTGTGTGAATGATTACAGGTCTTAAAAATGCAGACTGAATATCGACTATATCGTAAAATCGCAATTTAAATCGAATTGGCATCCAAAAAGAAGAATCGAATCGAATCGGGAGAAAAGCACATCGTCCCAGTAAAAATACTCCCTTCAAACTTTTCTTCATCAGAAGTGGGTGCAAAATGAAGAGATGCGAAACAAATCGTTGCATGGTCAGTTTGCTTTATCAATCCTTCAAAATAAAGGCAGAAGAAGCCGGAATGTGCTTACCTAATTCTGGCATGTTTGACCAGCAGCTGCTCGGTGGAGGTTCGTGCAGAAACGTGCTTGAAGCTCAGGCTGCAGTGGCTCAGTCTGGATGCTGCAGAGAGACGGGAGCTGCACACGGGGATGCGCACCAGCCGCAGGCAGACAGGCAACAATTACGACCCAACTTTGCTCAGATTGAATCTAATCCTCGCTGCAAAAATCCAACAAGAGATCCCCTCAACGAAAAAGACAGTTTCACTCCAACGCTCCTGCGACTTGCTGACGGACGGTGAACCATCTCTGCAGCGCTCCCGCTTCATGAGGCGTCAACCCAAAGAAGAATAATGTGATTATTGGTGTCCTGGCCGCAGACTGGACCAATCCCTAATCCAGATTAGACAGGAGAGGCCAACAGTTGAGGGAGCGACTCCTCCTCCTCCTCTGTGCTCTCTGCAGCGTCAAAACACAGACTGAGCTCAACTCTGACACCGCAGTCCTGTACGCAGACTTATGTAATTGCGCGACCTGGAAAAAAAGAATTCAAAAGCCTCTTATTCAAAACACAAAATCCTCATTTAAAAACATTGATTACATGGACAGGCAGGGGGATGTTTGAGCTGGACTGGGACCTTTACATTTGTAGAAAATAGTTCCCACTAAATGAATTTGTCTCTCTTTTAAAACTTCATTTTGTTTTGCATGTAAACATCCATCATGCAGGTCAAACATTTGTCCAAAATGATGCCTTTTGGGTTGAACTAAGTCTTGTTCCCTCCTCATATTCAGACAGCAGCATTTTTGCAGCATGCAGGTAATAACCTGACCCTGCATGATCTGACATTTGGACAGGTTTATGCACACGGATCTTCAGAGTCTTGGGAATGTAGCTGTAATACCCCGCAGTGAAAGTCTTATAAATCAAAATAAGTGTCAACCAGTTATTTCATCATCTAATGGGCCTACCAGGTCCAGGTCCAGGGGTCCAAGGGGTCGCTAGGATCTGATCTGGAAAGAGATTTGAGGAAAAAACACCAAAGCAGAGCAAATTCACAGGGGCGAAACTAAAAATCTAATAAGAGTGGTACAAAAATACCATCATGAAACATCCCTGGAGATTTAAAACTACCCAAAAGAGCCAGAAAACAACTACAAAAGACATAATACGCACAAAAAGACAAAAAACATTAACACAAAGATGATATAATAAACTACAGGGAGACATAAAACAACTAAAAGGGACACAAGCCACTATTAAAAACATAAGTACAAAAAGACATAAAACATGTTTGAAAAGATGCAAAACATTAACACAAAGACACTAAAATTGAATTAACAGGGACAAAAACAACTATAAAGATGCAGAAAACACAAAAATCAGTGACAAAATACTAATTAAATATGAAGTGAATTAAAGAAACTTAAAGGATGACTCTATATTGGACAATAACACAAAAAAGCATATCCTCTTAGAAACACCTGTGACCAGCAATCTAAATGACATGCTTGTTTCTACTGCCACCTGCTGGTGGCAGTAGAAATGAAAGGGGGAGACACACACTTCAAATATGAGCTTTATTGATAAAAATGTGAGTGATTATCCTCCCTGAGCTGATGGGAGGACCACACAAGGCTACAAAGTGACACGAACAAAAATCAAAAACTTGCAAAGATGAAGAAAGAAGCCTTAAAAAAAACAATCAAACCCACAGCTCTGCTTCCAACAGTATTTTAACAGAACTTGAGAGTTTTTCGTTAGCATCACTTTTCAACATATAGTTTTTAAACAAGCACTTTTGCAAAAGTCAGAGGTGCATTTCTGCCTTTTAAAACTCATGGCTTTATTCATGTACACAAAGAGGTCACTAAATGCAATCTGTAAGTGCAAACTTTTGTCAAAACAATCCTCTCGTATCAGCATCTTTTTAAGGAAACACTTCTGAGAACTCGTCTCCTCGGGGTCTCATTCATGAAAAGTAACTTGGCTTCATGAGCACTGCAGAAACCCGAGCAGAAAGTCGTTCTGCTCATACTTTGCACGCAAAATTACTCTGCCTACAATTCCTGATGGTGACCCTCAGTCTCTCCCTCCTGTGAATCCTCATCTCGTGGACTGAGAGATTTTGCTTCTGGCTGAAAGCTCTTCCACAAATCTCACAGTAAAACGGCCTCTCTCCTGAATGGGTCCGTATGTGTACGGTAAGGTGCCCCTTTTGGACGAAGGTTTTCCCGCAGTCTTGGCACCTGAAGTCTCGAACCCCTGTGTGTATTTTGAAATGTGTTTTGAGACAACCCGCTGAGGTAAACTTCTTTCCACAATAGTCACAAATGAAAGTCCGTTGGTAAGCTCCTTGCAGCTTACTCAGCAGCTCTTTGGTGGGCTCGTTTGTCTTTCTGTGGCTTTTAATGTGCTTCACGAGGGGACGGATGTAATGGAAACTCTTTCCACACGTAGGACAAACAAGGAGACTCCCAGGCTTTTGTGTGTTCATGTTCATTTTCGCTCCTGTATTCTTCACCTTCTCGTCATTGCTGCTGTTGTTCTCAATCTCAGCTTCACAGCAGTCAGAAGACACAAGCGGCACTTCGTCAGAAACTTCCACCTCAGATTTCATAACTTCAACAGAAGACAAAGTAACCTCCTGTATCTCGCCATCCTCCGCAGGGTCTTCCTGCTCCACTTTTAACCCCAAATCAATCTGGACAAAGCCTCTTCCTTCAGGAGTCTCAGAGGGGCCTTGGACCTCATCTTGCGTCAGAGGTTGGGCTGGGGTCTCCTGAAGCTCCTCCACGCCGGTCGGAGCAGCAGTGGTGGGCTGAGGTTCTGAAGATACGAATAAGATGGAGGTGAATGTTACAAAATTGAGATTAAACCGAACCAACTCATAAATGTGATTTGACCAAATGGAAACACATTCAAAATGGTCAGTAAAGACCACAGATGAAATTAGCTTTTAAAGGGATATTCCGGCATAAAATTAATTTAGGGTCAAACACACCGTAACACCGAGTCAGACACCCCGTCAAGAGATGAATGTTGCCGACCGTTTGCTTCTCTAGTTATACCAACTTTAGTAACGACCGCAGGATAGCAATACAGAGAGCCACGTGCTCAACCAGAACGCCACTCTATAGCCACAAATAATGCTCAGAACAGCACCTAACTTCATCAACAGGACATATAGGGTCTTAGCTACGGCACTAACCACCAAACATCTTGTAGCTTCACCTGATTTCTTGTTTCACACAACTCACCCACTCTCTTCCAGCAGCCACTTGTTTGTACGGAGACCTACGGGCGAGGCCATCGACTACAGCGGGGTGACGCAGCTCAAGGAAGAACATTTATGATCATTTCTTTATCATTTTCTTGAAGTAATAATCACCGTATTAATCATTTTGCACTGCAGACGTGGTAGTTCTCCTGCCTTAGCGTCTCAGTTTTCTTCCTTGAGCTGCGTCACCCCGCTGTAGTCTGTAATGGATTGAAGAGAGAGTAAATTGTGTGAAACAAGAAATCAGGTAAAACTAAAAAGATGCTTGGTGGCTAGTACTATGGCTGGGACCCTATATGTCCTGTTGATGAAGTTAGGTGCTGTTCTGAGCATTATTTGTGGCTATAGAGTGGCGTTTTGGTTGAGCATGTGGCTCTCTGTATTGCTAACGTGCGGTCATTACTTAAGTTAGTATAACTAGAGAAACAAGCGGTCGGCAACATTCATCTCTCGAGGGGGTGTCTAACTTGGTGTTACAGTGTGTTTGACCCTTAATTAATTTTCAAAGACAATTAGACAAAGATATTCTCTGATTGACTTTTTTTTTTAGTGAGATTCATGATTCATAATGAATATTCTGCGGTTGGTAAAGTAAAAAGGAGATTTTTTCTTACAGCTTACAGAACTTACAATCATTAAAAATTCCCATATAGAAAGGGTTCATCTTGTCAACAATGGTAGTGTTTACTTTTGTACATCATAGAGATGCGTCACTGATTACTTTAGTCTGTTTGGTAAACAATCAAAAACTCCTGACAGGAGCTTTAAAGGATATTTCATTTGCATTAATTATAAGATTTAACTGCTTTTTTTTCTCGATTAAAACCACTTTGGATCAGGTCTATTTTAAATACAAAACACATACGATAGTCAAACATGGACTGGATTTCACAGGTCAGAGATTTTAGACAAACCTGGAGCACCAACAGGCTCTTCTTTGAGTCGTTGTGTTTGGGCTTCGTACAGAGCTAAAGTGATGGTCTTCTCCACCTCTCCCAGGATCTCCTCTGCTGCTGCGTACAGCCGCTGGTGGATAAACGACCTCAGCTGAAACATAGTTATTACCAAAGCGCGCAAAAATGGACAAAACCACGTTTTAAAGGAGAAAATGAAACCACAAAGACTATCTGCTAAATGTGACGTCTAACGCGGAAGCAAACATGCATCACGTGACGACCGGCAGAGATCCTCTATAAAGTATGATGGTTCACTTCTTATCTTTCTTATCGGTGTTTCTGACAAACGCGTTTTAGGGATTTCTGTACAAATGCTACGCTAACTGTAAAATATGTTGTCCCGATAGTGAAATAAGATATTATGAGTAATTTAAGACAAAAAAGCAACTGATGTATATCGATGTTTAAGCAGCAGGGACATTATTCTCTTGACATTAGACAACAATAAGAAGACCACAAATATGGCAGTGTAAAGGGAGGTATTGGCGGGAAATTGTTTTTTCTTCTCCAAAGGGTAAAATATAATCCTTGAGCGAACAATAACCTTATGGTACAGATTAACAAATTACAACACTGTGCTGTCAGAATATTAAACTTTATTGTCCTCAAAATGAGACTTGGATTTCAGGAAGACATTACCCAGAGAAAATGCAAATGTGTTGGACACAATAATGCTCATGGATGGTCAAGTAAAAGCCCATACTTCCAGAGGTCTGCTTAGTTCTTGATGGGTACCAACATTTTACAGCAATGTGACTCTTATAAACAGGTCAAAACCATAAGATTGTGAGGCTACTTTGATATCAGGCAAAGAAGAATTCAGCTGCTTTTCAAAGTGAACAAAGTTTATAGGAAAATAACATTTCATCAAGGATGTGTTTGTGAGTTGAAGAAGGGAGACAAATAGTTTCTTAGCAGACATAACGCCTCATATAGATTCAGTTCAACGCTACCAGCTAAGTTTGGATCAGTGTACGAATACACACAGATGGACAACGACTTGTTTAGTCTTAAGTCTATGATGATTGGTGACAACATTCACATGTAAATCCAAGCAGAACTTTCTGAACTGGAGGTCAAGTCAGTTACAGCAACATTTAAAATACAAGTGTGGACATCAGAGACTTTAACAGTGGAACAACTAACAACTTTGGGATCCTAAACTTTGATTTGAAGATAAATAAAAGGTGACAAAGAGTTCTGAACATGCTGCCTCTCCCTCTGTAAACACATACTACTGGAAATTGTTGGCAATCTTATGCAAACTATGATATGTTGTGAAACTGCAGATGCATATCTTTTCTTGTTTGACTGTGAAATGGTCTGTCTTGTTTTTAATCAGCAGCCTGCTCATGAGTTTGCATGTGCACCTTTAGATTGGGTGCAAACCTGTATCTCATTCCACAAACATGGCAGGCGTACGGCCTCTCTCCCGTATGCGTCGTCCTGTGCCTCGTCATCTGTCCACTCTGACGGAAACGTTTGCCACAAACGTCACAGGGGTACGGTTTCTCTCCTGAATGGTATCTCATGTGTATCTTGAGGTGACTGCTTGTGTTGAAAAGTTTCCCGCACAGGACACAATGATACGGCCTCTCCCCTGAATGACCTCTTTTATGAATTGTGAGGTTCTGGCTCTGACTGAAGGCTTTTCCACAGATGTCACAGTGATACGGTTTCTCACCAGAGTGGGTCCTCACATGCACAACCAGATGTTCTCTTCTGTGAAAAGTTTTTCCACATTCTTGACACATAAACTCTCTGATGCCTGCGTGTATTTTTTCATGCAGCCGGACACAACGTTCATTTGCAAAAGTTTTGCCACAAATGTGACAAAAATATGTTTTGTTGTGACAAACTTTTAAATGATTTATGAGCTCCTCTGTGGACTGACATAAAACCCCGCAGATAGTGCAGTCATTTTTGTTCTCATGAGCTTTTATGTGCTTCATCAAAGAGCCGATGTACTGAAAGCCTTTGCCACACAAATGGCAAAAACTGCGTCCCTTTTCGTTTTTAGCAGACTGGCTGTCATGAGGTAAAACCTGCTGATTCTTCTTATTAATGCCGCCACTTTGTACCTGCACTTTCCCCTCCAATGATTTGGTCTGCTCTCCTTTGTTGTTCACAAACACCTCACCGCTGTCGTCAACCTCCCTCTGAGGTTCACAAATTGGATGCAAATCACAGGAGACTTGATCCTCTGGCTCACTTTTCACAATTTCTGCAGTGAGAAAATCAATCTCCTTACATTCCTCCTGCTCTTCTTTAATGTCAGACACTTTGAAGTCAATCTCGTCCAAACTAAAGTTCCAGTTATTATTGTCTTGGTCCTCGTCTTTGCTACTTTGAGATGGTCCTGGTGTCTCAGTGCTCAGACTGAAGTTGCAGTCATCCGGGGTTGAGGGTCCTGGGTTCTCCTGTAGAAATGAGGTATCACATTTGTCTCTGCACCTTACAGAGTTGCTGGTCAGTGAAGGCCCCACTGCTATAAATGCAAAAGAAGATAAAGTAAAGCAGCATGTCCCCATTAAGCATTGTTGCTCCTCTAATTTTGAAACTGTTAAAACCTGGCAGGTTTAAGGGTGAAGGTACCACTTCTGGAACAAACAGTAAAATGTAGGGCTGCGATGATAAGCTTTTCTCCCGATTCGATTCTTCTACGATTTTTTGGATGCTGATTCGATTTAAATTGCGATTCTATGATATTGTCCATTTTCTCGATTTTTATTTGTGTTATTACCTAGGCCACCCCCTTAAATGTGTAAAAACATGTCAGTTGTGTTAAATTTATACTGTAGTAGGTGTGTGAATGATCAACAATCAATACTATTGGCAGAAATAGAGGCCCCCAAAATCAAATTTTGCTTGGGGCCCCATTGAGGCTTGGGCCGCCTCTGAACGTACAATATTAAAACGTTTGAGCACTTCAAATGGTGAGCCTGAGATTGCACGCATGCGCAAACATCTGATAGTTGTAAGATGTTTAATCTACCAAAGCTTTCAGTGGTCAGTCTCCATCAAAACGAGACAAAATACAAATATAACATTGTAAACCAGAGTCCCTCACCTTGTTTCTTTTGCAGCAGGTCCAGTTGGTGTCTCAGACTCTCCACCTCCTCTTGAGATCGACTAACTTCAGCTTCGTACAGAGCTAACGAGATGGTCTTCTCCACCTCTCCCAGGATCTCCTCTGCTGCTGCGTACAGCCGCTGATGGACGAACGACCTCAGCTGAAACATTGTGCTGCTCATGACTCAGGAGAAACCTGTGGAACCAAAACATCTGAGTTTGGTGGCGGGGTAGCAGGAGGAGGAACTCGGCTAACCCTGTTTGTGTGTGTGATCAATGGAGCTAGTGAGCCGTTAGCAGCAGGGATGGTACTTCCGGTTGTATTTCAGAACAAAGCCAACGATTTTAATTAGAGACTGGAAATATCCTTCTCAAATTCAAGAAGATCAAATATAAATTGAGAAAGATTGTTTAACTCATTTAAATTCAACAACAGCAACAACAAAAACTGTATAGTCAAATTCGGTGGTATCGGGGTATTAATGAATGTTAGACCGAAGATTTCAGCAATCCTGAATAAAGGTGTATTTTTTTTACAAGAGCTTTAAAATATACTCTTTTGGCCTTTCAAATGAAAGGTAGTTGAAAGTTGTTATCCAAAGAGAAAGTAAAACCTAACTTTTAATGTGTATTTCGGTCTGTTGTTTAACATCAAACAAGATTTCTCTGATTTTAAGGCATTAAAACGTCGCTGCTCTGCTTTTTTATTTTGAAGGCTGGCGGATATGGTCGGACTCACCGTGTCGAACTTAATCAAAGATAAACTTTAACTGCCCCACACCGAAAAGCCGGATAAACACGCCGACCTGAGAGCTGAAAAATGTCTTTCTGTAACTTCTTCGGTGGCGAGAAATACAAGGACCACTTTAAACCAGGTAATTTTACGATCTTAATTTAGTTTACTTCCTGAAAATTTCTGAAATTTCACTGGTTACAGACTGTTGAGCAAAAGTAGAGTTTACGTAAACTAACCAGCTAGCCACTTTAAGCTAACGATTCATTGTGTTACAGTCACCTAAAACTACGTATGTCAGACAAGATTATTCCGTTTTTACAAAGAGAATATGTAAAAACTGCTGATAGACGTCCTAAAAGTGTAAGAAAGATTATTTAAACGGTTGAAGAGCCTCAGTTTGGTACTTTTGTAACCTGTGCTCAGGTTACACAACTATGTTACAAAATTAAACACTGTTTAACTTCCTCTTGAGTTAAACCTGCAATTAAACTCAAAAGAAACTTTACCCGTTTCATATTTCATTTCATTTCATTCAGTTAATATAGAAAACATTCAATACAAACAAGGAAAAGTCTCAAACAACTTTTAACTCTTATAAGGTCTGCCCCTATTTATAGGATAAAAATCAACTAAATACATAATAAAAATAAACAAAAGCTGCGGGCCAACACGCCTTTTTACAGTTCATTATGTCTTATTTTCAAAAACAACCAACTAAACAAACAGAAAAGACCACGTTAATTCACATTTTTTCACAAAACAAACATACCAAGACTTAAATTAACATATTTCCCTGTATTTACCCAACATACTAGCTTTGACGCTTTTTTTAAAGATAAAATTTGCTTTAGCTTCTTTAGTTTTTTTGTTCAGATTGTTCCACAAATTTATTCCTCTCACTGTAACACAGCGCCCCTTCTGTTTAGTTCTGAATCTTGGCTTTTTAAATATTTCAAATCCTTTTTAATTATAACAACTTTCTCTTTTTTTCAAATCAGCTCTGGATGTTGACTGGTAAAATTTTCCTATGAGCTTTATACATGATCTGCAACATACTGAAATCTACTAACTCATCTGCAATTTAACAAACATATATTTAATTCAAAAGACTCATTATTGGCTAATATGATGTATTAATGTGCTTAAAAACACAGGTTGGAGAATACAGATTTGCTTAAGGATTGAAAACAAAAGTTGGTGCATATTTGATGGCATGTCTGATAAGTCTTTTTTTGTCAAACAAGTTTATCAAAGTTATGTCCTGGGTGAGTTTGTTGGTCTTGTTACACATCAGTAACCAATCCATCCATCCTCTCCTGCCCAGGGATTTACGTCTGCTCCAAATGCGACCATCAGCTGTTCTCCAGCAGATCCAAGTATGAGCACTCGTCCCCCTGGCCAGCCTTCACAGAGACTGTCAAAGAAGACAGTGTGTCCAAACACCAAGAGAGACCTGGAGCATTCAAGGTACAGACTTTAGAACAGGGACTGACCTCATTTCACACTGACTTCACATTAAATTTATATGACACTGTGTTTCAAAATAGTGTAAAAGCACAGCCGTAATACCCAGACCTCTGAAAGATTCAGCACCCTGCTGCCTCCATCAGAGAAAACAGTGATTGCACACAGTGTAGTTTCCTAATTTACTGCAAGAAGTCACAACTTCTGCAATTTGTAATTGCAAAGGTAAAATTGTGACACATTGTGTGACCATACCATCAACATACTGCACATTAAAAATTCTAATCCTAGAGTTGCATGATGTGTTGGTACAGGTGCGGTGTGGGAATTGCGGGAATGGACTCGGCCATGAGTTTGTAAATGACGGACCATCTAAAGGTGTGTCTCGCTTCTGAATATTCAGCAACTCACTGAAGTTTGTCCCTAAAGGTAAGTTCGTTACCTGTATCTATCGCCTCTTGTATTACTTTAAGACAGTTTTATTGCATGTTATATGACAAAACTGCCAGAATCATATCATCTTTTTATAGTTTATCCACTCATAAGGTCATGAGGTTTTTATTTACGGTGTTGTATAATAAATTAGTCTGGATGAAGGATTTCAATATTTGGAAACACAAATCTGTAACTTTTAGTAGACATTTAAACTTAATTTGATCCATTTTTCCTTCCTCTTTAAAGAGAAGTGTCCTGAACAGTCCTCAGAAAAAAGAACAACCAAATAAACTCAACACTAACTTTAAATTAAGAGAATTTGCTTTATATTTGATAAGTAGCAGATTTTTAGTTTCAGCATCATCTCTGTGTCTCTTCCTTTCTCCACAGATAAGGTTGATGGACAGTAAAGTGAGCTGCTAGAGGAAAGCACTACTGGACTTTTAGATGTTTCTCTGTGCAGCTGCTGAAGGTGCGATCAGTGGATGAAGTGTCCTGGGGAAAAGCCCGATCAGGGAGCACCAGGACACCGATGAAGGATGACCTCACTGACCAGCAGCCACAGAGGGATGGTCACAACACCTTTTAAATATGCAATCAACCAGCTGTGACTACACGATCACTTTTACCTCCACTGCTACTACTTCATGGGAAACTTTCCTTCTTTATTAGAATAATGTTATGATGTGTTATTTATCACCGTCCTGCAGTCTGAGATTAGATTAAGGTTTTAAATAACTGGTACATACCTGATGGCCTTTACCTGCTGTGTGTTTTTATGCTGAGTACAGAAAAAGATGTTCTTATATTTTCACTCTTCAGGGGTTTTATGAAAATGAATCACTTTGACTAATATGCAAATACCTGGAATAAATATTTTCTTAACTTCAAATGAGACAAGGCTTTTATTCACTGTTGTCATGTCTTGATGCTGTTTTTTTCCACTGAAAGAGACGTTTCTATCTTTTATCTTTGCCTGAATCTACCCTGTTCAGTCAAATCTCCACTCAGTTATGCAAATGCTGCCGCCTAGTGGAAGTAATGAGAGCAAAACCGAGCTGCTGACACTTGATCTGGACATGCGGGTTAGTTCCAGCTTTAGCCGGGTGGCTGTTTTTCAAAACACGTCTGAACTTCCACAGAGGTTACGTTTGTTTCACGACAAGAGTGTCTGACATGGATGAAATGACGTACTGCTCCTTTAACGGTGGAGAGGAATACAAAAACCACTTTGAGCCTGGTGAGTATCAAAGCAGCATTAATCTATATGAAAGTCCAAGCGTCTTTGAATGTATCTTCAGTCATGTCTTCGTTCTTCACAGGTATTTACGTGTGCTCTGAATGTGGGCACGAGTTATTCTCCAGCAAATCAAAGTTTGAGCACTCGTCTCCTTGGCCGGCCTTCTCAGAGACGATCCACGAGGACAGTGTCTCTAAACAGCCTGAAGCATGGGGACCAATAAAGGTAGACTGTCATGTTACTCTAAGACTAATCTACCTTTGTTTCTTCCTAACACTTCCTAACAATCACATGATCTGATCGGTGTGGCGCTTCAATTTGAATTCTTCAGGTTTGTTGTGGGAAATGTGGCAACGGACTGGGCCATGAGTTCTTGTACGATGGACCAAAAGAAGGACTCTCACGGTTCTGAATATTCAGCAGCTCACTGACGTTCATCCCAAAAAGTGAGTTTGACTTCTTTTTTTCTTTTTTAATTTCATGTTACATAGTTAAAATAGCTAGTGACCAAAAAGACGTGAAACCAACAGGATCAGGGTCATGAGTCAAAAGGACCTCTGCTTAGAATCATAGAATAACATGTTTTGTAAGTAAATAAAATGATTGCGAGGCTTTAAAAACAATAACCTAAAGAGTCAAAATGACAACAAAGAGATACAAGAGACGAATGCACACGAAAGGACATATCACCACCAAAAAGAGACATGACAAAGATTGGAAACACAAAATAATCGCAGAAAAACACAAAAGTACCATGAGAGTGAAACAAAATGACTAAAAGACACAAAAAAGACATAAAATTAACATAAAAAGTGACGCTTTTACCTCAAGGGAGATACAGAATTAACACGGGGCATAAAATTTCTCTCTGTTTCTGTAGAAAAAGTTGATGGACAGAAAGCTGAGCTGTGAAATAAAGAGCACTTTTCCTTCGCCTGCTGATGGTGTGGCCTGTTGATGAGGAGCTCTGGGATAAATCCTGATGGAGCACCAGGGCTCTGATGGACTGAGGCGTCACTGTGCAGCATAAAAGACCGGACTCGAACACTCTCAGTAGAAACAGTTTTACCCTCTCCTGTGAGCCGACGGACGTTTTATTAAAAGACAAGGATTGTGATCATGCTGCACTCTCTGGATCTGTAAATATATGGCTGCATTTTTGTGACTCTTTACAGTCGCAGTTGCATCTTTCCACCAGCTGATGGTGCTATGTCGCCTCTTGAGCATGACTGTAGTGTCTGCATGGTTTCCCTCTGCTTGTCTTCTTTTCCCTGGCGAGTTACGAGTCATCCATCAAGCACAGATCTAAAGGTCTGTGCTCATGTTGTCAACAGACGGACACTTTTGCCACATTGTCAACAGGAAGAGGTGAAATAGTCATCCTCCTTGTCTTCACTAACATCACCTCGACACCCACCCCCAGTCAACTCTCCTCACATGAGAGGGCTGCATGTTTTTCTACCTGGCAAACTTGTCCTGATAGCGCCGCTTCTTTGCTCCTGAAGTGATGGAATCATAAACAACGTAAGTATGCGGGGGTACGTTCAAGAGCTCAGAGTGCTGTTTTACTGTTCGGGGGCCAAGCAGGTGTGGAGCCGCTGGTTTCAAAGGCTGGAAGATCAGAGGAGGAGATGAAAGCTGAAGTGTCAGGCGGAGGATTAAGACAGGAAGTGCAAACATGCACCGATTTCAGTGATGTGCAGAATAAAAGCATTTAAAACAGAGGCTGTCTTGGATGCCGAATGTGGTGATTATTTTGTCTGCGAGGTATGATCATAAATACTTTAATCCACCTCAGATAGAGCAGCTGTTCAGTCTTACTTTCAGATCATAAATCTGCCTGATTTAAAGTTTAAGTCCTCCTTAAATCCGAATGTTGACCCCGAGTAAAACCTTCATGTTACCGATTAAAAGTCTTTGTCGTGGATTCTCTGCAGCCACACACAGCTGGCATACAGACCCAGCTGTCCTCAGGGGACGGTGTCTGGAAGGAGGAGGAAGAGTCAGAGAGAGGAAGAGCAACAAACCAAACAACAGACCGACGGACAGACAGACAGAAACTAGAGTACAAAGATAAACCACATGTGAGGGGCGCAGAGGAAAAGGAAATTGCCCCAAACACAGGACTGTAATTAGCAGTCTCTATCTGCAAGGCCACTCCTTCTGGCTGGCATCAGAGCACAGCTGTATGGCTGAGAGGAAGCAAACAGGAAGGAGGAAGTGGTGATCCTCTGATCAAATCCACTGACCTCTGCCTCTCATCCTGCATGCAAGCAAACGGTGTCCTTAATTACATTAAACCACCGAGACTCCAAATCCCGCCCGTGTCCCACAGGCCGGGCCCAGAGGTACAACATATGTGTGACTGACTCATTCCCCGAACATCTTGTTTTGATTGTAACTTATACCCTTATGCTCGAAATTTCAGATTCCCAGAACGTGCCCAGAACGTCCCTGCTGGTGTAAAGTTTCCAAAACGTTTCCAGTCACAGTGCTGAATAATATTTGGGGAGTTAAAATCATGTGGGAACGAGATTTTAAGTGGTAAAACTGCATAAATGATATCAGAGCTGATCGGCTCATTAAACATAACTCTTCATAACTATTGGTAAACCCAGCTTAATTAATCGCAACCAGTGTAATTAGCTTTTTGGTTCATTTTATCTTACATTTAAATTTTCATCTTAAACCAGCTCTTATGCGTTGAGTTACAAAATACTTTACTACCCAGATCAGTTTTCAGTAAATTCTTATTTATGTAAAAATGACTAAAACCTGCCTCATGGTTTTTTTCTGTGATCTATTTGTCATGCTGGCCACTTTGTTTATTTTGAAATTAATACCCTCTTATTCAAATCACAACAGTGTTAAAGTTAATCAAAACTCAAATGAGAAAATTTCACTTCTAAGATTAAACTAATATCTCGTTTTTAGAAACATTTTGCAAAGAAACCCCAAAATCAGAGAGTAGTTGGGCTGTTGGTTTTCTAAGGGATATTCCGGCTTTAAATTAATTTAGGGTCAAACACACCGTAACACCGAGTTAGACACCCCCTAGAGAGATGAATGTTGCAGACCGCTTGCTTCTCTAGTTATATCAACTTTAGTAACGACCGCAGGATAGCAATACACAGCGGTCTGAGGAGCCATAAACAAACCTCAACCAAAACACCACTCTATAGCCACAAATAATGCTCAGAACAGCACCTAACTTCATCAACAGGACATATAGGGTCACAGACATAGTACTAGACACCAAACATCTGTTGAACTTTGACTAATTTCTTTAGCAAAGAGACTAAACACAACTCACCTACTCTCTTCCAGCAGCTGCTTGTTTGTAGCGAGACCTCAGGCCATTCCTTACGTACTGCAGCGGGGTGACGCAGCTCAAGGAAGAACATTTATGATCATTTCCTTGAAGTAATAATCACCATATTAATCATTTGTACTGCAGATGCGGTAGTTCTTCTGCCTTATTGTCTTGGTCTGATTGTATTTCCATGAAGTAATGATCATATGAGATTTTTTTTTATTTTTGGCTTTTAGAAAACGCCAGACATGGTGGAAACAGTTACTATAGGTTACTTGCTCTTTGTTTCTACACTTCATGATGTTTGTGGATTCATTCTATCTCATTTGTGGCCCCTGGTAGAGTACTGCTGTTCACTACCTTTCCACTTTGAGAAGTACTCTACTTTTATGTTCTTATTTTTGCACCACTGAATTTTTCCTAACAGTATGGGAATTGCAAACAGATATAAAGGGTAAAATCCAGCCCTTAATCACTAAAAGAGAGGAGGTGTAGCAGTGTCTGTATTTCCTGTGAGGATGTTTTAGTTGTAGACAACCTTGAGGTCATGTTGAGCATGCTCCTCAGGTCGCCCCCTCCTGTGTGGCTACGAGCCTGTTGCTTAGATATGGATGTTTACAGGAGCTGCACCTGCTTCTGTTTTGAGCTCCAAAGAAAAACATCGCTCTCTCTTTCTCTTTGCATCCAAATGCCATGACATCATTTCCATCTCAATAAGGTAGCATTTCCGAGAACCATGTGTCATCCAGGGCTTCGCTTCACACACTGCAGAAGCTGCGATCGCTTTTGCCCGAGGACGAAACCTCCTGAGTGCGTGACTGTTGGAGAAATAAATAAAAGGTTTCATCAGGGAGTAATATCTGCAGAGGGAGTGTTACCCCGCAATCTGTGATGTCTCCATTCATCCATACATGGTGGGGCTGCCTTCCACATGTTGAAACCACATCTGCTGCTCCCTCGGTGTAATGAATGTAAGGATAAACAAAGCTTTAATACATGGCGCTGGAATGGGATTTCTCCTCCAGATCAAAAGGACGCTTTGGAAACTTAAGGCGCTCCAGGTTGGGCATTGTTATAACTCTGTCAGCGCAGCATGTGTGTGAAAGAGCATATTTTTTGCTCTTCCTCTCTGAACAGGCCACAATGTGAGATGATGTGTACTTTACAGAGTGTATAAACAGATTTTATGTGGTGCGGGTATGAGAAATGCACATCTCCACAGGCTGTTTTGGTTTTAAAGACTGTAAATGCAGAAAGAGGAGTAATAAAAATACAATTATGCTACGGAAGAAACAATGAGAAACCTCTATTTTCTCTTCCCTCCAACGAAATGTCAGCAGCTTAGACATGCAACGGATGGTTTTGGCAGATGCGAACTTGCAGCGCGGAGCCAAAAAGCGCCTGTAAAATCCAAAATATGAGGGCTGCATGTGAGAAAATAAACAATGTGAGAGTTTTCAAAGCGAGTCTTCAGTGGCTGCTGCTGCCTCATTGTCACCTTTATCACATGATCACATACCTGCTTCAATAACAGAGGGGGTTTGGACATTTATGTATTTGCAAACATGGCTCGCTATCCGCTCTCTGATCAGGGAGATAGGACCCCCACACGGCAGCCAGGGTCTGAAGGCTTCAAAGGAATAGTTCAGGTGTGTGGCACTGGTGCTATTCATTCAGATCAGGGGGGAGGGTACTTGGGTTTTGGATGGACGAGGTTCAGAAAAAAAGGCTGAATCGAGGCCTCAATGTCACCACTTTTAATCTGGTTTGATCGGAGATGGTACAGAGCCAAAGCGGGTAAAAGACAGAGGGCAAACTGTGCAGAGTGTCCGTCAGCACATTTACATGCACATTCAAACTTCAGTAGAAGATCAATTTGTAAACTGGAACAAGGACAGAAGTAAAGTTAAATTTTCTAACACCAGAAAAGAATTAAATTATTGACAGGAGCATGTCAGCCTCCACTGCAGTAGGTGGCGATATGCCCTCCTTTCAGCTTGGTTAACAAATCAAAACAATCGACAAACGTGTTGGTGAGAGGCTGGCGGGATGTATGTCACTTTTAAAGTTCTTGTGGTTTTATTTGAGTGTATTTTGTGTATTTTCCCCTAATGTTTCTGTTCTGTTGTCCAGTCTTGTGAGTTTTCAGTTTGTGTTTGACCCGTTTCCCTCCTGTTCTCTGTGTTTTATTCTTTAGATCAGTTTCCAGTGTTTCCTGTTTTATTTTATAGGAGTTAATACCTTGTGTTTCTAGTCTGTTTTTACTTCCCTAGTTTTCTCTCCTTCGAGTTTCACCTGTGTCTCGTCTGCCTCACCTGTTGCTCGTTTCCCAGTGTGTATATAGTCTCCGTCTTCCCCTCTGTCTTTGTTGGTTAATTCTGTCATGATCCAGGGTTTAAACCAATGAAAAGGATCCAAATGCAGAACAAATGATTTATTTAAAAAGAACTAAATCAAAAAACAACAAAAAATTTCTTCAAAATGTCCAACTGCAAAAATTCCCAAAGGCAAAATCCAACAAAAAACCACAAGGAGACGAGGGATACACACAACGACTATGAGTGACACTCACTAACCGACAAACACACACAAATCAAGGATCACAGAGAACAGGCAGACACACACAATGAACCAACAAAGACAGAGGGAAAGATGGGACTATATACACACTGAGAAACGAGCAACAGGTGAAGCAGACGAGACACAGGTGAGACTCATGAGTGATTAACGAAGGAGGGAAAACTAGGGAAGTAAAACTAAACTAGAAACACAAGGAATCAACTACTACACAGTAAAATATATGTGCAGAAAGCCTAGGCCAGTTTCGGACCGGTGTGTTTACATGATTTTTTAAAAGTGTCAGTCAGACTGAGGCGGTGAAACGCTTTCTTTTGAACGCCTCATAGACTGTTGACAAAAATTAACAAAACCACTGTTGTCACCAAGTTGCAAGTTGAAGCAGTGTAAAAATGCTAAAAAAAACTGCAGTTCTTTAAGTTTCTACTTGAGGCTGAGAGATCCGATTCACTCCCATTTAAAAAAAGCAAAGAGCTGCCAACAGGAAGTTCTAAAAGTCTGTGTCATATAGTCGTCTCCCCTCTAAGTTTATCTACAGTTTTGGATTTTCAATATAAAAGTATTTCTAGCCAAAAAACTGTGGTCGCCAAACTTATTTCAATGTGCTTCCTGAGGTTCTGACATGATTACGTCAAAGTTTTTCTTCAAATCTGAAAGGATTTTTTTCAAGATAGCTGGAAAATATTAA